CCTACCCCTAACCCTAACCCTGGGCGCAATGTATCTCGTCTCTGAATGATCCTGGGCGGTTTCCGTCACTCTGTCGGAAAACTTTGCGGGAATAGTGGTGGTATAGCCGATACGGCAAGGGATATACCAAAACAGAAAACCAGCCCCGTTATCTAAATCCACTGTCCTTTTCCCTTTACCACCCTTTGACAACCTTGCACCTTTGCATTTACACTGTAATAATACATAACCCTCCTAAACATTATGACTTTGGCAGGTCTGATACCTTGATATACCTAACATCATCCAGCTCCCCCTTGGAGTTATCGTGGATTAAGACATATTCCTCGTTTGACCTTATATTCCGTTTCCCAAACCAAATTGCACCCAATGCCGTGGTTGCCCCCAAAACACCGTACATCGTTCTGCGAGCATATTTCCTATCGAACTTGGTTAGCTGTTTGCACTTCTCGTCACTGACCCATGTCCAATCTCCTCACTTCCGGATCGGCATGCTGGCAGGGAAGCTTTCCTGTCCCCCGGGGCCGCCGAGGTCATTTGACCCCTTATTTGAAGCATTCCCGGCAACTGTCCCATAAGCCCGTCTCTGCAAAACAAATTTCCCTTCCCTCAGGGGCGAGACACTCCTAGCTGCGACCAGGTATCGCATCTGTCGCATTGTTCTGGCTCATAGCGACATATTATGTGGTCTTGGTATTTAGCACTGAGAAAAGGGAAGTGTAACTCTTCTTGCAGTTGGTGTGTTGTCGTTTAAATACTGGATGATGGATTTACCAATTGACATTACGTCAGACAACCGCTTCATCCTTCGTGTCGGGCGTCATGGACTTGTTCCGCGGGGAAATCTACTGCACGCACCAAGACAGGGACACCCCTCTGACACATCCTTCCCTGATCGACTGGAACTGCGTTGTGCCACCCGGTAAATCTTGATTATTTGTTACAAACCATGTGCTCGTCCATCCGACCCGCCGAGGGCCTGCGACCTAGGATTCAACACGACTCGTGTGATAATGATTCACAACGGACCGAATTGAAGTAAGCCTTCGTGTTTGAGGATAATGAGGGCGGAAACCCATCTATAGCGGGCGTTTTCTTGGGATAAATCTCGCCTTCACGCCAGTCAACATCGCCATGAAGTAGCACGGCATGTTGCACTCGTCAGGGAAGACAGTGATATCGACCTCGAACTCCTCAAACAGGCCTGTGACTACTTTTTTCAAGACCAATTCGGCCAGGTGCCTACCAGGGCATGTCCGCGAACCGCCCCCCCATGTCAAACTTGTCCTTTCCATCTCCCAAATCCTATTGAGCTCCTCGACTTGTAACCATCTTTCTGGTTTGTACTTCTCGGCATCCGATCCAAAGATTTGGGGGTTCCGATGAAGAGAAACCGGATTACACCCCACTACTGTACCTGCGGGGAGAAAGTACTTGTCCAATACTAAGCCACCGTTTGGAACCTTGCGTGGCAGCGACATGCTGATCACTGGATGCAGTCTTTGTGCCTCTTTAATACTGGCCATGGTGTAATCAAGGTTCCTTTTGGGTGATGGCCTGCGAACCTCTCGAGTCACCTTCTGTTGAGCATCGGGATGAGACCCAATCATCGCTATAGCGGCCGTCAATGCCGAACACATGGTCTCGTGGCCGGCGCCAAAATTCGTGACAGCGAGACGCCGAAGGTAAGTTTCAGTAAAGCCGTGGTGTTTCTCGTATAGGGTTATCAAGTCAAGGAGCAGGTCCTTACGTGACTCTGACTTGTTCTGTTTGTGGCCGTCCTGTAAGGCGGCGGTGATTCTTCGAGAGCTTTTCTGGTACACGGGCTATCGTGTATCATACCATTAGTCGGACAAACGTTTTAATAGTTCCAACTATGGCTTACTGTGAAAAATGGCTTGAACCCTTTAGGTGTCTTGAATGTCAGGTCCCAGGCGTTGGAAAACCTGCGACCAAGTCCCTTGGAAATAAATGACAGTTTCGTGACGACTGGAAACAAGCCAAAAACGCTCTTCCGCTTCCAGCCAAGGTAACTTTGTCTGCTGGTACCGCCGTCGGAGTGGTTGGCCAGATACCCAGGTGACCACGAAAGGACCACCGCGCCGAGGCACTCAACCGTTATCATGTGCATCCACTCCTTCAAATCCAACTCTGCACCGTCTAGCTTCCCAATTTCGGAGATGGCCACTTTCATGACCCTGTCCACCACGGGTTCAAACTTCTTCATGTTCAACGCCGAATAGACAGGCCCAATGAGGCGTCGCTGTCGTCTATAACGTCGAATATCGAATTCTGACAGAAGGTCCAACGTATCCGGGAAATGAGCCTTGAGCTGCCAATCAATTCGCGGTTTATTCAGCGCCGTTGCCACTATGTCGCATGTTAGAAACACGGAGGGTTATGGGAAGCTGATAATGAAGGCTTACGATAAAAGTCTGCTTTTTGCAGACCATTTGTGGGACCTGTATAGATGCCACGGGGGGTCCCGGCTCAGTATTTAGTTCTGAATCCGCAGGCAAATGTGGGTTGATGTAGTTGGTGACCATACTGTAAATTTTCTTGAACCCTTCAACGGAATTAACCCACACTTCATTCGGCCCGACCCTGACTACCGGGCCATACTGAGAATGGAGACATTTACCGAGTTCTCGAGAGCGACCATCTCTAATGTGTTGAGCGTGCCAGAGGTTAGAGATTGCAGCCAGCTTTGGTCCCGGAATGCGTGCCAGAGGGTGGAATGTCAGTCGGTAGCTGCAAACGGCGAGCAGTAGGAAAATCCCGGTGGAAAATAACATAATTAAGACGGCTCCTGTGGAGATACAGATTTCAACAACACTGTTGGCGTGCATGTTTGCAAGTTCATCGCATTGCCATGCTTCGGTGGTTTGTGGAGAACTCGTCAGTCATTGTCAAAATTTGGTTTGGTGAATCCAACGGCCCGCTTGGTCTCAGATTCAAGGGTTAGGGTCAACCGACAACAAACCGATTTTGGACACGTCATAATGAATCCTCTTATTACTCTTCGAGTGGCTAACTATTGGCATGGCATCCGGGCTGCCATCACTGGGGAGGTCCGAGGGTCAGGATGTCCAGTCCGTCCAGAAGCTGCGTCTTGCTCGGCATTTTGTGAAGCGACATCAACTGGGCGCTTTGGGCCATTGCCGGATCCTTGCCAATGCTTGCCATTGCAACAACCGTCTCACCCTTGGTGTAATACGCAACCCACTTCCCTTCCTCTGGATTTCCTTGGATCACCACGTCGTCCCAGCCGCTCGCCATAGTGTTCCCACAGTAGCGTAGCTGTGCCCCAAGGGCGCTCCAAAAGACCGGAGTGTAAAATTCGGGTGTGCGCTTCGGGTTGAGAATATGACTGGCAACTGACCGCCCTGCATTTTGCGCCACGTTCCAGTGCTCGATGCGCACAAACTTTCCTTCACCTCCTGGGCCGCGGTACGGGTGGGTTGCAATATCACCAATGGCGTACACATCTTCCAGACCGGCGACAGAGAAACTCTCATCAACCTTAAGGCTCCCGTCCTGCTCAAGACGCACCGCACTGTTGTTCTTGAGGTATGCAGTGGCCGGTGCGACCCCGACGCCGAGAATGACAAGGTCGGCATCCAACTTGGTTCCGTCCTTGAGGTAGACGGACCCAACGCGAGACGGGTTCGACGCAGCTGGTTCCGCCTTCTCGACACCCGCTGATAAATAGAACTTGACGCCTTTCCCTTCCACAAGAGTTCTCACGAAATTTCCAACCCGCTCACCCAGCACTCGCTCTAAAGGAGCTTTCTCCATACCAACAACGGTAACGTTATTCCCATTTGCAGTCGCCACGGCAATTTCCAAGCCAATAAACGACGACCCAATCACCACAATATTCTTTCCCTTGTCACCGATAGCGGCGACGATGCGCTTCGCATCGTGGACGTTCCGGAGTGTGAAGATGTTGTCTAAATCTTTGAACCCTGGTAGTGGAAGTTGCCGGGGCGAACCGCCCGTGGCGAGGACTAGCTTGTTGTACCCAAACTCCCCGCCCGATTTAGTTGTTGTGGTCTTCGCGGCAAAGTCCACGGAGGTAACCTCGTCGTTGACAATCTCGACGGTTCCGTCCCTGTACCATTTCTCACCTCGCCATTGTAGCTTGGCAAGATCCGTCAAGAGGGCCTTGCTGAGCTTCGGACGGTCAATCGGCAGATAACCCTCATTGGAAATCAGCGTAATGGCACCTTCGTACCCGCCACCGCGTAAGCCCTCCACAGTGCCGAGGGCACCAGAACCGCCTCCCACAATAAGAATCCTCTCGTCCTTGGTGGTGGCGCATGTGAAATTGGGCGTCCGATAGCCCTTCTTTATCGTGTCGGTTTCGCCAGTAATGTAGACAGCCCCATCACGTTCGGTCGCCTTGAAAACAGGAAGGGGGTTCAAAGCAGGCGCATCTTCCACGTCGCCAGTCTTGGCGTTAAAGCAGGCTACACGATGCGACGCCCTTTGGTTAGCGACAGAACCGTAAAAGGGAGGGGCCCCGCGACGAAATACTAACCTCCATGCCAGGGGCAAGTGATGGTTCCGTTGGTACCGAGAATCCCTTTCGCAAGGGGTGCGCCGTAATGAGTGCACCTGGGACCAATTGCTTGGACCTGCCCGCCGGCATTGACGAGAAGAACACGCGCATCAAGACCCTCTACCTCGACTTCATGTTTGTCACCCGGTTTGAGGTCGAGTGAAGTCACTCCTTTCAACTTGTATTCTTGCGCCATCTTCAGTGTAGCGACCGCAAACCAGCGCCGAGAGACGAGTGGTACGAAAGACGAGAGTCGCGGGGCTTGGTGCAAGATAAAATTGTGGCCGTTCTGGATCGCGAAAATGGCCAATGTCATCGAGTTGTTGAAGAAGAGGGGTAAATGGACGTGATTGTGGGACTTGGGAAGTGTCTGAACAATACGACCTCAGCTTGCGCTCTCCCGGTCTCCTTCTCGAAGCACTGTCAAATCGCACGCCGAGGAAGCCGCGCCGTTGAATACGCTGCGGCCTGGGCCTGGAGCTCCTGCAATCAGAAATAAAGCCAACCTGAGTGGTGGGATCCGAACACTGTCTGTCCACTGAAGAGCGCGAATGGTGGGGGCCGGGACTGGAACCTTTGTTAGCAGTGTCGTCATGACGGGGTCAGATATGAAGTGGGGGTGTATGGGGTGGAGTTGGGGAATGATGAGGGGAAACCACGGAAGCGGGCGGGGGCAGTCAGCTAGGCCGTGGTTGAGCCACCAGAAAACCCTCATATTTATCATGCTCTGCGGCGATTACCGTTGAACCTCAGTTGGACAGTCTGACGGTTCTATTGCATTGTGCTACCAACACTTCGTTGTTAACTCATCCGTATTGCCGATTTTCAGCACCCCGGATGCATGGTTCGACTCGGCGCTTCAATATTTAATTATCACGGCATGTGTAATCTTGAAGACCATCCCCAACTCCAATCGTTCTGACTTGATATTGCATCAAAGTCTGACTTCCAAGAACCTGCCCGTTCCACCCTAGGGCATGTGTCCATGTGCCCGGGGGTGCTCCCACTCCCCGATTTTACGTGAAACCTGCCACCGTAACCAATCTGTTTGGTTCTTCCCTGCGTCGTACTATGGACAAGCCCTAGGATCGGATACACGCTGAACCTATCAGAACCGGCAGTAGAATTGGACTCAAACTGACCTTCTAAGTCGGTCCGTCACGTCAGGTTGTCCTTTGATGTCGTGAATCCTTTGACCAACGATGTGCAGCCCTTGGGGAGCATTCAATGCCCCGTGCAAAGCGCAGATCACCACCAGGAATAACGGGCACAGATCAGGATAACACACCCGCCCGCCAAGGGCAGCCTCATGCTTGGCCAGCACATCAAACCAGTACATTGCGTTTAGATTAGTTGTATACCTGCCGTTTCGGGAACGTTGGGTCCGACACCAGCACCACAACGCCATCCACGCTGCCCACCAAAATGGCACTCTTACTCTCGATGCGCACAGGCTTAAAGAAAGCGATGAGCCGGCCGAGATATCGTTTTAAGATCCAACCTTTCTCAACTGTTATCGTTGACTCCCATCTCAACCAGCCTCCCGCACACATCGCAATATCCGCCCCTGCTACGCAGTGGTTTTAATTACTCATCGTCATAATTCCTTAGTCCCAGAATTTCCTGTCACGGGACCATTCATCATGGCCAGGCTCCAGACCATTGTCGGGTTGGCATCGATGGCTTTTCCTGTCGGGTTGGGGAGGGAAATCCCGGTCAACATGCAGCTTCAGGCCGAGCGGTACGCTTCCGGACTCGTGCACGAGGAAATCATGGCAACAAAGCAAGTGAGTGATTCCCCTTCCAGAGGATCGTCGCAGGAGCGCACTGTGAGCTACGCCAAGGAGTCGATAACTGACTGTGCTGCAGAGAATATGGACAGAGTTAAACGACCACGGTGTTTACGACTCCACGCAATACCGGTCTCTTGGAGAAGACGTCGACTACATTGCCTGCCAGGGCGGGATTGTCTCTCTCGTGCCGGATGACCCCGTCAATACGTTTCGCTGCCAAGATCTGGATTTATTTGACTTTAAAACCCACGCCCAACTCGGCAGCAGCTCAGGTAGGGGGGCTGGGTCTTGGGGTTGGACAAGCCCCGGCGGCCGTGAGTTTGTTGCTATAGCCCAAGAGGATGGTGCGGCCTTCGCGGAGGTCAGTTCAAAAGGCAAGTTGGTGTATCTGGGGCGCCTCCCGCAGTATGGCTCGGCACCGACTTCCCTTTGGCGTGAAATCAAAGGGTACAAAAGCTACATCGTCATCGGCAGTGAAGCCGTCCGGCACGGTGTTCAGATTTTTGATCTGAGGAAGCTGATCGACGTTAACCCTGCAAGCCCAGTTGTCTTCGACAACACCACGGATCTTACCGGATTCTGGGTCGACGGGCTGCCCCTCGGACGCTCGCATAACGTCGTCACCAACGAAGAGCTCAACTACGGCGTGGCGACCGGCTTTCAACCTAGGGACGGACCTCTCGGGGCGGGTCTGGTATTTTTTGACTTGACTGACCCGTCAAACCCCACGACATTGGGGGGTACCGGGGAGGATGGATACGTACACGATGCCCAATGCCTCGTATACCGCGGCCCGGATGAAAAGTACAGTGGTAAAGATATTTGTTATGGTTACGATGAGGACTCGTTGACGATGTAAGATGCCCAATTTCAACGCTTCCGGACCCTTACTAATTATTAACTCCTGTCGCAGATTCGACGTCACTGACAAACAAGATATCCGGGTCATTTCCAACACATCTTACGAAGGGTTCGTCTACACTCACCAGGGATGGGTTCTCGATCCTCAATGGCAGCAGTTCTTGATCACGGACGACGAGTACGACGAATACAACAGGTCTGGTCTCGCGGCGGATGGCTACCCGATCTCGTATATCTGGGATATTTCTTCGCTTGAGGCGCCGAAGCAGACGGGGCACTACAAAGGGCTCCGGAAAGGAATTGATCACAATCAGTTCGTCAGGGATGGCTTCACATACCAAAGTAACTACGCTTTGGGAATCAGCATTCTCGACTTACGCTCCGTGGCTTCTGACCCATCTGGGAAGGGGATCAAGGAGGTTGCGTACTTTGACACTCATCCCGAGGACGACCATCTCCCTGGTGGCGGGAATGTAACCTTCACCGGTTCATGGAGCCACTACCCTTTCTTCCCCAGCGGCTTCATTGTTATCAACACCATGGATCGAGGTGCGTTCGTCGTCAAGCGTTCAGCACAGCCGTGAGGTATTGCCGGGAAGCGGAAAGGCAAATATTGGAAGGTATGACGGTCGATTACCGTCAGAGAACATTATTCAGAGCGCTTCAGGGTTGGCCATGGCGGATGTTGATATCGGGCGACGGAATTTTTCTAAATCGCTTTCGAAAGTACAAGTGAATAATTGTATGCTAGCTTCGATCTCGTGCTGCGGGTCGATGTCTTGGCCGGGTGATGCGCGGCCAGTGGCTAGACAACTAATATGGCCTCATGTTTGCTCTGAAAGCGGCCTACACGGGCATTTCAGGCTCCCCGTCCACAACTATCATGCCGTGCTTTCCCTGATATGGAGAACATCTAGCCGGTTGCCATCCTGATCTTTGGAGAAAGTCTGAGTCGGCGAGGCGAAACACTTCTACTTTGAGCGGACGACAGGTCTTCACCATTTCTTTCTCGCTAGCGGCACCAAATCCCCATAATGATAAATCTCCGCCTGGGCATGTACCTAGCGTGTAATGTTAGATGAGTTCAAACATGAAAAAGCCCCGTGGGCAAGAGTTCGTGGTGAAATATACTCAGCCCAAAAAGAACATCCTGTTCAGCAAGGAACTCGAGATAATCCTCGCTATTTGCCGGGCAAGGGTTCATGAAATACCGGCCCTCAGCGTCCAACCCAGTGACCTGGAAGATGTTGATTACATCATGGATGTCAGACTCAGCCAGTCCAAACGGTAGGACAGCGCGAGTAAGGTTTGAGTGACAATGAAAATCATATTGGCCCCCGCTCAGAACCGCGTTGATGTACGGATCACATCGTGTACCGAGCAAATCGTGCACCCGACCTCCGTGCTCATCTTCCCCATACCAGGCCAAGCTGTCGGCAATGATTGTGACCAACGGCCGCATGTATGGGAGGCAAGACCATAATCTGTCATATGTCGACACATGAGTGGCGTGTAGTTGTCTTGTTCGCGAAGCCCAAAATCGCTCCCGGGGATTGTGCACATTCCAAATATTCAGGTCGCCAACTTGGGGGCCTTCCGGGGTGCTGATGCGAACGATGCTACCGGCCGGTGCCTTCCAAGCTCGGCCGGATCGAATGGGCAACACGAATTCCTCGACAAGCACACGGCGCGCTTTTTGGATGGAGGAGTAAAGAGCTTTATCGACCATCAACGGGGAATGGGCAGTCGGGAGATATGCCGGGACCGGGGTCCGGATCGGGTCCCTATCCCTAAGGCGGTCCGCGGTGTCTTCCCGAGATTCCATTCGGTAAGTATTGCGCTGTTGTCGTAATTAACGTCGGTAAACGGCGGGCTGTATTGAAAGCGGTTACCAGACACCAAATCCTCTGGGTTTGCTGTCTGCCGAAACTCTGGACACTCCATGTACCACACCAATTATTAATTCTGTGGTGAATCGGACAAGCAAGCGTTTCCCCGCATTAAAATGCGAGGAATAATTACCGGTAAACAAGTTCCGGCCCGGTGGACTTGCCGGGCCGGGCTCGGTCCGGGTTGTCCCGCCCAATCGGACTTGGATAAACCGACGACTTAAGCTTAGAAAAACTTGGGGTAAAGAACTGAACTGTGAACGTGGTTCTTTCCTAACTCACATTATTCAGGATCGACCCGGGTAGAGAAAGGGCGATGTATGCAAATTAACAGAGAGGAAACCGTCCCTTTCCGCAGTGTGTTCTTTCCTTTGGGCTTGCTGTACGCGGTGCCCGCATGCTGCAGTTTTATTTGAGAGGCAGCATCCCGTAGCCTCCAGTATATTCGGGTACCTACCAAAACCGGAATGCAGAGGCGCTCCCCACCACAACAGGTTGTTTGCTACCTAGGTACTTTTGGGCAGTTCTGCGGTTTAAGAACCCACATTCCTCCCGCGCCACTCCTTAATCCCTTTGCCCAAATTAAGAATTACTCGCCGTTACTAGTGCCATTCCCAGCATCTGCCAAGCTTGCAGTTTCACCATTTTCCACTCTCGGCCTTCCTAATTTCGGTGAAATGGACTCTAACCAGGACTCCTCAGATCTGGCCAAAACGGGTTCTCCGATGGTTGACAACAACGCCAGAGATTTGATTGAAGAGCATATCTTTCCAAAGTTAGATCCCGACTTCCTGGCGTACTTTTCTAGTCTCAAAACCCGGTCGCCGACAACATCGTACGCACCAATCGAACATGTTCGCGCAAACCCCGAGGCAACTCAATCGCCTTGTTCTCTCGATGCATCCAAGTATCCTGGCGTGAAGAGCTCTAGTTTTGCTTCAGAAGATGGGGCTCATATACCCGTGCAGCTGTACTATCCCGATTCAGACACACACGGCCTTGGGCCATACCCAGTGCATCTAAATTTCCATGGTCAGTGCCTCCGTGAAGAACTCTAGCCCAGAATACTTTGAAGCTAGCTGACCAAGGGTTGGAATTAGGTGGGGGTTTTGTGATTGGCGATCTCAAAACTGAGGCTACACTTTGTCTCAGCATGCGCGAGGCGGGAGTCGTGGTGGTGGATGTTGACTATCGCCTATGTCCAGGTAAAACAAACCCACTGATCAATTGCCACCGTTACTACAGAGGATTGACGTTTCCGAAAGAGAACGCATGGGGAACGGGTATTCAGGATGCATGGAATGCGCTCAGTTGGGTACGTACTACTTTCCCGATTCCTACATAATATGTTTAGCTAATCGACTGGCTCGCCCAAATTGCAGGTTCGAGAGTCGGCCGACACGTTAAACATCAACGCCCGCTCCATCTCAATTGGCGGAGTTTCAGCGGGTGGGCACATTTCCCTGGTGCTGCAACATATGGCCCGGGATGCCGATGTTCCCTTGAAGCTTTGCATGGCGTCTGTGACCCCAGCAACGAAAGGATTAAGCTACAGATACTACACCGAGTCGCCGTTCTCGTCCTTCCATGAGTTTTACCGTGGACCCGTGTTGCCGTGGGCACGGATCAAATACTTTGGATGCTTTTGCATGCCGCCGGAGAAGCTCCCCGAGCTCCAGAAGATGTGGCCCGGCTGGTGGTTTGAGCCACTAGACGCCCCAAATTGGAGTAACCTTTGTGATACCTTCATCAGAACCGCCGAAGTAGACCCCTTGAGAGATGAAGGAGAAGCTTACGGCATGAAACTTGTGGCCGGCGGCAACAAGGTTACAATCAAACGTTACCTCGGATGCCCGCATACCTTCATGTACATTTCCTCCATGAAGCGAAAACAAGAATATGACCGTGATGCGGTCGAGGCTCTGCGTGTTGCACATGGCTTGGCCTGACGTGGGATAACAACACGCTGGGTAGCGGGGGCAAGGCGGTTCGTCAAAACACTTTACTCGGGGAGGGTTTCAAAACTGGGTGTGAAAAGGTGGCATTGTATGTAGTTATTTTTATTTCCCGAAATTCGTGGTTCAAAATTCGGAAGGAATTATGGTTTTGTCCGTGAAGCGCGACGTGTATGTGGCCGTTCGGAAATGCCATGTCAGCACCAGGTGGGGGTGCGGGCCGGGCTCTTGGAACATCCTACCTACCCAGGTACATTCTCGAGTTGAGATTGTATTCATAGCTTGATTGGGGATAACATTGATTCCTGAAGCCGAGCCCATTAATTCATGATACAGCTCGCAATATTCAGTGATTAAAATACCCCAAACTTTGGTCGGTGATGAAATTCCCCGCCATTCTCTTCAACAGTTCAGTGACTGGTCAACGTGTGTGGCAGGATGATCAGCCGGGCCGAGGGCTGGGTCCGCCACGGGCACCGGGTTTAGTCTCAACCCAAAAGTGGCCGTCTTGGCTACTGTTATCTGTTTCGGTGGGTGCATCGCTCGTATCCAGAAACCCGCGTGATATTCACGTCGATATGGAGCGAAATTCGCACAGCCATTGTGAACATGCAAAACCCGGATGACAAGGAGTCCGGCTTTGGTATGAGGTGACTTAACTCTGTATATATTCAGTCCACTTACCCCCAAATGCGATTTTGGACCATTAACTATACTTTCCTTGCCCCTCCATTATTCAGCTGTACATTCGCACCCATCCTTTCATTACCGACATCACACAAACCCCTTAAGAAACACCGAGAACGATGCTGCGCTCCGTTTTTATTGTTGTACTCTCCGCCTGCTCTTCAGTCTTTGCAGACCAAAAATTCAGCAATGAGGGGACCTTGAAGGGTTGGGAAGAAACCCAGACTGAGCACAACGGCAAACTCGAAGAGGTTACGGACGTTTTTTTCGATAAACCTCCCGCGCTTCGTATGACGCAGACATTCGACGCCTCTTATACCGGCCGGTACCATTCCGAGGTACGAGCTTTGAACGGGTATAAGCATGGTGACGCGTTGTTTTATGGATTTGCCTTTCAGCTGCCGCCTGACTGGCAGTTTGATCCTGCTCAAAGTTATAACATCGCACAATTCATTGCCCCATTCGATAAATGCGACAGCTTCATGCCAAGCACCATGGTATGGATGGAAGGAACCAAGTTATTTACACGCCTTAAGACTGGTAGCGTTTGCAAGCAAGAAACAAAGGAACTTCCGTTGGACGTTGCGGTCACCGCTGGTCAGTGGCACAAGATCATTATCGGAGCCCAGTGGGCGAGCGACAACTCTGGATTCTTTCGCTTCTTCTTTGACGGAAAACAGGTGTTAGACGAAAGCAACGTCGCCACGACCGTGTCCGAGGATGTCACATTCCAATTTCGCGTGGGGTTGTACGCCAATGGATGGCACGACGACAAGGGAATGAAGGGGAGCCAGGGCGTCAGGCAGGTTTTCTTTGACAAGGTCGCGATTGCGACAACCCAAAATGAGGCCGACCCTGATCTCTGGTAATTAATCGACGGATGACCGGTCGCCATCCCGAGTACGAAAATGGGGCGGAAAGAAGAAGACGAAGACTATAAAACACACCAACTAGTTTCACACAATTATGCACTGGTTGTTTAATCGCACTCAAACAAAGATTCCCTGTTCACAATTTTTAAATATTGATCAGTTGTATCTGCCTCAAGACAAACCCAAGAATCCAGAATGAAGCCTCGCTACAAAAATCAGTTAATTCGACAGTTTGTGTATGACTTGGGCTTTGTTTCCTCGTTGGGTCGGCTCAGTCATGCCCCCTAACCGAGTGCCTTCATATCCGCCATCTAAACTGCTGGGTACTCCTCTCCCTGGTCCCACTGTGCCTCCGTTAATAACTAATTTTGAGTTTCTGGGCGAGTATGTGGAGCTTACATGCTCAGCGATGCAGCCAGCCTCCCAGCGGAAGCGGTCAACCACCTCTCCAAACCCCCCACTCTTGTAGTTAACCCAGGACATGTCTTCGGCAACGGTGGAACGAATGTAAGTAATTGAGGAACTATCCCAGAAAGGGCTGAGAATATCCCATGCTGATTGGGAACCATTCTGAGCGGCCGGATTATGGTTCTGGATGATCGAGCTGTCAGCAGTTCGTTGATTCCGGATCGTTCTGATGTTGGAGCTGGGAAGGGCCTACAATGTAGTCCTCGGCAATGTACTTGAATGCTTCAAACAAGCTCTTTGATGGCCCAACAAATGCATCAACAAACGCATTAAACCGGGCCACTGTTTCCTCCTGCGACGGAGGTGGATCAATCCGGACACAGGGAGTAGGGGCCCCGTTCGCTTGTCTGACAGCAACGTAGCCTAGTTGACGAGTGCGAGTAGCCACCGCAGTCAACGGGGCGACAAGGAGTGCAACGACGCAACAGGTGGAGGATAGCATCTTTGAGCAATTGAAGTTGAAACGGCGACACAAAAAGATTACCCTAGCCGGTAATTAGGACTTTGTTTTGTGAAAGAAAGAATACTGCCAAAAGTTGGAACCGGTGGCCCTGTTGTTATCCCCATTTATCTGCGTGGGTGTCAAAGCTTGCCGGGGCCTGGGCAATCTAAGACCGTCTCATCCCGTTCTATTTTACCAGGCTTGGGGTAGTTAGATTCGGCAATATTCACGGGCTATTAAAGAGCGGAGAATCTCAATGCGGAGAAAATGAGCACCCCGCACCGACAAGGCCGATTGTGTCAATAGTGGCAGGAACCAAACTAATATGATCCATAATTATGATTGAAGTCGGTGCCAGACTTCCAGGTCGGATGTGGTCCGTATGCCCGCCCTTGGAACAAGGAGCGGCATGGAGCAAGTGGAAGCAAGCCAACCGGTGGGCGAGTTCGAAACCGACCTCAGCATTGCAGGCTAGGTCGTTACGGGTGATAACCTTGTCCAATTGAGGATTTAGTTCTCGTGCAGAATTTGATCCTAGGTTTAAATTTCTACACAACAAGGACATTGTCTGTCGGAATGCGTCCCATAGAAATTCACTTCATCAATATACAGCCAGCACGCTCGCACCAAAAGGGCGCCAGCGCGGTCTATGATTATGTAGACGTGCGTTTGTTGTTCAGAGCTAGCTGACTTAATTACTTGTGGCGCATAATTACTTTGGTAAGTAAGGCAATTAGAGCTTCAATCGTACAAGCGCGGGACATTTTCTCCGAGATGATTACATCTGTAATACCGATGTAACGTCTCAGGGATCCAACTGGCAATCAAGCAGCCCAGCCATCCGAGCAGGGCAACTGAGACGTTCTGCCTCAAGATTCTCGAGGTCTCGACATCATTTTCAGGGCCTAGACGCCGGTCCCTAGTGCCCAAGTAAAAGCCAAGTCGTATATGAATATCCAAACGCCGGCAGACGACAACGGCAGGAGTTGAGCTTAGTTTAGCTAGCCCTAGCCAGCCCATTTGGCCGAGTTGCGTATTGTTCTAGGGCAAGTTTGATAAAAGAATCTCTGGATGGCTCGTTCATCACCAATAACAGGGGTGTTCGCAGGTTGAGCGGTTACGATTTCATGTCACTGTCGTCTGTGGGGACACTGCAATTGAATGCTCATCTGTCTCCTGTAGTAATTAATTTACAAGCCAAACTGAAGTTCTGTAATTATCAATCTCACTAATTAATGTTTCGGAAATGAACTACATCTTGGCTCGTTGCTATTGTTGGGACCAACGGGTACAAAATTGACGATTTATCGGATTACCATCCGAGGGTTAAGTTGAGAAGGTTGTTTGCTTACTCACCTTCCCTTTCCAGACAACGAAGAACAAAATCAGGGCCGTTTGATACGGTCTGATAGCTCCAGTCGTATTTTAAGTGGGTCCTGCGCTTCACGAAATCCTGACTTACTCTTGCGTCAATTGAATCATGTCTTGATGGAATTTTCACTTGCAGTAATTACAACTCACTTCCCGCACTTTTTTGTACTTTGTCTAACACGTTTATTGAACAGCGCGTGCTCTAGGTGTGCTTGAGAGAACTCGAATCTCTGATCAACGAGGTGTGCTGGCTGCCGGAGCGAGAATTGACCATGGCCTCGCAAGGCGGCCGTCCGTCGTCCGAGTTGAGCACAGACACACCGCCTCCAGGAGCTCCGGTTCGTCCCAACCCAGGAACTCTCAAAACCGATCTCGACATCGAAGCCGTCGCGCCGGAACAGCCCACATCCTCAACACATTTGAAAGCTGGCCCCGCAATCGACTACACGACGATTGTACATGGGGCTCAATTCGAAAATGAGACAGTCGCCGCCCCCACTACCGTCGAAGCAACGCACCTTCGCCGAGGGCTGGCACAGCGCCATCTTTCCATGGTTGCCATCGCTGGCTCCATTGGAACGGGCCTTTTCCTTGGACTTGGCGGGGCCGTGCAAGTTGGCGGCCCGCTAGGCGCGCTGCTTGGCTACGCGATTGTTGGCCTCGTGGTCTGCTCCGTCCAGTTCGCCCTCGGCGAGGTTGCCGCACTGATGCCCGTCACGGGATCCTTTGTACGCCATGCGGAGACTCTGGTAGATCCAGCATGGGGGTTTGCAATTGGTTGGAATATGGTGTATGGGAACCTGTTGAGCATCCCGAGCGAGGCAACGGCCGTGGTGGTGCTAGTGCGATTTTGGTGGGAGGATGTCAACGCGGCGTGGATTATTGTGGTGTTTATCGTGTTGACGGTCAGCGTGGGGCTGGCATTTGTGCGGGTTTTTGGCGAAGTGGAGTTTGTCTTCGCTTTGATCAAAATCTTGTTGGTCATATTCCTCATCATCTTGGGACTGGTCATCAACTTGGGGGGGATTCCAGGGACTGAGAGGATCGGATTCCGGTATTGGAGGGATCCTGGGCCCTTTGTTGAGTACATCGCGACTGGAAACTGGGGAAAGTTCTTGGGCTTTTGGGCGGTCATGACGGGTGCAGTCTTCTCATTTGCAGGAGTCGAATCCTTGGCAATGGCTGCTGCCGAAACCAAGAATCCGCGCAAGGCTATCCCCCGGGCTTGCAAACGAGTATTTGCACGGGTCGTCATCTTTTATATGCTGGCCGTCCTGGTCGTCGGCATGCTGGTTCGGAGCGACGACGACCGTCTTGATGGATCGGGCAGCAGCGTGGCTCAGAGCCCATTCGTGCTCGCTGCGTCGCAGGCGGGCATATATGCGATACCCTCAGTTGTCAACGCTGTTGTGATCACTTCGGCATGGTCGGCTTCGAATCAGGCACTGTTGGCAGGCACCCGCGTCTTGTATGGGCTGGCCGTGAAGGGACAGGCGCCCAAATTCTTTCTCAGGACAACGCCCTGGGGCACACCCTACGCCTGTGTGCTACTGTTCGGGGCTTTCATGTTTCTCAGCTTCATGAGCCTATCAGAAGCAGCTATCACGGTGTTCTGGTGGTTGGTGTCGTTGACAGCGGCGGGTGTGTTGGTTTCTTGGTCGTCCATCTTGCTTAACCACATACGCTTGCTCCAAGCTTTGAAGCGGCAACGCATCGAGCCAAGTCGCTTACCGTGGCACAATTGGTGGACACGTAAGTACCCCTGATGTCTCTGTGTGACCAACCTTTGCTAACCTTTCGGTAAGGGTATTCCTCGCCGGTCGGCTTGTTTATGTGCATTCTTATCCTTTTTACCGGGGGATTCGCCGTGTTCACCGCAGGCAATTGGGACCCTGCGCAATTTGTTTCGTCATATCTGTGAGTACCCCGTCTCTCTCTCCGGCCCTTTCAGTAGCTGCGGGACGTGCTGACACTGGCGGAACCAGGGACATCCCCATCGTGGTCACCGCATACCTCGGGTGGAAACTGATTAAGAAAACGAAAATTGTGTCGCTGGATGACGTTCCACTCCAAGAGGCTCTTGCACGAGCAGAGGAATATGACCCAGAAGAAGAAGTTCCCAAACAAAAGGGCTGGACAAGGGCAGTGAGCTGGATTTGGGATTAAGACGAGGCGGCTCAACTAAACGGACAACCCTATTGAATTCTCAGGCACCATGGGGAGTCAAGAATAAAACACGCTGTGTCGTCCCCTGGCGTCGTAGGGAAAATGATTGAGCTTTGAGGGCCGTCGACCAATCACTAAATTGATGTTGCCGTTCATGTGGGGACAAAATATTAGATTACCACTACACCACGGGGGGGCACACTAGTTCCCGGCGACCAGGAAATTTTTTGGAATTGCCCGGCGGCAAAGGGGCGCTAAACTTAAATTGAAATCTTGCGGGGAAATCTGGAGAGTTCCCCACAATGTTACCGTCACTTGCATGATGCATCTCACCCAACGTTTTATTAGAGACCATGATAATTAAGAGGAGGAAAGCCTGGCGCCGTCGGAGAGAAATATCTAGCTTACGGGGTATGCCAAAGGCGTAACAAGCTGGGGAATACCCAATGTCACGTTTTCGATGCCAGTTATATAAGAAGCTGGTTACGAAACCCGATCAAGCGAGCACAAAGCAACTCAGCTCGTGTTAAGAAATTTCGCCCCACGATCACCCACTAATCTCTTGCAGAAAAGTACCCAAATCAGGCCGTGTTCTCCTTAGTCTCAACAGTCCCACGCTTTTCGTTGAATCCGGCATCCTCGAAAGTCTCGTGTTGGACGGCTTTCTCTGCGGCGGCCACGGCCTCGTCCGCCAGACGCTTGTCCTCGAAAACTATCCAGTGTTAGAAGGAGACGCACGAATCTCGTTATGATGGGGGGAAAGAAACCTGAGACGTACTGAAGGCAAGTTCTTCCAGGGTGCGGCCGTGAGTCTCGGGGAACATGAAATAGACGAAGAGTACCTCGTATGCGAGCCAGCAGCAGTACGAGATAAGATATTTCCAGCCAACGCTGTCGAGACCGATTGGGTTAACGAAGGTTGTGAAGAAGCTGGCGAGGCGACCGAAGAGCTGGAACACGGCGATACCGCTGGAACGCTCGGCGTACGGCCAGATTTCCACCATGTAGGCTGTGTCGTGTTAGCACGCATGGAGGTGCACGCAGAAAGGGGGTGCCAAAGAGGACACGAATGGGGTGAACGGCGCGACTTACTGTAAGTGAGCGCATTGTAACCCATGTTATAGCAAGGCGAGTAGGCGTAGATGAAGAACAAGACCGCAATGTTGGCAGCTTGGTTCGGGACCCCGGCGGCGACAGCGGTTTGGGCACGCTCCATGGAGATCGTCCAAGCAATATAGCAGAGTAGCAGACTGATCGTGCAGACAAGGTACATCACACGGCGGCGGATCTTTACTACAAGAAGCGAGACGACAACGCCGCAGAACAGACTCCAGCAGGCAATTGAAACGTTGATCTTCTGGATGTAGGTCGAGTCTTGAAAACCAATGAGCTTGAGGAGGTCCCCAAGGTAATAGCTATTTGGAGAAACAAGTCAGCCGCTGATGGGTCAAGATGGCAGGAGCTGGGAGCGGAGCAAGCTTACGAGATCAAGGTGTTTCCGGACCACTGAGTGAAAAGGCCGAGCATAGTGGTGATTAGCAGACGACGGCGCATACCCGAGGTCTTGAAGAGATCCACCCAAGACTTCTTCGAGTTCTCGAGTTCGATACGGATGGTGGTTTGCATCTGCGCGAATTCGGCGGCGACGAACTCAGCGCCACGATCGGTCTCTCCGTGGTATTTGGCAAGAATAGCCTGCGCTTCCTGGGACCGGTCCTTTGTAATGAGCCAACGGGGGCTTTCAGGGAGAAAGCTAACGGAAGAAAAGGTTAGCAATGCGCTGTATAGTTCAAGATGGAAACGAGGAGCACATACAAGACAAAGGACAACTGGATAAGCGAGGGGCAGATCTGGAGGAGCGAGGGGATTCTCCAGGCCCAGTCACTCTTGATGCTGTTGGTTCCGAAGCAGATCGCGGCCGCAACAATTTGCCCCACAAAGTACGACACGTTGAAGAGAGACGTTAGGACGGGGCGCTCTTTGGGGTAAGCAAGCTCGCCGATGAGGGAAGATCCGGAAACGATGCAGGTTGGGATTCCGAAGCCGAGGATCATGCGAGCCACGATATACATGCCAACTGTGGGTGCCCACGTTAGATTCGCCCAAACGGCGATTAGGGGGAGATCCAAAGCTTACCGTGAACCGAAAAGCCCTGAATAAGAGCTCCAATGACCATGATGACGGAGCCACCAAAGATGGACCACCGGCGACCGAAACGGTCATTGATCCAGGGAATCAACGGCAGAGAAAGAATAGCACCCAAGGAGTATGCGGCAGCAATAATGCCCTTCAGCGCACCCGCGGGGTGACCAAAGTCTAGCAGCGCAGGTGTTAGTCCAATGTATCCTTGAGAGCCTTAAGCCGTGCTCTTCATATGGCCACTCTGTGGAAACAAGGGTATCTTACAGTTTTGCCATGGGTCAACAATCTGCAGGGCATTGATCATTTGCGAGTCAAAACCAGATGTCAACTCGATACCCATACAAGTCGGGAACAGCATCAAATAGAGGTAGAGCAAATTCGGCTTCTTGTAAAACGGCTTCTTGTCCTCGTTGGCTAGCCGGGTGATGATGGGGTCGGACTTGCCGACTTCGGCGTTGGTGGCGGAACCGACTGCCATGGTCGCGGTTTTCCCTTCGCAAGTCTTGACGGTGGGGGTGAAAAGGGTCCCTGGGGAAGGTGTCGACGTGAGTTTGGGATGAGGGGAGGAAAGACGAGAACGCAAGGGAAACGCGAATCGCGGAAGGCCTCGGTCTTTATTCCCAAGCTCGATCAACCACATTCACGGGTCCAATATACGGCAACTACAGGGGCAAGCCCGCAAGCATGGCATGGCGTCGCCTTTCCCACCGAATTCCGAGTTCCAGGAAACGGCCTTGGCTCTGCTGCTCTCCCTGCCGTGCCCTATTACCCCAGCCAGTGAGCGGGATGCGGGTTGCATGTCGCCCGGCGGACGGAGCTGACGGCAACATGGTTGGTCAGAGAAGACAGCTTCAGCGGAAATGCAAGGTTGTGGGAGCGAGCCGAAGGTTTGCTCTTGCGCTGGAGTTGTCACGCTGCGGCGTGATCCCCCAAATCTCCGAAAAACGAGGTCGAAACGCAGGGGTGGGAGCGCATGGGGGGAGCCCCACCTGCGCGCGTGGTGGTCTGGGGGAAGGGGGCGGGGGGGTTGACTTTCGTTTCTGGGGGTGGAGGTCGACGCTTTGATGCGCGAGCGACGACTTCACCTGACAACTCCGATTCCACCACGAGAGAGCACCTGATGTCGAAAGTTCCACCCGAACATCCAGACAGAACAAGCGAAAGGAAGCGAGGGTGTGACCCTGGGACACCACCGCCCAGGGCCAGCCAACCGTCGCGTTGTCGCCTTGATTAACTTGGCTCCATGGAGGCTCAGGGGTAGCAGGGTTGGCAGCTGTTGGCAGGCCAGAAACTTCTCTTGCCGCACTGAAGTGGTGGTGCCCAGGCTTGGCGTAAACTTGGCCGTTGGGGGGCGCCCCCCAGAAGCCCTGTTGCCACGCTGCTCAATTGGAGGAATTGGGGAAAACGTCGGCCGTCTTGTCCGGGTAAATGCCACGCTAAGAACACCAAGGCGGCTTCTTCGCAATTTTGTCCCGCTAGCGCGAAGCGAGACACCCCCCAATTCGTCGTGTGTGCGTCTGTCGAGGTCTGTTGGAGCAAGCGTCCCTCCAACAAATATGATAATTTTGCTGTGTCTGCGCCCTCATGGCACGGCATGCTGGGCACACCAACCTTTCATGTTTGCCGTCTGACGGATGGCTCTCTCGGCTTCTCTCCTGTAATCGGTCCGCAGGCCATCCAACAAGCTGGGCGAGCGACTTGGCAGGCGGAGAGCCAAGAACCTAAGCCAGATCGATCACCATCAAGCTCATCTTTGACCAACAAACACCGATCTAAGGAACCCGAGAGAAGTTGAGAAACCGCCCCTCAAACCAGACCAATAATTCTTCGGTGCGACAGGAAAGCCAACGGCAACATGGGCTGCACCGCGGCTGACACATGGCCGCGTGCCTTCACAGGGAGAGGCCCACTGAACCCGTGGTAATTCACCGTCCCCGCAATGTTTCCCCGCAACATTTCCCCGCCTCGTCTATAAATTGCATCCTGCCCTTGTTCCCTCATTCGGAACAGCGGGGCCATCTCCAATCAGCAGAGCATGGTCCATTGGTCTCGCATGGCAACAATGATTGACCCGCCCCAACAGCTCCAACAGCGTGGGAAGCGGGCTCGCTTCGGCGTCGCAATATAATTCAATTAATTAATTAATCAGGCATGAATTACCAGGGTGCCGTGGGGCTGATGGGACTTCACGAATGTTCAAGACTTCGAAGGCTAACCTCACCTCATCTCGACCCTTTGCACATTTGACATGCCCAAGAAACTGTGCGGTACTGCACATGCAAAGGTTCAGCTCGGCCCGGCAAATGGTTTCGGGTGCGTCGAGGCTCACTACCTGTACTTGTCAGTGCCGAACGCCCGGTAAGTGTCCCGGACCTGAAAAGGCCCAAGGCGCCATTCAAAACGCCATAAGTCACCCCCGCAACCCCGATAGCGCTAAGACTCGCCACCAACGACGACGCCGCGTTGCCGCTTTCCCTTGCGCGAACACTCGCTGTGCCAAGGCCATCCATCGTCCTTGGCCGCATCAAGCCTTCGGGCCATCCGATTTAGGCGATGTTGGAGGACGCAGCAAACAGTTCACAGAAACCAATGCCCACCACACCTTTGCGGAACACAGCCAAAAGAAGAAGAGGAGCGCATTAACCTTCCGCCTGGGCAACGGAATCTGTCCCTGAAGCGCCGAGGGTTGCAAACTGATCTGCCCTGATATCCCCCTCGTTGAGCAAGCGGACGTTGCGAACCGCTTCCTACCGCAACCTGCCCCGAAACATGCCCCCCATATCTAAGGTTTGAACAACAAGCCGATGTGGGACCCCTTCTCTTTAAGCCTTCTCCAAGTGCCTCCCTTCTTCTGGCCTCCCTCGGGGTTCAAGATCGCCGCCGGTTCCGAGCTTTCTGCCTGTTCCAAGATGTTTCCCACCTCTGACTTCTCCCGCAGCGTCAATGTGGATCGCAATCGACGAAGGTTCTCCTTAACCCAACCAAGCTTCGTGTTCTCGTCGGTGGCGTCAATTTGGGTCGCTCTCCTCTGCTTCTCCATTCCCATGTCGAGGACTCTGCTTTCATTAGACGGGCCGATGGCCTGAGAATCATCCTGATTCCGGGATTTCGCTTGGTCTATAGGCGACTTCGTCATCTCCTTGGCCTTCTGTCCCTTGTTGCTATTCTCGTCTTCAGGGTGCTGAAGTTGCAACTGCATCCTCTTCAACTCATCGGACATCTCACTGCCTGGCTTCGTTTCTGCGTTAGACGCTCCCTTGTCGTGCTTCGCTGCGTGACCGGATCCAGAGGGCGCATTCTAGTCGTCCTCCTCTCCTTCACTTTCGGATCGAGCTAACTCAATCTGTCGCTGATGCTGCTCATAGGCTATTTGGAGGGTGTGCTTCTTCCAGACCTCCCGTCCTTCAAAGTCCAGAATACCAAGCCTGCCAGCATCGTCGATCATATTGTCCCAGTCGGCGGGCATGAACGCGTCTTCGTCAGGAATGGGGGTTGTCGTATCGTCGTCAGGGGGTTGGCCATCAAAAATGTCTCTGAGAGCCCCCGCGGCTTGCTGGCCTGCAAAGAGCTTCTGGACAGCGTACCGGATTTCAAGAAAGCGAATCTCCGGGAGCCGCCGTTTTTCGTAATCAGATGTCGACAATTCGTAGACATCCCCATGGCAGAGGAATTCATTTCCAATCCTCCCGTCCACACTTTCCACCACTCTTCGGCCATCTGAGAGGTCCGCTTGTGTTTCACGGGTGCGCTTTTCACCAAGACCAATCTCAGCATTCCAGTCGTTAAACCAAACCACCTGCAAGTACATTTTGCTTTGCGGGTCTGTTTTGTGTGGAATGGGGCGGAGACCGAGGCTGTTGCGGTCCCATAGCCGATGCGCTGTAGGCTGTAGCGGCAGGATGTTCCTGTTCTCCTGTCCCGCTATCCCGAGTTGTTGTATTTCCTCCAAAGGCCACATCCGACGGAGCATTTCCCAAAAATTGACAGGCCTCGTCATGGCCTTCGTTGCTTGCACATCGATGATGTGCGCCGCATCAACTTCCTCAACTCCAGTGAGAGGGCATCGGCCATCATACCAATCTAGTACCTCCTTCTGCGCCTTGGTATTTGCAGAACTGCGAGGCGCCGATTCTTTAAGCTGTTTTTTGTTCGTCCAGATGCCGGTGCAAGATCCGGCGTTCGAGGTAAGTTCGGTTTTCACTAGTTGGATATAGCCAAACACCGAGGTTGCCGCGATTGTGCCCACCAGCTGTAAGCCAGCCGGCCTCGAAGAAGGGTCGTGGGCCACAGCCCGGGCTGCTGACAAGATCTTGATTTCTGCATTGATATCTGCCTGAGCGCTCTTGTTGGAAGCGCTATTGCGCTCCAATTTCAGGGCTTGAATCTTCGCGGCGATGGCCGTGGCGAGTTCTTGCCTCAACTCTTCGTATGCGGTCGGGGCTGGGATGTTTGTAGGCGGCGGGGCGACGGCGATGGTAGCCGGCGTGGGCTCATTTGGAGCCCAGTCGAGGCCGTGATGGCCCACGAATCGTCCTCTGATCGGTGGAGGTGGCGACGCCATGGTACGGGTGCTCTGGATTGTAGGGTGGCGGTGGGGGTTCTAGAAGGACAAAAGATTTGTGGAAAGACCAAAGGATTTGTGGAAGGACGAAGGAAGAAAATTTTTCACTCAGCGAGCGAGGGCGGTGAAGAATGACTTGAAGGATCGGAAATCTTTTCACCTAGGTTGGTAGAAGGAACAACCGTGCGATGCCCCAAAATTTTATCTCAGAAGCTCAACCACATCTTTTTATCTCAAAAGCTCAACCACAGCTTTAGGGCTTGACATCGTGCAGAAGTACCGGTAGGGTTAGGGTTAGGTCTAAGAGTGTTTTAGGCAAGATATGACAATGCAGCACCTTCATGAGAATGGAACATTGTGCACCACAGACGAGAGACGGAATATTATTATAGATCGAAGCAGCTATGATCTGGCTATTAGGGAATGAGGGCATTGAACTAGTAATGATGAGCAATACCGATATAGGCCTGCGGGGACTCGTGGACATACGATATTCGCCTATAAGGACAGACATTATCACATCTGTCGCACAGGATGAGTCGTCTTTTCTTGATACTCTGAGTGCATTTAATTGGCAGTAAATTCGGGATCACAGTAACAACTTTTCCCTCCTTTCTTGCTACGTTCCGTAACATCAATAACTCTCATCTCCACACACATAACATGGTATCAACAGGTACGTTAGTTGCTGCCTTCACACTATCATCACTTGACGGTTTCTTGCGAGGAAAGTACCAAAACAATTACTCTAACCTTTTTATGATTCATTATGGCTAACGTGCATTATAAGCGAGTGGGCCATATAAGCGAGTGGGCCACTTTTCCATATAACGCAACACCTATTCTCAATTACCACGCCGCAACATTAAGAACCAACTACAATTACATCGGAAACAGCTGAATCAGACCCTTCTACAACCTCCTGGCACATACAGGCATTATGGCCAGGCTTGCCGCATACACCACAGCACCGAACCTTCGTACGAGCCCCCCCTACACTACCACTATCCGGCTCCTTTTCTTGCGCCACCTCCCCAACCACGGCCTTCTAGTCCAGTAGATCCTTTATATCTTATACTACAAGTAATCCTCTAAGCTATATACGCGTTCTTTTAGCTCTCCGGCGCTTACTAAATGCCTCGTTGGCCTTATAGAGCGAAGAGACCTCAGAGTGTAGGAGAGCCACCTTATACATTATAGCTATCGTACCTTTGGTAAGCTAGTCTATAGTAGCCAACATCGAGGTTAGGGAGCTGTTTTAATAGTTAGTAATACAAGTCTTAATAAATATTAACTACAAATCGGCTTCTTAAGGGTTATAAGGTATCTAGAAGATTTAAGATTATACAGTACCAGGCTATAAGGTTAGTAATATTAGTATAGAAAGCTTGATATCTAGCTTAAAAAGTACCCTCTCTAAATCGTATAGAATAAGGCCTATACCTACGAAGCTACCTTAGATATTGCTCTTGGTAATAGAGGTAAAGAAGGCTGTACGAAAGGCATAGAAGAACTCAAGCTTACTTACGTAGTTGATATATATATATATCAAGTCCTCGATCTAGCAGCCATATACCTGCTTCAACAGCCTAAAGCAGCTAACATCAAGTAGCTAGAGGAGGTAGGAGGAATATAGAGGTATATAGAGTATAATAATATAGTTCTACTTATAATAGAGCTTAAATTCAGTAGAGTAGTAGCTTTCGTAGCTATCGAGGATTAATAACCGGTATTTACCTTTTCTACAAGGTACTATATAGAAGTCGAAGTGCTTGATCTAATCTAGGCCTACTATATTAGTAGTCTAGCCATTATCAGTGGTTATAATATACCAGTCAGCTAGGAGGTTATATTCGGTATACCAATTGGCGAGGTGGTACTATATAGCCAAGATGATAAAGGGGGGGATAGCCTAGCTAAGGGTATTAATACCCTATATCACTATTGCCCACTTACAGTTACCAGGCTAGGCTAGCTTTACCTTACTATAGCTATCTGAGGTTATAACTACTATACCTATAAAGATAATACCTATTATAAACCTAGTCTCGTCGAAGTTATAGATATCGTCCTCTATAATACTATACTTAGCCTTAACGTTCTGTACAAGGGCAAACCACTTACCAACGACCTTCGGGTCTTTATACTTTACCCTCTGGTAGTCGTATCTATATATATAACGCATTCGGAGCTCTAGTTGGCGTTTGACGAAGTTAGAGGCCCAGAGCTTACCAACAGGGGGTATATTGTATATCTGTAGTAGTTAGTTGGCCATATCTTCTACACCAGCAAGCCTTGGTGGAAATGCTCGTTTAGATAGCTTAATTACATATTGAACAATAGCCTTCTCTTCGGAATCGGTAAGCCGGCGTAAGTTGGGCGTAGTATTCTATCATACAAGTCGGCCAGCACGTCGTTGGGTTAAGGTCATACGGGGGACGTTATAGATCTTCGCTGCCTTTTATAGGCTTAGATTTTCGTCATTTTTAAGAGCCTCGAGGGCTAACAATACGCTGGCTTCATTTGAAGTACCAGGCATTTTAGGTTGTAGAGAAAATTGATGTTAAGTATGGAAGTGGCGCGTTACGTGGAAAAGTGGCCCACTCGCTTATATGGCCCACTCGCTTATAATGCACGTTATACGGGTTTCTTCAAGGGGTGCAAAAACAAATAATGGGTTTAGAAGCATGACATTGATAAGGTGTATTAATCGCCGAGGTTTTAGACTTAATTAGGGCTCGCCTAACTAATAACTACGAGTTAACAAGCAAACCAAGGCTGGCATTTCTGGTCGTCGCGGTGGCCAAATGCCATTTTCTCAGCACCCGAGTTACTTCAACCTGCTTCGGTGTAATTACTGGGTCTTCTCCAACGGCAGGATACGTGGTATCAAGGGACTATACACCTGTTTGCACGTATGTTTCTCGTCTCATACAAATGCAACTCCCAAGCTCCATTTTGCACCGACATTTGGCCTGGGGGTCGTCGCAGTACCTCTACACAAGAGCATCCGGAAAATTTCCCTCCCGTTCCGATGGCGACGAGACGGACTCGGATTTTCAGCGAAATATAAGTTATGATTTATAGTTCCAATGTCTTTGGTCCCTCCCGTCGTACAATAGCCATCCCCCCTGATTCATCAATTCCTGTCGACCGATGCTATCCATGTCATGTTCCCACTGCTTTCTCACTTCATCTAGCAGAGCCGGCTGAGTGAGGACATCAATCGCGGTCCCGGCTAAGGCTTTGCCAACTCTAAGAGCTCTCCTGAACGCTTCCCTTGTCCCAGCCGCCCCCTCAAAGTCTGGAGTGTGCGGTTGGCCGGCTTTAGGCCCGGGGGGGATGGCGAAGCTCACGTTGATGCTCGGCATTGCGTGACTAAGATTTCCCTGATCTGTACTGGAGGGCACCCAGGTGAACGATTCCTCGCCAGGCCCCGGTTCCGGGATTGGAGGTTGCGGTGGGTCAGGTATCAAATCCCAATACTTTGTGTACGAGGCCGCAAGGACGCGGTTTGGCATGTGGTCCTCGTATCCTGGCGTCCAAGTAATGTTTATCCCCGACCCGGTGGCCTCAGCACCAGCACGAAAACATGCGCGTACCTTTTGTTGCAGTTCCTCTAGGCGTAAGGCGGTCCTGGTATGCAGCATACACACGCAGGCAGCGTAGGAGTGGATGATATTGGTCGCCTTCCCCCCCCCGTTGGTGATGGCAATGCCAATCACGTCACCCGGCATAGTCTGCTGCCGTAGGGCAGCTACCGCATTGTACGAAATGACGAGGGCGTCGAGAGCGTTGATTCCTTTCCAAGGCTCCTTTCCTCCGTGGGCGGCACGCCCGAAGTATTCCACTTCCAAGCGCGCAAAAGCAGTAGTCCGGACTAAGGGGCTGTTGTGGAGGATACCAGGATGCGAAATGAGCGAGACGTCAACATTTTCGTATGCGCCTTTCTCGAGGAACAGGATTTTCCCTCCTTTATAACCTTCCTCTCCCGGAGTGCCGAACAAAATCACCTTGCCTGCCAACTTGTGGCGTTTCATGACTTCCGCGGTTGCGAGCCCAGCAGCCATCGATGCACTCGCAATAAGGTTATGCCCACAAGCGTGGCCAAGATCGGGAAGTGCATCTGAATCAGCACTCGGGTACATTAGTCCACATCCTCAATAGCTAGAAAGGGACATGATTCTTACCCATCTCAACGTTGAACGAGACAACTGGCCCTGCATGACCACTATCATACTCAGCCACCCAAGCTGTCTCCATGCCGTAGGCCGATGGCATGACCCGCCAGCATGGCCTGAGCTTCAAGAACTCGGTCAAAGCGTTGTGCGCCTTGAACTCACGAAACGCCAATTCTGGATTCTTGTGAATGAAGCTGTTCAGTTCCCATAATGGAACTTCGAGATTGTCGAGGCACTTCTCGACATCATGAAAATACTCGGAGGCCCTAGGGTTGTGGCTTGGATTTTGTTGGGGTTGCTGGATAATGTCTTCTATCTCAACAAAGACGAAACTGTCTTCCTCCATGCTTTGTTTGGGGTGAGCTGTTTCCTCAAACCTGACCTTAAGGCAGTTGTGATCAAATACGATGAGTATACACCTAGGAATGCGTATGGTGTAAAAACCGTCTCGCTCTCTCGTTTTCGGTCAAGCAGCTAAGATGCGGTGTAACCTCATTGATGGACCGGTCAATGTTGCGTGCGGAGCTCAATTGCTCCGAGGAACTTGTCTGGGTAGGATCTGCTAATCTGCCGTCATGCCCCGATATTAGGGTAGAGATGTCCGACGCTCTGAAACATACAATGATTTATTTGCATAAAGCAAGCAAGAAACGGAATCTAAGCCTATAATCAGGTCGTCTTGAACTTGTCAAACAAATCTCACACACTGGCCACGACGCATCTTGTCGTCGAGATGGAAACACACAAACACAATGTGGAAACGACACTCAACTATTGGGACGATCCCGGCGACGGCTCACGCCCGACACCGATCTTTATTGGCCGAGGCAAAGTTACCAACAAACGGCCTCATCGTCCCCACGACTTTGTGGTGGCAGACATCACCGGTGAGGAAGACCGATATTCTCTCGACACACACGGGTTCCAGTTTTGCAAACACGAGAGCAAGGAGGAACGATTCACCGACGATCAAACCATTCAAGCGGCCTACTACGAAGAATGTCGGCAACTGCTCATAGAGCTCACGGGAGCTCGTCGAGTGCACATCTTCAACCACAAGGTGCGCCGCGGACCGACGCAATGGCACCACCTGGGACTCCACGGAAACAATCTTGCCAACCGCGGCCCTGTTACCAGAACGCACGTCGATCAGTCATATGCGGGGGCGGAGCTCCGGCTGAGATGGGAATTCCCGGATGCCAAGGAAGCTGATGCATTGTTGAAAAGAAGGTATCAAATTATCAATATCTGGCGGCCCATCGAGACCGTCCTCAAGGACCCTATCGCGGTGGCCGACGCGAACTCGGTTCCGGACTCAGATCTAGTCGGTGCGGTGATGGTGGAGGAGGACTTTCATGGAGAATCGTGGGTGGTCCGGCACAATCCCAATCACCGGTGGCATTTCAAATACCGAATGACGCGGCAAGACGTCCTTCTCATCAAGTGCTTTGATTCCGAAACGTCCTTGGCACGGAGGGCTTTGCACTCGGCTTTTGAGGACCCGGAGTACCGCGATGAGGCGTCGCGGCAGAGCATCGAGGTCAGGTGCCTTGTTTTGTATTGAATTAGGAAGTCTGCGGTCTTGGCCTGCTTTGCCAGGTTACATGCATCGCCCATTCAGAGGCTGGGAGCCAGTTCTGAGTAGGCCAAGTCTTCTGATAATCAAAAATGGCATTCAATGTCACGCCAACTCCGTGTTCCGTTGCTTTGCGGTGATCAGAAACCGCAGTTTTGCCGGAAGGAATGTGCGGGGGTTCCCTTAACACCGGCACAATTCGGTCGTTAGGTTGCAGAGGATCCTATGATGGCCGTGCGATTACTGAAAGCAGGCAGTTGCCGACCACGTATCTGTATTGTCTGGGACAATGCAACACCCCTCACCCACCCGCTCTTCTTGAACGGGCCCTTCATACACGCGTTGCACAATATCTCTCGGCGTCTCGGGTTAATATCTGATCGTTCTCATCAATTGCCGAATTGAAAACGCCCGGCATAGAAAAAAGGGGTTAGGGTATAATATGGGACAAAGAAGCAGGTTGCAGCTCCCATGGTACCAATACAAGTCCTACTTAAACCGCCGTACCCCTCGGCTGATTCGGGTTTTGTATCGTAAGCCAGGTGTCTCTCGATTTTATTTTTATTATCTACCCAGGCCCCCCACCCGCGAACTTCAGCGACGCTACCCTCTTCGCAATGACTGACGCCCCGGAAACCGTCGAATGGCAGGGCAAGCAGGTCCCGGTCTGGTCCATGAAGACCATTGACTACGGCTTGCTGCTTTCTCAAGACCCGGCCGAGGTGGAGAAGGTTGTCAAGGCGTGTTTGGAGGAGGGTTACTTCCAGCTCGACCTCGATAGCATTGACGGCCGTGGAGTGCTTGACAACCGGGAGGAGGTTCTCAAGCTCATGAACCGCTTTTTTGCCGCGCCGATTGAGGCCAAGAATGAGTACGGGCTAATTGACTCCCACCTCGGCTACGAGCCGGTCGGCAGCCGGACGGGCGCTTTTGGTGCCGGAACCAAGGATGGATATGAGATGCTCAAGGTGTCTCGTGACGAAATCCAACTAGGCAGCCCCCGGGTTCCCTCTCCGATCAAAGACAGCGGCGAGCTGCGCATTCTGGAGCGCGCCATCGGTAGCTGCAACACCGTCACCAAGGTCATTCTTGCGGCTCTCTCCACGGGCATGGGCCTCACTGGTGCCGAGCGATTCGAAAACTCGCACCGCAACGACAAGCCATCGACCACCACGCTCTCCATGATGCATTATCTCCCTGCAGAGGAAACGGGACAACACAAGATCGGCCACCAAAAGCACACCGACATCAGTTCCTTGACCCTGCTCTTTAGCGACCAGTGGGGTCTCCAGATTCGTCCCCCGGGAGAGTGCGGTGCGCGTGAGATGGGCTTCGTGGCCCCCAAGCCAGGATGCGCCTTCGTGCATGTTGGTGACTCGCTACGGTTTGCGAGCGGTATGAAGTTCCAGTCGTGCATCCACCGCGTGGTCCCGTTCAACCCGACGGAACATCGTTACTCTATCGCCTATTTCCTTCGGGCGCAGGACGACACCATGTTTATGGACAGCGAAGGGCGGTACGTAACGGCTAAGGAGTGGCATGACGAGAAGTTCAAGGCGTTCACAGACCCGCCAGTTTGGCAAGCTATGGCGCCCCGGTCCATGATTTTAGGAGGCATGAAGGAGGATGGTGCTGACGACCGAGAACCCGTGGCTGCGTTTGCACCTGAAGCCATCAAGGCTACATCCGTCGGGGCATGAGCAGGTTTCATATTGGCTGTGTTTCTTCAAGCACTTAGCAGTAGCCTACCTTCCAAGTTTTCCATGGGCAGATATTATTGTCAGATCAAAAAGTCAGCTCACTTGTTCCGGGTTTCCTCAATAACCTTGCTCGAGGGTGTCACGGGTGCGTTGTGAAATATGAATGTTGAGACCACAAGCATTTACACCCATAATATAAGCGGTATCAATGGGAAAATAATATCCCGCAACCCAATCTTGACGGCTGCCTCCGGCCAAGAGAAAAAAGGCCAGGATATCGAAAACAGTGTCAACGATTCGACCAAAGGCGCCAAAGGGGGTTCCAGGAGAGGAGGTGAAGAGGCGAACCTCTAGCACTCGTCACCAAACGTATCCCACAGCGCATGGAGGTTCTGATCACTGGACAGGACTGCTCAACCCAGCGCAGGAGAAATGGCATTCGCCTAAATCAACATCAACAACAGCCGACTGCTCGCTCAGTGGTGTTAACGACGCCTAACCGATCCTGATAAGGTGTCCCCACATCCCCGCGCCGTTCCCCGCCGCTTATTATTATTCCGAAATTTAGCGGGGTTTCATACCACGTCTGTCCACACGTCCCACTGCGCAACGTCGTTTGGTGGGACTAAGACCGGGGCTGGGCAGCCGGGCTGGTCGAGCCGGCAGTGAGTTCAAGGTGTTAAGGCGAGAAGATTGGGATCTGGCTTTGTCAGGGGTTTGTCAATGTTGTAACCGGGTCGATCCTGATTCCATAACTTGTTCATTTTTTCTCCCACCGCGAAACACCAGGGGGGAAGTGTTCTTAGGTTCTTCCTCTTCTACTTGACAATTACCACTAAATCAAGAAAGTTTCGTTCATCGTTATTCTGCTTCTATCTTTCAAGAAAAATGACAGTCGACAACCTCATCAAAACCGATTTGTTGATTGTCGGAGCTGGCCCAGCTGGGGCCTCGCTTGCCTGTTTCCTTGCCGCTCATGGTATGTGAGGATGGGTGTTCACAAGTGATTGCCGGACCAACAGGCCAGGGCGTGAAGTGACTGTACCCAATAACCAATAAAAACTGAGTGCAACTTCGTTGACATGATCCGTCACTCGGGACGGAATGTTCATTGGGAGTCACAAACAAGCATAATTACCGCTAACATTGAGGCCACGGCAGGTAGAAATGGCATCCTAATTGCCAGCGCGCCGGGGACGGCAGAGACACCACGTGCCCATATCACTAACATGGCTGGATTAGGTAAGTGGTGACCGCGGGAAAGGGGGGGTATTCCCAAGCTCATGGTCATCACTATTCTGACTCCGACAGAATGCCTTAGGGATATTGGCCTCGAGCAAGAGTGTCTCGATATTGCCACGCCTAGCCACAACATGTCTCATACAAGGTGGTGTCGTAGTATGGCGGGAGACGAATTCGCAAGAGTCTATTCTTGGGGCTATGACCCGAAGTACAAGGCAAGTCCAGTAGCCATGCTAACCATGTCCAACGTGGACCATCCCTTCTTTGCTCGACGCGATGTATTTGTGGCGGGAACACTCTTGACGCACTGCACTCAAATACTAACAGCTAATTTCCAGGGGAGCTATGAAGCGGCCAGTCCCTGCGAACATGTAGACCTACCCCAGACACTGCTCGAGCCAATATTGACCAAGAGAGCAATCCACAAAGGGTGGTCAGTTCGGTTCAGCACTCGACTTCTTCACCTCAACCAACCGTCACCAGACATGGTGATCTCGGAAGTCATGGACGACTTGACTCAAGCAACGTACAAAATTCAATCTCGATACGTTTTCGGCTGCGATGGTGCGCGGAGCCAAGTTGTACGAGAGTTGGGCATCCCACTCATTAAAAAGCCTGGCCAGGGGTTGGCGTTGAACGTATTGGTGAGGGCGGATCTGACCCATCTCATTGCGAACCGGATTGGCAACCTCCACTGGGTCTTCCGTCCCGAGGAAATGAACGCACCACCATGGGCGTGGGCCGCGATTGTGCGTATGGTACGGCCGTGGAACGAGTGGATGTTCATTTTTCTCCCTGTGCCCGGTGCTGATCTCACTGCCGACGCCATGGACGCGAGTCACGATGAGTACTTGAGTCGGGTAAAGGAAGTTATTGGCGACGACTCGGTCCAGCCCGAAATTCTACACGTTGGAAAATGGTGGATCAATGAAACGGTAGCCGAATACTATTCCGACGGCAACGTGTAACTCATCCCCTTCTTCGTTGCTGCGATATGGGGGATATGGCAAGTGACAAACAATGACTGACGCGGCATGGCACATCAGATTTTGCTTTGGAGATTCAACACACCGACACCCGCCGTTCAATGTGCGCTCCAGCTCAGATCATCCCCTGTTTCAACGTGTCCCGCTAACATAATATCATGTTGCTAGGGGTTAGGTTCCAATACCTGCATCCAGGATGCATTCAACCTCGCGTGGAAAATCGATTATGTTATGTCGGGCAAGGCGGGTTCGAGACTCCTCGAGTCATTCAGCAAGGAACGGCAACCCGTGGGCGTCGACATTATCACCCGTGCCAACCAGGGTCTTCGAGACCATATCCACTGGCAAAAGACCATCGGCATGTTGGAACCCGATCGGATGAAGCGCCTCGAAATCCTAGCAGAGTTTGATGACCTCGGTGAGAAGGGTAAGCGCCGTAGGAAGGAATTCCAAACGGCCATCGAAACCACAAAAACCGAGTTTCACGGCCTAGGAATCGAAATGAACCAGCGCTATATCTCGGACGCTGTGTATCTCGTAGACCAAGGCCCGCAGCCAGAACTACCCGAAGGGGCCTGCGAAGTCAAAACACACCATATCACCACATACCCCGGTCGTCGCTTGCCGCATGTTTGGGTCAACACGCGGGCCCCAGGGCGGCCGATCTCAACCATTGACTTGGCTGGCCATGGCCGGTTCTGTCTGTTAACCGGTCCTGGAGGGCAGGCATGGAAAGAAGCAGCCCAGGAGGCGGCCAAAGTCACCGGCGTTGAGATTGCCAGTTACTCCATCGGGTGGAAGCAGGACTACGAGGATGTTTACTTTGACTGGGCTCACAAGCGCGAGGTTGACGAAGATGGATGCATTTTGGTCCGTCCCGATCGATTCGTGGCGTGGAGGTCAATCCTGATGGTTACGGACCCAGGGACGAAACTGCTTCAAGTTTTGAAAAGCATACTGAGCTTGTGACTCCAGAGTGGGCAGCCAAAGCAACTTAGTGCGTAGCGAAAGGGGCGGAACCGGTTCCTTCGGGTTCCCGTGGTTATGAGCACCGTGAGTCAGCCAGGAAGCATGAGCGGCGATAATTTCCCTCATTCATCAATACAAGCCGGCGATCTCATGAATAATTCGAACGGATCGATAATCTGAATTGGCATGAAATGAAACGTCCGCTCACTCACATGACACACGTTGACCGATCAAAAGAATTCAATCGAAGTTCTCATCAAAATCTGACTGGAGACGATTGCTCCTATCCATGTCAATGAAGTGTATCCCGGAGCTTCCGGTGGCGGCGTCTGTTGGGTTTCAGCAAAGCCAATCATCGGTTAGGCGTACCATGACGTCGACGATAACTGTCACGAGGCCTCGCCCAATTCGCCCTAAGCTTCGACAACACCCAGACATGAGCCGTTGCTTGATCGGCACACCAATAGAAATCGTCCCAAATGCCGTCAGTGTTACCCACACAGGTTTGAAAAAAAATTATCGGCGTTCTGTTAAGATGTTCTCGCGGCGCACAACCTTGGCATTGCTCTTGTCTGGACCGCGATCCACGTTTGATAATTATTCCTGCTATTCGCCAAATTTGTTGATACGTGACGTGGGTTTGTCATGCGTTGCGCGATGCAGCTCGCACGCCTTTTGTGACGCAAACAGGAAAATTCTCGGGTCCATATGCTTTGTAGCACACCGTCCTCGTTCCCATAAGTATACCGGGCCCCGATCTGTCCCCTCGTCGGGACGCGGGAACAAACATCAAGTGCTCCAAGACTGCTCAAAGTACCGGACGAAGCCCACTTTACCGTGATAATATCCCGTAACATCCACCGTCCACCGTCGCAACCTCTCAACATGGCCTATGGCGAAACCCGCGCCCGCACCGGGCTAACAACCTTTCTGCTAGCCAGCAGCGCACTAGTGTGGGTGTCTGCGGTTATTGTGCTGGGGATTCTCGCCTATTACGTCTCGACGGGCTGGAAAGGAGATCACATCATTTACGAACTCGTCATTGTGAGTTGATTCTACCCAAGAGTTTAAATATTAGATCAACCCACCTAGCCGCAAGCCCCCACAGCCCCCTGATGCGATTGACCGCTAACCAACCTACCCTCGCAGGCCGTGCTTACTACCGCGTTCTTCCCCTTGGCCTTCTTCCTGGTTATCTCTCCCGGCTCGATTCTACTCTTTAATTTGATCTTCTCGTACCTGTGGCTCGTTGCAGTCTCGTTCACGGCATCCGATTGGAGCTATAGCCATTCAAACCTCCTCCTGACGGCCGAGGCTTTCAGCTTCATCGCCTTGTAAGTCCCAGTTGGGCCTCCTTCTCGGTGGGTTAACCATTGCTGACCGATTCCAAGCTTCTTCCTCTTCTTCAACATCCTGTACGACTGGCACTACGGCTTTTACCGACCGGCAGCCCGGTCGGGAAGAGCTGTTGTTTGAGTCAAAGGCACGCGTCACCAATACCCCAATGTTACCGATACCCCAAGTTTTGACCCTGCGGCCATGATAAGCTATGAGCCCAAGGGGCTAAGAAGGATGTTCGAGGACGTGTTAAGTTTTGTGCGGGTTAGATGAGCGAGGAATTCATTGTAATTAGGTCGGAATAGCAACTAATACCAAGTGTTTTCTCACCTACCTAACGTCAAGGTTGTGAAATAACCCCTGGCACCATCCCCCACTGTGAATCCAGACGGGTACGGGACTGGCGGTTCTTGATTTTAACATTAATTTTGATCTCGACCGGAATTGATTACAGCCCCTGAGTTTACCCCGAGCGCCATTCATGCGCCTTGAATCCTCGTGTCAAGGCAACTCGCGGGGAAGATGGGACATCCTTCTCGCCTGTGTGCATGCAGGATTGCGGCGCGGCACTTTCTCGGGGGTTCGACTCCGAAGTTCCGGCCTTAATTTTGACGAGAAAGAAATTGCCAAAGTCCGAGATGCTTTCTACTTTTCTGACCCAACATCTCCCCCAACTGCCACCAAGCCCTTAATTACAGAAAGGTCGCCTACGATGAAGCCTGCTTCGAAGAGTTTCCTACTGGCACAATGCGCCTCCTGGGCAGCTATCGCCCAAGGCCATGTTGTTCTGACTTATCCAGAATGGAGGGGCAACAATCTCGGCCAAGACGACCAATCGCCGTTTGGAATGCAATGGACGTACCCATGTACGTAAAACACCACCGGACAAAACCTGCCTAACGATTGACTATGCCTAATTAACGTTTCTATCTCCGGGCAAAGGCGGCGGGTTGTCCGTCACAACGAACCGAACGAGTTGGCCGCTAGACGGTGGTGCCATTGCATTCCAACCGGGTTGGTACACTGGCCACGATACGGCGTTAATTTACATCAATATTGGACTCGGGGAACAACCTGCGAATTATTCCTGGCCCATCACTAAACTCTTTCTCGACGGGCCAACCAATAACCCGTATCCGGGCACTGTTTGCCTGCCAAAGGTTACCCTGCCAAAAGAAGTGCGAAGCCAAATCAAAAACGGGGACCTCGCAACGATTCAAGTGATTGAGGCGTCACAGCATGGGGCTGGGCTATTCAGCGTGAGTGAGAGAAAAATCGCCACGATTCGAAAAGGATGTCACTGATCGCTTTCCGTTGAATTGACCAGTGTGCCGACATCATCTTCACTAGAGACCCGAACCAGATCCCCGACGTCAACGAAGACAACTGCTTCAATTCGACTAGTATCAAGATATCCGACGTGGCTATCCTCGGCACGTCTGAGCTAGCCTCTGCCTGCGCGGGGCTCGACGACACGACCTCGAAAACTACGAACACCGCGACGACGGCGTCGCGCGGCGTGTGGGGGTGGGGATGCGAACAAAACAATCGGTCCGAGTTATTCGGTTTACCGTCGGGCACCCATTGCTCGTCTACATCTCAACCCACGCAGTCATCAAAGGATTCACCGTCTGCCTCTTCCTCGGGCGAAAGCGGTGCATGGAAAAATGGGCACTCCACGGCCGGGGCAGGGATGGTTTTAGCAATGATTGCCGCATTGCAATTGTACATGTAGTGTACTCGTTTGCAGGATAGATTTGCGCCGGCCACATCAACTTCATGACATAGTCTGGGAGAAGCAAAGCAGGTAGAGTCCCACAATTCCGTCTCGCAAGGTGGGCCACGAAGCGAGATTTTTGTCACGACGCCCCGCCGCGAGTCTGAGCATTTATTTGTAAACAAAACAAAAGCGAGATTGTACCCTAACCCTCGTTCAACAGGTTTTGTGCAGGGAACTTACTGCTTCGGGAAGTGGGGCACAGCGGGCCGCCCGTTGACGCGCATCCTTGTATAAACAACCGAACGCGTCTTATAACCGACGCTGTGGCAGACAACCTGTCACCCGTGACTTCGTGAGATTCAACAACGTTCACCGGCTGTCCGATTCCAACGACAACCCTTAGTCGCCCCTCACAAGATGAAGGTCGTTCCGACCCCCGTCTCGGCATCAAAAGCGGCATCCCACACACGGCCCTCGCCACGACTTCCACCCCTTGTCCCTCGTCACCAAGCAGCCGCCGCCAGCCCGATTCGTGCCCAGCACGCGCGACGGAGCTCTGTTTCAAGAAATTGGATATTTGATGGCCGGGCGAACAAGCCAGTCAACCACCGGGCAAAGGTCGGGTTATGGCTTGAGACGGTTGAGCCCTCTCAAGAATCGCCTCCTCCAAGTCCAAGCCTCCCGGCATCCCCCGCAGGCCTACGGCGACGATCATCCACGTTGGGCGCTGCGAGTGCCATCCCCATAACCCCACGTGTACCACCGGATGCTGCTCTTTTCATGAGGAGGTTGGGATCCCAGCGCACGCCCCTTGCCGACATCACATCAATCGTGCTCGCGGCAGAAAGCCCATCCAGCTTCTATGAAACAGAGACCCCGGCGGATAGCCCACATTTGTCCAGCCACAGTTCATATCCGGCCTCAGATCTGACCAGCGCTATCGACCTGTTGACCGCCGATGAGGCAAAGCGCCTTCTTTTCGTGTCCGCTCAATCCGATATCTCGATTGCGGATGCCATTCGCGGCATTGCGATCTCCCGCACATCGGCCGGGTCGATCGAACTGGGGAGCCCAAGGTCAATTCCTTTGGCTGACACCTTCCGGTTCGATGGCCCTGAATATTCCTAAGGAAGGGCACCCGCAACGTTCATAATATCGATTGAACTACCTGGTCCTTGGTTGGCTGTCGGTCAAACCATGAAGACCTGAAGACTACATGCAACCCTACCCCAACAAGGGTCAACTACATGTACCACCCCAATTTCTGTCAGCTTGAGTCTCAAGCGCCCCATTTCTCTCGGTAAGGGAAATCCCAGTTCCACCATCCCGTGTTTGTGACATGGGGCTAATTAGCTAAACAATTAGCAATAAGCCCACGGCGAGAAGACTGGCAGTGTGTGGGCGTCATGAGACTACGGCCCACGCTGTTCGCAGTTAAAAGGACCTTGATGATTTTTGCGCGTCGAGAACAACCAGAGCATGCCCTGTATTACTCTACGGAGGCCGCGTTAATCATTTGAACCCGAAGAGCTCGAAGCCCTTGGGAAGCACTGCCCAAACGTCCAGGATACCTGCACCCGTCCTGTGGGCAGTGGCCCTGTCCGGAAACCTGGAATTCAGTGCCGTGGGCCGCAGAGATGGGTTTGAATGGCCCGAGGATGATAGGTACCAGGTTGGAGGAGATACGATCATTGAAATCTAGACTTCCCTTATGTCCATACCCAAAAGTTCAATTTTAAGTTTAATAGCGCAGCGAACGCTCCAGACCATGCATTTATCAATTTTGCCACCAATTCCGTTACCCCGTGTTGGCGTTGAATAATCACCGCCTTACAGTGCCAAAGGCGTAACCATCCTGCCGAAGAGATCCGAGGCGTTTAAACCTTAACACACGGTCAGCTGAGGGGTACCTTCAGCCCTGGGGGCCGAAAATTTGGTCTCAACGAAGACCTTCTGAATGTTGTCCTCCTTGGCGTCGAACTTGTAGTAAACCTTATCAATGTCCTCCAATCGAAACCGGTGCGACAGCATCTGGGTGGGATCCAGCTGGCCCTCCTGAATCGCGGCCAGCAACTCCTCCCAGTACTTCATGACGGGAGCCTGCCCGTTACCAATAAGCCGGATACCACGTTGCATCAAGGAGCCGACATTGAGGTGATTAGTCTGGAAACGAGTCAGCTTCTCTCAAGTTACGCCCAGGGGAGGTCTTGTGGCGTACGTATCCGACATAAACGCCAGTCACCCCGGCGCGTCCATAATTCCGGACACCTTCAATCATCTCGTTGAGGATTTCGCTCGTGTCCGTCTCGGCACCTAGTGACATCTCCAACCAATGCATCCACCCCTTCGCGTACTCGCCCGCCGCACACTCGATTGCCACATCTGGGCCGCGTCCATTGCACAACCCCTTCAGCTTGCTGACTACTGTGTCTTTGGTAGTCACACCAAAGCTCAGCTTCTTGTAGTCCAAAAGTTCCAGCTTTGCTTTGTGCTCGGCTGGCCATCGGTTGGAAAGGGCGGACAGTCTAGGCTCCGTGTCAACGAAAATGACCTTGCTCGCGCCTTCGCCGAGAGCAAACACTCCAGCCATTTGTCCGATGGGGCCAGCACCAAAGATCGCGACATGGTCGTCGGGGTAAACGGCGGTGTCTTTCACTGCGTTGTAGGAAGTGGGGAGAACATCAGAGAGATACAGTGCTGTGCGCAGGGTGAGCCAAAACTATCGTTGGAGGGTAGGTGATACACAAGGGATAAGAAGAGATTAATTACCCTTCTCGTCTGGAACAGCGTCCGGGATCTCTAACAAATTGGCATCCGCTATCGGCACCCGAACATACTCAGCTTGGCCACCGGCAAAGCCGCCAGTAAAATGCGAGTAGCCAAACAGGCCGGCCGTCCTTGACCCATACATGGCCTTGGCAGTCTTGTTGGAGTTCGTCCTTTCACATTGCGAGGAAAGCTTTTGCTTGCAATAGAAGCACTAGGAGAAAACATGGTCAATCGCCGGTAGAGCATTTAAGCTGCAGGGGGGGTGTTACCTCTCCACAGGTGATCTGGAACGCCGCAACATATCGCTTGCCAACCTGAATGTTCTTGACCCCAGGTCCAACTTGGTCGACCACACCACAAAATTCGTGGCCGAGGATATCGCCTTTGGCAAGCTGAATGATAGCTCCGTGGAGTAAGTGGAGGTCACTACCACAGACAGTCGTCCCAGTCACCTTGAGAATCGCGTCCCGGTCCTCGAGAATCTTTGGTTTCGCAACATCGACTGTGTCCATGAAGGCTCGTCAATATCCCGTCATAAATTCGGTAATCCATGTGAATCAAGGAAAGGCAGGGACTTGACATACCGACCTGAACCTTTTGTTTCCCCTGCCATACCAATGCCTTCATCGTCTCACTCGAGTCCCCTACTAAATTGTAATTCGCAACATCCTGCTTGATGTACTCCTGGTCGTGTCCAACGGCCCGCTCAACCATATAAGCTGCTTGGGAAGTCGTCATGTTGGGTGAACGTTGGCGATTCTTGTGTTTGAGGTTTGTAGACAACTGATGATGTTGGGGTATATCAATATCACCAAGTATGCTTTGGTTACCAGCTCTTCCGGAAATTTGGACCGCCGAAACCAAAGGATAATACTTGACTGATGTCTTCACTGTCTTATCCTCTTCTACCATTTGTGGGCTATTACCCCGTCTGTAGCGATTTCATTGAATATTAAGTCTTGGGCGGTCGCTTAAGCAGTTGAGTAAAGATGTAGGCATCATAGATTTATCATGAAGGCACCAGCTCGTCATTACTCCGTGGACGAGTTTGAATTTGCGGCTGGAAAGCTTCGTGGCGAAGTTCCATGACGTCAAGTCATTCCGGGGAAAATAATTATTAGTGGGCTTAACGCGATCTGCCCCCGAATCCCCGACGCGCATGCGTTTTGGGAGGAGCAACCCGCTAAAACACAACCACATACCCAGTAGCGCGTGACTGGTTGTGAAGGGAAAGGCGTAAGGTTGCGCATGCATGACCACTCCATTGTCTACTGATGACAGCCATACGTCTGTCTGGCCTGGAAACGGGAACCCTCAATGTATGAGAAATTTAGCGACCGACAGGAACAAAGGAATTAATTAAGCGTTAATTATAACTATCATTAATAATATGAAGTCCATGAACTACCCATAATTACATTCTAGTAGGAGAACAGTCAACAACGGTGATAATTACCCAGCCGTTTTTCTAACGGATTGGAACCTCCTTAACTGGTCCCAATTCAACTTCATCTCTTTGCTGCTCTGCGGGACCTTAGGTTAATTAGCTACCTATCGCAATTTTCAGGACTTCCCCAGAAAGAGAAGGATGTAGGGAACTCACCAGGCATAAACATACTTTCCCCAATGTTCCAACTTAGGATGTTCGATCGCACTTGCCGATGGGCCAATGGCCCACCTAATCTAATTAACATCAGTGAACGACGTCTTGGCGTTAGCATGATTAATGAAGTGTGACCTTTAATATCACAACCTAAGAAACCTAAGCATTCTTTCTTTTCTTACAATGGCACAGATTCTAAAGAAATACCAACATCTCGTCCGATATGCCCACTGGGCTTACTACGACGGGCCCGAGTTTCGGTCGGCGGCGACTGATTTGCAAGGAGACTTCAGGTACCGGTCTCTCGAGATCATCACGCCGTTCTTCAAGCATACCCTGAGGTCCTTAACGCCCAACACCCACGTCCACTTAGGGATCCGTAACCAGCACACCATCGTCCTGGCTTTCCGGGGAACCGATTTTCCCATCAATGTTGGGAGCCTCATCAGGCCTAAACGGTGGTGGGGGTTCTGGGGTAACGTCTGGACCGATGTGGCGTTCCAAATGACCCAGATCGACTGGCTTCCCGATCAGTGCTCGCCGGTCCTCGTACACGACGGCTTTCTGACTGCCTTCAACAATTTGGTAGACGATGAAGATCGCCTGCGCAAGACCATGTTACACCTTCTCGGGCAAGACCCGCCAGCAAAGATCGAGATTTGTGGTCACAGCCTAGGCGGTGCTCTGGCCGTCTTGTGCGCCTTGTAGTGCAGGACCCAATGGCCCGAGGCCGAGATCACCTGTCTCACTCTCGGATCCCCCCGCGTCGGCAACACAAACTTTTGCCAGCACTTTGGCCAGAGCAACATTCTTACCTACCGCGTTGAGGTAATGGGCGACCCCATCCCCACCGTGCCGGACCGCTTCACGCAAGCCTTGCCTGGAAAGCTACCTGCAAGCCACCTTGACTGGACAACAGACGACAAGAGGTACCACCATGTTGGCATCCCGATCCTTCTGCACGAGGAAGGCGCCAGTATCCTGGATTCCATCGGCTATGGCGTTGAGCGACCGGATATTGAGGCCGAGGAAACAGCCCCTCCATTGCCCGCCATCATTAGAGTTCCCTACGAATACGGGGGGTTCTTAGCGTACTGGGCGTTGAGAAGCATTCGCATGGCTCCGGATATTTGGAACTACCACGACCCAGCCAAGTACGAGTCCACCGTGCAGAGCATCCTGGAACAGATGCCTCGTAAGTGACAGCTCCAAGGCTCAATACATTAGGTTGAGGACACTGAATCGCCGACAAATTCGTAGCAAACGGCACCGAAGCCTCTTAAATGTAGCGGAGTGGCTTACTTGAAACTACCAGGGTGGACATCCGGCGCTTAGATGGAGAAACCGCGAGAAGTGTCAATGAGGAGCCACCCTTGTGTCGGCATGGCTAAATAGCTCTAGAGAGTCGGAGATTACATTGAACCCTGGTCAAGATACGTGACAGCAAAAAGCAACTGGCAGCATGTTTTCAATCTGCTCCATGCGCGGGTGTGATGAATATGCCGGGTACATTGGCCTTGTGTGCGACCTCTAGATAACCATTTCCGTAATTAACTCTCAGGCCCAATATCGTTAATTACACCCACAGTCGTTCTAAAAAACAGCCGCCGTGTATCTTTGCGCAAATAAAAAACGCCGACGACAAGCCATTGTGCGTTTCAGGAACAGAGTTAGGAAGCTTCCATCGTCGTTGTTGAACGGGTTCATGCCGCCGTGGTCCAGAGTTTGTTCTGGGGTCGTCCATCAAGATAAAACTTTGAACCTTTTGCGGCGCTCAGAAGAACTGATTTGGCGTCCGGCTTGGTCGTACAGAAGAACACCTAATTTACCGCCCCAGGCAAAACACTCGGACCCTTCTCAAGTCAACGGAAGAATTTGGCCGAACTGTTGGTGGGATCTGCGTGTACAGACCCGAGTATTAATTATTGCCTGGCATGACCAGCGAGACATCCGGAGATTTGGTGACAATCGAGGCACACAGAGATGTCTTGGGACCACTCATTACAGAATTTTGTGATGGACTCCGCCGCCGACGCTAGCTATGAGGTCGGGAGGCCAGGCGTATTAAATGACGAACGATGGACATACCGCGGGTACATACAATGTCATATAAAGTCGACCGCATACCTCTAATTACTCTCTTCCTTCCATTCTCTCACCGCAACCACAAAACGTTGTGGCAGGCTCCTCTTCTCAGTCATTCGTTTACCTCATCTTGCAATTTTGCCATTCGTTTAACGCGGTCATCAAAGCGACCATGAAAGCCTTAGCGTGTCTTTCCATGACACTAATCGCGCTCCCCGCCCGCGCTCTCGCGGGGCCGGACGACCATGTCGAAAGATCTGTAGTCGCCCTGGACTCTGTCCTGGGCTCTACTGCCGCGGTTTGGTCGGACGGTAAAGAACCGCCCGATACTATCGACGATAGTTTGCCCACAACCCACGAAAGCGACGCCACTCCTCCTTCAGCCCCTGTCCCGGCTCCGGGTTTGGACGTCCTGGCCCCCATCATCGATGCCTCAGACCCTGGCACTGATGCCGCTGCCGTCGTCAATCCTGGGGTCGACTTTCTCGATTCAGACTCGGATTCATTCACGTTCGGCGTCCCCGTTCCGTCCGTCACCGAGTGGTACTCCCGGGTCGACGCAACCTCGTTTGTGTTGGTCTCTAGCCAGGTGCCCGACTACAAGACCATCTCGATCAGCGCTACCGACGCCGCCCAGGCCAGCCGGATCTGGGAGTGGATATCCGCCAGCACCGGCTCGGCGGTTCCCACGGAGGCCTGTGAATCTTCATCGTTTTTACCAGAGACGCTCAGTCCCGAGGGTAGCTTCGACCCCGTTCCCGCACCGGCTTCGGCCGATATTATCGGCAGCTTCGATCCTACCGTTGATCCCGTCCCCACCAGCACCCCAGCCAGTTCCGATCCGGTAGTTGCTCCCTCCTTTTCCGACGTGGTGGGGACTGTTGATCCTACCTTAGCGTCGAGCTTCTATGATGAACCGGAACCTACGACCAAGCCGGTGGTGTCGTACACCAAGGCCCCGGCTCCGACTGTTGTCGCCGGTGCTGGAAGATCTAGGAGCGTTGGAGGATTGGCGGCGGTGTTGGTGGCTGGATTGCTGGGTGCCATTCTCCCGATGTAGGGATCGGGAAGAGACGATGGGGAGGGAACGGCGTCGTGTAGTTATACCGGCCATGAGAGATTGTCTCCCTAGATTCCCGACGGTGAAATGATAAATCGTGGCGCGTGGATACGGATCTCCGTAATGCAGACCAAAACCCATTCCCTCCCTTCTCAATTTAGCTTTGACGGGTTTTCGTATCGTGAATGCAAGCAGTGAGATCTTTGGCCCCCAACTCGGTTATTAGATCTGAGCCAGGTTCATGCGCGTTGGATAGCCGAGCGGTCCGGCCAGTCCAGGGTGCGGCTACTGCCAAGAAAAGTTGGGTTGCAATTTCGTTTCTGATCCTTCGAGCGCTCGGGGCCGTCGGTGTCACGATAATTACGGAGTACGGTACGCAGTCGGCGCGCCTCACAGCGTGCCAACACGAGTTGGGGGCCGTGGCTAGTTACCTACCTAGTAGCCTAGTAGGTCACAAAAACTCGACCCGCCCATAATTAACCACAACATGGTCAACTCGTCCCCCAGTTCCCATTCCGACCCTTCATAGTTCACTGCTCATCCCTCAACCAATGGCCCCACAGAATCGATCCGCCTTGGAATCCCTCTCTCCACTCAACATGAAGCAAATCATGGTGTCGCTGACGGCAATGAGTTTTGCGCTCACGCTAGTAGCGGCGCAGTCGACGGGGCTTCTGACTCTTTTCCTCGTCGATTCGGAACCACTGTCCCTCGAAGCGTCCGCCGTCGCCGTCAATACAGTGGGCAGCGGGCTTAACGCGAATGCCGTCACTACGCTTGAGGTGGCTTGTCCCACGGCCGCATCGCCGGCTAACGACGATTGTCGGGCTGCTGGCATCTACCCCGCGCAGGTCTTCCACACACAGGGCTCCGTCTGGGGCGGCACGACAACGGAACCGTACGACGATAGCACGACCACATGGTACTGTGCGCTTGGAGGGTCGGAGCCGACGCTCACCGCTGCATGCAACAAGACCATCGTCAGCGGGATCGAGACGGTCAGCGTAGTCGCCGGGTACGACAATTGTTACGTCGCGGCCCATCAGCGGCCGATCGTGGTGACGGCAGGCCTGGAAAAGATCAACCCGGCGCACTTCATGGATCTAGAGGCTAGCGAATACTTGTCCATCCGAAGCAGCCAGTTGTCCGAGGACGGATGCCCGTCGAGCAAATCCCTCATTTGGCCTGGTACGGTGTCTCGTTACTCGACCTCTTCTCCTCGTACCGGTACGTCGTCGTCGTCAACCAGAACGTCGGCATCGCCAAGCGGAACACCGTCGTCGTCGTCAACAATAACGGCAGGGCCTGGCTCGGGGGTCTCGGGCACGAAGCCGACACAAACACAAACAGAGACAACCCTCGCTGCCTCGACGTCATCGCCCAATAGCGCGGGCAGTACTGTGCAGCTGCCATCATTGGCGTTGCTGGTGGGGGCAGGAATGGCAGCCGCTGCAGGCTTCATGATCGTGTAAATAAATGGAAGCAGACCAACCGACTCGGAATCGCGGGCGGTCGGGGGACAGGGCCTCTTGGTATTTATGTACTTAGTTGGAATACAAAGTCAATGCAAGCTGGAAGTTCGGAAACAAAATCATCCACCACAGCACTGTAACTACAGGGTCTCGAGGCCTGTGTTTGGACTGTTTTAGTGGATCGCTCCGTGGGTCTATTTGCCCACCCCAGGGCTCGCATCAAAGCCACGTGGCGGCCCGCTGGCTTGGGCAATCTTTAACTCGATCAGTGCGGCATGGTCCCATCCCTCATGTTCGTTCTTCAAGCTCTCATCAACACGCCAACTTCAAAAACCACATCACCGCCCGCATTTGTCTATGCTAGGGCCCCGCATGGCGACACGGGAAGACCCAGGAACCAAGACGCGGGCTCTCCACGGCGCCTCGGTGCTGATCTTATTGCAGCTGGTTTCGCGGGCCGTCACGTTTGTCGCGAACCAAGTCCTGCTGCGCTTTCTCACTGCCCAGCTACTTGGCGTGTCGACACAACTTGAGGTGTACTACCTCTCGGTCATTTTCTTTGCTCGCGAAAGCTTACGGGTGGCTGTACAGAGACAGGACTCGCTTGATTTCCCCGCCGGCAACAGCAAGAACAGACTAAAAAAAAATGGAAACCAGTCAACCCAAGCGGTGGTCAACCTTGGGTATCTCGCGATCGCCCTTGGTGTTCCCCTGTCGTTCTTGCTAGGTTATCTTTACCTCAGCTCCGTCAGCGCCAGTACACTGGCAACGGCTCCCAACCTCGCTGTATCATTGTACATCTACGGCCTTGCCGCTATTACAGAGCTGCTTTCGGAGCCCGCTTTCGTGGTCATGCAAAACCGCCTACAGTTTGGGACCAGAGCCGCCGCTGAGTCTATTGCTACCTTTCTACGATGTGTAGTCACGCTGGGTTCCGCAGTTTGGGGGTCTGACCGCGACTTTGGCGTCCTTCCGTTCGCGTTGGGCCAGTTAAGTTACGGTGCCGGGCTTCTGGCAGTCTACGCTTGGCATGGCGCTGGACTGGCAAAGAGAGAAAGCTTCTCTCTCTTCCTGCGGCCTATCCCGGATCTCCCACCCAAAACCAGTCGAGAAGAGAAGCAAGGCAGCACGATGTTTATTATGTCGTATTTCTACCAGCCCGCCATCCAGCTTGCATCCAGCATGATGACACAGAGCGTGGTGAAACACATTTTGACCCAAGGCGACACGTTTCTCGTCAGTGTCCTCTCCACGCCGACTGCGCAAGGCGTATACGCCCTCGCAAACAACTATGGTGGACTCCTTGCCCGGCTCGTCTTCCAGCCCGTCGAGGAAAGCAGCCGCAGTTACTTCAGCCGGATTCTTGCCCCATCGACGTCTACCACGGGTACAGCAATGATAACCACGGAAACCCACGGACCGGCGGACAATCTGGAACCCAAATCTAGACCCGAAGTAACACTCGCGCAAGAAGCAAATGCCACGCTCCAGTCCCTGCTCAAGTCTTACCTCCTCCTCTCTCTCGCCATTACTACTCTCGGCCCAACCGCCGCCAGCCCGCTACTTTCCCTTGTCGCAGGCCCCCGATGGGCCGACTCCGACGCCCCGGCTTGCTTGGCCGCCTATATGTGGTACATCCCTCTGCTCGCCCTCAACGGCGTTGCTGAAGCATTCGTGGCATCGGTCGCTACGGGGGCGGAGGTGCATCGCCAGAGCGCTTGGATGGGCGTGTTCACGCTGGTGTTTGGCGCGGCTGGGTTCATCCTTCTGCGAGTGCTAGAGTGGGGCGCTATTGGATTAGTGGTGGCCAATGGGATCAACATGGCGTGCCGAATCGTTTGGTGCGGTGTGTTTATTCGGCGGCATTTTGCACAAAAGGGTGTTGGGTTTGAACTGCTGGGCGTGCTGCCCTCAGCGGGATCGATGTTGGCCGGGGCGGTGGCGTCTCAACTCGTTAAACAAATCGTCGCTTCAGGGGCACAGGGCAATGCAAAAGCGGCGTTGATAGAGCTAGTCAAGCTGACAGCCGTCGCGGTGCCGTTTGTCGTTGCGGTGTAAGTTGACGCAACTAGCCGTGGCTTCAGTTCGTTTCCCGCTAATCCTTTCACAGCGCGTTCTTCGAGAGAAAGTTTATATTCGCCACATATCAGGCCATTCGTGGACGAGGCAAATCCATTTCTTGAACTGGAGAGGATTCAAGTTCTTGTCTGGGGACCGCGAAGGCTTGGCATTAACTGGGAATTACCGGGATTCATCTAGCAAGCTGATCGTGCGGCTGTCACCCCAATCATCGTCTCATGTTGCGAGTAAATATATTGAATTATAAATCCGGTTTGATATCATGCCGGTCCATGACGGCAATTGATGTGCGGAATAATAAACACCCGGGAGACCTACTGGAAGCGTACCCGACCCAGAAGCCGCCTAAAAAGATGTAATTACTTTAGCTATGATCAACCGCCGCATGCCCAACCCCAGAGCGGAATATAATATACCTGTGTAGGTTGGATTGAACGCACCATCGGCAAATAACGGTGGCAGGAAGGCTTCCCTCTTATATACAACCCCCACCGCTGCAACCACTCCATCACCCAGGGTCCCCGCATGTTCTGATTTCCCCCAAGCCAGGCGTAACTTACCATCACCATGTTATCCCGTCTCCCATTCGCCGTAATTTGGACCTCCATCTTCTCTATAACTCCAATCCGAGCAGCCTGCACCCGAGAGGACCTCCTCACAACCGCTGCCCAGTTTGTGGCTGCGGTCGAGGCCGGTGACCTAACCTCCCTGCCCCTCAGCGCCGACGCCACATACCAGGAAAATAATGCCCCGGCAGCACTAGACACTACCGCCGTATTTTCCCAACCGCTCAAAATAGACCTGTCACGCTCCACAGCCGATACGGTGGAATGCGCAAGCTACACGCTAGTCATATCCGCTTCCGGCGCCACCCCCTACGTCCTCGCGACCCAACTCCGTCACCCGGAGGGGGATGCAACCACCATCACGTCAATCGACACCATCGCGGCAACAACAGGCTCGCTTTTCTTCGACGCCTCCAAAACACTCGGGTACATACACAATAAGTCATGGGCTGAGATCGAGGATCCAGCGCAGCGACCCAGCCGGGACCTCCTTAAACAGGTCGGCGACGCATACTTGGACATGTGGACGGATGCCAACGCGGCCGATACAATCCCGTGGGGTACCAATTGTGAGCGGGTCGAGGGCAGCTCGTACACGCGCCCTTGTGGGGAGCAATTGCCGCACGGTGGGAGCGCGCAGAGGAATGGAAACCGCCGGTATGTCATTGATGAGGTGGTGGGGAGTGTCGATGTGTTGTGCAGTTTCGATTCGCTTGGAAGCTTGCCGGATAGTCATGAAATCAGGGTTGAGGGAGGCCTGGTGAAGTATGTGCATACAGTCACTGTTTGAAGGTGGGAAGGGAACGAAGGAGAGCAATGGCCATGTTCGCGAATTAGCTAAAAGTTACGAAATTTTACACCGGCAACTCCACGCTGCCCATGGTATCTAGTCGAAAGTGATCTTCGTGCCCTTCTTGCTCAGGTCCACATCCTTGAAGAAAGCACCATAAGAGTCGTGCGCCTTCTTCTTGACAGTCGTGCCGAACTTCAAGAGTTCTTCCGGGACGGGTTGGTTGGCGCCTCTCAGGATGTTGACCAACCTGAGAGATGATGTTAGCACGGACAACTAGCAACAAGGTCATGTTATACTACTTACGATCCTGAGTGGGCCTTATCATGCTCAGTAAACAATGTGATGGCTTTGCCCGTCTTACCGGCGCGCCCAGTCCGTCCAATACGATGGACGTAATCCTCGATGGTCAACGGGAACTGCGCCCGGTTAGCCGCCTCCCTTCTACTAGCTTTATCACAAGGGATCTTACCGTGACATTGATGACGAGCTTCACCTCGGGAATATCCAGTCCACGAGCAGCCACATCAGTGGCGACGAGGACGGTGGTCGAGCCCGATTTGAACGCCTCAAGACTATGGGTCCGTTGATCTTGTCGCAAGTCGCCGTGGATGCTGGCCACGCGGACCCCTCTCCTTTCCAGAAATTGCTCCACACGGACGGCCTCTTTCTTGTACAAGCAGAAAACCAGTATCCTGTCGTTCTTGGCACTACCCTTTTGCGCATCCCTGAGCAACTCGAGCAGGCGCTGCTCCTTGCCGCGCGGGTCAACCACCTCAACCTTCTGCTCGATGCGGGTGTTGGCCTGCAGTTCAGTAGACCCATTGCCCTCACCATCCTCGCCGGCACGTGTGCGGTTCCCAATTGTGACCTTCACAGGCTCAACCATGAACCCCTCGGCGAGACCGCGGACGTTCGTGGGCCAAGTAGCCGTAAACATGAGAGTTTGACGCTTCTCGCGCGGCGGGCAGCCGCCGAGAATGAGCTTGATGTCCTCCTCGAAGCCCTTGTCCAGCATACGGTCAGCCTCATCAAGAACGGCGAACATGACATCGGAAAGCGATACGCAACCCTCGGAGAGGAAGTCCTTCAGCCGCCCCGGCGTCGCGACAATGATATCCGCCCCACTGTTCTTGCGCAGCAGCGCACGTTGGTCGTCCTTGGACGCGCCGCCATACAAGCACACCGCGGAAAGGCCGACAAGCGACGCAAGCGACGACATAGCGGCATGCGTTTGCATCGCCAGCTCCCGCGTTGGGGACACTACGACGGCACGCGCGTAGGCGGTCCGGTCGCCCTTGGAATGCTTCGTTTTGGGGCTGGAGGCTAGTGCCTCAATGCAGGGTAGAGAAAACGCCATCGTCTTTCCCGACCCCGTCTCCGCAATACCAATCACATCGCGACCGGACAGCGCGAAGGGCCAAGATGCCGCTTGGATTGGCGTAGGCGCGGTAAACGTCGCGAAGGGGTTCTTGGAAAGCAAGTTGGAGGATGGAAGCTGCGAAAATTGAAGAATCGGGCGGAGTTTGGCGCCAGTCGGGTCCAGGACAGCGATCTCTTGCTTCTTGAGAAAGTTATCGACCTGCTCTTGTGGAACAGCCTCGAGCGTCCGGGTCTGGTGGTAGGAATAGGATGCGCCGTTGCGATGGATGGTGCCAGTTGCGACCGCCGATGTGCCATTCGACGTGTCAGTCTCGTTATGTGGAAGCGGGGTCGACTTCTCCAAGGTATCGGTGTTCGGTTTCTTCTCTTTCTTCTTTTTCTCTTTCTTCGTCTTCTCCTTCACAGGCTGAGCCTTTGATTCTGCCGTGGCATCAACTTCACCCTCCTGTCGCTCGGGGTCTCCGTCATTTTCTAGTGCCTGTTTCTTTTCCTTCTTATCTTTCTTGTGTTTCTTTTCTTTCTTTTGCTTCCTTTTCTTCTTCTCGACTTTCAATGCGGAAGGGTCGCTGTCGGCTGCGGTGCTGGCGTGGTCATCGGTCTTTACTTTCTTCGCAAGTCGGGCGCTCCCGTCCTCGCCCTCGTTTCGCGCGTGTTTTTTTCCAGTCGACATAGTTATATATACGAATTGACAAATCGCGGGAAACGGGAGAAAAAAAGAAAGTGAAAGGGCTCAAGCGCTAATTCGCTCGCTACTTGTCAGGCGCATTCGGTGAGGATCTCGAATCGCGAAAGGTTGGAACATGAAGGCTTGGGAATTTTCCCGAGTTTTTCTTATCGATAAAGGCCCTACCCCTGGCATCCATCATCCATGGTCGTCAAGTCGAGGGATAACTCTCCCGACAAACCCGTCCTCAAAGACAGCAACGCAGGAAAATACCACACGCTGTCCCGGAAGTGCAGAGCGGCACTACGCTACTTATTCCCATTTCAATACCTGCATCCCATATATTTATCCAGTCCTCCGTAAATCTTCCTTTTCCGGGGCAATACGCCCCTATTCCCCCCACCTGCACCCGTCCCGTCATTCGCCCCGCAGGGAAAAGAAGTGGCCTGTGCTTCTGTGTACTCATTTTCTTACCAGACTGGACATTACTTCGCTCAGCTTTCGCTACACAGCTCTCCAGTAGCAGCTACTCCAAGTCTCTATCCCGCGACGAAAGATTGTTGCATAGCGATTGCTACAGAAAAAACGCGACAACAAGCTTACTCTGTCCTCTCTGAAACAGGTCGAAGCGCAACGCGTTGGCGAACCCATGTACGAAGTGGTTAGGTAGGGGGAGTCCATCAACCCAAAGTCGTCTGAAGGGCCGGATTCCAGCGTCAACATTAAGGCCGAGCCTGGATATACCTAGCATTCACGGTACGGAAGGAGAAACACAGGCATTCAGAACCATTACGAGCCACAACCCCACCGCTTTCAACTGTGACGAGTGCCAAGTGTCGACCTCAAGACGACGCGGAAGCGGACAAGAAGGCCTAGAAGCAGTCGGAGCCGTCTAGCGCGAGTCTCGTCGGATCGTCCCATCCAATGTTATCATCGCGGCCACTTCGTTGCAGCCGTCAACGGGCGGTAACTCCGCCCGCGCGCCAAATGGAACTGTCAGCCATACGTCATGGATGAGAGTGGGCAACCCAGCTCGCCGCGGCCTGAGCTCAGCGACAAGGAGCGTGTATTTCAACCCCTTCTTCCATGATCCAGAGTTCATTTGGGCTCTGCTGTCTTTGTCCCCTATTATCCAAATACCCTGTGTGATAACTATTGGCTCTATCATGAACTTCTTGAAAGGATCTCGTCTTACCGTCCGCATCGGCCCGAGGGCCACTCGGTGTTTCTCAGCCACAGCTATCCGACCACTGGCAACACCTACGGGCCGCTACCCACCCAACGATACGCGTAACACAAATGACCCCGTGGACGACATTGACCTTGTGTTTGACTACCCATCTGAAAACCAGACCAGCCATCAAAAGGAAAGGCTGGAGACCTCTGGCCTCGACTACCGCTCGGCCATGCCTCACCCGCCCAAGCCTAGCCTGGGTCAACAGACTCCTGGCACTGGGCAGATGGGTGAAGGGATTGGTGCTACAGATAGCAACGTCAAGTGCGTTATTTGCAGCGACGTGACTCTGATCGGGACATGCAACTGACTTGGGTTGCTACGCAGATTCAGGTACATCGGTCTTGGTGCCATTGGCTTGGGCGGCCTTTACATGATGATGCGGCGTCCCCCCCAGAAAAAGAGCTCCCAGGCCCAGGGCAGCAACATGACCCAGCCTGGCGACATCGCTGCGCAGAAGCCGGCCGGTAGCGAAGTAGAGAAGATGCTTGGACGAGGGAGGTAACTCCACGTAGTGGCGAAGGAGCTGGGCGAAGGGGTCCCACATCATTACATTCATTTTTACTTATCACTCATAATCATCGGAAAATCTCCACCGCCAATTATAAAATCTTTGTAAAAAAAAAGCATCAACAATGTTTGTCGTGTCAACATTTCACACGTAGAAATACCCTCACAGCACCTGACACCAGTTTCCGGTCCGGTGTCTCCTTCGCTGGTTGCACGGACGGTACGGTAAATTTAATATCACCTAGGCTCTAACCGCAGCGCCAAATAAACATTAAGTGACCGTCAGGGTTATTTGTTTACCTCCCGAATTTGCTGTCCCTCGCGCGAGCGCTCCGATCACGTCTTATGTCGGACACAACGCCGTGTTCGACCTTGGCTTATAAATTTGGAACACGACTCAAAGATGGCCTAATCAGCTCGTAATCCACGCTTCATTCTGGGACAGGCGGTGTCGAGGCATGAAACTTTGTCTCACACAAATCCCACGGGATCGCCCAAACCTCCATCTCGCTTCACTGTCTTTCCGCCAGAAATATATATTGGGCTCCTTCTGCACTCATTAACTTATTCCGCAGTCGAAGCACCACCCCTCAGCCCCGTCGCGTTGGGTCACCAATAGTCGTGACGTTCCCTACACTACGCAACACCGCCTCCTCACACTTCACGGTCCTCGCGTCGACAAAATGGTTTCGGCAAATATCACCGCAGTGCTATCCTCCTACATCACGGCGCTCCATATTCTCCATAACCGTGGGGTCCTCGATGGGTACGGCCATGTTTCTGTTAGAAACCCTGCCAACTCGTCGAACTTCTTCATGATGCACCAACTAGCACCAGCATTGGTCTCCAAGCGCAATGATATTGGCGAGTATCGTGTAAGCGACGCTGAGTCGGTCGACTCGAGCATCCCAGCGGGGCCCATGGAACGATTCATTCACAATGAGCTTCTGAAACAATACCCGGATCTGAATGTGGTACTCCATGGGCATCCGAGTGCATTGGTTTCTTATGGCATCAGCCATGTTCCTCTCAGAGCGGTCAACCATATGACTCCTTTCCTAGGTACGTGCGATTTCTGATGTCGCAATTGGTAAAGTTGTTAACACCGCGGTAGGAACAAACGTGCCTGTCTTTGACATCACCAAACACTACCTTCCTAACGATAAGCAAGACTTTCTGGTACGCAACCAGCGCCAGGGAGCTGCGCTAGCTGACCAGTTCGGCTCCTCAACTCGTCAAGATTATTCTTCCGTGGATGAAACTGCAACTGGGAGCAGCCGTTACCCATCACACAACCTTATCTTGATGAGATCACACGGGTTTACCGCGGTAGCAAAGGACATCAAGGTGGTCACTTTCAAGGGCGACTACGCGGTAGTCAACGCTGAGATCCAGTCTGAGGCTCTGAAACTCCACCAGGCCTACGCAGGCATGAATTATGGGGCCGGCAAGGACGGTCTGACATATCTCAATGAGGGGCAAGTTCAGGATAGCTGGGAAACCGAGATCGAACTCGTGGGCAAGACTTGGGATTTGTGGGAGCGGGAGGTGAAACTTAATCCGTTGTACGTGAACGAGCTCGACTCGGGGAAATAGAGTCGGAGCTTCGCAAGGGTTCGCAAATACGAGGATACCTGGAGCCGGGCGTTGCGATTACATCGATGTATTTTGGCATAGCTCGATTGTATTGCACTATACTGAGTGGGTTACATTTTGTTTTGTGAATTGGGATGGCAACCAGCAGAGGAAAAAGTGCTCAAGGTCAAGGCCAAAAGTCCCCAGCGAGACATATATCAGTACCTTAGGTCACTGCGCGGCCAGATCAAAGCGACCTGCCCTGATCTACCCCAATAGGAAGGGAAACTACCTACCCACTTAGCCGAGGTCAAAAGCATTCCATCGTGGGCGAGAGTCTATCCCCATATTCAATCTTAGTTTTATTCCACCTCGATCTCCTCTAGCTAGCAAACCAGTAGTCCGTGTTCCTGGATATCCCCCTGTAGCCCCCGTAGTCCCGTACGCAGCAAGCTCGTGGGAGTTAAGATCAGAATCGTCAGGCTGTCCCTCCTCAGGCGAGATTGGTCTGTCCCACACAACCCCGGCTTCCTCGGCTGCCCGTCTCTCGTCGTCAGATAGCTCATTGTCGCCAAGCTCCCCTGCTGACCCAAGTGACTCGCCAGAACCGCAGCAGGCGCGTGTTCTCTGGGTCACAATATTCCTCCGGATCAAAATCTTGAAGGGCTGCCGTGAGCTCGGGCTCGAACTCGACCAGTAGTTCTTCCAACGGGGCAAGGCAATTAGCATGCTCTTCTTCAATTTCGTCCACTCCTCGTTCGGCTTCAGTTTCGTTCGTCTATACGACCCATTTGTTCTCTGCCTCAGTCACGCAGGCACCCACGCACTGCAGCCCACCAACGGATTTTCTCCCCAAGACACCACTCACACCTAGGTGCCGGCTCACCCACCGCTCTTTGGCCCGCTTGTCTAACTCAACACCGCCTGTCGCTCGCCCCATCAGACGCCCCAGCCATGCATCCGACGGACACGCAGGTTCGGGAAAATGGCGGGCATGCACCGAAATCTCAACAGCGCGTCCGCGAATGGCAAGGGAGTCAGATGAAGCAGTGATTCGGCCTTGCATTCCGCGACGACGCGTCCATGGTCGGTCCGCCCGGCTGCACCGCCGCACACTTCAAGGTACCCCGATTGCGCCGTTGCCCTTTTGATCCGGAGGACCTGGTATTCGAAACCCGCCTCGGCGGCGGCGCCGATGGATGCGTCCGGAAGGTCCGCCTCGGCAAAGAAAGGCCCTTCGCTCTCAAGATGGTCAGTGTTAATTGTTAACGTGCCTCACCTCGTTGCGTCTCTGCTTCGCTACCTCTTGCTGACACCCACGCAACCCGCCTCTAGTTTTGGGACTTCGAGCCGCCCAAAACCTTGCGATACTGGGGCGTGCAGCGCGAGTGCCAGAATGCCGCCCTGCTCCAGATGATGGAGACCGCCGTCGAGCAAGCAGTTGCCGCCCAACGCCCCGTCCTAGTCATCCCCGACCCAGCTTCCCACGACGATGCGAAAATAAACCAAGCAGCCTTCTGCGACGAGGGCCGACAGCACCAGCCTCAGCTGCCAACCCAACAGTCAGAGCTCTTAGCCACCGCCATTGGTGCTTCTCCTGAGTCCGGCGCGGCAGGCGAAACCCCGGCCGCGATGCCAAGTGTCCGCGCCATAACGAAAATCCCGCGCATGAAGAAGTGCTACGGTTGGTTGACCCTTCTCCGCGGCCTGTTCGACGGGACTCCTTCGTGGCTACGGCCCCCGTGCCTGACCTTCGGCATGAAGCTGAAGCGCTTTATGCAGCCCGATCAGGAATACCCAGCCATACTGTACGAGTACGCCGAGGACGGAGAGAACGACCCGAGCAAAGTGCAGGAAGCTCTGGACTTTTTTTGGCTGGCCGGTTTCAGCGCCACCATGTCCCCGCTGGCGAGGAACTGGAAGAGCAATGTGCTGCTTGACCTGAGCGATATCGTCCCTGCTCGAGGCTTTGGCTGGAAGGAACGTTATTATCAGCCGAGAAATGCGGAAATCGTGCTTTCAATAGGAGCGGGCCTGAATGAGGAGGACTACGGCTTCGATGGGTACCGGCCGCCCCCCGAGGTCGTGGCCCGTGCCATGGCTTTGAAGTACAGACCCCAAGGACCGCCTCCGCCGCCTCCGCGTCCATCTTGGGCGGTGCGGGACCGCCATGTTGTGATGGCGGAGCGACGGCGCATCAGGGGGCTTTCCCGCATGAAAACGCCCCAGGCCGTAAGCGCCGAGGCGAGCCAGCCCACGGCGACGATTGAGCGTGCCAAAACAACCGAACCCACAGGAACGACCGAGCTGTCTCAAAGCAGCCCCAGCAGCAGCACCATCTCGGGTTTGATGCCCAACACGTCTCCGCCCTCGCCCAGCTCGAGCGGTGAACGTTTCGTCCCCAGCAAAACGAGGACGCCATTCGGCTGCCCAAGCTCGGGCTCGCCGGGAGGGCCGGAGGATTTGACCGTTGATCAAGGGTCGATGATATTATACCGCTGCCTCAGCGGTGATGAAGGGGGCATCTCGTGGTATGACGATACACCTTGCTCGTCCTCATCTGACGACAACGAGAACAAGTCGGAGAAGTAGCAAGACGAGGCCGGTCGACCCGCCCGGGCCGGATATGGTGCCCTGTCAAGGGTCTCGCACTTGTTGGATCAACAGGCGTCTTTCTGGGAGGTGGCGCCGTCCACTGCGCCGAGTAGACCGGCCAAGGAAGTCCCTCCACCGCTTCTGTAGCAAATCGAGATGGAGTTGCCGTATCACCGTCCCATAAATGACGTCATACGGTACCGTCGGCCCTGACTTAAAGAGGAAACCGGCCAGTCGCCACTCTGTCAGTCATCCTGAGTTCATCCTGCTGTAGCATGGCACTCCCCACTAGGTTGCCGATAGTAAGCTGCTGGCTGAGGAGGGTCTCGATTTGGTCGAGGTGCGCTGGTATGCCCTGGAGCTGAGGAAGGTCGGCGTGGAGTTCTCGAACAGGAGTCCCTATTGCTACGGGTTCTGTCTGGACGGCGATGATACCCGTTGACAGGCTACGAAAGTCGATTCGAGCACGGCTAGCTTCTCTGTACCGGCTCGTGATATGGAACTGGTGTCTTGTTAATTACTAAGTGGCAGCCCTGAGAGGCTGGAACCTATGTACATTCAGAGGGCCTATAAAGCTAACTGAAGCGTCGTATTGGTGTTATGTAGCCTTAATCCTAGCTGCTCGATCTGCGGCCGGCTAAACTGAGAGCGTAGCCTTTTTTCTCAGATCCTAGATCTTCTCTCTCCCTCCAAACAGCAGCTGGTCGGGCCCCGGTGAGCTGGGCTATCAGATTTTGCAGCGCCTTGAGCTCCTGGCGGCAAGAGTCGAGACAACCATGCACCGCAGCGGTTGACGCCTGGTGTGCCTATTGGAGTTGAGATAGTGATCCTTCGACGACCTGCAGTGCCTTGTCGAGGCAATCGGTCTGGTGTCTTGCGTAAACGATGTCTTGCTCACGGCATTTTCAAGGCGTCAAGGTACGATGCGACGACCTGGACGCCTGGAGGCCCGGTGAGACCAGGCCCGTCGCCAAGCCGGCGACGTAGAGCGGATCTGCCATTGTCGGTATAGAGGGACGCAACCGGAGGTCTGTCGGCAAGACGTTGGGAGATCTGGGTTTAGGTATTGACTGCTTGGGAAGCACGGGGGACCTGACGCCGATGCCCAATCCTGCCTCGACACAGATGGGCAAAGAGCTTAAGAGCCTTGCCGTCAACCTGTAGCAATCTGCCAATGAGAATGAATGTCTTGAAAGGGACTGTGATATATCAACTTCCAAAACTGCCCAGGCTATATAACTAGTCCATTAAGTCAACCAAAACGGGTTTTCCTTCTCCCCGCACCTCCGAGAACCCTCCCGTCTCCCGTGTCCCCGGTCCCGGCACGCCGCCCTTCCTCCACCGCCCCGACGAGTTGCGCTGCTTCCCTCTCTGTCATCAACAATCTACTACCGCAATCACCGCCGCCTCCGCCGCCACCATCACTGCCACCGCCATCACCACCACCACCCAGCGCACCTGGCATCCCATCTCCAGTATTCCCATCTCCAGCATCCCACCTACCCCAGCCCCCTCCCTTCCCTCATGCCTCCGCAGCGGTACAGTCACCGCCGCAGGCGGCGGGCGCGGGCACGCGGAACCGGCGTCGTCGGCCCCCTCGTCGCCGGCGTTGGGCACCACGCTCGGGTAAAGTGCGTCTAGCTCGGCGAGAGTGCGAGTACGCGCGCACAGTCCGCGCGTGATGGGGTATGGGTGTTGTGGTGGTGGTTTAGTGGTGGTATTAGTGGTGATATCAGTGGTGGGTTCGACGACGAGCATACACATAAGGATGAATTCGAGTAGACGGTGGAGGGGGGTAGAAATGGATAGGTGGAGGTAGAAAGAAGGCACTGTTAGTTTTGGGCCTTGGCTCCTGTTGGATTGGCCGGGTGGACCTCATGAAGGGCACGCCGGCACGGCAATTAGCTCAGGTCGTAGGGTTTAACAGTGTTGGTTCGCGTTGATGGCGATGACATCGACCACCTGTGTCCTCCTTGATTGTGATTCTCCTGGTTGTTCTGGTTGCGACCTGCTAGCCAGGCACGCCAGGTTGGTGTTGGAAAACTAACAGCCACGGGACCCGGTTACAAGTTGCAAGAGGACCTTATAAGTAGCTGAGGATTCCGGGCGTTCGGGTGTAGTCTAGTCGTGTCAATTTATCACTATTAGCTTCGTGATAGTTGTTAAGGGCTATTTCTTATCCTAGGTAGCGAACCCGTCAACAATACAAACTTGGAGGCCTCCCGACATTAGGGGAGCCTTCCGGATTAGGTGCTCGGGGGCGAGTAATTAGATAGCTCCATGAACGCATCCTGCAGGAAATGACCCATTTTATTGATATGCCCCATTGATATGTTTCCACCTGAAAGCTCTGGAATCCCTCAACTGCCGGGTAAACGGCACGAACAAGGCAGCCTGACGAACGCAGACCTCTTGGCCCATTCCAACCCCCCTCTTGCACAGCCTCATTGGGCTCATTTTCAACTACCCACAAGGAAAACAATGTCGATTGTCAGCGTTCCTTATTTAAAAGCAGCAGGGGTGCTGTGAACCTTTATAATATCAAGACAAACTAATTAGTTATATGTTAGTACTTACATCCTAACGGCACATTTGAACAAGCTAACAACGACCCCCCAAACCCTGAGAAATTCTCAGACCCCACCTCATTCATCATGGGCACGCTTGCAACAGTGGTTAGTTTACTCCTACAAAATAGAAGGTCAATCAGTTAGTTCGACACCCGAACTCGAACTAACAATTCGGCCCCCATCGTGTAGTGGGATAAGTTTGTCGATTACCTCGGCCGGTTTCTGATGCACGCTACGAACTCTGCGGGTATGTACCTTTTTAACCTAATTTGAGGTGTAGCAATCATCTAACGCAACACAAGCTGCGGGCCGGGCGAGCAACTCGGGGACGGTTGATGGCAAGGGTTTTGAAGGACCGATCTATGGTTCAAAACGCCGCGGTCAGGGGCAAGGATCACCCCCCCAGGCATCAGATGCGTGAGGAGGCTCACAGTGGCTCGTGGATATGGATGTGGGTTTGGTGTTGATGCGGCATAATGGAGCGCCGTTTTACTTTCCTTACCTATTCTTTGTCATAATAGCCCGCCCAGGAAAGCGGTTGCTTTACTTTAGGCGCAAAGCACTAAACCATTTGCAAGCCTTATGTTGTCTCATGAGCTGAATGATTATCTGCCTATTGGAGCCACAAGCTTTGCCCACGTCACAGCATTGGCTGTAAACTGTGGTAATTAGGTATCATCTTTAGTTACCATCCCATACATGAGATTGAGGGCTAATGGGAAGCGCGAGCCTGAGAAATGATTAAATGGCAAGGGACAGAAAAGTTCAGCTACGAGTATGAGCCACCATGTACTGCCAGCCTTGGCCTACATGGAATCCGGTGACACTAAAGAGGGGAGGCGGCAGATGTGACAAGTGATTAGAGGTTAAGCTAACAGAAGAAAAAAAAAGACGATACATGTGGCCCGAAATAACGAAATCAAGGAGACCAACGAAAACAAAAACGCCATACCAGAAGATGCAGGCCCTTCACCGTTCACTATCCGCCGGACTGTGCCAACCCAAAAGCAAAAGGACAGAACACGCCCATTGGTTCTGCCACCGTAGATTTCCGAGCGTATTACCTCAACAAAGCGCCTGAAACTGCCAAACGATCCGCCGCGATATTTCCAGGGTCCGTGTCGTGGCCCTTGACCCATATGAACTGGGTGTGTCCACCATGTGACTCCTTTTCCTCAAGCTTGTCTCGGATTAGTTGGACGAGATCCTGATTCTTAACAGGCCCATTTGCGGTCTTCCAGCCGTTTCTCTCCCAGTTGAGGTACCACTCGGTCACACATTGGATCGAGTACTTGCTGTCAGTGCGAATCTCTATGTTCTGGCCGAGCTCGGTGGACTCGAGTGCTCGAAGGATGGCGGTTAGTTCAGCGCGCTGGTTAGTCTGCGGTTCGCCCTCAAGGCGCTCCGAAATATTCCTGGGACAAGAGATCGTTGTTAGGTCGCAGGTTTCGAACGAAACCATAGCAAGGGGGGGATTGGTGTGGGGGGTGTCTACGAACCTGGGATCATCATCCCCGAAATAAACCCCGACGCCAGCAACTGCCCCGACTCTGCCGTTGCCACGAGAGCTTCCGTCGGTATAGACGACTAGCACAGGGCTACGAGAAATTTGTCCTTTTGTGGTCGTTCGTTTTCTCTTCGCGGGCGGAGCTTGAAGCTCCTCTACTTCATTATCCTCATCGCCGTGCACTTCTGGTGTCTTGGACGTCCCAGCAGGGCCACCGTAGGAACGGACAAACGCGTCCGCGTCCGCGCGCGTCTCGAACTTTCTGTACTTGGGGCCTTTCCAACCCACAATCGCTTCCTGCACTGCTGACCAGTCCGTGTAAACGCCAGGTTTACGCCCAACAGCTACACCGTAGTATCGGGGTGGCTTGTTGTCGTCCTTGGATGGTGGTGGGTCGCGACCAGCGGCAAACGAGGAGGCATCTTCGTAGTTAAGGAAGGACTTGACTGTACAAGGCGTTAGCAAGAAGGGGCCGGGCGTGTAATCAGGGATATTGAGGAATGGCATACACTGCGCTCCTTTGAAGCCAGTAATCTGCTGCCGGCAGATCGCCCAAGAAGTGTAGACACCGGGCTTGAAGCCGGCGCGAACAGCATAGTATTTTTGCTCCGCCGAATCCATCTTTCGCTTTTTCGAGGGCGGTTGAGCTGTCGCGGTCGAGGTCCCAGTCTGGGTTGGGGCAATCTTCTTGGCCGGCGAGGACATTCTGAGAAGGAGGAGACGCCGCGCTGAAAGAGAGGCAACAGCAGCGAACCTTAGACTTAGCTGACGCCAAGCTCGTGACGATTTACCGGGTGCCGTTTTGTCGAATGCGCGTGTATTCCTACAGGACCCAATCCGGGATCCAAATGTAAGGGGTCGCGGGCTCGCAACCGGGGCCAGGGGAATCGGCGGCCGCTTTGTAGGTAAGGCGGCGGCGGAGGTTGGAGAGGGGTAGCTGACCTGATGCACGGGGTCAAGCCGAGCGCATCTTTCTTTGTCGGGGTCAATGGTGGTGGCCTGGGGGTGCAAATTCGCGTTTCTGGGGCCGGTTTGTATGCGGCGCGTCCCGCAACCGGATTTGAGGGAACGGTCCACAATTGTCAAATATTTCGATGTTTTTGTTTCTGTTGCGAGCAGATACATACAAAAAGAGGTCGAGGCTTGTGGGGGTGTGAGTGTAGAGTGATTGTGACGGAGGGGGTTGCGTGCGGTTTCCCAGAAGGGGTCGGCCTTGTCTTGGTCTTTGACCAAAGACTGATAAGATAAGGAACCGACCTACACAGACAGGGATGCAAGACCCCTGAAAGCAGAGCACTCCACGACACCCATGGAAAACCGGCGCAGGTCTGCATGGTTCGGGCCGCTCTGCAACAATTCTGGAGATTGACTTCGACGAAATAAACCGCACCTCAGAGCTAACAACGGCGCTGTCCTTCGCTGACTGTAGCATTCAGACAAAGCCGACGGCTGGCTGTGCCCATGGGGATTGTTCTGCGATCAGCAGCACCGGCACTGAAAACCCCAACGTCACTCGGAAGAGACAGCCCCCGCCTCTACATACCGAGGGAGGCCGACTGGGCCTTTCCTCGAGGGGCAGGCGGCTATGGGTTAGCAGTGAGCCCCTTCCAGACACATACGTTGGTTTTGTGAGTGGCCGGGTTTTATAATCTGACAAAAATCCGCATACATGATCATGTGAAATGCTTCGTCCAGTATCTGTCTCGTTGTCTCTAGGGCTTGTGCCCGCCAACAGCTTTACATCAGGCCCAAGAAGAGTAATGGGACGCCAAGACAGAGGGGTTCGTTATTTTTCCGGTGCGGCGAACACCGACTGAAGCCCATTTCAATTCATCTTAATGGTGGTGTTGAATTGAATGTTGGTGGGGTGTATCGGCTGGTTACCTATTTACTCCAGATCTAGTGGTTCCCATCCTTAGCTACGCGATAACATCAGTGAGGACCAAGATATGCGCTCTCTCCATAATGGAGGCTGGTAGACTTTTTGCGTTGCCGTCCGTAGGTCATGGCATATGTATTTTCACGTTGGGCACGGTTTAAGCAGTTTTTAACACTGTCATGGACGGGGCTATTGCCGGCTATGGTCTAGTAACAGTGATGGTGAGGAATGAGTTCGCTGTTCGGTATGCCACGTCTTTCGGCAAGCAACCACCGGGGGCGTGCCTTGTTCTCGGAATTATGAAACAAACAACTAAGTTGGTGTGGTGTGCTCGTTATATTCACACTAATATTTCTTTCGTCACCGCTGACCCGGCACTGGCTAGGAAGTCGGCGGAATTGATGCTAAAACGCGGGCAAAACGGTCGATAACGTCAAGTTTTTCGACGAACATACCGTGTCAAGGTTCAAGAATACCACTGCTGCTACATGTCAAAAACCCTCGCGGATGGGGGTTGGCAAAGTAGGATCAATCAACTCTTGTTCCCTTGAACGCCCCTTCGAATATAGGCATGGGCAAGGAAGAGATGGGGGTGAAGCGTCTCGTTTTCCTTTGTCATTATCAAGGACGATCACAAAGGATGTTGAATCGATGTACGAGCAAACCCTTGGATATCATTCTTGGCCTCCGCACCGTTCATGCGTCCCTCGAGCGTTCCGACTGCCCAGGCCATTCCCGATAACAAAAACCACAACCCGCGTCCAATGCCAATTTTGAGCTTGTTGTCGACCAGCCTGGCGTGCCCCGTGGATACAGCGGAGCTCAAGTGCCGTGGCGTGCGCCTGAAGCGCTCCGCTCGGCGACACCGGGACGCGGCATTAAGATCCGAGCCGAGCTGAGCAACTTTGTTCGAGCACATTAGCTGGTCTGGTTAGGTACCGACGGAAACCAGATGGTCACTATGACCTTTCTCTCATATCTGACGGGAGACACCTGGTCTTGTGTGGGGCATACGCACGTTATGTTTGTCTCGATACTGCGATACCCATTCAAAAAAGACGGGCATGATTTGGCAACGTAACCGTTGTAGGTATATGCCCGACACATGAGTCGAGAACTGGGGACCGGCGCTGCAAGGCCTGTGATTTGGGGTTCTCGGGTACTGCGGTTAATGCTAGTGAGGTCGTGTTGTCCCTGGAAATTCGAGAATGTGTGAAAGGCCCCGAATCGGGAATGGTCGCAGTAATTCGAGGTCATTCTTCTCGAACTGAGTTCTGATGTAGGTTTGTTAGTCGGCAGCTGTACCCGGCCATCTCAAACAAGTGCTTGAAGAGAATGCACATTGGCCACTGTTTCGACAATACAATTTCCAAGTTTCTCGCGTCTACAATGCATAATACTCCAAGAGGACCTGGGGAATGCAGAAGCATGACGCGGCTATACGATGAGGCCGATTGCGGGCCACCTTGGTGGGGTGTTCGTCTCGACTTCACCATGAGGCGCTAACCAGGCCAATCAGCCACCCATCATCGTCCGGAGGGACAGTATCGACAGAGGTGAAGCCTGCTTCCCACCTCTGACAGAGGAGTTCACTTCGTTGAGCCTGAGAAAGACGCTGTGGTACAATCCGTCCGTGTTTTCGCGAATGTCATGTAGGTACTCTGGTTTGCGCAACGGGCTCTGATCTTGCCCCAAAATCCAGGGCAGAACGTGGCGAAGGTTGTACGAAGTACAGATTACGGATACTGCGTACCTGATGCAGGGCAGTCTTTGTTTCAAAATCCTGGTTTGCGCTTTCTCAGCAACCGCCCCTGCTTCCCCTCTCTGGCACAGCAACGTTCCATTGTTTCATTTGAATTGTTTCGGTGTACACTCAACTAACTACTGTGGGTAACTCACGTTATTTCCTGCCTTGTCGCCCCACACTCCCGTCTCCCCGGCTTGTGGAAAGTTCTCCAGTCCATTGCGGGGACGGTCGGAATACGAAATCGTTAGGTATGGCCCGAAAAGGGTTGTAAAATTGCACACGACAGGAACGGGGCCGACGAGATGTCAACGTCCTCTTCGCAACCATTGATGCAACCGCTCTCATGCTGCGAATCCGAGATGCAGCTCCCAGCTGACGCAAGCGGAAGTTTGTTGGCCAACCGAATGGCCCGGCCAAGGGCTCATGACTTCATCCTGCCAGGGACAATTCTGCCCCGATCAGGTTAGCTCGCTGTCGCTTTTGAGCCTGCTTGTGCCCGCTTGTGCCAGTTGTGAAGCTTCTTGGCGCTGTTTTCGGCGCTTGTCCCCCTGGATTTTACCGACTGGCACAGCCACAGCTCGTGTTGGCTGGGAACTATCCAAATCCGATTCCTCACCCTCTGTGTGTGTGTTTTGCCCAACTCCCGTTCCCAACAGCCAGTCCGTTCCCTGCTTTGCGGGCCGCATCCATCTGCACACAACCCCCCCACCCATTCGCTCACAAACGCCAACTTCGCTCGTTCCAACAGCGCATCACATCACGGCCGACGGCTGTTCGGAATTTCGACGACGGCGACGACGACGACGGCAAGCGACCAACGCAAGAGCACCGCTCCGCCCATCCCGAGTGTGCAATTGTCGGCCGCCATCACTCGCTCACCCCCCGCGCCTGCCCTGGTCGGCTGGCCCACCGACTTTCAAGACCATTCCGACCTTTTTTTGCAACCCGATTGCGCACGATTTGAGAGGGCCGTCGCAATACGTTTTGTGGTACGCCCTGGACCTACGCTACAACAAGCGGTGGAGGATGCCATATTGAATCATAGGCCCCGGTCGCCCTTTTTTCCTTGAGCCTGAGCTGCGGCTCGACCAGGAACCATCTCGGAAAACGATCGTGAACCAACAAACTGACATCACCCGAGCCCCCGGCGGGCACACTGACCACGATGCGTCTCCCATGGATCACCCGCCTCTTCTTCCTCTCCCTGAGTGCTCTTGTTCTTCCCGCGAGCGCGGAATATGTCCTTCGCTCAAGCTCGCTGGCGACTTGCCAGGAAAACTCCGGCTTTAGCGCCAGTTTATTCGATGTCGTTTTTACTCCTGACACCGCCGAACCCAGCGTCCTCGTCAACCTGATTGCAACCTCATCCATCGAAGGACATGTCATTTTCGATATCTCCATTTATGCATATGGTTATCCCCTCATCAACACCAAGGTCGACCCCTGCACCTCGAATTTGCCAGGCATGTGCCCCATGACGTCTGGCAAGATGAACAACCCCTTCAAGTTGCCGGTGACGAAGGAAGCGTTGGCCCAAATTCCGTCGATCGCGTATACCTTCCCGGATTTGGATGCGACTGTCCAGGTGTACATCAACCGGACTGATGGAGACCACGCTGGCGAGAGTATTGCATGCGTGGAAGCGAACATCTCGAACGGGATGACGGGTATGTTGGAGCTTCTCTATGAAAGCCCCGACAAGGAAGAATGGGCACTGACTTACTTTTATAGTGGATCTTACCGGTGTGAAATGGGCATCGGCAGCTGTGGCCGGCCTGGCGCTCGTCTCTTCGGCCATCATCAACGGCCTGGGCTTTTCGAACGCTGCCTCGCACATTGCATCCAATGCACTGTCTCTCTTCGGCTACTTCCAGGCTCAAGCCATGCTCGGGCTGTGCGCCGTGCCTCTCCCCCCAGTGGTGAAATCGTGGACCCAGGATTTCCAATGGAGTATGGGGATCATCAAAACCGACTTCATGCAGGATATTCTTACCTGGTACCAGCGCTCGACGGGTGGTACTCCCTCCACCATTCTCGATACCCTCCATACGGTTTCGGTTCAGGTTGAGAAGGTCAAACGGTCGCTACCGGTTGTGGAGTCTGCGACCGGCCTTGCCCAACGGTCGGCGGGTGGGATTGCTAAACGCGCCACGGAGACGTCGTACGGCAGTTACATCGTCTACGGTATTCAGAGGGTGGCGTTCCGGGCCGGCATTGAGACCACAAACCTTTTCTTAACAGGACTTGTTTTCTTCTGGATCTTCATGGTGTTTGCGGCCCTTGGCGTGGTTCTCTTCAAGGCGATCTGCGAGGGCCTTGTCAAGGCAAAGATGATGCAGAACGACACCTTTTCTGAGTTCCGCGCCGGGTGGTTGACGGTTCTCAAAGGTAAGCATCATTGTTGGTCAATGATGGGCGGTGTTCCCCCGCTGACGAAGTTACGCAGGCGTGCTTTACCGATGGCTTCTTATCGGTTTCCCGCAGATCACCATCTTTTGCCTGTGGGAGTTTACGCAGAACGACTCCGGCGCGGCGATGGTGCTTGCCGTGTTTTTCCTTTTTGGTACTATTATCGCTTTGAGTCATGCCTCATACAAGGTAATCCGCACCGCTCGACGCTCGGTCGCCCTTCACCGGAACCCGGCCTACATTCTCTTCTCCGACCCACATGCGTTGAATAAGTGGGGGTTTCTTTACGTGCAATTTAGGGCGTCGGCGTACTACTTCATTGTGCCGGTTCTAGTCTACACTCTGGTCAAGGGGATGTTCATTGCCTTTGCTCAAAAATCGGGCACCGTTCAGGCTGTGGCTCTGATTATCATCGAAGCGGTCGCCCTTATCTCGGCGTCCGTGTTACGACCGTGGATGGACAAGAGCACCAACTCTTTCAACATTGCGATTTGCGCCATGAACTTCATCAACTCCATCTTTTTATTTGTTTTTACAGACGTGTTTGGTTTGCCTCGGCTGGTAATCGGCGTCGTGGGCGTGGTACTCTGGATTGGCAACGCTGCTTTTGCGCTCATCCTTCTCCTCATGCTGATCATCACGACGGGCATTGTCCTTTTCCACAACAACCCGGACACGCGGTACCAATTTATGAACGACGATCGTACGTCCTTCATGAAATCACAGACGCATCTCGGCAACACAAACGAACTGGATGCTCTTGGTGTTACCGCTCGTGGCGACGGCAAACTTATGAAGCGCACGGAGCTCGAGGACGACGACGAATCTGCCATGTCAACCCCCGCCAACATGGCCGCCCGCGCTGGCTCTCCGCACTCGGGCCCGTACTCAACCCGCGATTCGGGGCGGGACTCTGCCCGAAATTCGATCCGCAGTTCGTATCGCGCGCCAGTAGATCCTGTATCGGGGACGTATCCAGCCGAGCCACAGCACTTGAGGAATAGGGCTAGTGGTAGCATCCGGGCACCAAGCCCCTTTGGAGTGACGGGGTCATCGACAAACCTCACGAATTCGGGGAGCCACTCGACTGGAGGGCAAAGTGGGCCAAAACCAGCAGCTGGGCCAAGGTTAGTTCATAAATCCGCCGCGTAACCATTCTAAGATTGTCAGGAAGCTTATGACTCTCTAGCGCGTGGCAACGAGGAGCTGGGTACGAGTAGGACAGCCGCCAAATGGGCATCCTGTTTTCATGTCTTTTTATCTGCTTTCGTTTTCTTTTTTGCATCATCGGGTATCTAGTCACGCAGCATGGGCTTTTCTGATTCTATCACAATCCTGCATTACATCCACACTTCAGCGGTTGTCTGAGCGCGGATTGCACTGCAGTTTAGTACATATTCTCTACTTCTTATTCTCTTTTTTTTTTTAGTTTCGGGTCATAAGCTGCGGTATGGGGGGATAGAGTGTCACTGCTTGTTATCTTAGACATGGTGGGCGACAAGGACTTTCCTTTCATCCGGATGGGCAGGAGACAGTTTAAGGGGAAAGGTGTACTTGGGGAAAAACATGGCCAGCGTCGATAGTCGTCCAAGGTTGGAAATATAAACGATTGATATCCATCTGCTAAGTTGTCGGCGGTTTGCCATGCTGGGATCCGGATACAGGAATACGAAACGCTCGATTGAGAGTAGGGGTTGAAGCGCTTGTAAGGTTTCGGCAATTTACCAGTTGTCATACTCGTTGACAAAAACATCGTCTTCCTTTAACCTCCATTTAGCAGGTAGTCTTTCCATGCTGGGTTTGGGTCCGTTAAGTGACCCAAACCGACGTTTTAAGTTTTCTTGCTGATGTCGTGGGGGACCTCATTACGATGTAGAACTCGACAATTCTAGCATCGCGGTGGCCAGTTTGCCCGGGGCTTTTAATGACAGCGATCTTAAAGCTAATTCTGTACGAATCCGTCCTGAGCACATGGATCCTACGTGTGACACCTGCCCATGCCCAATCGTTGTTGTCCCTTTTTGCCCCACGTCGAAGGAACGTCAAGTGATAGCCTGCCGGCGCTTGCAGTGGCCGCTCCGCGTTTATCCAGAGGTTTCTTCTGTCGAGCGCATACTATGTATCAACCGCGTAGAATGTTTACACAGTAATTTCTTTTGGATGCGTGGGCTGGTGGCCGATACAGACGGCGGCGATGTGGTTTGGGGGATGGTGAGGGGGTTCTAGGTTGGCCCGAACAGGTTAGTTCGATCGGCACCTGCTGAAATTTGTGCCGATGAATCCTCGTGGTTGTGCCGAACCATCGGAGATTACCTGCAGCAGGTTCGACCTTCCTTCCCGAGTTCTTTTGCTGAGCCGAAAATCATTGTTTGGCGGTTGTTAGTTATTGCCATGCTCGGATTCGCTTGCTCCAGCTCCACGCGGACGGTCCGCCTAAACATCGACATCAACACCACATCAAAAACAAAGAACCGTGGGTTCCTGAAACTACACAGCTAGCGGCCGAAATTCCAGGTCGCCTGCGACGGAATTTGTTCGTTCACAGTCAGCTTGTTCCGTGCCATCGCGCGATACCACACGCTGATCGATACGTGGGGCATTGGGGGCCGAGCGCCGGGCCCCCTTGTGTTGTTTGATTTTTATTTTATTTTTCGGCCTGTTGGTAGCAGGAGAGCTTTGTTGGTGATGCACTAAGTTACGTGTACACCCCTCCACTAGAACACAATCCACTCCACGACATGAGAAATCGCATGCCAGAATTGGGTGCAAAGTTCCCCCTGCATGGCCCGCAACCCCCTGACTCCCTGCTGCGACTCTCTGGCGCTTGCGCGACTGCGCCCGGTTTGCGCATGCAGCCAAGTGGCCCTGTTGCTGGTGTTGCCCACTGCCGGGCTCCCAAAGCCAGGTCGATCACTTCAACAAATACCACCTCGGCACTCAGCCTTCCAGGGCGAGTTAGTGAGCTGAATGTGATACTGTGAATGGGGGAAGGGTGCTTTGAGTTGACCCGCTGTCGTGCTTGCTTATCCCCTCCTCGGCCCCCCTTCGCCGTACACTTTGTAGTTTTCACTGATTCCTTCTTTGTCTTTCGCTTTGCCCACGGTTCCAACCGGAGCCAGATATCATTCTTCGGACCTGAATCGGCTAAGAGTGAGCAGGTTCCCTCCTTACTGTGCAGGCAGACGGTGATGCTCGAGCGCCGATTTTGGACATCGCGGTGGATAAGCGGCGGCCGACAAGATGCTGCCGACTTCACGGGATCGTAGGGCGTTGGAAAGGAGGCAGCGTGGGGGTCGGGGCAGAGAAAACAACGACGGACACGGAAATGGCAACGGCCACGACAACAATCGCGGGAATGGTCGAGGGAATGGCAATGGGAACGGAAATGGAAATGGAAATGGGCACGGCAACGGTAATGGCAACGGTAATGGCAACGGTAATGGCAACGGTAATGGCAATGGAGAAAGGAATGGGAATGGGAGCGAGAATGAGAACGACAACGTGAATGGCAACGGGCAAGGGAACGGCAATGGCCAACAAAATAGCAACGCCAACAAAGAGTGGTTGTGCCATCTATTGCCGTCAGGTTGCGAATCTCCGTCTGCTGCTCCGGCCGACCAAGAAACTCTTCCAAGTAAGAACCCCGATCCCAAGCCACCAACACCGACCGAGCCGGATCCCAACCCGCCGGCACCGACTAAGCAGCCGGATCCCAGCCGGCCGGCGAGTGCGTCGCCGAAACCACCCCCGCCGCATAACGCGCCCCCTGATGCAGTGAAGCCCACATCTGCGGCGCCGTCACCTCCTCCACCACCACCTCCAGCCGCATCTGAGTCTCCCGAGACTACATCTCCAGCAGCCCAGCCCGCTCCCGCTCCCGCTTCGACGTCTCGACCTCCGAATTCACCACCCGCAGCCAAACCAAGCACTACCGATAGGAAAGCGCCGCCCGCTCCAGATCTGACGTCGCAGGCGCCAGACGTCCTGCCAACTCCTGGGAGCAGTAGTCAGAGCGGCGATGGTAGTAGCGGGCACGCTGCCGGTGGGATAGTAACCACTCAAACGGGCAATAGAGGCCCTTCGGGGAATGGCCATGGGACGCCGGTCCCCGGGGGAACAACTTCCACGACGACGGCTATTGGCGTTGGAACGGAAGTGGGGACTGAGACGCAAACTGGGATCGGGATACCGCAGCCAACCGATACTTCAGGGGAAGACAGCTCAGCAACACAGTCTACACTCACGGCCACGCCTATCCCAACATCATCAGACGGTTCTGTGGCGGGAATCGGCAATAACAGTTCCGGCACGCGACCTGACAGCAGCGGACAATCAGGAGGTGGACTGCCTGCGGGGGCAATCGCTGGTATCGTTGGTAAGTTTGCCATGCGGGGGGCTAGTACTGCCGGCGGTGGTGGGATAATGCTAACAAGGTGATAGTTGGCCTCCTCGTCCTTCTTGCGTTGTTCGCCCTCCTCCTTTACAAATTCCGGCGGTCGGCCGCCATTCAGCGTCTGCTGGCACCATTTAGTAGGTTTACCGGGAGACGAGGTGGCTTTCAACGAGTCGGCACACCGGGCCCAGAAGATGTCACCGCAAGCTTGATCAGCCCATCTACGGGCGGCCTCGCCACTACGTCAACTGCTGCTGCTGCCGCTGCCACTGCCAGTAGATTCGGCCTGGAGACACGATATTCACCAGCTATGCGCGAACTCCCCCCGCCCCTTCTTGCGTCCTCGAGCCACGCTCCCGAGACCGCGGCCGCCGTCACGATCGCAGTCGCAGCACCCTCCACACGCGACAGCAACCGCGTCTCCGTCTTTTCCGACGTATCGGTTGACTCCGCAGACTTCATACCGTCACCCCTTTCTCCGGCGCCACGACCCTCCGTCCTGTGGTCTCCTGGTACCGTACAAACATCGCGGCCCGTGGAGGAACCGCCGGACCCGCGGGTCGCTGAGTCTACACACGGGCGCCTTAGCCGGGGGAGTTTTAGCACGTATAGCATGGGAGATGCCAGTATGGCAAGCGGCGATGTTGGAGCAGAGGCAATGTTGGCGTGGCCCTTGCCCACTGGGCCGACGCCCGTGGCTGGGCAGGGGCAGGAAGCAGGTGATGGGTCGTCGCCGCTGTTGGATTTCGATAGTTCCGGTGAGAGGACAGTGAGGATTCACCAAGGATCTGGAGGTTTCTGAGATACCCAAGGCGCGGCTGATAGCAGAAGGGAAATTTTCTTCGAAATTATTGCGAGCAGGGCAATCATTTGCTATATTCCCGTATACGGCTCGAACTTAGACCAAAGTTGGATTAGATAATTGCATGTTGGTGGGATAATCGAAAAATTACTAGGCAGGCAATTCTTCACACTCATGGAAAGGAAAATGGTAGACTTGACGCCTGCGTTGTGCATCTCGAACAACTTCCAAAGTCATCAAGCGTACGGATGGATCACTCGGCAGGCGTGTCGCAGCTCAGATCCACACTCCACACGAAATCACGTGCGCCAACTTCCAGTGGCAACGGACGAGGCCCACCTTTCCTCCCCCACCGGGACCCCTGACAACCGTCAAGCTGAGAGCAATGGAAGTAAACAAGGTGGGGAAAGGGAACTCTCAGGCCCCCGCTGAATCGCTCAGCAAGACAAACGCAACAGTACCTTAACAAGAAAACGCACCGGAACATTCGTGGCAATGGCGTCTACTGCCCCCGAGAAGGAAAAGGATAAATCCAAGGTCCACAAACTGTCACTCAAAGGCAGCGCACGGCTGGTGGCCGAGTTCGTAAGTCTGTCTGGAGCTTAGAGGGTCAAGCTTCCCGTCGCAACGACACTGCTAACAGTGGTTGCGGCAACAGTTCCAATACTCCATCCACACGATTCTGTACGTCCTCCTCTCCGATCTCCCTCTCTCGGCTCTTGCCCAAATTTAACAACCAACGTCAGCTTTCAACGAGGCGTCTACCCCGCCGAGGACTTCACTGCGGTCAAGAAATATGGCCTCAATATGCTGGTGTCGTCAGACGACCAGGTGCGCGCCTACATAAAAAAGATCATGTCACAGCTAGACAAGTGGATGGTGGGAGGCAAGATCCAGAAGCTGGTGATTGTCATTACCGACAAAGACACGGGGGAACACGTTGAGAGGTGGCAGTTCGACGTTCGTCCCCCCGCCCCCCCCCCCAGCTCCCGTCCCAGCCAACAGACCCTCCCTCGTTCTCTAACCTTGCCCGTGTTGTCGCTACCAGGTCCAAATATTCGCGAAACCAAAATCGAAATCCAAGACCTCCAAAACCGCGTCGTCCAAATCTGCACCGCCCACCGACCAACAAGAAAACTCCGCCTCCGGCACCACATCCTCGCCAGCCGTTCCCGAAGAAAAAGAAAAAACCGAAGCCGAAATCCAGGCAGAGATCGCCGCCATCTTCCGTCAAATCACAGCCTCCGTGACCTTCTTACCTCAACTTCAGGGCGACTGCACCTTCAACGTCCTCGTCTACGCCGACGCCTCGAGCGAGGTGCCCGTCGAGTGGGGCGACAGCGATGGGAAGGAGATTGCCAACGGCGAGCGGGTGCAACTGCGTGGCTTCAGCACACAGAGCCATCGCGTGGATACTTTGGTTAGTTATCGCTTGGCGGATTGAGGACCGCCGGGGGGGTGCTGGCGACTGGCGGCTGCAGGCCAACACTCGCTGAGCTGGTTATGGCGTGTAGGATCAAGATCATTTGTTTGGTGACATTGCGATATATTATCGCTGGAGTTGCTGGAGTTGGGTTGGGGCACGGGGAGCAGGCTCAATGCACATTTGGGCTTAATTGTTGGAAGACCCGTCAATAGTGGAAATTTTACATCATTGTTACGAGCAAAGGCCACCTTGCGGCTACCTGTGTTGAGATGTCTACCGTCTTCTCTACGGGCTTATCTATGTGTTGCACTTGACATTGTCCCTTAGACGCGCCGGAAGAAATAAACGTAGGCAAACTTCTTCATCTCCTCCACGTCCACCACCTTGACCACCTTTTCATCGTTGAAAAGGACCCACGATACTCCTTCGTCCAGTATCTTGCGGATGAATGCGACATAATGTCTAATAGTGTTAGCTACGTGGCCTTAGAAACTAAACGCGAAACAACTTACCCGGTGTGGATACTGGTCCCTTTGTGGCACACAATCGACTGCAACTGGAAGTTAGCGGGCAGCGCGCTGCTTCCAGCATCTAGCTTACTCGCGCCCGGGGCTGCGCTATCGCCGCTGCCTGGAGATTCTTCAATCTCGCCCGAGTCGTCGGGGTGACTGAATAACCACTCAATGGCCCGCTCCACATCCCCGTTGGTCTCCTTCAACGCTTTGGTAGCACGCGGGCCGCCGAGACCCATGGACTCGAGCATAACAAGCTTCTCGGGATCCGCCTCATACGGTCCGCCGCTACCACCGCCAGCACCTCCAAGGTTGAGCGGTTCGTCAATATCTGGATCGTCCATGTGACTAAAGAGCCACTCCATGGCCGCGTTGGCATCGCTATTACCCGTGGCATGCAAAGCTTTCTCGCAGCGTACTTTCGGGAACCCCATCGCCTCGAGCATCGCCAAGCCCTCCTGGTTCGGCACAAAAGAAGGGACGTTGCTCGCGGTCTGCTCTTCCGGCAAGGCCTCTTCATCCGGCTGCTGGCCCTTGGACAAGTATTGGTCTAGGGGGAAAGCCTCGTCTCCCACCAGCACGGGAACATCAACCTTGATAGGGACCCAATTGACTACCGCCATCTTCCGCGCGTTCACTACCAATACCTCGGGAAACGTCTTGAACAGTTGCCGTTTGGTAAAACCATCCTTACTGCCACATGACGAGCAGGTCAGCTCCACCTTCTCCAACGCAGTAAAGTTGTCGAGACATTGCTTGAGCTCCACGGGTTTGTACTTTGGTACCTGCCCTTCCTCAGCGGGGAGCTTCTCCAGCGGGACGTCAATGAAGATACTGTCCTGCTCGGTGCTGCTGTAGCGAACCTTCTTGCAGCCAAGACACTGCAAGCGCTGCTCCAACACAAAGCGCATCGATTGAGTCGGATCTCCGAGGGCCGAAGGGTGCTGGGAGCGTGTGATGAGTTTAACGATGTGTTGAAGAAGCTCGAACGCGTCTTGCTGGCGCATGGTGGAGAATTCTTCATGTCCACGACCGATCAGATGTTTCAGCATCGATGGCTGAAGACCCTTCTGGTGAGGAATCTCTGGAGAGTGCTCCGACACTGTCACATCCGAGTCGGGCTTCGAGTAACGACCGGAGAGCAAACCGTCACCAATTTTTCGTAGTTGCGTCTCAAGGTCTTGGGCCGGGTCCGACACGTCGGGTGACGACTCAACCCCTCCACCGTACCGTTGCTGGAAAGACGGAATGTCGTACAAACATTGGAGAATGCTAGCAAGATAGCAACTGTTGCCGAGGTTCTTGATTCCAGTCAACCCCGGACCGAACACCGGCGTAAGCTCTTTTCCATCGTCTGTTGTCATCGAGAATTCCCACCGCAGATTCTGTTCAATTTGCATCTCTGTCAAGCTTTTCTCCGTCTTTTGGCGCTCGGCCAAGATAATTCCCCAGTTCGCTAGATGGGCATCGAGGTCCTCATCCACCCGTTCGTCATCACAGGTATAGCAGTAAACGTCAGCAGTACCCTCGGGGGTAATCGAGCCTAGCTTAACAGCGACGCCGTGTGATGACTCTTTGGAGTGGGCCAGGGCGTGAGAGTTTCCGCCAACGCCGCCAAACTGCGCCCTGCCACAGCCAAGATTCCCGCACTCTAAGCAGAGCCAAAGGTTCTCCTTCAAGTCGCAATGCGAGCAGTGCCCAAGGTTCTGGGACTCAATTTGGCGCGGGGGCGCTTGTTGCAGCGTCAGGATGTGCTCGCAACTTGTTAACTCCTGCTCCCATGCTTTGACCTCCTCTTTTCGTGAAAATGTGTTGGCCTTCATGATGGCGTCGACTGTGGCAGCGATTGTAGGGTTGCTCTTGTCTATGTCGTCGATCCCGCACTCAAGGCACTTGACGCTGAGCGTCGTGTCGTAACGGTCGGCTTCGGTCTCGGCAGCAATGGCAAGCTTCGACATTTTCGCGGGAGGCTCATCGCGCACAATTATCTTGCGAGTTCTGCGAATATTAAGCACGATGGGGTGTTTCCGCGCCTCACTATGCTGCTTCGCGTGTTGACGATCGCCACCGCATCCGCCGTTGAAGCACTTGAGGCAAACATCGAGCCCGGCGGGATCATCCTACGGAGATGAGAATTCTGGCGGATAGGAATAGGTGGAGGAGAAAGACTCACAATGGAATCGAAACACTGCGTACAGTCCTCGCGGTACACCGAATCCGCAGGCGTCGGCTTAGACAGGTCTGTCGCTGGGCTGTCAGCTTTGGCACAACGAAAGGAAGAGAAACTGGGCTCATACGCGCTGATTCCACGTGTGGGCAAGACATGTTGCAAGAATCTGCCGCTTCCAAACCCTCGATTCGAAGTTTTGCTTTCAGTAAACCGCTGGCTTTTTTAGACTTTTCTAGTGTTGTCAAAGCATCAAATGCTCAGGCAAAGCTCCGTGGTGGGGACGAGCTGGGACGCGGGGCAATCGCAGGCAGCCAACCGCCCCGCGATGATGCTGCGCCTGCAGGGGTTTAAACAGCTTCAGGCGCTGGGGGCTCCGGTGGAGCCTACCACCGAACTCCATGCTAGTTATGTAACGAGGCTTGCGAGGTCAAACCACCTGTCGGATGGAACATGTATTGCACGAGTAGGGTTGACAATCTAAAAGCTGCCACTCACGGCGAGGAATGTTGTAAGCTAAGAAATCTTTAGGTTTCCGACCCAGAATGGTAGCCGTGGGCGATTAACCACGAGAGTCTCTCGGAGCCAAATGCATCCGGCCGAGCCCAGCGGTGGCCGTTGCTGGGTGTTCTCGGTTTCCGTTATCAATCAAACTTATCTCCGGGGTTGGTCCGCACTCCCGAAGCCGGTAATCGCCAAACCCGGTGTGTCTTAACGCATTAGTGGCAATTTGGCTGTGACGTGACCCGCTTTTGTTAGCAAGCTTGGGCCAATTTCGTCGAGAAATCGCCCCTGCCGGCGTCATGATCAATCGTCCCGCATCTTCGAGTGACTTTTTGGCACCTCCGCATTAAGATCCCAACACTCGTACCCAAACCCGACGTCGGCACCCCGAACCTTACTCAATCTTCCTCCGGATCACCAGCACGAACGACTACACCCAAAATGCTCTCGAGAACGCTCCGCGCAGTATCTCGCCGCGCTCTGACGACCTCGGTCCGTCCCATCGCCGCCCCGGTCTCCCGCCAGCTCGCCCCGATTGTCGCCCAGCCGCAACGGCGTAACTACCACGAGAAGGTTCTCGACCGTACGTTTCGCGAAGCCAATACGGACTCCTCAGGCTCTCCAGAGAATGGTATATGGCTAATGCATCAGTCTAACAGACTACTCCCGTCCTCGCAACGTCGGTACATTGGACAAGTCGGATGTTTCGGTAGGCGAGGGATTAGTGGGCGCGCCAGCCGTATGTCTACCCCTTTCGACCCATAGTACCACTGGTTACTAACCAAGCGGTTCCAACAGTGCGGTGATGTGATGCGGCTTCATATCAAGGTTGACCCCGATACCCAAGTCATCAGCGATGTGCGCTTCAAGACGTTTGGATGCGGTTCCGCGATGTGAGATTTGCCATTACTCAAATATTCATTTGGAACAATTACTGACTCTTTCTGCAGCGCCTCGTCGAGCTACCTGACGGAGCTGGTCCGTGGCATGACACTGGAGCAGGCCGCGAGAATCAAGAATACCGAGATTGCCAAGGAGCTTGTATGTTCGCCCCTAAACACGGTTCGATAATGCAGTATTGCTAACGGCGTACTAGTGCCTGCCACCAGTCAAACTTCACTGCAGCATGCTCGCCGAGGACGCCATCAAGTCTGCGATCAACAACTACTACAAGAAGAACCCCAGCGTCAAGACAACCAACCTTGCTGGGACCGCTGCCAAATTGGAGACGGCGGCGGCGGCGTAAGCTGAAGGATGAGAAATTCTAAAAGTAAAAAAAAAAAAAAAAAAAAAAAAATTGAAAAGAAGAAACGAACTAAAGAGACAAAATGATCATGGGGTGGCTGTATCGGCTTGCTATAAGATGCCGTGCCTCCAGTGTGGTTAGCACACGCGTGATCTTTCTTAGTTCCGGATTTGAACTTTGGGTTTTGGGCGACAAGCTGGGCCAAACCGTAGCGGATTTTGGTGGCGTCAGGATTTTATGACACTTCAAGTTGCAGTATCTCCACTTGCCTGCAGGCCGACTTTGCCCTGGTTCCGGGTTCGCCTAGCGATGTACAACACAAGCAAATAAAGACTTCGAAATAATTTGCTGTGTCCGGTACTTGGTGGGAAAGTGAGTGACCTGTTACGGTTACATACAAACTACCTAATTAACTCTGGGACCTCCCTTCACTCCCCTCCCAAGGCCAATCTAGGCCAAGTATTCGGAAAACAAATACAGATGAGTAGCTCTTCCAGAGAAACACGATACAGGATACGTAATTTACTGTGGTTGAGCAAAGTATAAGCCGTTGCCGCTCAAATCAGTTCAGCATCTTGAACCCGTGTATGATCTTCTGTCTACTCGGGCGGAGAGGCAGCATTTTACCTCACCGATGTTGAACAAGGTCTCATGTACCACATCTCTGACAGTGCAGGAAGGGTCGGGGTAGGCACATGGGTCCAGCGTCCGCTCTAATTCGATCCCAACGAGGCGTATCGACCGGACAGGCTTAGGTAGCGCATGCCCACCGTAAACAAGGCCCTGGTCGACGGGAACACAAAGCTCGGTTCCTATCGAATACAAAGAGCAAACACAAATTCAAGGCGTACTTGACTTGGCGGCATATGATGGCAACAGTACTCCAGATAATATAAGCAAGCACGTCATTGACCGATACCCACAACGTTGGCATGGACGGTACATGAAAGGCCCGGGATACCCTCCTTATGGACAAGTTATGGACAGGTGTGTGGCGCAAGTGAAGCACTTTGCGGGTAGCCCCAAATTGGACCGTGGGTGAGGGCGAACGGAACCCCTTCGAGAAGCTGAGGTCACCTAAGAAAGTGTTAAAGGGTCGCTGGATGTTGGGTAGCGGACTGACCGGTGTGACAGCGCCATGTTGGCCCTCGTAGGAAAAAGAGACGGGAGGCGCCTCATCTGGTGTGGCGATAATGCCACCGCAGGAACCACATGTGGCACACGCGTGGGGGCTCTTGACCGGTCACGGATAGTTTCAGTCTTCTTCTATTTGTGCACCACGTCTTCAGTGAGATAATATGAGATTCGGTAAAGGTCTCTTCGCCAAATGCCGATAATGCACTTAAGGCGCCATAGAAAACGAGCCCGCGAAGCTAGGTACTTTGCCTTTTTGTCACCAACTCTTGTGAGACTTGCTGTCACACGCGCTTACCAGACCGGTACGGAACTTTCATATGACAATAGCATCTCATCCTCGGCTCATAATAGAACACCTCTTTGTCTATTACTCCCCGAGGACGGACGTGTGTAAGTTTAGCGCTCGGCTCGTCGTTTTAGAGGATGCCCAGGCATCTGACTGCTTGATCTCCCTTTCGTGTAATTAGTTGTGTCCATTGTTGCGCATTCTCGCCTTTTCGGTGACGACAGCGGTTTGTTTTTCTTTCTGATTTCTGTTCAGCCGTTTTAGACCATATGATAAACTATGGCCTACAAGGTTATGACAAAATCCGGTAACGTAACATACCAGAGAAGCTCATGGTATTTTGGGTTACTATCTACCTTTGTTAGGTCACTCACATGATTGGGGGTTTGGGGCGGCTGGGTTCAGGTGGCAAACCCGCCTGGATGGGCAAGACATTTTAGTGATTACACGGACGTTGGAATTCTGAACCGCCCAAAGCGGCGGCTGGCACGTCCCAGCCAGCCGGGAGCCCCGTAACCAGTACCGAGCTCCCGGTCCTCCTTTGTGGTTTGCAGGAGGAACAGGCCGCGCTTTGTTACACAAAACCCGGCATTCAGAGTCCGAGGATGCACTGTACAATGGCTCTGGCCTTGTAAGGAGAGGTAATCATTGTGTTCAGTTGTTCAGTCCGGTGGTTCGGTGGCTCGCTTGCTCTTTGTCGCTTATCTGTTTGCCGGTTCACTCAATCAACAACCAAGGGGTGGTAATGGACGAAAGGGGAGAAGGAGTTCACCATAAGACTTCTTTTATTATGCCGTCTTTTGGTTCAACGAGGCCGGTATTCCTTCGAGACAAGATGGGATGTTAGCCAACGGCATAAGTATAATTAGGTTCGGTTTTGGTGTTCCACTGCTCGTACAGCCGCCGCTTTTCTATACTTCATCATTCTGACATTCCTATATCGTTTTATGCCAACACGACCGCGATGTCGTCCATTTCCTGGGGTCTTATTCAACAGGCGGAGCTCGTCAGCCGATCTCGCTCGAACAACTCATCCAAGCCTGCCCACATCTTTTCGATCCATCTTGTTTTCAAAGTTCCTCTCGTACATGGCTCGGCAACAAGCTATGAGCATCTTAACATCCACGCGGAGCTTATCTATGGTCTCAAGCCAGTTCCTGAACTCGAAAATAGCAACGGTACAGATGCGGTGCTCAAAACACTCCGCGGGAAGTACAAAGATGGGTCGATTGTTGCCTATCTTTGCGGCGGGCCGGGAGACGGCAACCCACCGTTCACTATCAAAGAGTTGAATAATTACTTTCTCGAGAAGGGCCGGTCAATATTATATGTCGACTACCGGGGTACTGGTCTTAGTAGCCCTGTCACAGCGGCAGTCATGAGGACCAAGGGAAATGCTAAGCAAAGAGCCGAGTACTTGACACACTTCCGCCAAGATTCTATCGTTGCAGATCTCGAGGCTATTCGGAAATGCCTTGGTGGACCGACATTCTCCCTTCTTGGTCAGTCGTATGGAGGATGGGTTGCTATGACCTACTTGTCGTTCTTGCCGGGCAGCTTGAAGGAAGTGTGGTTGACCGGAGGGATGCCACCCATTGGAAAGACGCCAGACGACACGTACAAGGCACTTTACAAAGGCCTGATAGACATCAACAAGGAGTACTACAAGGAGCATGAGAAAGACAAGGCGGCAGTTTCTCGGATTGTTCAATGGCTTCATGAGAGACATGAAAACGGGGTCAGTATCCGAAACGGAGCTAGGTTGACGTGGAGAGGGTTTTTAACCCTAGGCCGACGCTTAGGGGCCGAGGGCGGGTTTAAAGCTGTGCATGGGATTGTTCAACAATTTGACAAAGCCGCCAAGTCCCAAGAGTCTAAGGATCTCTCGGATGCAGTGAGAGCATTTGACGAGATAAATGGCACAGGATTTAGGCTTCCCCAGCGGCCGTTGTATGGAGTGATGCACGAGGCCATATATTGCTCTGGGCCTAACATCGTGTCCAACTGGGCGGCACAACGGATCGGAGGTTCTTACGACCCACACCTTTCTTGGCTGCGCAACGGCTCAACGGATCTTTGCTTATCTAACGGCGGCCCAACGCCCTACTTTACGTCGGAGATGATCCATAGCTTCATGTTGGAAGATGCGGGCCCCGAGCTGGAACCGTTCCTCGAACCTGCGAACATCCTCGCCAAAAAATACAACTGGCCAGCCCTTTATGACACGGCGGCCCTGCGGAATAATACAGTGCCCGTCCGCGCGTTGATGTTCCCAAAAGACTTATTCGTCGAGTACGAGCTGTCCCTCGCTGCGGCCAATGATGTGAGGTGCTGTAAGGCTGTTCCGTCGCCAAAGGAATGGCTTCATGCTTCTATCAAAACGAATACTGAGGAGGTCTGCAAAAAGTTCATCGGCGGTGAGTTGAAATTAAATAAGGCACGTGGTAAGCAGGCGGCGTTTTGGAGTTTTGAAGAGGATTGGGATTATGGATCGGATTGTTGTAGGACTTCGTGATTTGGATTCTGAATTATTTGGCTTTCGAGGTTGTGGAGTTCGGGTGCGGGAGGATCGGTGATCAATGATAGATAGATCATATGATATTGCCTTAGGCATAAAGAGGATATTAAATTTTGATTTGGCCGAGTAGTCATCAATATTTCTCCGCCTGGAAAACAGGATTGGGATGTTCATGAGCGGATGTTACAGTCGCCGGCTTTTTGCATTTCCGTTTTCGTCACTTACACAGCTGCGCACAGTGCGTAATACCCTTAACCCCGCATTCTGCAAGCATTAACTCGGTAATTACCTTGCCTGATGCTACGGTAACTAGGAGGCGCGGGAGGGTAGCAAGGAAACTCGCGAACGAAGTTGATGTTGGGCGAATTAATCGTAAATGCAGTACCAAATAGCCTACTACTAGATTAGAAAGGGCCAGGCATTTCGGTTTCAATGTATGTACAGTAAGTACATGTAGGTATGTACAGTACCAAGTATATACATACCTTCCCGAGATTCATTGAGATCGAGCTGATGGTGCGAATACAGTGTGTATATTGCTCAAAGTACTGTACGTACTTTCGGCTTTTCACCACATGTCCATCGGTTAGGTGCAACGACGGGGTAGGATAATGAGTGGCGTTCAAAGGATTCCTGGGCGAGAGGAGCTTACCTAGAGATTCTCAGTAAATCAGAGGAATGTTTGAGGGCAGCCGGTGTTAACCGGTGACGCTGGAAGCGAAGCAGTGTGCGCGACAAATATCGGGCACGTGGGGCAGCAGGGCGAGCTTCTCTTGGGTCCAATTTTTTTTCCTTTGTATGATTCACAGCAGCCAGCCCCAACAACCCAAACTTGTTTACTCCCCTCCTGCACCAACAAACGACTCACACGACTAACATCGCCATGGCTTCCAACTCTGCCCCAACGCTCCTTTGGGGCGGCCGCTTCTCTGGTAAGTCAATGGGCTGAGGAAGTTTCGGTTTCCCGAACTCTATTCTTGTTTTCTGATCGTTGAAGCTAACGTTTCCCGCACGAAATAGGCGCAATTGACGACCTCATGTTCCAGTTCAACGAGTCGCTCTCGTTCGACAAGGTGCTCTACAAGGCCGACCTCCACGGCTCGATTACCTGGGCCAAGGCCCTGCGGAAGCTCAACGTTCTGTCTGACGAGGAATTGGAGCAAATCATCACAGGGCTGCAGCAGGTCGAGAAGGAGTGGGAGGAGGGGAAGTTCGTCATCGACACCAAATCGGACGAGGACATCCACACTGCCAATGAGCGGAGGCTAGGCGAGCTAATTGGCGATGCCGCGGGGAAGCTGCACACCGGCCGCTCGCGTAACGAGCAGGTTGGTGTCGACATGCGCCTGTGGGCGGGCGAGCAGCTCACCGATATCGCTAGCGCGCTCAAGAGCCTGCTCGCGGTCAGCGCCACCCGGGCCAAGGAGGCGCTGCCCATTCTGATGCCCGGATACACACATCTTCAGCGTGCCCAGCCCGTTCGTTTCTCGCACTGGCTGCTGTCGCATGCCACCTTCCTCAAGGGCGACCTACAGCGCTTGGAAGGCGTTCAGGAGCGGGTCTCTTCGTGCCCCCTGGGCGTGGGGGCCTTGGCGGGCAACCCCTTTGGCATTGACCGCGACTTTATGGCCAAGGATCTTGGCTTCCACTCAGTTCACCCGAACAGCTTGTGTGCTGTGGCGGACCGGGATTTTGTTGTTGAGATTCTGCAATGGGCTAGCCTGTTGATGGCACATCTGAGCCGGTTGGCTGAGGATCTTATCTTGTTCTCAACGGCCGAGTTTGGTTTCGTTCAGGTTGCCGATGCGTACAGCACTGGGAGCAGTTTGATGCCTCAGAAGAAGAACCCTGACAGCCTGGAGCTCATCAGGGGCAAGGCGGGTCGGGTGATGGGCCAGGTGCGTTCCATCCCTCTAATAGCTTTCTCACCGTGCGACTACGGGGAATGCATACTGACAAGAATAGGCTTCCGGCTTCCTGGCTTCGCTCAAGGGCCTACCCACCTCCTACAACAAGGACCTACAGGAGTCCGTTGAGCCCATGATCGATTGCATCAAGACGGTTTCCAACTGTGTGCGCATCACCCAGGGCGTGCTGGACACGCTCACAATCCACGGTGATAAGATGAAAGCGGCGCTGACGGATGACATGTTGGCGACCGACATCGCCGACTACCTTGTTCGCAAGGGCGTGCCATTCCGCAAGACGCACCACATCGCGGGCGAAATTGTGCGTAAGGCGGAAGAGTCCAAGGTGTCCATCTCGGCGCTCCCGCTGGCGGATCTCAAGACCATTTCCCCCCTGTTTGAGGACGACATTTCGCAGGTGTTCGACTTTGAAAGGAGCGTTGAGCAGCGGTCTTCGTCTGGCGGCACCAGTAGCAGCTCTGTGCTCGCGCAGATCGCCGCTATTGAAGAGTACGTGAAGAACTAGGTCTACTTGCTGCTGCAAACATGCACGGTACGAGAGAGAGGTTAGTATATGACACTAAGTAGACTACAGCATAAAAATGGCGAATAGGTAGCACTGTCCCAGCTTGTGAGTGACGGCGATGAAGTTGTTGATGGGACATGAATAAGAATAAAGAATTACATAATGGACCACATATCACGGTCTGGGCGCAAGACGGTTTGCAATGGCACGAAGCCGCAAGCTGCAGGTTCCGTCACAGGAAGCCGTGCACGTTTGGCGGTGAGCCCCTGGGAGCCAACCGAAAGCGTGGTTGGGAAGCCAGCTGCCGATTGGTGACATCATCCGATGTCGTGGAGTTCTCACGTCGCGCGGCGGTCGGATGTCGGACGAAAAGCCGGCGATTGCCGCTCGTTTGGGGCAGTTTGTTCAACCACACCAAAAGTTTTTTGTTCGCCGTTTTCGGGTCCCTGTTTCATCCGTATCAAGCTTTGGACCAACCACGCCCCACATTCATCTTTCAATGATCGATCATCGGCCACCCATCACAGTGACCGCCAGTGAGCCAGTGACCGCGGAGCCACAATCCCAACATAGGCACCATGTCCGACGTTAGGGGAACATCACGGGACCGCCGCGATGTGGACGCTGAGGTGCAGGCACAGGCCCAGGTGGTCGCCGAGCACCTTCCGACGGGGTATACGGCCGAGTTCCACAGCGATGATGGCGCCACGCCGGGGTCGGCAACAACAGCATCCGCGACGACCCCGGTGACCGAAGGGCAGGAAACTCCGGAGTCTTCGTTGAAACTGCAGGGCGGCGATATCCACCGGGATCTGTTCAAGCTCCCCGCGGCGACGCGTTCGCAGATGCACCGGCGCGCCGCGACATTCCATAACCCACGGGAGTTTCACCAGGACGAGGACGCACCCGGGCTGACAGTTGGGGACCAACTTGCTCCGGGCGGGTTTCGCAGGGCGTTTTTGCACCAAAGGCACGGGAATGACTTTGTGGCGGCTCGACTGCCCATTACGCGCAACTTTGTCGAGTTTTTGGATCTGTACGGCAGTTTCGCCGGTGAAGATCTTGTCGACACGGATGAGGAGGCCATTACGGAGGAGGAAGAGGCGGGGGAAGGGGAAGACGAAGAAGCCGGGGCGGGTGAACGGCGGCCGCTCCTTCGACCCAGGGCGAGCTCTCGAGCGCCACGGAACGCGGACGCGGGCACGGTCAAGACGTTCTTCACGCTACTTAAGGCGTTTGTGGGGACGGGAATCATGTTTCTGCCCAAGGCGTTCAACAATGGCGGGATTCTCTTCTCCAGCATCGCCATGATCTACGTGTCGGCCATCACCATGGTGGCCTTCCACCTACTGTTGCAGTGCAAACTGCACTACGGCGGTGGTTATGGTGAGATCGGTAACGCCATTGCCGGCCCTCGGATGCGCGCGTTGGTACTGTTTTCCATCGCGCTGTCCCAGATCGGCTTCGTCTGCGCTGGCATTGTGTTCGTTGCCGAAAATCTCATGACCTTCTTTCACGCCGTCACCGGCGGCCACAGCCCCTTCACCTCGGCCGGGCTCATCGCGATGCAGGTCGTCGTCCTGGTTCCATTGGCTTGGATCCGCAACATCTCTAAGCTCGGGCCGATCGCTTTGTTAGCCGACGCTTGCATCCTCATTGGCGTCGGGTACATCTACTGGTACACTACGTCCTCACTAACCACAGTCGGCCCGGATCCCACCGTCGTGCTCTTCAATCCCGCCCACTACACCATGACGATTGGCGCCGCCATCTTCACTTTCGAAGGCATCGGCTTGATCTTACCCATCCAGTCATCCATGGCGCAGCCGGAACACTTTGAGCCGCTCCTTGGTGTGGTCATGCTGCTGATCACCGTCGTCTTCACCTCAGTCGGCGCGGTATGCTATGCCACGTTTGGCGAACACACCCAAATCGAGATCATCAACAACTTCCCCCAAGACAGCGCGCTGGTGAATACCGTACAGGTGCTGTACGCCATCGCCGTGCTCGCCGGCACGCCCGTGCAACTGTTCCCAGCGCTGCGTATCGTCGAGGGCAAGATCTTTGGTCACATGCGCTCGGGCAAGGGGAGTTTGCGGACGAAATGGACCAAGAATGCGTTTCGGTTCGGGGTCGTCGTCTTTTGTGGGCTGGTGTCGGTGGCCGGCACGGGGAATCTGGATCGGTTTGTCGCGTTGATTGGGAGTGTGGCGTGTGTGCCGTTGGTGTATGTGTACCCAGCGTATCTGCACTGGAAAGGCGTGGCAACGAAGAGGTGGGTGAAGTGGGGGGATATCGCGCTGATGGTACTAGGGATGGTGGGTATGGTGTATACGTCGACCGTGACGATTGTGAACAGCTTTTTGTGAACACTGAGCATGTATGGAGTTTTGGACAAGGGGTAAAACCATTGGATTGAATTGCAACTCGGTCTGGATTTATTTAGAATTTCAACTAATTGCCTGTTATATGATTGACCGTAATTATCATATCAAGCAGTAACCGGAGATTATTCTCGCCCCTAATTATCTTCTAGAACTGATCATGACTCTACTGTAAGACAAGTGAACATTGTGATTCATAGGAACCCTGCGGCAAAGTTTTCCCCACACCAACTCTGAATTCACGGTCTCGTCTCAAACGCAAGCGGGGCCTCGGCTTAAGCTTCTCAACTCCATCCCACTCCGACCTCAACCGCTTCTTTCCAACCATCCCTCGAGCCGACAGATATTTACCAGACACTCTGTCACCAGTACCACCATAACTGCCCCACTAGCTCATAATTATGATGGTCAGCTCTCAATGGCGGCCCATGACCGAGGCCGACATTCCCGGTGTGATGCGCGTCGCTGACGAGATCCATCGTGACCTGCCGGAAGACGAATGCGTCTTTCGCGAGCGCCTACACCTATTTCCGCAGGGTTGCATGGTCCTTGCTTCTTCCGAGCCAGGCCGGGCAGAGGCGGAACAAATAATAGGCGGCTACGTGATATCCTTTCCGATCCGCCGGGGCAAACCGCCGGCGCTAAACGAGATGCTGGGCGGTGGCTGGATTACGGACGACGCGGATCAGTATTATCTACATGACCTTGCGATTCAACCCAGTTTTCGGGGTCGCGGAGCTGCGACAGAGGTGCTAGGGAGGGTATTGGAAGTGGCTAGGCAGTGGACGTCGGTGTGTTTGATATCGGTATATGGCACTGTGCCGTTCTGGCAGAGGTTTGGGTTTGTGCCGGTTGAGCGGGAAGACGGAGCCATGCAAGAGAAACTGAACGGGTATGGCCCTGGAGCGACGTTTATGGTACTGAACGGGACGAAAGAGGGTGAGCACTCCTGATATTCCGTTGATCCCTTGACCCCAAAACTAGACCCCGCTTATCTATCTACCTTCCACAATTATCCTTGCTGCACACAGTGTTCTCGTGGATGTACTTGATCTTCCCTCCTTCAATCCTCACGAAATTGTTCGTCTGCGTGCCCGGATCTCGAGGGATAGAGGTGTCAAGAAACGGAAAGTTGTGAAAGATATCCACAGCCCCAAGCTGCTCATCAATCGTGTACACACGGTAGGTGATGTTAAAAGGCGGAGGAAAGTTGAGCAAGCAGTTGCCCCCCGATATGTACGAGCCGCCCTCCAACCGGGCACAGTCGCTAGCGAAGGGGGGCTTGACGGCGTCGTCGCCCCAAGCGTCAATGTACGCATCCCCTGCGGCCTGGATCACCTCGCGCGTATCCCGATTGCCTTCGGGGATGGAATCCCACGTTTCTTTGCTGTTGTATTCAAGAGACCCCTTTGCGTTGAACAGCCAGTCTCCCGAGTTACAAACGTTGGACCGAATCTCAGCAATTTTGTTGTCCGTGTTCAGAGCGAGTCGTGTCCCGATTACATAGGCTAGGTCTGTCGTGGCGACAATCTCGGTGTAGGAAGCGCACTGGGTGGTGTCGTAGATGCTGCGGTTGAAGTCGATTTGTATACCGACTGACAGCAGTCCTGCGGCGATATCGGCCGGCGCGTCGTTCTCGATGTAGCTAACGTCGGGTCCCGCAAGGCCAGAGATGCCTGATGGTCCATTACCCGCGGCGAGGGCTGCCACGTAGCTGGCCGTGAGGTCTTGGAGAAGTTCCCTAGTGCATTCTGCTGCGGATAGAGAGAAAATATGCACAGCCGCGCAGAATATAAAAAAGAGCATCGCGTTTAGTCTCTGGTTTGCTGAGTATCTAATGCGCTGGACAGCCGGAAATGAGAGATGGCTCCGAAGAAAGTCCCGGGAGGGCGACCTAATATGTTAGCTCCCACCATCTAGGTCAACATTTGAGCGAGGGGCGTCGGACATTATTCTGCTAAAAGTGAGGGGTCCTATTAATTTATCGGCGTGACCGGGCTTCGGTAGTTAAACAGACATGAGCCTAGCCTCGAGGAACTTTAGCCGTCTCAGGAGGAATATCAGTTGCCGGCCGACGGATTCTTGCTACTCCTGGATAACTACTTCCAGTGCAGATAGGTAGCCAGTCAAGGAGTGGAATTCGACCTCAAACGGCAATATAGTATTCCAAAAGAAGCTTCAGGGGGTAATTAGTGTTCATACTATTCTCCTACTAGATACGGCGATCGATGGTAACGTCCCCCCCAACCCCCCCCCATGGCTTACACGAGTTCCCTTCGACGGTAGTGTGGCACCAGAAATATCGGCTGGCTAACCAGTCCTTGTCTCGCCTCGAGCGATGGCCCGCTGGTATTGTGCCAGGTATTATTGTCCATTTATGACCTGCTGTTCTGAGCGTCGCCATTGAAGTCCCTTCGCCCTTAACACCAGTAGCATGCCGCATTGGAGAAATAGGGCTGCTCCGAACACCATGAAACATCACCCCGGTCCAACACTCTGAATAAACGCGTCAAGACCGGCTAGACAAGCTGCTGCCATCTCGCAGCGCACAAAATTGCAGGCAGCTTGGGCTGTTGAGGGCCGGTCCGGATGGAGGTCTACAAGCAGCGTGTTGAGCGCCGTGAACACCATCTGGATCGTCAAGCCTATAAGAAATTGCAACAGCAGAGGTACGGCCATAGAAACGCCAGCCCGGAGTGACCAGCCGTAGCCCATGGTGAAGGCAGCGCCCAACGCGACACTAAAAACAACAGTGCGAAGTCGGGCACGTTCGATTTGGAAATTTCCGAGATCTGTGACGTTTTGTCTCATGAGTTCAGCCCCGGTCCCGGTGACGGTTTTCTTGAAATCGAAATCGAGAAGGTTCCCGGTCCCAAAAGCACTGAGAGCAACGGCGATACCGAACGGAAGATAAACTAAACCGGCTACCAGACGGGACACGTGGTAAATGTTGACAAACAAGCTCGATAACGAAGCCTGGAGGCAGCAGTAAACCGTGTAGTTAATGCCGTATGAGACCAACACGATTGCAGTCCCGGGTTTGCGGAGGATTTGTAGGGTCGTAAGCGGGTTTGGGAGATTTCTACGACGCTGTTGGGGTGGAATAGCTGGCTTAGTGTCGCTCGTATCGTATTTTCTGTTAGGAGGCAACGGTATCAAAGCTCGATTAATGTCTCTCGCCGGTATCGTACCATTCCCGACAATGTTCCGTGCCGTCTCAGGAAGAAGGAGAACCATCAATGTCAAGCAGACTCCAGAGCCTATGGCGAGAAACCAAAATATAGAGCGCCAGCTCCAGCGAAGGAGCAACACCCCGCTCAGAACTGGACCAAAGCTCGGAGGCGTGTTGATGCTAGAGGCTCCCTTGGTTAGCATAGTGGACTCTCTCAATTCATGGGTCGGACTCGCATCGACGAACAAGAATGAGATAATTCCCGAGTAACCTCCTCGTTCAGCTGGAGTAAACAGATCCCCGAGAACACCGTACGCAATCGAAAAGGTTCCAGATATCCCGGCGCTTTGCAGCATCCTCAGAACGAAAAGCGCAGAAAAGCTCCCTTGTAATGCAAGCCCGATGTTGGCTGCAAAATAGATAATGAGCGCGGCCAAAAAAACAGGCCGCCGCCCAAACCGATCGGCAGCATCGCCCATTATCGAGGGAAAAATTCCGGACATGATGAGGTAAGAGGTGACGGTTAGGTTAACTTGTTGGACACTGACGCCAAGATCGGATGCCAAAAACGGGATCGCAGAGAAGTAACTGAAGCTGCTGATACTTGAAAACCACCTGCCAAAAGCGGCGAGACCAATGATCATATGCTTGTGCCGTTATGGAAAGGCGGAGTAGGCTTCTGTCGTTTCTTCGGTTTGTGCTAGCCGCATCACCTTCTCCCGGCTTTTATCGTCTCCATTGTCTGCCATCATGCTGCCGCGACAATGTTGGTATGTTGTTTAAACTGATGCTATCCTCGCCCTTGACTGGTTGGATTCAGTAACACGGCCCTCCCGGGCTAGAGTTTTGAGATTTGTGTGACAAATGAGGGGAAAGTGGGTGTAATTACTGCAGGGGGGCACTTGCACTGAGCAAAGCGCGAATGCAACTCCCTCGTGGAAGGGACAGTTACATCCAACACGACCATAGACCATTAGTATTCATGGTAGTGATACAGACGACCTGCAGATGGAGTTCGGGACCCTAACTGAAATCTAGCCGCTTGAACACCGTTTATGGATCTCATGGGAAAATAAAGTAAAGGTTTAACTAGGTAGGTACCTACTCATCCAAGACGAGAAGTTTTATACACCTCGCAGCCTTTCAGTTTTCCTACCTACTCTAACTAGCTTGGATGGTTACCTTGGCAGTCTCAAGCCCGTCAGCAGAAGCCGTGATGGTAATATCACCCGAACTACCCTTCTCTGCCTTGACAACAGCCAACGCTAGGCCACTGAACGCACTCCGTGTCAGAGACGGGAAAGCCGTCATGTCATCAGGCTTGCCGTTGTCTGTCGACACGATCTGGCCAGGGCCCTCAATCGAGAAGGTAATTTCGTTATCGGCATACGGCACGGTATCCCCGTTCTCGTCGACAACAGCCACCGTGATGAAGGACAGGTCATACCCATTCCCCGCAATAGTCGTGCGGTCGGCCGTGGCGTTCAACGCGGTAGCGTCACCAACAGTCTTCTTGGAGTCCACTGCCCACTGCTCGCCTCCCTTGTACACCACCACGCTCACGTTGCCCGGTTGGTACACCACATCATCCCACCGGAACCGGTACTCCCCTTGGTCCCTCTTGATCCGCCCAGCCGACTTTCCATTGACAAACAGCTCGGCTTCATCCCCGGATGAGAACACATGCACGGGTGTCACCTGGCCGACCCGGTCCTGCGACCACGTCCAGTGCGGCAGGATATGGGCCATGGCCAGATCCGACCGCCACCGAGCCTGATACAGATAAAACCGGTCCTTCTTGAACCCGGCCAGGTCAATGATCCCGAAATACGAGCTCCGCGCAGCGTCATACGGCGTCGGTTCGCCCAGGTAGTCCCAGCCGGTCCACACAAACTCGCCCGCGACAAAGTCGTTGCTGTCCTGCGCCGCGAAGACTTTATCCGGGGACGAACCCCAGGAGGTGGCATACAGCTCGTAGGCACTGACCTGCTGGGCGGACGAATCGCCGCCGGAGCCGTCGCCGACCGTGGCGCTGTTGGAGGAGGTCACGGGGAAGAGGTAGGTGCCGCGGGTGCTGAGGGCGGACGAGCTCTCGGTGCTCCAGACGACCTTTTGGGGGAATTTGCTGTGGAAGGCGCCGAAGGAGCCGTAGGGGGACCCGCCTTGGCCTTCGCCCTGGTAGTTGAGGCCGATGATGTCGACGACGCTCGCCAGCGCGCTGTCGGGCCCCGCTGCGTTCATGGCTACCGTCGTGAGACGGGTTGGTTCTTCGTCGTGGATGATGTCGTGGAGCACTTTGGCGGTCTCGCCGGCTTCGGAGGATGTCTGCTCGGCGATCTCGTTGCCGAAACTCCACGCGATGATGGACGGGTGGTTGCGGTCACGGCGGAGGAATGCGCGGAGATCGGGCTCGCGCCAGTCAGGGAAGATGCTGTGGAAGTCGTTTTTGGCTTTCGCTCCGTTCCAGCAGTCGAAGATTTCGTCGAGCACCAGAAACCCGAGCTGGTCGGCCAGGTCCAGAATCTCGGGGGCGGGGGGGTTGTGGGAGGTACGAAGGGCGTTGCTGCCCATCTCTTGGAGCCCCGTCAGTTGGCGTTCGGCGGCCCGGAGGTTGAACGCCGTGCCGAGGGAGCCGTGGTCGCCGTGGTTGCAGGTGCCTTGGATTTTCAGGAACTGTCCGTTGACGGCGATGCCACGGTCTGGGTCATAGGTGATGGTGCGGATCCCAAAGGGCGTTTGGTAAGTATCGACGACCGTCCCATTGACCGAGAGCGTCGTGATCGCGACGTACAGGTTCGGCTTCTGTTCTGGGACTGGGCCCCAAAGCTGGGGTTTCGTTACCGATGCAGTGCCGTTGACGGCCTTCTTCTCACCGGCGGGGACGGAGACGGTAGCCTCCTCAAAGGTGGCTACAACCTCGTCTCCGGGGGTGCCTCCAATGGCATCGATGGTGTGGATTTCCGTGACCACGTCCACCTCCTGGTCAGAGTCGCCATCGTTCTGGACATCCACAACCAGCTCGACGGTCGCCGCGTCCTCGGACACCTCAGGGGTCGTGATGTAGGTTCCAAACTGGCCCACGTGCGTCGGGTTGGTCTTGACAAGCCACACATTGCGGTAGATACCCGCCCCGGGGTACCATCGGGAGTTGTCCAGGACATTGTCCAGCCGGATCGCAAGAATGTTGTCATCGCCAACCTTCAAGCGGGATGTCAGGTCCAGGCGGAACGAGGCATACCCATACGGCCAGCCGCCCACGAGCTCGCCGTTGAGCCACACGGCCGAGTAGGACATGGCGCCGTCAATGTCCAAGAAGATGGACTTCCCCTCATCTCCAGCGTCCAGAGACACCTTTCTGCGGTACCACCCCACGCCGTTTGTCGGAAGACGGCCCATGCCACCGCTGACGCCAGGCGCGTTGAACGGCCCCTTGATGGCCCAGTCGTGGGGGACATCCACATCTTCCCACTCGCTGTCGTCGAATGTGGCTTGGACGTATTGTACATCGCTTCCCGGCGCGCTGTCAGAAGGCGTGTCGTGTTTGGAGCCCTTGATAAAGTCGTTTCCGGAGGGCAGGATCCAGTCTTTCAACGTGTCGTAGGAAAGGGAGTCAGGGTTGGAAGTGAAGCGCGAGAATTTCCACCCTTCGTTGAGGCTAACGCGTTGGCGCCCTGCGTCATCGGCGGCCTGAACGGCCGTGACTGCCAGTGCAAATAAGGAGAAGAAACGCATCGTGGCCGGCGCACGATAAAATCGTGGTGTTGCGCGTAAACAGTCACGGATGGGTAATTAGTTAATACACGAATCCAACTACATGCCGCTTTCTGCGGGAACGGCAACCACAAACTTTATAATACATTGTCTCTGTCAATCTAGCCATCGTGCCGTTGTGTCTCGCTTCCATTGTTGCGCGCTCTGCTTGCAGACTCCATCCGTAATACCTTCCAAAAAGGGGTCGGATTTCCCTCCAGTTCAGGGGTTGTTCGGTGGTTGAAAGGTTTAAACACAACATTTCCGTCCAACCCCGCACCCCATCTTGCCCATGATCTCATAACCCCGGGAGCCGGTTCCGGTCTTTTTCGATTTCTCCATCTATCCCCGCAGGAGAATGGCAACCGCCGTTCGTGGGATATTTCCGAGCGTTACATTTAGCCACCGCCGACCCTTACAACCCTAGCGTGAGATGCTCGCTTCCGTCCATCAGTAACAATTCATTGAGCATTTACCGGCTTTTGATCTGCTTTTCTCTCTCGAAATCACAGGCGGAGACCCGCCCAATTGGTGCGGATAACTTGGCAATTTAACGCCAGAGTTCGACTTCGGCCCGCCGCAGAAACACGGTCCGGCCGGGCCACCCGAGATCCGAGAAAGCACATGAAAGTCGATGCGCACGAGTCGCAACTCACTATATCTGTTCGTGATATTTCGCCTTCGAGTCAACACCGGGAAATGCGCGCCGGAGAGAGTGTGGCATTCTGACTAGCGGCCTGCAGAGCGCACACCTAAATCGCATGCCCATCGCTAATCCTCCTCTCTTCCGCCCACGTCCTGACCTTGTCAAAGTCTTTGCAGAGATGTGTTGCTCCCGTTCCATCTGTATCTGGGATTTTGGCCTTCAAATTCTGGCCCTCCAGCGCCGTGTCGGCACAGCAAACGATTGACTGCCGAAGGTACCGGAAACAGTGGTCAACGTGGCGTCGCATCTTTTTTCGGGACATGGTTTTGCCGTCGCTGGCGATGTCGTCGTCGTTCCGGCCGCGGAGTTGGCCTGAAGTGGCTTGCTGCTCGAGTTCGTCGTTGACTTGGTTCCACATCTTCATGACACTGTGCTACGTGCGTTGCTAAAGTAAGAAAACGCCAATGCTGGGTATTGGGCAGAATAGAACTCACCAGACAATGGAGCTGGTGGAAGACCGCGATCGAGTAGTATTCTCCCGCCTCGCCGACCATAGGCGGCGGGAGGACATGGCTATCGTCGTGAGGAACGCTCATGAAGCCGTTCCCAACTGTCTGTTGTCAGCTTCTACTCTTCAAGTCGTGTCCTATCGCATAACGTACCCGGCATGAAAGACGCCCAATACTCGTATGTGGCATTCGCCGACTCAGCCGTCTTGTGATCCGGCGTCGACCGTGGATCATCGTCAAAAAGGACGGGCACGACCGGAACTAAACATCTACTGTTAGCAACATAACGTACATAGCAAGTACAATTAGAAGTACGAATAAACCCTAGGACACCCACATTCCGGGACCAACCCATTAATCTCTCCCATCAGCCCCACGCCCGGTAACGCCCGCCAATACATGACCCAGCCGGTTATCCCGATCAGTCCGATAAGCAGGCCAAGAACCGCGTGGAGCGTATCCCACCACCATGTCTTACACCTCCCGCCAAGATGCCACCGGTGCTTAGCTCCTAGCTTTGCTTCCCTCGAGTCATCGGAGAACGTTGGGCTTGGCAACAACCCAGCAGCTTCCTGGTCATGTTCGTATTTGGGGTTGGGAATTGTGGAGGAGGAGAGGTCGACGCTGGAACGGGCAGACGAGGAGTTCATGAGGGGCAGGAACTTGCAGTGTAAGATCCGAAGTAAATTATTCTCGAGTTATCAAAAAGGAAAAAGGGAATTAGCGTCTTCAACGTGATGAAAGAGCGACATCGCTTGTTATTCTAGTCCTTGTTATGAAAAAAGAATGAGTCGAGCTAGTGTAGGGAAACAAATCCTTGAAAATCTTGGCCAAGGGAGGAGAATGATGTTTCCAGTTGTCCTCCTTGTCTATGCAATGGCGCAAAAAATCTGGCATTGGGCGGTGATCAAGAGGGGAGGTCTAGCCTCTTTCGTAACCAAATAGGAACTGTGAGTGGCGTTGGCGGTCTGAGGAAACTTGAACCATCGATGTTTGCTCTCGGTAATTACATCATCCAAAACGCCCCTACTCCTCGGGAGTAAATTGAAGCAAAACAACAACTTCAAATCCTAACTGTAACTGTTGGTCTCCAGCTAAATTCTGTAAGACGAGTTTACTAGCTCCTGCAATCTTCAGCGTCCTGTGCGTACCCAAACTTAAGGGAAAAGGCTGCAGCTCGTAGTTGACACGAACCCCGCCACAATATTTAACTGCACGCGACCCAAGAGCCAGGGCTTATAAAGTATGGAAGCTCAGATAATCATCTTTTCTTTTATCATAATTGTTCTCGAAGTCAGGCCCGGGTACAGTCTCTTTTCTCCCAGGACAGCCGTGGATAACTTGATAAGAAACGAGATTCAATATCCCACCAAGAACACCAATGTCCCTGATAGCAGGCCCCGGCGATGGGGATATGGCTGCGAGCTTCGCCATTAAAGTTGCCATTAGTGCATGGTAGCCTTATCAATGGTGGCGTTCACGACTGTTTTGCCGCTTTCCTGTCGTTATTGAGGGTGGGGGTTGTCGATACGGCTTAGTGTGCTTTTTGGAAATAGTTACATGGGATAGTGAGTTACTGGGCGAGTTTGAACTTACGAAGAACGAATACTCTCCCTGCAAAGTCACCTTACATACCTAACTTGTTACTTCCCATGCCTCCGTAACGTTACGGCATTGGGCTTTCCTGGCGAGAGCCTTGGTCACAACCCTAACTCTCCAACACCCTTCCCGCTCGTTTTCGCAGCCAAGAGCCGACATTGTGACAGGCGCCCTGCTTCCCTTTTCTGAACTGGACAGCAAACAAAGTGATCCCACACAAACCGAAGGCGACCAGGATGGTCGCATCCAATGCAAGACATTCGACAAGGCCCACCTGCCTTGATACGAGATACGGAGACTTTTGCGCCACCAAGGAGCACTGTGTTTGTGTTTGGTTTGCTCTGGTTTTGCCAGACGCGACTTGCCTCTAGACGGCCTGGGTTTGTGCCCGGAGCACGTCGGAAGCACAAGGCTGCATTGCATACGTTACCGGCCTTGAAGGAGCCCCACTTCATCGATGTGATGGAAGAAGCCTCAAGGCTCAGGGGCAGAGTGCCTTTCGCGGCTGGGATGCCCCACAAGAACCACAGCGTGAGCGCATGGAGCGGGCGGCTTGTTCCCCTGCGTCCTGCAGCCCAGTGACTGAAGAAAGTTTGCCGGACATGCTCCTCTCATCTCGCCTCCGTGATATCTACAGCTGCGAAGGCTTTGTGCCTCCGCTGGATTTGCTTCGTTGACGGATTGATCTCATCCTCCGAAAACCTGATGAGAACCGCGAGGAACCACCAATAAAGCTTCGCGCAACCCTAACCCTATATTGTGCTCTTGTCGTCCAATTTAACTTGGACCCCAGGCGAGAAACGTGGGGCAGTCTTACAGCGATCCACAAAGTCTGTGGCCCTCTCTGCGCAACGGTAGGCCCGAGACATTGGCTCCCACCTCAACGCTTTCGGGGGGTTCGACTGATGTTGTTCTGCGTTCACGGTATTTCGAGAACATTGCCATATTTTTGCAGAGTTTCCAGGCACACACGGGTGAGCGCTACAGCTTAAAATAACTAACCCGACCGTTGCAAAGAAGCAGCACGAAGAGGTCAGCCTTTTCTTCTCCCTCCGTGTAGAGCGGAGAGAAGATGGCCCGTGTGCTGGGATCCAGGGCCCAAAGCCGAATTTCCTTCAGCCCCTGTCCTGGCAAGCAAAAAAAACTGGGGAAAGGCCCGGGTGGAAATGACTGACGGCTGCAAAACGACCCTTGTTGTGATTGCAGCTTCTGCTTCTCGGTGCCTGATCCTCAAGAACACAAGAACAAGGAAGGACACAACGAAGGGAATAGGTGAACGAACTACGTGACACCGACCGTCAAATCGACACTATCTTTCCTGTCATGAAACGAAAGCGAAGCTGAATCGAAGGTTTTGCACGCGATGGCTACAAGGTTGGAGTGTCGCGGGTCCGATTCTGCCCTGCCAGGAACAGCGTGTGGTGCTGTGCCACAAATCCAACAGCTTGGCGGGTGCGGCTGACCCGAAAGGTCGCTAGCGTCGACATGGCACCAGGGATCGCCGCTTCTTTTTTCATCTTAGCGCTCTGCGAAACGGAAAGGTGTGCGACTCAGGAACGAGGAGCATGGGCAGAGCGGAATGATTCTGGGGATGGGGGACGGAACCAGGGGCAGGAGGAAGGAAAATCTCGCGCGACTTGTGTCGGTTGACAAAATTGTTCTCGCTGTTCCGTTGTCTGGTGGTTTGATACCGAAGCTCCCCTTTTCGTGACATCTCGCGCCCGTCAACACCGAACGGTCATCGTCAACGGGCGCCAGCGACGACAGCGACGACAGCAGCAGCAGCAGCAGCAAAGGCAACTCCTCTCTCCAGCGATGGTCGCGATGAACGTACGACGGCTTGCTGCCGCCGCCGCTGCTGCGGCCTGCCTTCCCGCCGTGTCTGCGGTGCAGTTGGGTCCGATCGGGCCTGCTCAGACCTCACCCGCCGAGCTCCAAGATATCCCGTTCGACATCAACCCGCCCACCATTACGCCCGCTCCAGTAGCTCCCCGGGCAATTCTACAGAAGCGGGACACCGCGACGTGCGGTTATGTTGATGGTGATGGAGGTCAGTATCCATCCCAAGAGGCCTCCTCTAGGCTGCTGGAGGAGAATTGGGTGCACGCGTTCGGCCGTGACGTCGGGTGAGATGGTCTTGGTGAAAGACAACTACTGACATGAAACATAGCGAACGGCTACGTCTGCGCAAACTCCGCCGCCCGGTGTCTGTACAATGACCAAGCCTCGGCCGTCGGCTGCTGCTTGACCACCTCTTGCAACATTTACACTGCCTGTTTAGACTATGCCTCGTCGTCGGCCACGAAGACGTTCAACGCCGACAGGACGCGATTTTGGTAAGCCATCGACTATCGAAGCTTAGGTTGAATCAGCTCCCAAGATGCTAATAACGCGGTCACCCCAGCTCCAACTCGGCACTGCCGTACTGCGCCTACTACAAGTACGACGAAAACGAGTCATCTCTGGCCGGCTACACCATCCCGACTTGCGACAGCACGCGCGGCAGCTACATCATCTTCCTTACATCCACCAGCGCCAGTGCCACCGCTACAGGAAGCTCCTCCGAATCCTCTTCGTCGTCCACGTCCGAGTCGTCGTCGGCATCATCCACCGAGTCGCCCTCAGCCACCGGCACCGAGACGGACGGTCTTCCCGCGGAGACCAGCTCCACCGCTACTGCGACCCCTGAGCCTTCGTCGGGCGCGCCTATTGGAGCGATTGTTGGTGGTGTTATTGGTGGTATCGGTACGTGTTGTAACCGCAAAAACGCCCCCCCCCCTCCTCTCTCCTCTCTTTGTTTTCTCCAAGACAACGGTCAGCAGCTAACAACCTTTTCCACAGCCGCGCTTGCTCTCGTCGGCCTCGGCGTCTTCTTCCTCATGCGACGTAACAGCAAAAACAATCGTCACAATTCGCCCCCCACAACCGCCGTCGGCACCGTTCCCCCCAGCTTCCCTGGCGGGCCTCCCGGTGGTCCATACCAGCAGCTTCCCACCCAAGCTTCCCCGCAACCGCACATGTCCGTCATGGGCGACCCGGCCGCTCTCGACCCGCGCTACAACAACGGCCTGCACAGCCCGCACAGCCCTCATATGAGCATCTCGCCCCAGGGCACGCCATCCCCCGCTCCTTTCGGTCAACAACAGTACGCGCAAGGTTTGGGTGTCGGTCCGATGGGTACTCCGCCGCCGCAGCACCAGGGCCTGGGCACGCCTCCGCCGCAGGGATATGGTGCGCCACCGTCGCCGGGCCACTCGGTGGGCGGGTATGCGCCGTACGGGGCGCCGTCGCCGATGCACCAGCAACAGTATGGCCAGGGGCCTTATGGTGCACCGCAGCAGCAGATGCCGCAGCAGCATCATGCGGTGGAACTGCCGACGCAGAAAGGGGACGGCCAGGTTTATGAGATGTCGTAAAACGGCGGATAAAGAAAGAACTGGAGAAGTGGATTGTTTCGGAGTGTGTTGTGTTGTGTACAAAGCGACGTCCGGTTGGTGTGGGGGGTGGGTGGGTGGAAAAGAGCAGCATTTTGTTTGCTGCTGGATTTGATCTTATCCTTGGTTATTACCCCTTCTTGGATTTCAACTTTCTCCTGTGCATAGCTTTCTCTTTTTCCTCCCTATGTTTATTATCGATTCTGGAGAGAGGCGTTTAGACTGGAGATTGGGTTGTCATTTAAACATGTCCGAATGATGCTGCCTTCCCCCGTTTAGGGGGGATTGCTTGATACGCGGTCGATTAATACAAACAAACCCGGGCCTTGCCACCAAATGAGTCAGTATCGGATGTGAATATTTGCAGTGTGTCGGCATTGAATCGATCGTTGGGTGAACAGAATGGATGGTTTCGTCATCGTGTGAGATCAACATGACGGCCTATTCTAGTACAAGTAAAATGCAGGGGATGTTAACGTAAGAATGACTGTGGACGCTCAGCAGCAATAATTTAGTAACCTCGGGCTTGTCTTATTCTAGAAGAAAAAGAGAAAGAACTTCACGTAAGCATGTTGCGGTATTTATAGCAAGTCGCGGGTGATCCAGAGGGTGCGGTTGGTGACACGGCATGCTGAGCTTCAGGGTCTGGGACGGTCAGGACCAACAAGCTCTCCAAATAACAACCAACTAGAATTCGCTCATTCTTTCGATCGTGATAAGCAAGGAGCAATAGGGTGAGTACATAAATAACGCGCCCGTGGGGCATAGCAAGAGCCTTATAGCCCTGAAACGTGGCCTGGTATGGAGCAAGATCGTCGCGCTGTTTTCCGTTTTCGCGATCGAAACTACCTTCCTAGCTCGTCGCCAACTACACACGTCTCCATACAACTCACTTTGAGTTCGTGGGAATAAGGCAAGACAGGAAAACCCGCCATGGTCAGCGTATCGCGCGCTTGACTGTGCTGTGAGCTTGCGACACTTGGACAGTGCGACAGCCAGATCGTCACGGCACGTTATCTCTCAGCTGTCGTCACCACCATGGCACCACCTTTTTGTCCCGTCAGGCTGCCCAAAGGACCCTGACCCGCTTGCGTTGTTTGGTCCAACCCAGCATGGTCCGGCCTGATCTGGTCTGGTCTGTCTGGTCTGGTCTGGTACGTACTTCCTCAGAGTCCAAGACCCAACGGTTACCAGCTCCAGCTCCAGCTGGACCTTCCCCAATACCGTCCGGTCGGGACCAGCCACCTTGCATTGACGCATGTGCGTTGGGTCTCGTCCTACCTCTGTCACAAAGCAGCGCAGGATGCGGCAGGTACATATTCAGCAGCGTCAGCTGGCGCTCTTGGGCGTTGAGGCACGACAGCTGAGGGCTGGTGAGGCGGCCAATGGTGGGGAAGACGAGCATGTGGCAGCCATGATGGGATTTGCTAAGGTCAGCTCGAGACGTCAAGCTAGTTTGAACCTCGCTGATGACGAATGATGAGTGGCGAGGTAACGAAGGTATGAGCAACCCCAATAGTGTAGGTCGACGAGGCGTCTTCGTTCTGGACGCAATATCCCAACGACAGAAACAGGTTATCAAGGATTGATATTATGTCGCAAGAGACGTGCAGACAAGTGCTAGCTCGCGTGCCATGCTCTGTCGATTACAGCTCATCCTCGTAGACAAGCTGATAGAATGGCTGGGATATTCAACCCCGGCCGAACCTGCAAGAGATACGCTCTTGATGATGCTGATAGTCTGAGGAAATATATCCACATTGAGAATGATACTTTACTACACGCACAAATGGATCGAATTGGATTAGTGCACTAGAGATACCGGCCCAACTCATAGATTATTATCATTATTATCACGGATATCAAACAGGGAATCATACATCTCGGAGAACTAATTCTCTGCACACAACCACGATGATGGGCAATTAGGCATTGTGTGGCCAGATTTCTTTGCTCTACAAACCAACCGTGCTATTGAGAACTAATTATTGATAAAAGCACATGCCATCGGTATCTCATAACTCCTCAGACCTCAATTGCAACCGACGAGATCGCACCGGAGCCTCCGAAGATTCAGAACCGCGGTAATCGGGGCTACTCGATCAAATGTCTTCTCCACAGCATGTCACATCCCATCGAAGTGGCAGGAGGTTAACCTTATGCATCTAGACCATTGTCTGAAGACTAAGATTGATGCGGACCGCAAAAGTTCCCCGCGCTTTTTTTCAACCTTTCCACAACAAGACGGAGATGGAAATGCAAAGTCCGAGCACAAACCTCCAAAGTCACCTCGTCGTTAAACTCCTTCCCGACTAGATCACATACGCCATCTTATCAACGAATGACCAAAAAGTCGTAATTGGTGTTAGATAGGCCGCTAGACTCGGATTCTTTGCGATTGCCTGTCACTTGTGTTCTCGGATGTCGGGCGGGACTCAGATTCCAAAGCGACTTCGACAGCCAATCCTTCGAGACATCAATTCTCAAAAAGTCGGCTTTTTCGGGGCCATGCGTCGTGACATGGACACAAAAGTTGGCAGGCGTCGGCGACGGTGGACGTCTTTGATTTCAACGTTCCATCGCACGGCTCAGAAGACCTCGTCAGGAGCGTGGGCAGATGCATGTCTGATTCGTACAGATTCAAATTGCCATCCACCCCGTGGGCGCCCGTGCTAGGTTGCGTTAAATGCGTGCTGATATGTACAGTAACGTGCATCCCAACAGGATGCAGGTGCATATTAACTGTCGGCCTGTTTTGGCAGCCCAGAAGCTGTCAACGCGGGATGAGGCGCCGGCGCAGAGAGGGGCGAGAGGGGGGGTTAAAGGGGCTTGCGAGGGGCCAAGAGGGCTTGAGGGACAAGTGCCGAGGGGGCGTCGTAGGCCGTCTTCAGGCTGAATGAGAAGCGAACCCGGCGCCGCGGGTCCTGACGGTCCCTTGCTGAATTCATAAAGAGGTCGAAGCAGTGAACCTGGAAACCGGAAACAATGAGGCTATGGGGGCTTCCTGTTTTTTTCTCAAACCGTTTTTTTCAGAGTTTCGGGATGAGTTTAGGTTTCCGAGAGCCTTGCTCTTCAGTCTGGTTCAAGGTTACACACGGGCAGTGTCTCTTCTCAGCCCCTGCGGTTCCCCCCTCTCAACTCACACGAGTAGTCAGTTTTGTCCCAGGTAGGAAGGTGAGTAAGACAGGCGAGACTTACCAAGCACCCCCCTTTCGCAACCATCTTTTTTCTATATTTCTATTGGGACAAGTCGGTCAGAACCCGACGTCTTGGCACACATGTCTGATAACTACGTTGGGCTGGGTGCGGCCGGCCGGCCACTTGACGGCGCAATGCCCACGCGCGGTCGATTCCCGCTGCCCCGGCTCCCGGCATTCGGCATTAATAGCTCGCCGTCTTCGGCCGTGACCCCCATTTTAACTTGTCTTGATGACTGATGCAACTACGATGTGCATTCGACGGTACATCTCTGGCGCAAACCCACTTTTTCTAATCCTGTCCTTTAATTTGTACAACCTCACAAACCGGGTTAGCCAGGCACACTAAATAATAACAGTCAATATGGCTCGAAGGAATCAAGACCTCCCGCCCAGCAAGTAGCAAAAGGTCTCAGCTCGCCAAGACACGCGCTCCTCAAACTGGGAATCTGTCGTATGGTACAGCCTCTACCATTACTACCATTGCTGCTGCTGCTGTCACTGCTGCTGCATGGTTCCATTGATCACGCAGGTAGCGTACCGTTTTCATTCATTCATTCTCTGATGAGCCTTGACAATCTACCCCTGCCCATGACGCACGTTCGCTTCTACACCCGGGACAAAATTTCCCTATACGAGCTGCGGCTCGCACCGGGTGCGGCGGGCAGTCACGTCGTAACGTACGACGGCCGAATCCCTCACTGGTAGTGTTCGCGGTATTGGGGAGCTGTCGTGGTTCCCTCGAAATGGTAACCAGCTAAAGAGGTACTATAGCAAGGGGTCCCAATTGTTGTTATTCCCCGAACGCTACCGTATCCTGCATGGGCCGTGGGCTACACAGTACTACCACGCACAAGACACCCCGACACGGCCCGAGAACTTTGGTTCAAATGGGACGTAACCCGGGCTCCTAGGGCAACAGGGCACTTTTGAAGCGCCCGAGCCCCCCACGGCCCGTGTTGCTCTCAAGTCTCAAGGTTGACTGCCTGCTGATATGATATGCGGTTCGGCGGAGTCCGTCCAGTCTTGCATTGGACTGAGACCTTGACTGGGGCCTTGCCTGGAGTGATGCTGTTACATTCCTGAGCTCCGCCTGCTATGTTTCCGGGCAGCGCACTCTCACACCGAGCCTTGGCGAGTTCCAACTTTGAAGTGTGGAATCCTACCACCCACACAGTCCTGTTCGCCACGCACTCACCCTCGCCCTTACCCACACTCACTAATACACACGCACACGCACACACACCTTGACGGCCATCAGCAGCAGTAACGGCAGAGGCAGCAGCACGGGATGCAGTTCTACCGTCCGCGAGCGGTACATTCATTGTCTTGTACATACCGCATCACAGACTGACGAGAGCACGCAAACACCCCAACGGTCCGAAACCATGCCCATCTCGGTAGGTGAGTAACTTGGTGAGTCGAGTCTGCTCTATTGTTGCGCTCTCAAGATGCAGTCAAGATGCAAGATTCGGCGAGTGTGGGTGTGACGGACGCCATGACTAGTGGGCATCTACCGGTGGGCATCACTCGCGGTCTGCTATCAAGCTGTCCAACTCGTCCCGCCACGTGCCTCGGGCTCCTCGGGGCCCAGCACGACCTTCCGTGTTGTTACGGGCTGTGAGGTATCACAAGAGAGTGGGTGTGTAAACCTCAGAAGCGGCAACAAATCCCTAAGGGGAAGGTAAGAGTTTCTCGTCTGTTTTTGTCGTTCTTGTGTCTATCAGAGACATTTCGCCTCCTTCATCGCGGGGCATAAATACGGGCTTGTCCTCCCTCTGAAATCAGACGAGAGTAGAGCTATCCATCCACATCACCTCACCCAGCTACTCTCCCAGACTCTTCTTCTCCACCCTCCTCTTCTCGTTCTCTCATACACACTCCATAGGACACACACCAGAGCCTGCACCATGCAGCTTCTCACTTTGGCCTCGCTCCTCCCCCTCGTCCTCGCGGCTCCTGTCATCCAGCCCCGGGGCGCCCAGCTCATCGCGGGCAACTACATTGTCAAGCTCAAGTCGGGCGCGTCCGAGGCCGCGCTGGAGCACGCCATTAGCCACCTCAAGAACAAGGAAACTGCCAAGCATGTCTACCGCGCCAGCAAGTTCAAGGGCTTTGCGGCCAAGCTGAGCGCCGACGTTCTGGACGCCGTCAGCAAGCTGGACGCTGTACGTTCTCTTCCTCCCCGCGGTCCTCAGTCTGATTGACCCTTTGTAACGTCCTGGATATTAATACGCATGACAGGTCGAGTATATTGAGCAGGATGCTGTGATCACCACCCAGACGCTGGTCATCGAGGAGAACGTTCCTTGGGGCCTGGGCCGCATCTCCCACCATACCACGGGCTCGACCGAGTATGTGTACGATGACAGCGCCGGCGAGGGTACCTGCTCGTACATTATCGACACTGGCATCTACGTCGACCACAATGTACGCCCTTTTCCCCGCATTGTCCCCCTATTTTCTTTTCGATTCATTTATCCCCCTCTTGACATCAAGTATTGACTCCCAGATAGGAATTCCAGGGCCGCGCGACATGGCTGGCTAACTTCATCGACAACAACGACAGCGACGGCGCGGGTCACGGCACGCACGTCTCGGGCACCGTCGGCGGTGTAACCTACGGCGTGGCCAAGAAGACCCAGCTGTACGCCGTCAAGGTGCTCGACTCCAGCGGCAGCGGCACCGTGTCGTCGGTGCTGGCGGGTATCAACTTTGTGGCCGAGGACGCGGCCACCCGCACGCAGACCTCGTGCCCCAACGGCGCCGTCGCCAACGTGAGCCTGGGCGGCGGTAAGTCGACCGCTATCAACGATGCTGCGGCTGCTGCTGTCAGCGCGGGCGTGTTCTTCGCTGTGGCCGCTGGTAACAGCGACACCGACGCGTCGACCTTCTCACCGGCTAGCGAGCCGTCGGTGTGCACTGTTGGTGCGACTGATGATGCCGATGTACGCGCGTACTTCTCCAACTATGGTTCCCTGGTCGATGTGTTTGCCCCTGGCGTCGATGTCCTGAGCAGCTGGCCCGGCAGCCCCGACAGCACTGTAGGTTTTTTCCCTTGTTTTTCCCTCCTGTAATGTAATTTGATGCCAGACACTGACCAAAACAACTAGAACACCATCTCTGGCACCTCCATGGCTACTCCCCACATCACTGGCCTCGGCGCCTACCTGCTCACCCTGCTTGGCCCCAAGACGCCGGCCGAGCTGTGCCAGTACATCCAGGCCACGGCCACCGTCGGCACCATCACCGACCTCCCCAACGATACCATCAACGCTGTTGCTTTCAACGGCGCTGAATAGTTGGTATTTGATCCATCATCCAAAGATCTTGAGATTTTGAGGAGTGGTTGGCGAGGAGAGATGTATTGGTGGGTAGGTATTGTTGACACTGGGGACAAGGAACGAAGAAGTTGTGGGACCTCTTTGTGATGTGGTTTCTTGGACCGATGTGTGAGAGTCTGATGGGATGTGTAGCTAAGTGAGATGCTTGCGTTCTGATAATCCGATCGAACAATAGACAATAGTGTGCCAATATTTCGCGTGTCTAACCGCGTCTGTGACGCGTCAACCTCCTTGAAAAATTCCCCTGGATATCAACCGTGACGCGCTCGCGTTGTTCACTTTGACTGCCTCCTTCCGCGAAACCAAGGGGAGGCGAAACAAACTGGAATCTGTGCTTGATGTCTGTACAGTGCGAAGGGATCGGACAGATCTATCATCTGGGCTTCCGCTTCATGTGGCCCTTCAAGTCAACCCACTTGGACATCAACATGAAGACCATTTGAACATGGAGCTACACTTTGGTTCCGGTGAATATCTTGACAATAATCTGGGTTGCCGGCGGTTACCTCGCTAAGAGGATCAACTGCTCACTTCTAGAAGCATGACGAGCTATCTAAGTATGGCATTGCATTGTTTGAAGCGTCATATCAGATCGAATACTTCGTGTAATTACACCGTGTGAATAACTGGTAAGTCCTCCACCACAAAACACTTGTTCATGAATGTCACTCCCCTTCCTGCCGTTGTATTTCAACATGATATTCTTTCTTGGGATGCCTACCCCTGTTAGGGCAACGCTCTGGTTTTTCCGTTCTCCCAGCCAAAAGGTTGGTATCCTTTCCCCTCCTACCACACATCACCTTTCTCTTCCTTACCACGCACATTTTCCTGGAACGACCAACATTGCCTGGTTTCCCGGTTTCCCGTTGCGAGAAACATCTTTTTTCTTTCCCGGTTACGATCACTACTCTCTTTTTTTCCTTTACGATTGGAATCGTCCCGGTTTCCCGATTATCATAACCACTCTCTTTTTTTGCTGCCGGTTATCTGTTCACTTTTCCCGAAACAAGAAACTCATAAATCGGAAAAGCCAAACAAAGAAACAAAGAAAAAGAATAATGGCCAGGAAACAAAAAACAATCCCGATCAGGAGGAAGGCGGCGGTCCCTGCAGCCGATGCAGCCGCTGTAGCTGCAGCCCAGCCGGCCACGCCGTTGCCATCTACACGCCCGACTTTCCCACCGGGCGATGCCCGGAGTGTGTTGTCCGCGATTCGCTGGGGTAGTCAGAAGGGTGGTGGATTGGAGGTAAGTCATTGACTACATCCTACTTTCTATCTCTACTCCTTTCCCGTCTCCTTAGAGTAGTCCTTGAGGCTTGATCCAGCACCTCGGGGCATACGTTGTGGCCCTGGGGCCTGGTCTTAAGTTCAACGATGAGCATTTCACAAGAGTCCTGGGTGATCGAGCCTTGACCATGTTCTCGTCTTAAGAGCACTTTGTGCTTCTTTGGCTGTGCGGTTCACGGTATCGGCACAAGCCCTTTACATTCTCACCGAATGGCCCATGTGTTGTTCTCCCTCCTTCGGATTATCACAGGTCCTTACATTACAACCCCTGCTTACAACTCTGTACAGAGACCCCCTTACCCCCCTAACCTCGCTCCGTGGTCTTCTCCTTTGGCCGCCAGGAGCCAGTCTAAGTCCCAGAATGGCAAACATATTGCCACCGAGAAAAACAAGCGCGGCGGCCACAGCAAGAGGCCCGTTCCCGTAGATGACGATGACGAAGACGATGACCAGGAGAATGACGAGCCGCAATTCCTCCAAGTGAAGCGGAGGTTATACCCTGTTAAAGACCTAATTTCGCCGTCGCCTTCGAAGCGCAGAGCCCTCGTCACGAGCCCCGTTCTTTCTCAGCCGCAGATTCCTGCCGACAACCAGCCAGGCGGCTCGTCTCATAATGCCCCCGGCACCAGCTACGCCGGCCACAACAACACCGGCGGGGCCGTCGGCAGCACGACTAACACGGCTGCTGACAAAACTACCAGCAAGAACGTCGACAACACCACCTGTGGACAAGATTTCCCCATGAACCCTCGTATGGCCAACTTTATGGCCGAGTACAATGTCCCCGGTCGGGCCAAGCCCAGTGTGCCCACCGACGGCAAAGAAACCCACGTCGCCCCCAGCCGTAGCAACAACAACAATAACAACAGCGGCAACAGCAACAAATTCGGCTACCACGGCAGAAAAAACAACAACAACCCGGCCCCCCAGGGCAGCGACTAGAACCCGTCTGCCTCCACAGCCCCCGTTGCTGGTGTCGGTGCGCCTGGCGGTGTTGTTGTCCCCCCTGCGGCTGCTGCTGTAGGCAATCCTGGTGTGGTGGTGGGTGGTGGCGCGGCGGGTGTCGCGGCGGGTCATGCGGTGCGCCGGATGTCCCCCAAGATGGCGCTGCTCAAGTCGACGATAGCCTTGTTCCCAAACTTGCCTATCTGTTTCGACGACGGGCGCGTCAAGGGGCGCATCTGGAGCCCGCTGAACCCGCTGGGTGAGGCCGAGGCCACGTGGAGAGAGTGGCCGGTTAACCCGGACCATCCGGTAAGTTTACCTACTCTAGTCTACCCTACGGCCGCCGACATCCAATGGCTCTCTCCCGAGGAGTATGAGGAGGAACTAATCAATAACCCCCGCTTTGCAGGTCGTCCCGGGCGCGGGGACCGTGGCCCCCTTCGACACGATCGCCACGGGCGACGGCGCCCTCCCCCAGAAGGTCCATGAAGAGCACCTCGCCCTGGCCCAGCAGGGCCTCCTCTTCGACCAGACCGTCGCCAACTACAACCGCAACCTGTCGTGCGTTGCGGCCAGCTCGGGCCCGGCGTTCAGGATGTGCGGGACCGTCCGGGGTGTGGTGTCGTCGCGCGAGTGGCACATGACCGGTGGCGGCGTGGTCGTTTCGCCCGTGCTTCCGCGGACCACAGTGTCGAGGGGAACCGGCTGGGGGCCGGCGACTGGGTTCGAAGGGCTGGGTCATCGCGAAGGGAGTGAGGGGTACTTGGTGGGGGAGGCCATGATGGCGGAGTTTGTGGACCTGGGGGAGGAAGAGGAGGTGGTGTTGGTGGGACTGGGTGGTGTCGACGATCCCATGGACGTCGACGTGTAGGTTTGGGTGGAGGTTGGGGGGTTCACTCGCTTGGCCCTCCGATGGCGAGACCAGTGTCGCGAGTGAGCGGCGGAAGCACCAGCCCGGACTTCCGCCTTCGCGGCAGCTGATGAGGGCGATACTGTATTACAATTTGCCCCGCTTGCGGGTTTCTCTCCTCTCTTTTTTTACTAAGAAAACCAAAAAAAAAAAGTAGTTCATGGACCTGAGAGTTCAAAGATTTCGCGTAAGTGGCAATTACCATTGCCCGGGATCGAAGCTCGCGATATGGCAATGGTTTCGCGTTCTGACCATGCCGAAGACTTCGTCGTCAACTGCTCTTCCCGTGTCCTCATCTCGCTACTGGAAGAGACTTGGTGATACTTTTGACTTTTACCCGGCGAGGTTTCGCTCAAATCAGTGACTTCGGACAAAACAGTGACACGGAACATTCGGACCTGTAAGCTGTCCCTCTCAACCATCAGGCCAACCGTTCCGTTCTTCATTCCAAATATCACTCGCTAGGTTCTAGGCCTCGTCCTGGAAACAGAAGGTTATTATCGCTTGGGTAATTGTCAAGAAGTACGCCCATGATCATTCGAGGAGGAGAATCTCGCGATCGGTTAGCCTGCTCTTCAACCCCCCTTGGGCTGTGGTGTCGAGACGGCTGTAAATGATACTCTATAATTAACCACCCTTCCGCCCCCGCGCCCGGTGCGACGACTGAAGCCATTTTCACACCCCTTATACTACACTTTACGAGAACATACTGTCACTTTGGTTTCCCCGGAAATGGGAGCAAGAAGGGCAGCTATCGGAAATTGCTACCAATATGGCGTTAATTGCCGCCGAAGGCAATTGCACAAGTCTGCATCCACCACTGGAGGGCTTTGGTTGAACCGTCTTGGCGTTTTTGTCGTCGCTTTCCAGTCATCTTGATTCCAGTGGAAGCGACCATGGCTAAGCATGTCGGGGTAATTGAGCCGGGCGCCGAGAACAAATGTGGAAACCAAGCCCGGCTGGCTGCATTCCTGGAAACACACTGAGGAGGAAATGAGAAACGAGATGGGGTCTAGAATCGCTTTTTCTTGTGAACACTATTATCTTTTCAACGCGTGTCAAGACCAAACACAAATGCCGTGCGTAGTGTCGTTCCTGATTGCCGAAACGTGGAGCAAAGACGACGGGCTCTGTGCTGTCCCACTTTCAGGGCTTAGGGCTCCGGGGGTCTGAGGGCGACCCGGAAAGATCGACAGGGAAATCAACCAAATTCGGAAACGTATCGGACTGTCTCCGTGGTCCGGAAGCGGGGTGAATCATGGGGAGGACAGATTGAACTTCACCACGAGTCAATTTGAACACTTTCTCCAAAGCAGAAATGGGAAGGCGTGATACGATCTGTACGCGTAACGCATCGAGCAAACTCTCGCCGTCCCTTCCTTCCCGTCTTGAGAAAAGCCAGGCAGGGGGGGCATCGAAAAGCCATCGTACAGTGGAACCAACACCCAAATAGGAGATATCGTGGCTTCCCAAAACGGACCTGTCAAGTTGCGGAAGGAGCACGAATTGCCGGCAGGGGTGGAGCGGGTGGCTTTCGCTTTGCTTCAGGGCCCATCTTTCCGTTGGTCGACTAAAAACTAGACCAAACTCAATTCAGTCCAACCAACAAGATACAACCAACAACATCAGAGCCGCCAGCAACATCGCCTGTCGAAATCCTCGAGGGCTTCGGCGTTAGGAAGAGCTCGTCCGCCGAAAGCAGTGCCGTCAATCCGACAATCCCAGGGTTCTTCGAGCCTCAGAGCCAACACGCCTCGGCAATCCATCCCACCCTTAGCCGGCGCAGCAACTGTCAGCCAGATCCCCCCCGCGACATGATTCGCTTTTCGGTAGATTCGGCATGAGATAAGGTCAGCTACACATCTGTAATCGCACCGCGCCGTCAAGATGCTGCAGAAAAGCGCCGGCTGGGCGATTGTTCCTCCAATTCCCTTTTTTCGGGCGCGAACAACGTTCAAAGCGCAGCTTTGGGCCACCATTGGACGCTGGAGAGTAGGTACTTCCACCCCTGCCAAGCCCAAGTTGACCCGCAGCCTAGAGCCCTGCACCTGAACAGGAAGAGGGCCTGCATCGAGCGGCTCGGCGGGAGGAAAAGCCCTCTTGCCTTTGGCGCTCAGCTCACCGGTCTTGGCACCATCCAACCTACCACAACTGAACACCCGGCGCTTTTCCTGCGCGCGCGCGCAAACACGCAGGAACATCTGCACACGCGCGTTGCGACTGTTTGGGGGCGGCTGTTGGGCGCAAAATGCATCTTAGCGACGGCCTCGAACCAACGGCCTCCCTTGTCAGGTTTAGCTCCGGCTCTTTCGGCACCTGCATGCCAGGGGTCCAGGAACAGCGAACGGACAGCCCACACACACCCCGCGGAATGAATTCCCACACACACCCTCCGACGACAAACACCCAGAAACTTTCAGCCTTCAGGGCTCCCGTCTCGAACCTTGAAGGTCGCGGGGGATTGCGGGAGGCGCGATAACTGCTATTTTCCCGGTATGTTGGTTTCACGCTAGGCAGAGCCGAAAGCGCATCTCCAACGCTCCGTCCCCCCCTAGCTCTGAACCCCAAAAATCGCATGTCGTTGTCTGTGGCGAAGCCCGGAGCTGGCACCTTCGCGACCTTCGCGACCTTTGCGGTCCGTCGTCTAAGGGGGAGGGGACTCTGCGAGCTGTGTATTCGTAGTCAACGTCGCGATAAGGCTCGCACGTCGTCGGTCCGTAACCTCATGTTGTCCGATCATCGCCCCCCTTCCGGATGAAGTCCGGCCACCGAACTCGATCGCCGTCCCGTTGTATGCATCAGGGATGTCACAACATCTTCCGCTGTCAGGCTCTTCCCTGACCATCATCCATCAACTCCCGGATCTGGCCCGTTTTGGGGCCACCATCCTACCACACATCTGCGCCTGGCTGCACATCCAGGCCAGCTGGGCAGGAGCACAATCACCACTGCCACCGCAGCCCGGGCCTGGTGGTCGTTTGTGGACTTATTTTTCCGCTCTCGCAATCCCCACCTGGTAGGTGCCCTGCGAGCGCTTTGCCCAAGACCCCTCACAGCCCCACTATGGGATCCCATTGGAATGGAAGGGGTGTCGTCGTCGGCTGTTTCATGCTCGCTGCAACGCTGTGTGGAAGGGTCCTCCAATCAGAACTTCCCCTATGGGGGGTGCTCCCTGAACCACCACAGGCGGTATCTCTCACCCCCCTCCCCTGGACACAGATCGTTCCGCTTGTCGAAAGGTCCAGATGGGTGGAAGAAGACAAATCGAACTGTCAGGGAGTTCAAGCTCTGTCGTCTCTCGCCTTCGAGCCCCGGACCCCCGGGCCTGATCCCAGAGCCCCCAAGAGTGCGGCGGGCAAATAGGACGGCAGAATCTTATGTACTTTATATGCCCCTGTCCTGCCGACCCTCCCAACATGTTAAAGCCCGTCGTCCCGCTCCTGCTCTACTTCTTCAGGTTACTTTATACTCTCTATCGAGCCCGGTTCTTGTTCTTCTGCTCATCACTTCTTTTCCCGATCCCGGTTTTCCTGCTGGGTCCTGCGTCGAGCCGTGCTCCGACTAAATAAAAAAGAACCCTGTGGGCTCATCACACCACACCTCCCGTCCCCATTCCCTTCTTACCACAGTACAAACGCTGGAACTGGCTTTCGCGATCGTCCTCCCTTTCTCCCTATTACGGTCTTGAAGGGCCACGGTTTCTTGATCCTTCCCGTCAGCACGACCACCTGTTTGGATATCAACTCAGCGATTCGAAGTACATCGAGTACCACAGCAAAACAGCACGCAACAACGAGGACAAGACAGCATGCGCATCTCACTCGCCTGGTTGGCCATCGCCTCGCTGGCGTCGGCCACCCCCGCGCCTGTGTACCCGGGGTACAAGGTCGTCTGGTCGGACACCTTCGGCGGGAAGGCCGGCGCATCCCCGGACAAGGGCCGATGGAATCTGATCACCGAGTACGTCGTCCCAACTGTAAAGCCAGCCGTCCGACCCTCTTTTTTCCCCGCCCATATCATTTTCTCATGGTGATATGGAGTACCTACCCACTAACACAGCCCAGCGTACAAACAAATGGTGAAGTCCAAACCTACACCACCTCTAGCCAAAACCTGCAACTATCTGGCGGCGACACTGTTCAGCTCGTCCCGCGTAAGTCCAAATCCGGCAAGTGGACCTCCGCTCGCATCGAGACCAAGAGCACCTTCACACCCTCTGCCGGCAAAATCACCTCGTTCGAAGCCGTCATTCGCTTTGGTGACAACGGCGCCGGCCAAAAGCAAGGCATCTGGCCCGCCTTCTGGATGCTCGGTGACGCCGTCCACCACGGAACCCCTTGGCCCCTATGCGGCGAGCTCGACATCATGGAGAGCGTCAACGGCTTGCCGACCGCCTACGGTACGACGCACTGCGGCAAGGGCGAGAAGGGCGGGCCTTGTAACGAGCCGAACGGGCGCGGCGGATCGGTTGGGTCGGATAACGGTTGGCATACCTGGACTCTGCAGGTCGACCGGACCAATGGTGGTGACTGGAGAGGGGAGGTGATCCGGTGGCTGAAGGACGGACAGGTGTATCACTCGATGTCCGGGGCAGACATTGGGGACCAGGGGATCTGGGCCACGCTGGCCCACTCGCCTCTGTTTATTATCTTGAATGTGGCGGTTGGCGGGAGCTGGTACGTTGATTTGTCTATCCTTTGGTGAAAAAGGAGCAGGAAAATGGGAACACGTGCTAACAAATTCAACAGGCCCGGCGCGCCTAACGGTAACACAGTCGGTAGCTACGGCAGCATGATGGAGGTTGAGTACGTGGCAGTGTACAAGTCGACTTAGGAAGGCGTGACCTAAGCTTGACCGAGCAGGAAGAAAAGCGAAGGTTATAGAGGTGGGCTTGCGGTTTTGATACCCTTCTTAGGCGCCTGGTTCTCTGCTTTGGGGGCACTTGTCACCACCCCTGACGCAGATCAGGGCTCTCAAGTCGGCTGGCGTTTTTCTGTTGGACATATTCCCCTTTTCACGATCTTGTTCATGATGATACCATTTTACGTCTTTCGTTTAGACTACTCTCGTTCAGAAGCGTTTGTTTTTGGCGGCGGGCCGGCGTTGGGGGTTGGCCAGGTCGACATCAGCTTGTCTATTTTTTTCCGATTCTAGATGTACATACATAACGTTACTCCGTAGATGTACATACCCTTTTGAGGGCGCTGCGCAATGGCGTAAGCACGGCATGGCTGAGAGCCCGAGAGCCCAAAACAGAACTTTGGAGTCGCATTTTGCACTCATAGACGCTTTACTCACTCTGCTCTTTACCATTCGAACGGCCGACTCATAAACAGCTTGAAGCCGTTCTAACTACAGTAGTCTGACAAGTTCTCAGCTTGAGCAAGATAGGCAGGGGTTCCCCCTGTCTCGGTCTTTTTCGACCTCGAGCCCGAGACTCACAACGGGGAGGTAGTATCAGCACCGTTGGTACGGCAGCAAAAGATCTTCGTCCCGCATACCGCAACTAACCACCGAGGCAAGTCCGGAGGACCATCAGATGTCGGGGTCATCACCTCATCACAAATCCCGTCCTCGGGTCATCAACCGCGCCTATTACAGTCAGCCCCCTCCCCCGCTCCTGACTTTTTTTACATCGCCAGCGCACCGACAGCTCACCAAACCATTCCACCTTGTGACCTCTCTCTTGGGGGTTGCGCTTTGTATTTAATTAGTAGCCCAATCCGCTCTTGACTGGTTCTTGCGCAACAATTATAGTCGAGCACCGGCCGCCGGCGCTCAGAAATAATTATCCGCCGCGGGATTTGGGATCCGGGGAAGTCCGCCACGATGCCAAACTTTTCTTCATTTTTTCCGACATGATCGGATCGAAAGGTCACCGATATCAAGATCAATTACCCAATTAGTAGGTAGGGTTGAGACTCGAGACTACACCAGCCAAAAAAACCCTCCGCCCACGAACAAGACCCCATAGCCGCACCTACAAAAAGAAGAAGGCGTGAATCCGGAGCGGGTCAGTGTTACTATTGAGTCAGCAAGCCCCTTGATCAAGTCGCCGTAAGTATTGAAGCTACCATGACCATGCTTTCACATGATCACATCTGCCGTCGCCTGATTTACAAGGGACCATTCTTGATAAGTGATCACATCAATCAAGTAACCACCTGCGCTATGCTCATCCGCGTCTTGAGACCCAAATGTAGAGTCCATCCAACGACGGTACTCCAAAGGCAATCAAGGCACCGTTACTGTTAATTACCGGCCGGGTGAGAAGCTGAGACCCGGCGTCGTGCCCGCCCCGATGACACCGAGGTCGAGGCCGACGTTGTCGGAGCAGAGATCTTATCACACAATAGGCTCGGAGGGTCTCTTGGGGCGCCACGGGGAGGTTAATTTAGTATCCACGTGTAGTGTACTTCGTACTTATGCTGATTACAGATGGAGATGCGCCCGTTGATCATGGCTGGGATCGGCAGGTCGAATCTTCAACAGAAGGTTGAGCGACGATCAGTTGCGGCGATCCGGTCCCCCCCGCAACGCGGTACTATAACCTACATATGTAGGTTTGTCATGTGCTGGGTTAGGTACTTTTAAGCTGCATAGCCATGGGGATCTATCCTATCCATCTGATGGGTAACCAGAAGGGGAATTCTTTCCCGAGTTGGTGTCCACGCGGAGCGGTATGTCTAATCATTGAAGACTGCACAACGTGAGCCTCGAGCTGGCATGCTGGTGATAATATGTTCAGCCACGCGATATGAAGCTGTTAAGTCATGGGGGATCTCGAGCCTGCGGAGTCTGTATTGCTACATTAAATAATCAACTGATGTGTTAACTAGCTCCTTACCCATATCTCAATCGCAGACACCATGCAGTTTCCGTTTCCGTAGTAGATCGTAGGATTTCCAAGTCACCCTCCTAACAATTTATTTCTGGCAGCCTCATGGCGAGACTCCCTCTTAATTAACTCTACACTCTCATCAACAGCCCCCCGCCATGCCCAGTAGTTTAAGGTTACAAATCTTCCGGAGCAGAAATATGATCCTGACCAAAAGGCAGTAGAGGGGAAATGGCAGTAGTGGGTAATTATCAATTCAGAGAACGCGCCCGACTTCCACCCGCGTCCGACCCAGATAAATATTAAACTACCCGCAACCTACCAAACAACCCCGACTCCTACGCATCCAGACTTGAACATTCAAAAAGTCCTACACACGTAGGAAACCAAAACTAAGTTACAAAATGAAGCCAAAAGTAATCGACGTGGGCCTGATTCGAACAGACGCTCCCGAAGGAACAAGATTTCTAGTCTTGCGCATTAGACCACTCTGCCACCACGCCTATGGTGGGCCCAAGGACGGATGACCTATGAACACCGAGTCCACTCACTCCCTGACTCAGGCCCCAGGGCAGCCAAACAACTTCAAGATCTCGGACGACGACTTAAAATATCCCATCCGGGACTGGTGGGTTCCACGTATTCTACTCCGAGTACTTAACAGTGAGTGAGGGAGGAAATCCAAAAAGTCACTGCGTCTGGATTTGACGTGATATATTCTGCACACTCCGAGATTCCACGACACAAGTCTCAAACAAGCACGATGGAGACATCATATACATGGCAATGTCGTCGAGCCAACCCAACATCAGCATAAAAAGAGCAAACGCAAGAGCAAATGCAAGACCAACGCAGGAAGCAATCGATAGACATATAGATAGCGGCTGGTTGAGGGGCCAAACTGAGGGCTATTAAACACGCCTTTTTCCTAGTTGTCCACCACATTTTGCACCAAATGCAACCCCCCATTCACTCGTGTATCCCACGACCACCAACCCACCAACTCAACAACCCAACAGCGGCAGTCCCCATATCGCAAGGTTTTAAAAAGAAAAGATGCCCAAAAAAAAGCGCGGTATCACATTCCAATCCCGAGAGCTAGCTTGCAATCACCTTCCCGTGCTTCGTCAACCTGGCATTAATAAACAAAAAGAAAACGGTGGGGGGAACGAAAGGGTTCAAAAAAATACAAGCCTCTCTACTCGACACAACCGTGGCGGCCTTAACACCGAAAACGGAAAAGAGACAAAAAGGCAGGAGGCGCAAGAGGGTTTAAAAAAAATGGAGAAGTAAACAAGTGTGGAAATGAAAATAGACGTGTCAAGCCAAATTCGACAAAATAAAACCAATTGGGTCCCGTCACCCCAATGGGATGGATGGATGGCGGAAGACCGGCCGGCCACCGATGCCAACAAGAGGAATGGAAACGGGAACCATGCAGGAATCGCCGCCACTTCCAAATGTCTCAGACCAAACCCCAAAAATGCCCATGTCAAAAAGAAATGTCGGGGAAAAAAGGAACGTGTACAACGGCGCTCCCCACGGTTGAAACCTCGGGAGTAACCAGCACAGTGCCGAAACGAGGCAGCCATGGCATGGAGGGTGCCATAAGGGCAAAAACGCAACGTTAATAATAATGATAAGAGAGAAACTGTCCGAGGAGTGGTGGAGGGAGGGTATCTGTATGGTCCGGATACAACTGGTCCGGGGTAGGATGAAGGGAATGAATGGTGTAGGAGAGGGACTTGACTTCCATCAAAATCGTGTACGGCCAGTCCGTGGCGCGCGCTCGCGGGCAGATCCCGGAAACCCTACTTCATCAACGACGTGAAAAGCTCGCCCTGGTAGCCCGGACCGCCCGGTGACGCGTCCGGCCCTTCTCCCCCATCCAGGAAACCCGAGGATTGGAACATGGAGCTCTAATCCGTTGCCCCAATCGTAGCGTCCCCTTCCATCGGAAAGCCCGAATCGAATCCGAATATCTCGCCCCCATCGGGAGCACTGTCTTGCAGGAAAGTGTCAAAATCGAAGTCGTTGAGCACATCGCCAGTCTGTGACGGGTTCGCAAATTCAAGAGGGAATTCCTAAGTCCAAAGTCAGCATACACTGTCTGTCTGGCAAAAACCCACCCATGGTTCGTCAGGGGTACTCACCATCCCGCTTGGATCCAGGGGATTAGTGAACGCAAGATCCGGATGCGACGGCGCCGCGGGAGCCGCTTGTGGTTGAGGAGCAGGCACCGGAGGCTGACCGTTGGGAACGACCTGACCGGGATTGACACCGGGACCTTTGCCGAAACCAGCCGGGTTGACGGGCGTGATCGGGGTAGCGGGCGCCGCGGTTTCTTGGGGGGTTTCTGTTTGCTCGGGCGCTGCGGCAGCGGCAGCGGCGTTGTTCAAATTCGAATTGCTCTTCTTTTGAGCAGCCGCCTAGGAGGAGCACGTCGTGTTAGCAGCTAGGTCACCACATCACGTCACGGGCTAATGTGGGGTGAAAGAGACAACAAAACAACATACCTTAGCCTTCTGGCTCTTGGTCTCCTTCTTCTTGGGTGCCGCTTTGGTGGCTTGCTGCGGGGTTGGGGGGGCCGCGTTGCTGACTTGAGGCGAAGCAGTGGTGTTGCGCGCATTGGCAGCAGCCGCAGCCGCGACCGGCGCGGACGGAGGGGGCATGGACCTCGAATTCGGAGTCGGCGCGCCCTGTACTTGGGGCTGGGGGGGCTGTCCGGGCATTTGACCGTTCGGCCCTCCCGGCGGCCATTGGACTGGACCGCCCTGGGCGCCCTGCTGTTGTTGGGCCTGACGCTGAGCCGCCATCATCTGCTGCTGGTTCATCTGTCCGTTGAAGGGTGGGTGAGAGCTTGGCGGTCGCATGGCACCGTTCATCTGGGCGCCAGGCATGTTCATGTTCATGCCAAAGTGCTGAGCAGCATTGGGATCCATGTTCCCGGCCATGAAATTCATGGCCCCGGGGGAGCCACGTGATTGCACAGCACCATCGGGAAGCGGGGAGCCCATGTTGGCAGCGTTTGGCATCTGCTGGTTCGCGCGCTTCATCGGTTCACCGGGGTTCGGGGAAGCGCCGTTTCGCCCGCCTGGGGGCGAACCCCCTTGGAAGCCTTGCGCACCGGGGCCTGGCGCACCACCGGGCCCGCCAGGTCCGTCCGCCCGGGGCATGTTGGTCCCGATGTCCTGCTCCTGACGCGCCATCATGAGCCTCTTCTTGTTCTGCTGCTCGAGGAGCATCAGCTGCATCTGGTAGTCCTGCAGCGCATGGTTGCTACTCGCGGCAGCCTGGCCGTTCGGCGCGCCGGGCCTCATGTTCCCGGGTCCGATGTCGCCGGGGTTGTAAAGCTGCATCAGCGAGTTGCCGTCGGGTCCTTGCGGCACCATGGGGGAACCTTGGCCCTGGGGACCGGTGGCGTTTGGCATCGCCTTGTTGGGCATCTGGTTGCCATGGTGCTGCGACATGTTAGTGGAGTACGAGGCAATCTTGGCTTGTAGTTGGGGAGCTGCGGCGGCAAAGGCCTGGAGCTAGTCAGGATTCAGCCAAATCGGGTGGACGCCCGTCTGAAAGGGTAGCAGTGCACGCATGAATGAACTCGGGAGGTTCGCTTCCTACCTGCTGCTGTCCAGGCATGCCCTGTCCGGGCCTTCCGTTCGGCATCATGACGCCCTGGTTAGGGTTGAACGGTGCCCCACCATCCAGGCGAGGGCGTTTGGACGGCGAGGGCGCATTCTCAGCCCCTCCTGGGGAATTGGGCCTCACCCGGTTGCCATCCATATCTGAAGGGTCTCGTTGCATCTGGCCAGCAACCTTTTGCTGGTGGAGCATCTGGTGCATGGCTTGCGGGCTAGGAGCAAGTATTTTTGTCAGTGACAAGCAAAGCACGACGAGGCCTGAAGAGAAAGAAAGAGAGACGGGGGGGATGCATCATGGTGCGAGTAAATAAGCCCTTGCGTTGCTACTTACTTCTGGCTGTTCGCCATCGCTGCTCGTTGCAGCTGGTTTCCAGGCTTCATACCCATGTTCATGGCACCGTTTGGCATCCCTCGCATCATTTGCTGGTGGAGGTGGGCTTGAGCCAGATCCGGGCGCATTTGGCGGAGCATGTCTTGCTGCTGCCGCTGCCGAAGGTGAGATTGTTGCTATGGGCATAGAGGTGAGCTGCGCCCCATTGTAGAGGATGGATGCCTTCATAGGATGGGGCTTACCTGAGTGTGATGCACGTATTGGTTCACCTGAGCGCTAGAACCTTTGCCCTTTTGGGAGTTGAACATGTCCCAAAAGAGGCAGAACCACTCGTAGAGAAAGCAGCTATCGGGGACCGGGGTCGGAACGTTCGGCGCTGGCAGGTCGTCAGGCCGCTTCTGATCCAATGCGTCTTTGCTGTCGGTGTCCATAGAATCACCCAGACCATTCCCCATAAGATTGCCGCTCTCGTCGCGTTGTTTCCCTGGGCTGTCCTTCATGACTTTGATATGGGGGTCTGCCTCGTAGACGGCACGGGCAGCGCCGAACATGTTGTAGCGAATGAAATACTCGTAGATGTAAGTGTTGAGAAGGGTTCGACTTGAGTCGTTGAGCTGCATCTGGCCGGGAGGTCCTTGCTGCGGGGCAGGCGCGCCGTTGTTCATCATGCCCATCGGCGCTCCCATCGGGTTGCCAACTGGGCCACCCATACCGCCCATATTAGGCATGCCCGCCATGTTGTTCATGGCGTCCCGACGTGTAGTAGCCGATGGCCCGCGCGCGAAATCGCGGAACTCGATGTAATGTGGGGAACGCGGTGGTTGGGAGATGGCCGTGGGGGGATGGCGCGTGGGTCGGTGACACGGTCAGACTCGCAAATGCCACGGCGCGAGGCGACGTGGGCGTATCAATTATCGCCAGGCGAAATAGAAACAAGTCGGATCTTCGCTGCGAAATGCGGGACTCGAGTGTGTTCAACCTTGAAAGCCCGGCAAAGCGGTAAGCGCGTGCTGGAGATGCGAGGGTACAGAAGCGTCAATCGTGCAGGCGTTGCGCGTGGGATGCGTCAAAGGAAAACGGGAGACGTTGCGTCGCGCGAAAAAAAGAAAAGAAAAGAAAAGAAAGAAATGTCAGTCGAGGATAGACGATGCAATTCCTCTTGTCTCGCAATGCAGGCTGTGGTAACGAGAAGCCGAGATGCGTGTCGGGATGCGCGACGGGCGTATTTCCGGGGGGTTGGTTGGGTCTAGTTGCTTTGAAGTCGAGTGGGATGGATGGCCACCGGGTCAAAAATGGGCGAGATTCCGCTCGCGACTGCCAGATCCGCCGTACGGGCACTCTCTGCAGACGAAACTTTGCGCTGGGGCCACCAAAGCCAGGCCTCTGAAGGGGGCCGCTTATCGCGACGTCCACCAGTTCGTTCTCGGGTCTGGGGGTCGTTCAGGCCGATGGGCGCAAAACCGTCTGTCGTGTTCACCCGCGACGCTCGCTGCTTGACCACTCTGGCAAAATCGCGGAGGGTCGACGGGGCGGCGTCGTGAGCATCAAAATGGCATGGCTCGGAGCGGGCCGGTATGGAGATGCAAAGGCGAAGCAGGGACCAGTACAGAAACAGAAGAGGAGAAGGGGGAGGTCGGGGGTTGAGTTTTTTGGAAATTTCGGCGACGCCTTGGACGTAATGGGGGGGTGAGGGACCCAAGAACCTGACGACAGCGGCGATTGGGGATGGCCTGCCAATCTCTCTTGCAGCACGGGGCAGTTGGCCTGCGCAGTTTTTGGCACGGCCTCGGGTGTTGGGCTGCGTAAATTTGAGACCCGATGGTGCTTATGCGTGTTAAGCTCGAATTTTTAAGGCACAAGCACACAATTTTGAGGCAACAATTCACCTGCCGGGGTCTTGGCGCCCCGATATCGTGCAATCACTGGATCGATGCAAAATGATCTGACGAAAACCCGCCATGGCGGAACCTTCGACCTCAGGAAAGGAGGTGTATTAGGAATCCAAGAATCCATCCGAGCTGCCCGGCATTCGATCAAGTGACTCAGAGAGGCATTTCCAAGGATGCTTGGCCACAAGCCGACAGCACACTGCCACGACCGTTTGTTGCGCTGATTAAGATTATGTTAAAGCGAAGAACAAGAATGAAGCCCGAAAAAGAAAATACTCGCTCGCTACATTGGGTGTTGCGACCTGCCAAATAACAAAAGAGTCCCCTAGCGTCGTTTTCCCGTCCCAAATTTGAAAATGATCACTCAGATCCGTCCAACCCTTCAACAGGGATAAACCAAATGCATTGTCTTCACATTACGATTAACTTCGACCTTTTTTTATATTTTCGTCAAGAAACGCTCCGTGATGCGCGAGGGTGCTCGGGAGGCCCCCAACGCGCATCCTGGTGCCACGTTGGAGCAAGGTTTTGGCACTCCGCGGTTGGCAAAAACAAAGCCCCAACGACTTGCAAACACAGTCTGCGGGACAACGCTGGCGTTGACGGTGACGTAGGGATTTTAGGTTGCCTCTTCCTGTTTTTGTTTTGTTTTCCAAGGGGCAGAGAGAAACGAGCAGCGGGGCGCCGAGTTCAACAATCTATGTACAGAACCAAAGGCACTATGCATACGGCGATAACGATAGAATACAACCCAATGCCTCAGGTAATCTTGTACCGGGTATCATGTTTTCAAGTCCTAACGCCACCAACAAACTCCTAAATTTGAGGCTCATAAAATCAAGGTCCAATCTAACTCCGAGGCCGGGATGCGGGCTCGTCCGGCTATCGCATTAACATCTTCCCATTCTCAAGCACTACCGTAGAGATTCATACTATTCGTATCGCCTCACAGGCACCCCTAGCACGTCCCCGGGGTCTAAGTCATGGTTCTAGGCACGTTTCCCGTGTGGCGAACGTTGATACAGCGTTGAAAACAGCACATTATGCGGCAAAATCCGAGGCATTCATCCCACATGGACACCGCAACAAGGCCAAGGGCTTTCTACTGTCGTCTGGATGGTCGAGTAACAGGCGTCGCTAAATTACATAGTAATGGCGACTGAACGACACTATCGTCTGCATCAGGGCAGATATCGACTAGGTAAAGGAGGTCGTCGCCGGAGAGGTGGCCATGTTCAAGGCAGATTCTACCATTGTTATGCTCAGGGGTGTTACGTGTCTTCTTGTCGTCGTGATGGCGTTGCCTTCATGGTCCCTGGTGAGGAATCTTCTGCTTCTAATTATTACTGCCGTTGATCGCATTCGTTCAGTCCCCTGTTTTAGGGGAGCCTATTTACAAACAAGACTCGAATTTACGGCTGGTGTTCGTATGTTGCCCATTGCCCAAACCTACCATTGTACCCGATGATGATCATGGCCGGTGCCACCGACACGGTGGAAATCAGGAACGTTAGGTTGAAGAGACCGCGCCAAAACACGGGGTTGGCAACAAACGGATCCCCGCCGATTCTTAACATGTAAACTAACCTGCCAACCGTCTCCTTAAACCAACTCCATGTACTCGAAAGAATACAAATTAAATATCGAAAAGACAAAACGCTCATTCTCAATGACGCATGCGCATATACAGCTGCAAAATTGGTCATTATCTAACCAAATATTGCTATAAACTTGAGAACATAGCACCAAAGACAAAAAAGGTACAACACAAAGGGGAAAAGGCAACTCTAGACTGGCGCGGGACACGTCCAGAAAATGTTCATGGGGCAGCAACTATAGTAAGAGAAACAAGACTCAGGTGTAAATGATACCCTTACAAAGCCTTCTACCAGTGTTACATTGACGTAACCCCCGACCCTCCCACTGAGGCTGACCAACGCAAGTGCACGGGTTTCAGTCGGACCGAGCTGAGTGACCAACCCAAGGATCTACCACTTGCCGCTGGTAACCAGATTGTAGGCAAACCCTTGACAGTACCTACGTCGGGCCTGGTTCGGCCCGGGCGGCTCGAAGGTACGGTGGACGGGGGTCGGATGCTGAGGGAAAAGGCGAAGTTTCCGCGGGAAGAGGGACAGGGGAAGAAGGATGTGGTGAGAGTAAATGTGCCGTCTTGGAAAATGGATGAGCGCAGCTCTCATGATATGTCACTGTTATGTTGGCGCTTCGTGCCTTTTCAATCTTCCAACGAAAAGCTGCCAGGTACATTTAATTACTGTTGAAAAGCAATAAACTACAGTGCTTTCATTTAACCGTCATTTTTATTGAAGGAATAACTCATGCAGTTTCTGAACGCAGTATAAAAGTCACTGTGCGCTCTGTCTTGCCTTCCAGCCCATATAAGAAACGCCTAAAAGTATATGCTAGTATGGGTATCATCAAAACAAATCTACTGACGTCCCGTACCGGGCTAGCTCCCATCCCTTGTTCCGAACCGGGCCATCTCATAATGCCTTAATGATCCAACCCCCCTCGAACTCCACGTAGATGCTTCCATAATACCATATCGAGTCATCTCGATCAACGAGCATGGTCCCTTAGCCGTTCAACACTATAGGAAAGAGAAAAGCAAGAAGTATAGTTAAAGGAATTCGAAAATAGCCCCTCAGACGGTACTCCTGTACTTGAGCTGCCTCGCGTTCAGTGCATTCAACACAGCCGTCGCTGGAATAAGCTTTCGCTTTTTCGATGAGGACTTCACCCACCCACTACTCTTTTCTTCAGGGTCGTCGTACCCCGAGTTATGCCCACATACCGCGTTAAGGGCCGCCTGAACCTTGTCGACATTGGGTTCACGGCCGAGGGCAACCCCGAGACTGCAAAGGTCCACGCCCAGTTTCCATACATTCTCGGGCCCTTGATAGCCGGGCTGGAAAGTGCCGCTGAATGTCACGTTTGCCGGAATGCAGCATTGAAGATCGTTAACCATGTTGCATGGGAGATGTCTGTCAGTGCAGTCGTAGCAGTACAGTTGAAGCCTGAACCTCCGGAGGTCAGGGTTGACGCTGCGCTGGTCCCGGGGATCGATCTTGTTTGAGCTAGTCCGGGATCCAGCGTTAGAGGAATAGTTTGAGTTGGTTCGCGAGTTATACGACGGCTGGTATCCACTCGGTGCTTTCGGCCTCGAGTTTCGGTTGCCCATTTTGAACCGAAAGAAAGAGGAAGTTGGTGAGGGTGGAGACGGTGGTGGTAATGATGCTAGCGGTGGGCTTGATGAAGATGATGACGATGACGACGAGGATGACAACCGCTTTGAGGATGGAACAAGGCCAGCTTCGACAAATGCTTGTGTTTTAACCGGGGCGAGTCCGTGGAATAGGGCAAGACTGCCACTGAGGCTTGCCGCCATCGCTGATTTTATTGTTGGTTGCTGGCGTAGACAAACATCTAACCCGGACTGAGAGGGCAGTTGCCAGATGGCCGTTGCGGCCGGGGCCAGGGCTGGTGGGCGGTTGTCGAGCATTTTTGGTCTTTTGTAACTCGGGATTGCCATGGTCAGGCAGGCCATGGTCGATGAGGGCACGTAGTGCGGGGAGGTTCACGAGGAGAATGATGGGAGAGAATCAAGCGGCCCGCTGATGGCGAGGGTGGACTTGGGATATAAGGTTTTGGGTAGCGATTATCATGCGGAAACATGTGAGACAAGGTTTCAAGAACGAGGCCAGCAAGGTTGGCTGGCTGCCCGAGGGCCGGCCTCTCCTTTTTGGGGGCCATATACCCGTGTACAACAACGTATCCGGCCTGCAACAGGCTGTCAATGCACAACACCATCACATGGGGGGCTGGCAACGGGATTGAAGTGGCAGTGTGTGCTAAGGGATTGCGTTGTGGCTACGGACACGGTTTGAAGGGCGGAGCGAGGGAAGCAAAAAGGAAAAAATTGCACCCAGTGGTATTTGTCAGTGGCGGTGGTATTGAGTCCCAACATCCTCCGCTCCCACGGATGCGTGAAAAGGAGGCGCAGCGACCGCAGCTAGCAGCCCACGTACGCTGAAAAGAACGGACGGGGCTGTGTCGGATTGGTTAAGCCCACCGCTTGGCACCACGCTCACTGAAGGGGCCATCTAAAAGCCGGCCGTAATTCAAATGCGGTGACTCCGGCCTTTGTGTTGTGGCTCATTGTTCGTTGGGAGGCTTGTTTGCGCGACACGGAAATTCCATCGGCCAGTAGAAGAAACCCAGCCCACGCAACCAGCCATCACCACACAAGATTGATTGCACAACCCGACCGATTATCAAAATGCCACTAACAGTCGGAAAGTAGCCCTAACGTGATATGGGACGTCGGACTCCGGCTGCGGTCATTCGGCTGGGTCGACTTATGTGGATTGCTTGATCACCGTACCGACCCTTGAAGGCGACCACCGCTACAGGGAACGCACCGGGTTGCAGGGGCCGCGCATCATTCAAATAAGGCAATATCAAGTGATTTGGCCCGACCTCAGTGGCCTTGCTCGGTATATTACGGTAAATACACATCAAGCGCCGAACGTACCCGGGTGACTCGGTTAGGTTAGGGCGGAGCGAGCCACCTTCATCGAGCCCTCAGCGCCCTGACCTTAACCATCCACATGAAAGCCGACAGTGGAGTCCGGTCGTGAGAATTTTTAAGGCGGGACAAGCACAGGGTTGAGCGGCGGCTTGAGGGATGGATTAGCCCAACGAGGAACACTGCCGGCCGTTGACTCGGCTTGTGCATAGGTATGCCTTAGACCAGTCCTGCCTTTCGGGTATCGTCCATGATAAGCTGACATGTCGCCCCAATGCAATGATCGCCTTCGTATTTCATCTCAAAGCGCCTAGTCATCCTCTGGCGGAAGCTCGTCGTCGATGTATCGTATCAAGCTGATGCGCATCTCAGTCGTATCATTCCCCCGCAGCACGTCGCTGACGAAATGAGCCTCCACTTGCATCTGTACCATTTCTAGAGCACCGCGTAATACACCGCATAGTATGTTGGAGTACCACAATTCGTCCTGAGCGCGCCCGTCGTCGGGTAGTTCAACAAAGTCGGCGAAGGGATTTTCGTCGAAGATGAGGGAAAACTGCTTGCCGTCGCTCGTCCAATTTGTGATGTTGGGTGTGATGTTGAGGAATATCTTGAACCCGACCTGCGTAACAATATTTTGTTAGGCTGATGGTACTTATTGGGTTAACAATGTCGAGCCAAACATGCCTTCGCAATCATCTCTGCTGTCTCGCGGAAATTGGAACACCGCCGGACCGTATTCGATTTGGCGAGGTAGTCTTCAATTAACCGTAGGCCAATGTTGTAGCCCATCTTATCGAGCTGCTTGTTGACCTCTACATAGTCGCTGTCAAAGTCCTTGCAGAGCTGCGCAACGATGGTGCCGTAGGTGAGAACCACGAGCTCGGCGTTGACCTTGTCCATGCGTGTCCTTCGCTTTGTGGTCAGTGGATTGGTTGTGCAGCGAATTAGTGCCTGCGCTTACTTCCAGACTCTACAACGAGCCCGCCATGGTCAGTGTCAATATTCAGTGCTAGCGAGATGGGCGGGGGGAAGGGGGGGGGGCTGAGGCGTACTCCTCCCCAAGCCGCGAGGCTTTGCTTGAAGCCATCCTTGGGTCGGATCAGACCGTTGCCAGTCGTGTTCCCCAACAAAGAGAAAGAATATAGAGAGAGCGACATGCAAATGCAAACTCGAAGCGGAGGAAGCGGGGGTGCAACGAGATCGGGGTGGTAGCGGACAGATGGAGATGAAGTTGTCTGCAGTTGCTACCCCAAATGGAAACCCAGCAGCGCATTGCTTGGAAGGCTGGCAGGCGGCTGCAGGGTATCTATCCATGTGGGGATGTGCCCCACGGCCGCGGTGCGCTGGAGCAAGCACGGGCCATCTAAAATCCAGTTCCACCTCGCAAGGTGCACGCCTAAAAACATCAGAAACACAGCAAACACGAGATCAGCTATTGCAACACCAAGCTTGGATCCTGACCCACCCCACGATCACCACCGCCCATATTGCCTGTCAATTGGCCCGGTCCAGCAAAGAGATATTGCTATCGACCATGTCTGAGAAGCGACCGGCAACTGGCGACCCGAGTGGGGGACAGCTGGTGGTGAAGCGACAGAATGTTGGCACGAGTCGAGCTCTTACCCGTCAGGGCGCGTCGGGGGGCGGTGCACTTATCCAGACAGTATGTGATGAATGCAGAAACAGTAGGGATGAGTTTGCTGCAATAACGTACTGATTCGAATGATATAGGCTCCTCGGACGAGCGCGTTACAAGCCCCACTGATGGAGCTATCAGGACACTCGGGAGAGGTCTTCGCAGCCAAATTTGACCCAACGGGGAACCTTATCGCATCGGGGTCGATGGACAGGACAATAAGTATGTATATGGTGTTTTGGGGGGATGTACCTGAGCGTCAAGGGCTGCGATGAGGGACAGGCGGCTGACAGCGGTTAGTGCTCTGGCGAACCTACGGCGATTGCGAGAATTACGGCGTACTGAGTGGGCACCGCGGAGCCATCCTCGACTTGCAATGGTCACGCGACTCTGATATTCTCTTCACTGCCTCCGCCGATACACACCTCGCGAGTTGGGACTTGACATCCGGCGAGAGGATACGACGCTACGTCGGCCATGAAGAGATCGTCAACGCGATGGACATCAGCCGACGCGGCGAGGAATTGCTCATCAGTGGAAGCGACGATGGAACGATCGGGATATGGGACCCGCGCACAAAGAACGCGGTCGACTACATCGAGACCGAGTTCCCCATCACCGCAGTGGCTATATCAGAGGCTGGGAATGAGATCTACTCGGGCGGCATCGACAACGACATCAAGGTGTGGGATATCCGGAAGAAGACCCTCGTGCACTCGATGTTGGGCCACACCGACACCGTGACATCATTACGCGTGTCACCCGATGGTCAGCAGCTGCTGTCGTATGCGATGGACTCGACGGCGCGGACGTGGGATATTCGGCCCTTCGCGCCGGCTGAGCGGCACATCCGAACGTTTGATGGCGCGCCGTTGGGGCTTGAGAAGAATTTGATTCGTGGGAGCTGGGATTCCGATGGGAAGAAGATTGGTGTTGGGGCTGGTGATGGCACAGTGGTGGTTTGGGGGAGTGATTCCGGGAAGCTGCTCTACAAATTGCCTGGACACAAGGGAACAGTGAACTGCGCCGAGTTTGCGCCTGGCGACGCTCCACTCAGTAAGCCCTTCCCAGGATCTCTCGCTCGTCATGAATGTTCACTTACTAACCTCTTATCAGTCCTTTCTGCGTCGTCCGACAAGACGATGTTGCTTGGCGAGCTAAAATGACGCAGCTTCTCAGCATACTAGGCCGACTGTCTAAGACGATCAACACTTTACCTTACCGTGCTTTTTAGAGGTTGTCAAGCCACAAGACGCCCGGATAAGCGGAATGAAAGCTTGCGATATGGAAACGGGAGGCCAAAGAAATCTGGTTCATTACCCTACTGGCGATCCATGGTCCGGACCATGTGGACACCCTTATCCAGCCGCGATACCGGCCGGGCTTGAAGTGCCAAAGAGGAGGCACTTGCTTTTAGCTTGGCACTCTGCAGAACGCGTTGGCAACTCTCTCCTTTGGGGTATGAAGGGGGGTGTAAGAAAAAGGAAAGAAGGCGGAACGTAGAACTGTGCTTGGGAGAACAAGAAAGATGTCGTGGCAGAGGAAGACCAAAAGATGATACCCAGAATTGAACATCCTAACAAGGAAACCAAAAATGATGGCCGAGCCCCCACTTGGGGATGGATTCGGCGTTTCGACACATTTCATTATGCCCTAAAGAGCGTCAGTGATGTCCCCTCAGTTTGTGAAGGCATTCGCCAGAGAGGTGTTGAGTTGAACCTCTTCGTCCAGCATCGCCCTGCATCTTGTGGAGGGGCCAGGGGTCCGAGCTGAAACGTTGTCCGGCCCCACCCACCCTGCTTCATGCGTTGTTGAACCGGCCTGTCGCGTGGGAATCAACAACAGCCAATCATTTGCGGTAACTGTCCCATTTTGCCGGCCAGGAGTTCCCGCTTGCAGTTCAAGATCGTGGACAGCTGTGGCCTTGGTTGGGCTGCAAGAACAGATGTCAGATTTCGCAGATGCAATGGCTGTAAAAGTGATTTGAGTGACTCACGGGAAGTGAAGAGAAGCGGAATTTGACTGGCTGTCAATCGATCAAGCTTGTTTATGTTTCTGCTCTTTTTCCTCGTGCTTCTTAACCTGTCGACTCGAGTAGTCCGGGGCAAGGGCGGTTTGAGACGACAGAACAGCGAGCGACGCAGGGGCCGCAGCAATGAGGACCGGTCTTGTTCCAACGTGTCAAGCGAAGCCGACTGATCGCCAGGGCACGATGTCTTGGGATGACAAGTTCCCTCTTGCCCTGCCCGAGCGCGCTTCATCCTCCTTCGTGAGAAACGCGATGTCTGTGGCTTTTTGGCCGTTGAACCCCTTGAGATCCGTGGCTAACCAACCCCTGTATCCCGACCCGAGTCTCACATTTCAACATGGTCCCTTCGGTTTGACTCGTCAAGCCGGGACTAAGTATTGAATCGCCTTTCGATGACTGGATGAGTACCCTTCAAATGCCCCGGTTTGTGGCTCTGCTTCCCCGTGTGGAGTTCAAATAATTAGGTGAATTCTTTGATCTCCTCGCCCTGGTACCCCCCAGTTCCACATCCCGCAAAACCGTCTCGGACGTCCGCAGCCAGTCGAATCTGTCTAAGTCCTGGTTAGGCACACCACCCGCATACCTCGAAACAAAACACGATGCTGCGCCGACCTATGGGATATTTTCCTTCTTTTCGAGATCCTTGCCTCCGTGTTCACTCTTTTTTCCTTCCTAGCTTCTCTTCCTGTCGTTTAGTTCCCCAAAGTTCTGGGAACCTGCATTAGTCTGGTGTCATCGCGACCTCCGGTGTTGTTTCTCATCACTCGAACTTCGTCGAGAGAATATACAAAGGACCAGGTCCAAAAGTCTGACCATCCCATTGTTTCCTTCTCCTTCATTTCGCCTTTGGCATTTTCTTCTCCAAGGCTCTGGAAGCCGGTTGTTGTTACACGTACCGACTGCTCTGAGAGCAAGGACTTGCCTCATCGTAGACTATACGAGAAAGGAGTTGATGATACCCACGCGCTTGGCCGCTTCTTTTCACGACCTTCACTTTTTTAGGTGGCTCTTACCTTTCATTTATAGCCTCTCGCACAAACCAGCAGAGACCGATTTAGTGGTAGCAAACAGCATGCCCACAACCTTCTCATCTTAGACAAAACCACGGAGGACAACCAAAATGAACCGCTTCAACTTCTTCACTGCGCGCCCTGCGGCAACCACACCAGGCGATACCACCGACCCTTACGGCGACCGCACCCCTCTTTCTCCCGGCCTACACCCCAGCAGTGCCGAAACCGACACAGACGACGAAGTCCTCAACGACGACCTCGAAGCGGCTCGCCCCACCGCAGCCGCCACAGCAGGAGCCGCCGCCGCGTCTGCCAACGCAAACCACGAGATGTCCGAACGCCAGCGCCCTACCAGCACTCGTTTCCTGCACCGTTTCCGCCCAGCCATCCCTTCCTTCTTCAGCACCGCCGGCGCGTTTTCCGCGCCCGCTCCGCAGCCTGGCCAACACCAGCACCCGTACCACGGCTACGGCCAACGCTTCAGTATCCGCCCAAGCAGCAGTCATTATTCCGATTCCGGTGCCGGCCTACGCGGCGCACCGGATACAGTGTTGGACTATTACCCACCGCCGCAGCAGCAATACGGTGCCCGTTCACGCCATCCGGCACTGGGCCCGGAAAGTCCAAAAAGTCCGGATCTGAACCTGAATTTGAACTTGCCTGGGACGAGGTTAAACGTGCCTGGGCTTAGGGGCCCATGGGGGAGCGGTGGTCGTGGGGAAGGGGATCGTGACGATGAGGTAGCGGACGGGCTGGCGACCCCTGCGGGGACGACATGGCCAGGGCTGGTGGCGGAGCCGGAGCCGGCGGTTGTGAGGGACCGTGGAGAAATGAGAAGGCATGGTCGGCGTGAGCGATCGGATTCAGGCTCAGGGTCTTCGCGAGATAGGGGGGATGACGAGGAGCGCAGGCAAAGACGGCAGAGGAGGAGGGAGGAAAGGAGCGGAAGCGGAAGCGGGAGTGGACGATCGAGACGGTCGGAGCGATCCGGGAGGAGCCATCGTCATCATCATCATCACCATCATCGGTCGAGACGTGGCGAGGAGGGCCGGGCTGAGAGGCGGGAAAGACGCGAACGTCGGCAGGGGGGGGATAGTTCGAGCGGGAGTAGTGGGAGCAGCGGAAGTCGGAGGTCCTCGCGCGACAGTAAGCGGCCGCCGAGGAACTTCCTCTTCTGCTTTCCTTGGGTTAAGTCGCGGCGCATTCGCTCGCATATCTTGCGGTGTTTTGTGTCGGGTATCTTCCTGGTGTTGACGCTGGCCATCTGTGAGTGCATTCACCTATCCCGCTTCCATCTCGACCAACCTCCGGCGCTAATAAACCGACACAGACCTCTCGCTGTTCTTCACAAAGAACATCAACAGCACCGAGTTCACCATCGTGCTTATCCTCATCATCCTCTTTGTTACCATATTCTTTTGCTACAGCCTCGTCCGGCTGATCATGTTGATCATGAAGCGGCGCAAGCGGGAGCAAATGGCCGCCTTGGGCCAGGCGTCGGCGCCCGAGATGCTCGGTCCTAGTGGCTACGCCGTGCCGCGGGAACCCATCCCTGTGGTTCTCGCCCGCGACGAGGAGGCGGTGGGCATCCAGAGTGAGGCGACCAAGACCGGCCCGCCGGCGTATGGCGTCTGGCGAGAGAGTGTGGTACGTTGATACTGGGTGACGCAGATCAAAAGCAATGATGGTCATGGCTAACGGGCCTCACAGAGAGTCGACCCCAACCGACTCTACTGGATGCGCAACCAGCAGACACAACCGGCGCAGCGGCAGCAACAGCAGCAGCAGCAACAAACATCAGCCGATGAAGTCTCGGAGCTGGGCAGCACCACGGGGTCTGAATCCATGGAGAGCACGGTGAGCTCCTTGAGTAGCGGTAGCGGCGGTGGTGGACGCCCGACTGCTGCGCCTCGCCCGCCGTCGTACTCATCAGACGACGGCGTTAGCTATGTAGTTGAGGCCCGTCCGCGGTCGATGGCCCCGCCACGGGGAGGTGGCTACGGGGGACTCGGGCATCCGTCGGAGAGCGGCATGTCGGGGTCGTGGGTGTGAGCCTGGGAACCGAGGCGCCTGGCTGAGAATGACGGGTTGAGAGTTGGCGATGAATGAGGAAAGGATGGTCGGAGGGGGAAAGGGGCACATGAGCATTTTGGGGGAGTTGGGGTTTGGATTTGCCGGGTTTGGTGAACACACCGCAACGCGGATGGCCATCGCCACCAGAATCGTACCAGGTGTACGTAATTATAATCGCGGATGAATATTTCGAGCGTGTGGTCGTGTAGCCGTTTGTATGCCGTTCAAATGTTCCTGGTTCTGGCCACTCCTTGTGTTGCGTCCAGGAATGAACACCATCAAAATCCCGAGTCTAACGGGCCGCGCTCTTGTCTCGACGTCGCCCACAGCCTGGCGAGATAACGCCTCTCACTCTCCCCAGACGACGACCAGCGCTGCGTTGATGCATTCCTCCACCCCTGAAGCCAACCGGCCGTCACGACGACACGCCCTGGACTCCTAGCGTATGTAGGCTCGCAATCAGCCATCACAACCCGTTGCGTGCCTCCGTCATCTTGGGTAAATGCAGGGCTCTCTTCAGCTGATGGGCCCAGTCCGTCGTGATATGTGGTTGACCAACCGTCTCCATGCCACGAGGTTCCGAACAACCCCGTTGCGGCTTGCGAGATCACCCCAAGAGTGTCCGTTTTGGGCCTTCCGGGCCGTGTTGCCTCATCTTCAACTGCCCGGACAGGTTAACCTATCGGCGATGGGTGCGGCGCGGCCGTTTTTGGCTCCGAGTTGGGCATGATTGGGCAGACGGGCGCGTTTCCCGGGGCAGGCATGGGGGTTTTGGATGCAACAGGGCCCGTTTCCGCTTTGTTCGATTTCTCTCTGTATTCTTCGGGCCGGGATGGACAGGCGAGGGGCAAAGAGAATGAAACCTGGACGTTCTCGAAACTCCATAGCTGGTGAGTCTGGAGCTTCGACTTCACAATAGATTGATGCAACCGGACACAAAACGATAACTCTCACCCCGCGCGCTCGTCATCCTGCACTCCCGGGCAACAAACCACGACCTGTGGCGGTATTTTGTCATTTGAAGAGGTCTTGGTATTTCTGGCCAATGCGAAATCGGGAAAGAGACTTGGCCTTTCGCTCTTCTCTCAGTGGCGGCCGGGGCAAAACGGTAGCTCCACCTCCAACGGCAGTGGCTTTCGGTGAGACCCGAGCTGCAGAGACTCGGCACCGGCAAGCACAACCTATCTGAAGGAAACAACATCCGGGTTCCGAGACATGTCCACTCAATGCGCCGGCAGACTGGTTAACGGGGAATATGAAATAATTACGTTACTGGTGGTTTTACTGATGAACTGCGCAAGCTGTTGGAGACGAATCTGCAAGGAACCTTCGAAAATCCCTGGCAATGGAAGTGGTCAAACGGAAAACGGCTGGTGCTTGTAATGGTAGCGTTTGTGCTGAAACGGGCCCACGAGTCAGGAACGGAACCGCGAGCCAGCCGCGGTTGCCTCTGCCCATTGGCCTTGAAACTTAGGCCCCCGCCTCCATTGGCGACCGGAATCGTGGGCTGCAACTTGGATGTGGGGTGATGAGGTGGGCTACAGTGGCAGAGTGGGTCCACAGTTCGCCCGCCAGGCCGAGAATTTTTAGCCCTTAGCGTGCCCTTGGGGCTGAGGCTTGCGATGTGCCGATGCTTTGCTCGGCCCAGGTGGTTGCAGCGGAAAGAGCTCCCTAGGCTCTTGCTTCCTTGTGCTCGGCTTGCTAGGGCCAAGGTGAGCGCTAGCGGAGGGAGCAAGGGCCGTGAATGATGCTCCACGTTCCCTCCTTCCATGCGCCGGCGAAAAGAGGAGGACGGCAAGGACGTGGGTACTTGTGATAGACTTCCTCTGCTCGGATTCAACCTGCAGATGTGGGTGCTTGGGCGAAATTACGCCGTCATCCCCCGCCACAAACCTGCCGCAGCTGCTTGCGGTGCCTGGCTTGCCTGGCAAACTCCGCAAGCCCAAGCAACGTCCGAAGCATGTCACTTCTATGTCACTCGATTCCGTTTTTTCTGAATGCCAGCAAGCAAGCATGCCCGCGCTCTCCCTCCGTCTCCATCCCCAGGAGACCCCATCTGCTCCCCCATTGTCCCGCTAATTTCGTCTCTTGCTCTTTCTCCTCCCTCCTTCCTCCTTCTTGCCACAATTCTCTGAAGCACAAATCGCAAAATCCATCTCTCGGGTGTTGTTGGCGAGGAAGTCGGAAACGAAGTCGGAACGGAAGCAAGGTCGAGGCTGCAGTTGACGGTCGATATTATCACGAGTTTTGTGGGAAACGGTTCTCCTAGACTTTCTCGTTCCGGGTTTTACTTTACACCAAGGTGAGTGCCACACCCGCTACCGTCAACTCCTCTTGAAGCCCTCCTTGGCCTCGTTTTGTTACTTTTCCCTCGCTCTCAAAGGCACGTTTGGATGCACGGCGCAGGCGCATATCAAGACAGATGTGGCACAATACCATTGCACTCGCAGAGCTAGCTACGGGCGACTTACTGGATTGTGGGAGGCGCAAACGCGGGGCCAGCCCACGGGTGAGTTGCGCGCATTATTGGATAACACACTACGCAAACACCCCGATCGCCGTCGTGTCTGGTCGCATTTGACACGACAGCCTCGTCTGGCGCATCAGGCTTGCCTTCGGCGCGACCCCGAGGCTTGAGGTTACCAGTTAGCCGGGCAGAGGACGGTTTCGCCGTTTATGCGCGCCGAGAGATTCGGGTCGCACAACGAATCACCCAAATCGGCGAGGGAGGGATCCGTCTCAGTCCCATCATGGCGCGCCTCTACGGGTCGCCAAATATCACCGAACAAAGACAACACTAAACCATGAAACCATACCGGTTGTCAAGCGATTCGCAGGGACGATATACACCCGGTCACCAGCCATACAGCGACACCACACCTTTGCCTGCCCCTGCGCCTTGTGCCCACCAAAGTGACTAGGAATTTCGGAAACATATGGAGGGATAATGTTCTGGAGCCAGGCGCTAATAGACCTTGCAGACGCTTCAGGACAGCAAATATGTCGTCGGTTTCTCGTCGGGCGTGCTACAAGTGCGGTGAGCTCGGTCACCATGCCGAAGCCTGCGCCTCGCCTCATCGGCTATGCTATAACTGTACGTCCGGCGCATCGATCCTGCCCACAGGGGTGTGAACCTAAGTTTCTAACGCACGCGTCAGGCAAACAGCCAAATCACGAGTCGAACGAATGCCCAATGCCCCGCACTACCAAGGCGAAGCAGTGCTATCATTGCCAGGGTCTCGGCCACGTCCAGGCTGAATGCCCTACCCTCCGTCTGAGCGGTGCTGGCGCGGGCAACCGGTGCTACAACTGCGATTCCATTGGCCACTTGGCTGTGCGTGCTCTCCCCCATACTCCAACACAACCCGGACTAGGTGGTGGCTAACCCGATGATTTTGCAGCGCAACTGTCCCAACCCTCCGGTCCCCGGCCTTGGCCGCGGTGCTCCTATCCCCCGTGGCGGCTTTGCTCCCATGCGAGGCGGTTTCGCCGGTGCTGGGCCTCGTCCGGCCACCTGCTACAAGTGCGGTGGCCCCAATCACTTTGCTCGTGACTGCCAGGCCCAAGCCATGAAATGCTACGCCTGCGGTAAGCTCGGCCACATTTCCCGCGACTGCACTTCTCCCAACGGCGGACCGCTCAACACCGCTGGCAAGACCTGCTACCAATGCGGCGAGCCTGGCCATATCTCGCGCGACTGCCCTAAGAAGCCTGGCCCGAACGGCGATTTGCAGCCCGACGTTGACATCACCGGCGCTCCAGTCCTTCCCGCCCAAGCGGTATCCCCCGTTGCCCCGGTTGCTTAGAGCGTTACTCGGCGGCACTCGACTGTCGGGCCAACCTTTGAGTTTACTTTTCCTTCATAACGCATGACTTTCGGGTCACCTATACCAATCTCGTTGGTATTTCTCTCTCCATTCTGGAAATGGGATCAGGATGATACGACATCGGGGTTTCTTCACGGCGTTCTCGGCTTTGGCTGGTATCAACGACTATGGTCACATGTTTATTCGTCCGGACAAACAAATGAGGGATCGGGAAAGGAAACTCAAAGCATATCTTCTTCGCTTCATACGATGGCCGTTTTATCCAACGCCTGGCAGGTACAGCCGGGTCCCACGGCTCGGCTGCACCCCAAGGCAAATTCACCCATGGCTGCCCCAAGTTTTTTTCCTTTTTTTCATATGTGTTTCTCCAGTCTCCGCTTCATTTCTCTTTTCGCCATCATTGCCTCGTTCACCTAGACGCTACTTGGAGACAAGCAAACTTTCAGAGATACCCCCACCTTCTTGGAGCCGGTATTACGGGTTTCGGACATGGTTATTGTCGAGGCTCTTGGGCGAAACGCTTCGAAGCACACCTGGGGATTCGGCGGGTTGTGACATGGCGCTGTGCGCGTACAGGCGCCAGGCGGGCAAAGGCAGAGCGGCAGGCCAAAAGATTTGGGAAGGAAAGGGCAACGATGTATCTAGTGGGAAGGTTGCAGTGGCAACGCGGTGTGCATGTGAAATAGTAGGCGATTTTTAATCCTGCTATGGACGATGCGCTTGGTGGTCGGTTGATGTGGTAGGACCCGGGAAGTGAAAATACAACCCTTCAGTCTTTATACGGGCTTCTCAGACTCTATTATTGTGAATGGTCAGCCGGAATAAATAAAAGCAGAACGACATGATAATCTGCATTAGGTATTCCGGAGGAGGGACGGTCAGCGTAGACGGTGAGTTGATCAAGTACCAATAGGTTTTTCATAAAAGAAGCCGGTTTGACAGTTCCAGAACCTCCGTAAAACTCGATTCCTTGACGAGCCCAATCGCCTACTTTCTGAAGCAAAAGGGTGCAATCAAGACGTTGAACAGACGGAAGACAAAAATCGTGAAAAAAGATTAGACAGCTGAGCTGTCCAGGGATAGATGGTATCAGGTTTTAGCCTGCCTGATACTGGAATCGAACCAGTGATCTTTGCATCTCTAGGCGGTACGAGTGCAACGCATTACCCCTGTGCTAATCAGGCTTGTTGAAACAGGAAACTGGAGCGGGGGCTCATAAGCTCAGTTGGTCGTCGGTGCGCCAGGGGCTGCGAGCGGAGCGCGTTATAATTACCCCTGAATTGCATGGCGCCAAGACCGGTCGAAAAACGGTTTCCGCACCTTTGTTTACGAAGTCATTACCACAGATATCAAATCCATGATGACCAGGACCACGACAAATCTTTTCAATCCTGAGAGCAGTTTTTGTGCGTCGATGATTAGTGCCCTACTAGCTTGTAATCATCAAATTTAACACGCAACGCGGGCTTGTCTTGGCGTCCGCTTGCGCTGTTTCAATCAGCAGTTTATCACATCTCAGTGCGGGCAATACCCAGGGCAGCATTAATGGTTGAGTTGATGGTTGGAGCCGTCGCCGGTGCCTTGCTTTGGTAGCTCGAGCTTCGTTGGAAACGCTCTACGCTTGTATCTAAGAAATCGCCTCAAGGGAGTTTTTCTGGGTTGGTGAGCAGAACGATAAAGACCGAACTAGGATACATGCGGCTATGGCAGTTATAAACTGCGTGCCATGTCCCAAACCCGGTCGTGAATGTTGATTGTCGTGGTACCCAATAAGGAACGTTTGTTACCCCGGCGTGGCTGAATACCATGGTAACTCGGGGCCGGTGATTACACATGTCACATATGAACCCTGGCCGGACCACCCATGGTGTTAACGTTCAATGCCGTGTTCCCCGCATGGAGTTAATGTCCCAAGGAACGGGACGTGGAATTCCGCCCCTCTTTTTGTTTGGTGTCTCGTTGTTTGGTTGCGGCCTCCATCAATGGGTACGCTCTGTACTTGCTTGCTTGGTACTGTGCCAAGTGGTAAAGTTCGGGGAGGGATCGTCGGTCCCAAAAGAAAATGACGATACCCGTGACACCGCCGATCACCCGTTCCTTTGGGGTTCTTGGACGTCACACAGCAAGGGAGGTTGGCTGAATGGGTTCGCATAAGACCAGGAAACATGCCGAGATCAAAATAAAGTGCCGAGTTCGTTCGTTCATCACTCGCTTGGGGACTTCGTCGAGTGACCTCCATCGCTTGCTTTGAGCTGTTGCGGGACGGAAGGAAGGCGTTGAACTAGGAATCGGGAGTTGATCTGAGGAGGCACACACTGGAAAGCGTTAACGTTAATCTCGACTACCTTGTTGTTTCTTTATCCATTGAAATCACCAACATTCACGCCCCGCTCAAGAGTCGAATCACCACTTTCTCGGCGAAGCGGAACCCAAAAAGCCCACGACTTCACGATGAAAGCCTCACACACCCAGGCGGCCCTATTCGCCGGCGCCCTCCTCCCTTCTCTCGCGTCCTCTCAATTCTGCCCGGACTACTCCTCCTACTCACAAACCCGACACGAGCCCTTCTCCTCGGGCAAGCACGCCCTCGCCTCGATGCGCCCGTTCGCGCCCTGCCGCACCTTCAACTCAACCGCCGTCGAGTCCCTCCTGGTCAACGTCACCAAATCCATCACTGACCCGGACCTCGCCCGGCTGTTCGAAAACACCTTCCCCAACACACTCGACACCGCCATCCGCTGGCGCGGCCACGCCGCCGACAATGCCGACGAGGAACTCGCCTTCATCATCACGGGCGACATCGACGCCATGTGGCTGCGCGACAGCGCCAACCAGCTGCAGTCGTACGTGTCGCTACTCGAGCCCGACGCGGCCCCCGGAAAACCCGATTCCATCGCGAGCCTGTACCGCGGCGTCATCAACCTGCAGGCGCGGTACCTACTGACTGCGCCGTTCTGCAACTCGTTCCAGCCGCCTGTGGAGAGCGGGATCGCGCCAGTGAATAATACGGCGGCTGTGGCCGACAAGGTGACGCCCGGGTATGATGCGGGGGAGGTGTTTGAGTGCAAGTACGAGCTGGATAGCTTGGCGGCGTTCTTGCAGATTTCCGTCGACTACTACGAGTCGACGCAGGATGTGGCATTTTTCGAGCGGTTTCAATGGTTGGACGCGCTGCAGACCGTGTTGGACACGGCGAGGGCGATGCAGGCGGGGACGTATGCGAAGGATGGGTCGGTGAATAAGAGCCCGTATACGTTTACGCGGCCGTCGGCGCGGGCGACCGAGACGTTGGCGAATGATGGACTGGGGAGTCCGGTGCGGGAGACGGGGCTGATTCGGAGTGCATTCCGGCCAAGTGACGACGCGACGCTGTTTCAGTTCTTGGTGCCGTCGAATATGTTGTTTGCACGGTACCTGGAGAGTGCGAGTTATATTGTGGCGGAGCTCGCTCAGAAACAGGGCGACGGAGGCGATAATGGAAGCCAGCACAGCCACAAGAAACGAGCAACCGTCCCAGCCAACCTCGCCGACGACATGAACACCTTCTCACAGGAACTCCGCAAAGCGATCACCAAGTACGCCGTGGTGCCCGTGACCACGGCATCCGACAACGGCACGACCTCGATCGAGACGGTCTACGCCTACGAAGTGGACGGTTACGGCGGGGCCAACCTCATGGACGACTCCAACGTGCCCAGCCTGCTTGCGGCGCCCGTGTTCGGCTATTTAGGTAGCATCGACCCCGTCTACCAACGCACGCGCGCTCGGCTCCTCAGCGCCGACGAGAACCCGTATTTCATGACGGGGACGGTGCTGAATTCGATCGGGGGACCACATGCCGGGCCGGGCATGGCGTGGCCTATGGCCAGCGTTGTGCGGATTCTGGGCTCAGACGACGACAAGGAGATTGTCGAGGTGTTGAGGGAGTTGGTCGGTTCGACGGATGGGCTGGGGTTGATGCATGAGAGTGTCAACTCGAACGATGCTAGCAAATGGACCAGGCAGTGGTGAGTTGTTTATTCATTTTTTAGTGCATTCGTCGATTCATCGGAGGACATGCGCAAGTACTGACTGGAAGATAGGTTCTCGTGGGCCAACGGCTTATTTGGCCAAATGATACTCGACCTGCGATTCCGCAAGCCGGAGTTGCTCAAGACGAGTTTCCAGTGAAAGGTGGGAGGCCAGGTAGCAAGGGTCACGGCAGTACCTGATCATGCGATGTGTTCAGACACCCAAGGATCCCATGTATTCAGCGCATAGCGGGCCATGATGTAATGTATGAGGAGCCGCCATCTTCGCGCTCGCTCTCCATTTTTTTAAAAACACGATTCGAGGTTCTATCTCAGTGCTATTCATTCTAGCGTCTCTATGCGAATGACGTCCAGGCCCATCAAGGGTGCTCGCTAGACGGATGCGATATGCCAGGTGTATATGCCCCAAGTTTGTGTCTTGTGTCTGTTACATATCCTCAAAAGATGCAAGACGAGGAAAATGTTCGTGTTCCCATCCCAATATCCAAAATCCGGTTGCATGCCAGCAACGAAGAGTGTTCCAAATCCCAAAGTGAAATGCCATGATGAAAGTGAGCAAGCCAAGCCTAAACGGGCGAATGCAGGTAAAAGTGAAAAAAAAAAGGCTCGCCGTAGCAAGAAGAGAAGAAATAAGAGTGATTCGAAGCCAAAAAAAGAGGAGAAAAAGAACCAAAAGTGTGAGCTCTTTTTGAGAAGAATCGAATCGAAGCCAAAAGCCAAAGAATGGAGGTACGCAGTGGTATCAAGAACTGGGTCGTCGTCAATCGTCCTTCGTCGAAATGCATTGCTCTCACACTCTTTCAACAAGTCTCCCTGCTCTCAAGCCTCAGCCAGGAAGAGATCCTCGCGCACCTCAACCGGCGGGACACACCCGTCGGCGATCGCCTTAAGCGTGTCCTGATCCAGCGGCAGAGATGTCTCGACAACACTGTCCCGGCGCCCACCGCTGGCCCGAACCATTTCGCGGCGGATGCCGTGGTTGACGGCGTCCAGCACGGTGTCGACGAGCTTGCGCGGCTTGAACTTGGGCTCGGTGCCGTCCTGGTAGACACCCGTCTTGACCAGAATGCTGTACCACTCGTTCTTGGCCTTCGCGTTCATCGCGTTGGTGCCGCGAATGTCGGACTCGGGCGTGTCGCCGACAAAGTAGACGGTTGCCGGCGGCTCCAACTCCGCAAGGCCATGCTGCGTCGCGCGCCATTGCTGCAAGAGGCGAGTGGCAAACTCGAACGTCGACACTTGCGGCTTGCCGAAGGCATGCGTGTTGAGCTTCTTGCCGCCGGTGGTGTCCTCGAAGACGGTCTCGACGATGCGGCGTAGGGCACCCATACCGAGGCGCGCGTGCTCGTGGGCAGCCGACCAGAGGACGTCGTTGTGGCTGAAGTAGATGGGCGGGCCCTCGTCAAAGGTCTCGGACCGCGTCTCGAGACGGCCACCCTTGGACTGGGCAATGTCGAGGATGATCTGAAGGTCCGAGGCCCAGTCGCGCGAGTCGGCAAATACAAAGATGGCCTCAATGACAATGTCTGACAGCTTCTCTGCGCCGTGACGGGCCAACAGATCGCGCGAGTTGGCGTGCTCCTTGTCGGTGAGCTTGCGGAAGGGGGCCGTCGTCGCGTTGGCCTTGAGAATGTCGCCAGGGGTGACCACATCGCGGAAGCCGTAAGACTCGGCAACTTGGCGGCACTTCTCGCCTTCGCCGCCGACCACAAGTACGGTGCCGTACCGGTCAGCAAACTCCCGCATCGGGGTGTGGCCGCAGATGAACTGGCCGGGCGAAACGTCGATCTCGAGCTGTGCCGACAGGTCTTGGCAGCGTTCCGTCTCAAACTTGCCGCCGCCGTTGGTCAAAAAGATGTAGGGTCTGTGGACGAAGAACGAGAGGGTCGAATTAGCCATAACCATTCAGCCATGTGGCAGGTGGGACTGCTAGTAGGGGTGGTTGTTCGTGGGGAACTGGAAATGTGGGGAGGGTTGACGCAGTGATTGACGGCCAACAAGGGAGGGAAGGACAAATGCATCGTGACTTACACCTTGATGCCCCACTCATTCTCGCCGTTGAGCACCTTCATGGCTTCGACTGCCTCGGGAATCGGGCGCCCGCCACGGATGAGCACGCCGTCGATGTCAAAGGCAAAGGCAAAGTTGTCTGCCACGCCGTTCGCATCGGCCATGGGCGCAACGGGCACGGTGATGGGGGTGGCTGGACTCGCGGGCGACACGGTCTCCGCCGGCGACGCGAGGCCGCCCTCTCCGCCAACCGCCGAGCTACCGGACGAGGGGACAGGTGACAGGGCATCTTCCTCGTCTGTGTCGGGCTCGTGAACGCCCATCTCGTCGAGGCGCCTCCGGGCATCGTCGAAGGCATCGGCGAAACTGCTGCTGGACGCCTTGCGGTCACACATGGGGGGCCGCTGGGGAACGGGAAGGGTCGACATGTTGGGTGGTAGGAGATGGACAACCGGGGATTGTTTTTCGGTGATTGTCGTATTGGATACAAGTTTAGATAAAGGTAGGCAGGCGTGCTTCCGCTTGGTTGGATATCTCAAGTATCAATATCAACGACGACCGAAGAAGCGGGATGGTTGATGAGAGAGGAGGTTGATGAGGGCCGTGAGGGGTCCGTCCGTTTTATAGACCGATCCCATCCGCAAGATGCTCGATGAGGACATCCTCTCGAGAACAGCTGGAACCCGGGTATCAGCACGCAAGCACAGTACTGCCAGACACACGCCCGCAAACCCACAAGTCCGTATCCACACGCCCACAACGCCCGCAACACCTACAAACACCCACACGACCGGGAGGGCGCCTGGAAAAGAAAAACACACATGGTGGTGGGTATGTTGGTGGATATGGTGGTGGGCCCTCTGTCGTGCAATCGCAGCGTATCAACACGGCGACAGTGGCTCCAGCAGGCGAGGGAAACACAGGGTCTTAGGGGTACCAGGGTGGTTCGAGGGGTCTGGCTGGGCGCGCTCGAAAGCCCTGGCGGGCGATGTGGATACTGGGGGGCGTGCGGCGAGACAACAGACACGGTTCGCACGGCCGATGAGTGAGGGATAAGATTTCATCATTTCTCACCACACCACGCTGCCCTGCCCCTGAGCCGAAATTATTCGAAAACCCTAGCCGCTCTCAAGATTCGGCGTCCCGTTTAGTGTAGTGTTGAGATCGGATCGAAGGGGCGTGGAAAATTGCCGTACACTACATGTCTGTGCCCATCAAGTGCCCACATAGTGTGGCGCCACGGTACTTGACATGAATGAATCTTGAGGTGCTGGGGAGCGCGAACTTTCGATCTCGTCGAACCCACATGTCCACTGCCTCCCCCAGACTCCACCACCAAAAAAATATGGGCTCAATGTGGTGAGCGATGTTTCCATGAGAATCCTACCATGTTAGGCAGGCGGAGAGCCCCCTTCTGCCCATCGAGCTCATCGAAAACAGCGATGGTGTCGTTCCTGAAATCCACAATGCCCACACCCCGCCGCGGGGTATCAAATGCTCGCTTCGATCCTCCAGGGTCCTGGCATGTGCGATTCTGCACCAAGCTGCACAGTGCGGGATCCAAATTAAATTTCCTGACACTCCCTTCCTTGCGACTGTACACAACACAGTCCTGCGCTGGTAGGTACACCAGGAATTTGCAGAGGGCCTGCATTGAGGATATCGTTGCTGAGCGAGGGATGCAACACACTTACTCGGAGGACGGCTTTGGGAGCCGCGCGAGCCAAGGCGGATAACACGGGCGGGTAAGGCGGCGGGTGGGCGTTTCGATCTGGCGAAGCGAGAACCGGGGTTGTCTGCAAGAGACAATAGTATCCTGAAGGGTTGAGTTGTTTCGGTGTGTTGCGTGTTCACCGTGCATCGAACGAGCTAGTCTCAGCAGTCCAGCACATGCCGCAAGTGCGTCGTCCTGTATTGTAATGATTGAGAAGTCTCACAGGGTGTTGTAATCTGTAAAGGCCCGAAAATGGGAGGGGCGGGAGCCGATCAGGGACGCCAGCAGGCGAATTGGATGCTCAAACGTGGTGGTTCTCGGCTGGGTTGGATTACTTGTTACAGCCGCCAACAATCCCGTTACTGCCTGTTACTACCTGTTGTCCCGTCGTCAACAAACCAGTGCCCAATGACGACGGGGGTGAGGAAATCTCTGTTTTCTGTGGCCGCCAGGTACAGGAATAGATCTTCTCATGCATCTTCACCTTCAACTTCGCGGTGAAACACAGTGGCAATCCATGCAACCACATCTCTTCAAGCCTGGTTATTGGCTGACGGGTTGCCGGGGCGGCTTGCTGATTGGCCTGCATCGCTCATTTTCTTGTCTCTCTCAGGGAAGCCCCTCAACCCTTGGAAATGCGAGAATGCATGCAGACATTCAAGGAAGCCGCCTGTGGGCGCCCGGAAAACGCGGCGGCGGGTTTGACCGCCAAGTCGCCGCGTCGGACGCATTGACGATCCAATGACGTCAATAACGGGTCCGTCTGTGAGTGAGGTTTCGGCCGGAGTGGGGTCCGTTGGCGCATGAAAAGCGCTCGCAAGGCTCGTCGACGCACATTGCAGAGTCGTCGAGAGCTGATCGAGAATGGCAGAGCAGGCACTGGCTTGACTGGTAGGCCCGAGAAAGAGGGCGCCGGCCGACACGTCGTTCCATGCCCAGCCGGGCCAGCAGGTCGAAGGACAAACAAGGCCTTCTGCCGAAAAATCCTTGGCCCGTACTCTTCCGTGCCGGCCTCTTCCGTGTCGGTCCCGGGCACGCACCGTGTTTACCCACTCTCCCACTTTCGCCCACTTCCATCGAGCCCACCAAAATTCTTCGTCCCTCCATGCCTCTTTCAACCGTGTTGCCAAGCATCGGGCCACCTCATGCAGGGGCTCGAGTCTGTTATTGGATGATTTTGATGACTGTTTGTCGATGCCTTTCCATCCTTCTCGCCAACCGAATGAAATGCAATCCCGGTCCGGGGACAGTGTTGGCAGACAGTGAAGACACAGCGGGCTCCCCGCCGCCATGTGAAGCAAATATTATTGTCCGAGGCAAACCCCACTCGAGCAGCTGTGAATAGCATCCGACTTGCTCCGCTGCGAGCCCGCTAAGCCCGCCCGGGCCTGTCAGACCAGAATTGTCGATCCATGCCGTGAGAGGTCCAGGGTTTAGTGAGTGAAACGTTGCCCGCTGTGAGTCGCAGAAAAGAGCCGTTGAACCAGGAAAGGCCAAGGAAACTTCGCAGCCACCACGACCGGTCGCTGTAGGTCGTCGTCATGGCCGTATGATTTCACGGCGATAATGGGACGACAGCTTCCTGACGAGGAATGAGAGCCTGTGCGTATCCGGATGCGGGTAACCCAACTCATCATCTTGGACTTGCGCCGTTGACGGACTGTCCCTAGCTTGCCTGGATCAAAGGCTTCATTGATAGCCCGACACCTCAACAAGCAGATGCCCGCAGGTGTACGTGGATTCTGGCATCCGTGTCCCTTCGGTCGGTGCTCTCCACGCGCGAAACGAGATCGCCGTTGCTGTTCCCAATATCCGATAGAACAGACATAGTCTGATAGTGTGATAGTGTACATGTATATGTGCGTTTGCATGTCCCCAGAGTGGAAAAGAAGAGGGGCTAGGAGGGTCTCGAGAAATGCTGCAAAGGACCGTCATTGGAAGCCGAAACCAGTCGTAGCTGATGATCGCGCTGACCGGCAGGTCTGGAGGCATAGCCCCAACTTTCCCCGCGTTATCCTGTACGGCTCCTGGGTTGCCCCTTGGGGCCTCTTCTTCTCCATCCCGAGCCATTGAGGGCAGAGAGAGAGTCCTCATCAAGAGGAGCTCAGGGTGAAACCAGTCTCCCCTTGACAGTTTCGACGGCCATCAATGACTCCATGATCGCTGGGGACTGAGAAGGTTCCCCATGGGGAAGTAGCCAGCCAGGCAACGCGCTCAACCACTGTCTGCCTTCCGTGCCGATGGGCAAGCGCTTCTTCTACGCTCGCATCCCAGAATGTGGGAACTTCGGCATGTTCAACCCGCAGCCAACCCTTCCATCCGGCCGTGACGGCAACTTGGGCCTGAGAAACCGCCGCATTCGACACAACGCCCGCGGAGCTCATGGCACCGCCTCCAATAATTATAGTACCCCACCATTCCCGACGGCCGCTCTTGTGCGACCCGTAGAGCATGTAGTGCTCGATGGAGGTAACGCAGTCGGCCACATGCACAGGACTTCCGCGTGGAGGGCGGAGAACATGGAGGTGTTCCAAGTCGCTACGGTGGATGGCGGTGGTAGCGGGCATGGTCTCTGCCGTTGTGGAGCCGTCAACAAACAGCCCGCTGCTCGCAACCGACGTAGTAAGAAGCCGTAGCGGGTCGAAGCGCCCTTCAAAGTCGATGATGGCCACGGCCTTCTCGTGCGGAGTAGCGATGAGAATGGCCAGTAAAAAATATAGCAACTCGAGATGGCGGCCCGCGAGAGTTAAAGTGCTCGACCCAGTTGCCCGAAAGTGACGATCGACGAGATCATTGAGCGCATCGACGGGGAAACTTGGCGAGCGTGTCTTGGGTGAAGTCCTACTCCCAATAACCCCATTATCATCGCCGTGATCCCCTTTAGCAATATTATTTGCGGCGTGGAAGCTTGTGCGGAAGGCTGCAAGAACCTGGATCAGCAGGGAGCATGTCAGTTCTGTTGAAGAGTTAAATTTGTGGCACCATGATTTCCACCACTGCGCTCTTGACCCAAACGGGACAACCTGCAACATCCCAACCACAGTAAATCGCCCAAAGACAGCCATCGATTGCGACCGACTACGAACCTCATCAAGCGTTGCCTCTTCAATCTCACCAAGGACGCGAGCACCCACGCTCGCGGCGCCCGCACTGCGCATTGACTGCATCACTTTCCCCTCCTGCTGTGTTGCCTTATGTCTGCGATGGCGCCGCCTTGCCCCAGTTTTCCTGTCCGTCACCTAGCCGCGGCTGTCCAAACTAGCGAGGATGGGAAGGTCCGAAAAACCGAGAATGGACGACGAATCGATTTGGCGGGCGATTGCGAACTGTTCGGCCTCGTTCAGTATGAGTGCATCGTGGCGCGCCCTGAATTGGGCGATAGCCCTGTGCAGTGCTGGCCAGTGCAGCGATGGTTTCGTAGGTGAGTTCTGCTTGCGTTTTCGGGCCATCCCCGACCCACTCTGGGCACACCTGCGGGCGCGTGGGCGGGAAATAGCAATGCGATTTCGTCTGGGTGGTGGTGCGGAAATTGAGGCGGCGTGCTGATGTTGAGGATGTCCGTGTCCCAACTTTTTAGGTGTCAGGACAAAAAAGGCAGTTTTACGGCAGAAACAACAGTGTGGGAAGGAAGGTCTCTAGCAGTTACCCCAACAGAAACCGGTGGCCCCCAGGGGCAAGGTGTGCACATGACCACTCCAGCACAGGTTGCTGCAAAGAATAATATCTCCAGTTAAACCACCAATAGGTACCTCGTTACTCACCTCTCTGGAGGCTTTAACTGGTCACGATCCCCGCGCCTTGCCACCGGCACAGATTGAACCAGCACAGAGAAACCAATATGAATGCGCCCACTGACTCAATGTCTACCATGAGTTATTCGTATGATACAACCCATTCCCCTTCTCCAGTTCTCCCTCCCTCCCGTTGGTGCTATTCCATAAACGCCACCCTTTTTCTTCCACTCTCCGGCCATTTATCGTTGATATACCACCATTCCGCTCCCCGCTCAAGCCCCTTGCCTAGCAGCACGCTCCTCCTCCAGCTTCTTGTAGTAGTTGTCGCGAGCGTTTGTCCTCGGGACGTGGTAGCCGTACCTGGTGGGGATGTTAGGAATAGAACCTCTTCTGTCGTAGAGGGTGGCGGAGGGTTCCGTTCTTGGGGGGGTCTCGTACCAGTAAGCGTTGCCGAAGACGAGCCCGAGGCCTGGTGCCGGCGATTAGCACTACCTAACGCAAAGTCTGAAATCGCGTTAACTTACCGAGCGCAATGCTCAGGTCGGTAATAAGCCCCTTGCGGAGCATCTAAAGTTCAATCAGCTCTTTGTTCCTTTCCGCGGCGGGGTTGTGGCAGTTGACGGCCATTGGTGTTGATGCGGCGTTGGTCGGGTTACGTACGCCAGTAATGGGTTTGACGGCCATTTTGTCTAGGTCGGTTCGGTGGTGGAGCGGAGAGTGTATTCGCAGCTTGTCGGTTATCGTCCGGTGCGGTGTTTCGGCTACGAAATGAAGCTTGAGAGCACCCACCTGAGGTTCCGAGCTAAGGTGCACGTGATTTGACGAACTGGGTGACAGCCAATTTTTGAGATTATGTAATCTTCCACCAATAACCCTATCCCCGAGTTCGCAAATCGGACCCATGAGCGGATCCTCACCTTCAACCTCATGAAACACAAACCCTACATAGTATCTATCTATCTTGGGTTGTAGCTTCTCGACATCATAAAAAGGCTTGTGCATTTCTCTAAAGTGCGGCAAAGGCTCAGTACTTTCGTCATTATGTGTCCCTGCAATATTCACCCAGACCGTGGCTGCCTGCCAGGAAACTAAGAAATATTAGCCTGTAGCTTGTGGGCTGCGTCGCTCCAATGGTTTTCCTAGGTCCCAAAGCCGCTATCTAGTAAAAGACTACACCTTTAACGAAACGAATCAGACCGGCTTCCCCATCCACCCTGAAAATGGGCCCAAAGCTCAGTACCATTTCACCACTCACGATGCTATCGAAGTATCGATCACCCCACCACCCCCCCCCCCCCCCCCTCCTCCCCCGGCAGCACCCCGTCCATTCCGTGCCAGTTTTCGGGACTAGGCCGCCTCATCCAGCCCAGACCTAGCAGTCGTTGTCCCAGCGTACTATAACGTTCCAATTATCTGGAAAGAACAGCTGTCCGGACACCTGGACTAAAGGCTTTACAATCGTACATTTGCTAATGATGTAGCTAGCAGCCTCGACAATGCGGTCGAAGGTGTCTAGAGTGAGCGGGTAACGATTCTACGCAGTAGTCTGTGAGCTTTGCTGCCAATGGCGGAGTGGGGATTCAGGGCAGTAAATGAAGACAAGCATACATCATTGCAAATGTAGATTGCGGAGGAGTCGTCGCAGCTGACACGACCACACGAGCTCGGCCCACGAGGGACATGCACCCTACCCTTGACCGTGTTGAGGTAGGTCAGGCCGCGATACAAGGGGGACAGCTCGGCGCGATCCCAGCGGCCGCCGCAGAAGTAATGAGTTCCCGTCATGTCAAGCGGCGGGATTCGCTTCTGCAGGGTATCGCTTGAGGGCAAGCCGCGCTGCTGCAGGTGGTGGATAACGTTCTCAATAGTACCGTTGACCGCAATAACCTCGCCATTCTCAGCGTCAATTTCCCACTTGAGTACACTCGGATCAATAACCGAGACACGGGGGGCGATCGCCAGTGGGTTGGCGAGGACCTGGTGTAAGTGTCAGTTTCTTGGACGGCATATTGTGCTTGTGACGTAGAGATGTGGAAGGATAAATATAACTCGATAATATGGATGTTGTTCCATACCTTGAGAGCAAAGAGCGCAGAGATGGCTGCAATGTACTTCATTTTCAGACAGCTTAGAACCTCTGGAACTGAAATCGCGATTCTTAGTGGATTAGGTGGGCGGATTGACGTTGATGGTGGATGGATTGCTCCTGCTGGTTTTTGATGGTGATCAAACGAAGAAGACCAACGCCGGAAACATCGATACTTATATATAAAAAAAGACAAGTTAACAAAGACAACGGCCATGTCGTTAGTGTAATGAAGACTGTTGCTTGACACACACCATGGACTCCCTGCTTTGGGCCGCCTTAATCGCTCCCTACGTATCCAGCCCCTAGGTCTGGTATGTTCAACAAAGCAAAACACCGCCGGACCCCCAGAATAGTTGCGCAAGTTGCGAGCCGCCGAGTCCCGTTTCCTACATTCGGTCCCCTTACATTCATTACATCCATGGCGCAGGAGTGTAAAACAGGCGCGCGGAAACAAAATGAATTCCAAGGTGTGCAAATTGGGGCTTTGGTCCTTCTCCGGCGGACAAACAGATGTACTCTCGGGTAGTACAAGGGGCTGAGGTCCCGAATTCCTCTCGCGGGCCTCGTACAGATAACTCAGGACAATACGAAGGGGCGAGCAATTTTTATAGATGAACATGAAGATAATGAAAGCAATGACAAACAACGCTCACGGCTTTAGTCGCGAATACCGTGGACTAGATCCAATACCATGATAACCGCATGCCCCAGCCTAGTTTACCAGTGAAGAAAATCGGTTTAAGCTGTGATGAAGGCCAACAGAGGCCTAGGCAAGTAGACACTCCTCACATTAAGGTGATAACGGCAGAACTACCTGCTCAGTGTCTCGCTAATGGTGTTGCTTCCGGATTTGAACATTGAAGCGTTCGATTTTGAATCTTCAGTTCCTCGCCGAGCAGCCCCGCCAAGGGATAGATGTGTGGCGGGGTTTGTCCACAAAGAAGAATCCCCAGGCGCGCGTTTTACCCCCGCCACGCAAACATAAGCCCCAGGCAAACTTGCGAAGCGACTTCGGTATGGGAGCGGCTTGCAGAGCGTCAGGAATTATACTAGTATGCTTCCGGTAGTCCAACCTCTTCGAGTTCTCGTCCTCACATCTCATCTGATGATCGGTCTTGTCCGACACTCCGACAATTAAACCTCTCCTATCATCCCAGCTATTGATGTCAAATGGCTAGACCGGTGTTCTGTAAATGTGAAGCCCGTGTGAACCATGCAAGATCAATCGGTACGATCCCAGTTTTGTAGTTATAATTAATAGATAGGCTAGACTGAGAGATATTACTTAGCTCATTTATACTTTGTACCGACCAAAAGTTTACCGCCTTCATCTTGGCCCCATCATTGATTAACGATCGGCCATCATCATAATCCGCCCTCGTAACGAATTTCTTCCTTGATTTCCTTCTCCAAGTAGTGTAATAAGTGTAGGTATGAAGCCCCAACAGACCCGCAATATTTAGGGTAACTCGCCACGGATCAAGGTGACAGAGAAGTGAGACAATGCGCCGTCATACATAATTACACTGCAAGCGCCTTTGCCGCCTATCGTCGATACTGTAGCCTCGCCCCTTTCCGATCACCCTTTGGCTCCTGACAAGCGCTGTGGTGAAAGCAACTAACACAACGGTTGCTCGACGTTGGCAGATACAAAGTTACGATGGCGTTCTTGCTGGGACAGGAGTTTGGGAAGAAGGTTTGCCCACGGCCACTTCATCCTGCTTAGATGTATTCGTCTTCATAGTATTGACACTTACACGGTGCTTGATGGTATACACATTGTAAATATTTCCGGAGTGGTTGGTTGGTTTCTGATTCTCCATTCATGGATGTCTCTCAGGTCGCCCCCTGACACCCACGACCGGGGTGCGAAAGTTCGCTTCGGGCATCCCCTATCGGCCCACTTATACTTGTCCTGATCGGGCACGCTGAAACTGAGAGTCTGTGGGGCAGCCGCTGGGGGTCTCCTGTCGGGTAACGACGTCGCAGCAAAGCGTCTGTTGAAATAGCCGTGATGGGTTTTGTGTTGCACATGGCCTGGAGTGCAGAAACTTCTTCGAAAGGACATATTTCTCCCCCCGTCGTTCCCTCTTCTGCTGGCTGCTCGTGCTGCTCTGGGAAAAGCAGGATTAATGGTCCAGGACGAGACTACGTGATTGGGGAATCCTCTGCTTGGGACCCTTGTTCGCGACTGAATTTGGGATCCCTGCTCAGATCTTTTGCAGCAGCTCCGAGACCAGCGGTTCGATGCAGGAACAGAAAAAAAGGATTTGTCCGATCTTGTTGGACTTGTTGAGATGAACCAGCGGCGCATGATGTCTGATCAGTGATGAGCGGTTGGCTCCATGCAATCCCCAACCGCTGTTTCTTGGTTTCACCAGTAACTTAGTAAAGATAGTAAATAATGCCCGTGCAACCGAGAAACAGCATCGTTTCCCGGAATAGCAACCGTGACTACCGGGGTGAGATGGTAGTGGAAGCGAGCGGTGTTCTTGGGCGGCACTAATGTCTTACGCAGGCGGCTGTGTGGTTTGTCGATGTCTTACAGACGACGTGCCTCCGCCCGACACCGCTGAAAAGTAGCTGCATGGAGGTGGCCGAAAACAGGTCAGGCAGGGTCTTTCGGCCCTGCCAATTAGGCCCCCCGAATTCGCGATGCCATGACGTGCCAGGTGTCTCAAAGGGACGGAATTAGCGACAAGGTGGACAAGGGGCCTCAGCTCGCTTTCGTTGTGTACACTACTCTGATGTTCTTCAACCTCGGCGTATGAGGAGGAAGTGGAAGCAACAAAAAGGGAAGGAAAAATAGCCAAAAACGAGTGCCATTGACAAAATGTCGAAACCTGATGTGCTTGAGGGACCTAAACCAATTTTCGGCTTGCATGCTCAGACGGGTAGATCGGTTCCTGCGCGTTACCCCCTCCTCCGGCCCCACCAGGGACCTGAAGGGCAGGTACCGCGGGCAACCTGAACATTGGCCCCTGTTCCTACCCCAGATTGATGATTGGGGGGGCAGCTGCGGCGCTCCAACAGTTTAACCTCTCGCCTACGCTCCCTTTCGCAGAGGAAATCGCAGCCATTCCTTCCCCTTCACACCGGCCATCGTGGGGATTGCTTCCACAGTTTGCCTACCTATGTTGGTTTTGGCTTTCTCCTAGAGTGGTGTCTTCGATCTTTCTACTCTAGCTTGCGGTTCAGCTCCCTTTACACTATAACCCCTCACATTCATTTTTATTCTATTCTTTCGCCCTTTTTCTCAGCTGCGACCACTCTCTTTCGCACCCGCACTTTCCATTCTAAGCAACCTTGAAGACGAATATAAACGGCGAGCATTCTTTTTCGAACCTCAATCTATTGTCACTCCTTTCTCCTCAACATTCCCGCTTTTTAGACTTTGTGCCAATATAGCCAATATCTCCGCAATGAAGGCTATCAACTCCTTAACCGCGCTGGCGCTGGCGGGTTTCGCTACCGCCCAATCCATTGACTCTTTGGATCCTTGTGGTGTAAGTTTGGAAACTTGGGGCTCACCCCCAAGAGGTTGAAGAACAGGGCTGACGAGCGAACAGCAAACATGCTACACGAATGCCCTGAACATGGCTGGTTCATTTGCTTGTGCAGCCATGGATATGGCCTGCTTGTGCCCCAACGCGGATTGGAACAATGCCATTCGAGACTGTGCGCAAAATGCTTGCCCGCCGGGGTATGCGCCGACCGTCACGAACGCGGCCTCTGCGCTATGTGCAAGTAAGCAGTAGTAACCGTCGGAGAGTCAACGCTTGCGACAGAGCTACTCACACCTTAGAAGTAGCGGCCACACTTCCTCCCGGAGCCCCAATACCGACGTTGTCGGCCCCGCCGACCACTGAGCCAACCCCATCCTCCACTGAGGCACCGACTACATCGACGGAGTCATCTTCTAGTTCGACGGTACGTTTATGTCCTATTTTTCTTCTGATCATGCTGGCGCTAACTAAAGTAACAGGACAAATCCTCCACCCAATCTAAGACTACCACAACGTCCACTAGGTCAACAACTTCTTCGACGACAACGGCTGCTACGACAACTGTATTGACAAGCTCATCCAAGAGCCCGACCAAGGTTGCGACTACCTCGACGTCAGCTACTAGCAGCAGCGCGGCTGCAACTTCCGCCGCGGCCAGCGGTGAAGACCAGCAGTCCGATGGAATGACCGAAGCTGCTAAGATCGGCGTCGGCATCGGTATTGGTGCTGCCGTGATTGCACTCCTTGCTGTGGCCGTGTGCATTTTCCTGCGCAAGAAGCGGGAGAGACTGGCACCGACCCAAATGGACCGCTTCAAGATCTCGCACCCTATTCCGAACGACGACAACGTGTACACCCGGGACAACAACTCAGACCACGGCATTGGTCAGGGCGGGGATCTGGAGATGAAGAGTCGAAGGTACGAGGACATGCTACCACGGCAAGAGCCACGGCAAATGGTTTAGTTGCCCCCTGCGGTCGGATCTGGAACGGCTGGAGGAATTGGCCTGGGGCGCGATATGAGATGTACGATGGGGCATCATACTAGGCGATATGAGCGCAAAATTTGCGGTATCTAGCCGGCGCAGCGTGGGGAATGAAGGTATGGAAACGACAAGTTGCAGTGTTTTCTGGGTTGATTTATAAGGTTGGCCATATTCCTGCTGGATTTGACAAGGGGCCAGATCCTCCGACGCCGGTCAAGAAGGGCCGGGACAGCATGTTTTTTAAAGGATCGGGGTAGGTCCTTGATGTTGGGGTCTTCGTTTTTGTTGCGGCGTCTGGTGTTGGCGGCGGGGTCGCATTTATGCTCCTGGTGGCGCGTTCTTTTCATGTGAAAATTTATTGGCCGCGTGCCAATCGGACATAACGCATTCTATTTGTACATACTTTTGGCCATGGATTGCCAAAATATTTGCCGGCCAAAAATCCTCTTCACCGTATCATTCCCACGCGGTTACTTGTACATCGTTTTTCTCCTGTCATGGAGGATGTCCGGTAGGATCTCATCCGGTCGTTTAATGCAGTCCCACAGGTTACACGAGTCGGGGTCTGCACTAATTCCTTATTTACCACGAGTACCATTGACGTTGGGCAGAGACGGGGCGGTCGGGAAGATGGATCCAGGGGCCTTGGCGAAGCTTCTTGGCCTCACGGTCAACCGCCTCCCGGATACGGGTCTTTTCCTCCTTGAGAACGACCGAGATACCTAGTGAGTAGAATACGTATTAGAATCACCATGCTGAAGAAAGCAAGGAAAAGGAGGGGGGGGGGGGGGGGGGGGGTAATGAGAGCCGAGAAAACAATAACTTACTGGCTGACGGTCGCATGAGAATGTTCATACGGCCACGAGCACGGTACGAGGGCACCTTTTGACGCCACGGCCCACGGTTGACCCAGGCCTCGGCGACGTACATCCGCGTCGGGTCATCAATCTTGACCCACTTGCCATCCTTGGTCTGAATCTCAATTCCCTTGTCACCCGTCTTGCTATTGGCACCACCCGCCCGGGCAGCCGACGACACCGTTCTCGGGAGCGCGGGGAGTGACGACAGAGACCCGCCGCGGGCCATCCCGCGCTCGGTGATAGCCCTGTCGCGCGCCCGCTCCAGCTCGTACCGCACTTCCTGCGCGAACTTCTTCTTGCTGAAACGCATCTGTACGAGCGCCTCGGTAACGGTCTTGCCCTGGATCTGGTGGGCTAGGTGCACGAGCTTCTTCGTGCTGGTGGCGAGAAAGGGACTGCGCGAGGTCACCTGGCGTTCGGTGCGGGCGATTCGGGCCGCCTTGGGCTCGTGGCTGAAGGGGTTGGTCCCGCGCTGCACTTGGCGGATAACCATCTTGCGTTCCCAGCGGGCGCGGGCGCGCGGGTCCGGGTTGACGGAACGGGCGAGGTGCTCGCGCACGAGCGAGGCGCCTGGTTTGGTGGTGGGCCCCTTGCGAGCGCGGCGCTCGCTACCGTCGGGGGCGGTGTCTGGTGAGGTATCCGAGGGGAGAGATTCCTTGACTTCGTCTTCGAACATGGCGGGGCCTTCGAGGCGGCCGGCGAGTCTTTCGACGAACTTCTCGCGAGCGGCCTTGGAGCCGGACACTTCGTTCTCTAGAGGGCTGGATGTGGGCTTCTTATTGCGGTTCCAGAACCATTGCTTCGGGGGGGTCGTGTGGATCGCGCGGGTAGAGGAGCCGGCACCGGTTCGCGAGGGGGAGAGGGAGAGGGCTTGGAGAGCTGGGAGGAGAGCGTTCGCTGTCGTCGTGGTTGTCGTCGTTGTGCCTGGGGCTGCGAGGGCGGGGGCTGAGGAGGTGTGGGTTAGCATTGGGGGCTTGGGATACAACAAGGAAAAGCCTAGTTCTTACCCCCTTGTAGCAGCCGCCTCGACGGCGCACTGAAACTCATGGCGACGATGCGGAGGGCATGGAACAGCGTCGAGGTGATTTGGTGGGGGGTCGTGCGCTCAACTGACGTTTGGGTTTCGCGAATTGAAAAAGTTCGGCCGATCGGTAAATCCCGTCCGAGAAATGGCGCTAACTCTTTTAGGATTCAATGTCAACAGCCCCTCTCCCCAGTCCCACCATCGTGAACTACGCATCATCAGGAATCGCCTTGTGACTATCATCTTCTCCAAGAAACAATACATTTTAGTGTATCAACCTTTGGGGTCTCATTCCGGAAGGGTATCTTGCCCACACTGTCATAACTCCTTGTACTGTACTGTACCAGCCAGCGTACCAGACTAACAAATGCTAAAACTAGGTGCGCCAGGAAAATCTTGAGACGGAAGGAAATTGTTCGGTCTGTCGATAAGTTTAATATACAAGCACTTCAAAGCTGTTCTTGATCCCTTGATGTCTTCTTATTACGCTGGGAGGTGCGGAAATCCGTTGGTTTGGCTCTTGACAGGGGACGCGACAACAGTGGACAGAGTGCCACTAACACCGCGAGTTGGGAGGCTCAGCCCTGAAAAAGTACTTCAATACCTTGTATCATTCTCATACTGGGTAGGGCGAGCATAGAAGCTCAGCTTGGTGTATCAAAGCAGCATTCGATCTCAACTGCCTCTCGTTTATACGTGCTATGACCCTGACTGGTTGTGAAAGGTCCATTAAACTAATCTCTTCTGTGTCACTCTCGATGACCTACACTTAGTGATGGCGGCATCTCGATGCTACTAGCGAATCCCCCATCCATTCTAGGCTTTATCTGCACTTCTTGCACTATTTACCAGTAAAGAAAGGCTTACCGGGGACTTAGGAGTCAAGCAGGCAGGAGGCCAAACATTCATTGATGGCCAGCCCCTCAGCTCGGTACCAAAACACCAACCCGATTGTAACTTGCTACAATGACTTATCCCAACTCGCCACCCCGACTAAGCATTGTGGCCCGCCGAGAGAAATGCTCTTGCGTTCCCTCGTCCATAATTGTGCGCACCAGGCCGTTCTAAGCGGCGGGTCTAGCGATCAAGCGATCGCAAATCGCAGTAAAGGTACCCGCCAAATTGTTTTGACTTTGTCGTCCCTTGTGCAAGGTCGCTCAAAATCCGCAGTGCGCCCCTCCTGCCGCAACTTGCGCACACAAAACAAATAATTTGGGATCCTCAACCCATCAGTTTGATCGGAATCGGGTTCGCATGCCGCTCTTGAACACAAATTTCGGCTTGTTACGATACCAGACGAACAATACGACTTCCCAAGAAAGTAAAACAACAACCAAAGCGACCAACAATGGCGCCAATTAGAGCGCTCTTCCTCCACGCCTTTCTTGTGGGACCCCTCCTTCTCTTCGCCTCTCTCGTCGCGTCCCGGCATGCCTGCTACCTGCCCAACGGCCAGCCGGCTTCGGGCCCCACGGACGCCTGCAGGTTGTCCGATTTCGACCCACCGCTGGCGCAATGCTGCCACGACGGCGACCTATGCCTAAGCAACCAACTCTGTGGTAGGCAGGACCCGCGTGGTGAGTTCAGCTATTACCGCGGTACTTGCACTGCGAAGGTTTGGAGGAACACCGAAGATGGAGCCGGATGTATGAACCCCTGCCCGATCTCGTATGGGAATGAGGAGACGGTGCCGATGCATTGGTGTGTGGAGGAGGATGGCACGATGAGCTGGTATTGTGGGAACGATGCGCCGGCGGGGGATAAGGGATGCACGAGGGTTGGGGCGGATATCGATTTGCCTGGTAAGTTTCGGATTACCCAACTTGAGAGCTTTTAGTGAGCGTTTTCTGATGAAGAGTAAGACGGTATAGGGGTCTTGGCCACTGCAGGCGGCACATTGACTGTTGATGTCTTCGGCGACCCGACTGTCACCGCAGATGGAAGCAAGACTACCACAGAGGGTTCTAGTGACATCGAAGTCACCGATACTGCAGAGCCAACCTCGAAGGCGACGGTACAGCTTTCGCTTGGTCAACCGACCGGCATGGACACGACTAGGTCAGATCATCCGGAGGTGTCAGACGCACCCTCGACAGAGCTGCCGCCCATGCTACCAACATCCACCGATTCAAGCTCTACTCCCACGCCCCCCCTCTTTGTGTCATCACCCGACATACCATCTTCCAAGACGTCTACCCAGCCTGCGCCCGTGCCAACGACACTCGTCGAGACGACCCTCATCGAGACGACATCCCCGTCCGAGGGCCCATCCAGCACGCCAAGCGAGATCAACCCAATACCTACCTCATCACAGCCCCAACCACCCCCTTCAACCTCCAACGCCAACAACCCAAGCGACTCTCCTCCTCTCACCAAGGATGACGACGAGGAAGAAGACGGCTCCTCCGCCATCCCCATCGGCGTCGGCGTAGCAGTGGGCTCACTAATCCTCATGGCAGGCAGCGCGCTAGTCTACTTCTACCAGCGCAAACGTCGTCGCGAAGCCCCCGTGCGCGCCGAGACGCCGCCGCCATTCGAGTTTTCGTTCCTCAACAGCCAGAGCCAGACGCCTGACTGGTTGGGCCCTGCGTATGGGGTTCCGCCGCCACCGCCGCCGCCAGGCCCGGTGCATACGATGGGCGGTGATGGAAAGATGATGCCTGAGGCCGCTGGGCTGGGAGCTGGGTTTGGGGCTGGGTCTGGGGTGCCGTTTTCATCGTCGTCGATGGGGATGGGGAATGGGATGCAGAATGGGATGCAGCATCATAGGGAGAATATGAATACACGGATGGGACCGATGGGATCCGCTGCGGAGATGAGAGGTTCGGCCAGGCACGAGTTGCCGTGAACTGTGAGGACTGAATGATCCAGGGCTCGCGGGGTTAGTTAAAGGGGGTTAGGGTTCCGTGATTTGAGATTCATTGCCCGGAGATAACTGCTCGGGTTGGGACGAACACGGAAGATCGGGAGATGGTCTGATGGTCAGGCTTGATTGGGATCGGTACCTCCTGTACGTTACCTATTGTCGGATTATCCGGTTCGGCCTCAGAGCCAACCGAGAAAACTGATTGCTTGCTTGCCTGAGCTAGCTACAAACAAACAAGAATAAATGAGTTGCATGCTGCATCTTCTGGCCCAACTGACGTTGGGATCCACACGCGAAAGGTCATCCACGGATGAACCACGGAGCCTTTAGGGAATCTCAAGGGGGTCCAAAATGTTTGACGGTCGGCGTTCGTCACCGCAACGACCCGAATTTCCCGCAAGGGACGCGCCAAGACCACGGCAAATCGGGCTCTCGCCCTTGAATCACGGAGCTCGGTCTTGTGCTGTGGGCGATTTGTTGGTCCACTTTTGGCGACCGCAAACGCCAAGCACCAATCATTGTTGGGCAGAGGTCGGCCCTTATGTCACCGACACGCCGGTCTTGGGAAAGATTCCTGGGGATCGGGAATCATTCCGGGGGAGCGGGCTGCATCATGAGCCGCATCCGCCACTGTTTGAGTTCTTGAACCGAATAGGTCGGTGCCATGCAGAGGCCGGCGTCATGGGTAGCTGACTTGCAGGCAGGACTTGGGGTTTGCTTGTTGGATTTGCCGAAGCAAGAAGTTGAATAATTATCACACCTCTCCAAGGTGATCAGTTTCAGCCCGTTTTCCTCGATCTTCTCTTGTTGCTCAGTAAGACCCGATCGCCCAAGACCTTTCCCGACAAGAAGGATTCCAGAAAGGCGCCCGACTTTTGATCTTGTCGACCACCACCAATACGAGAGCAACCTCATACATAGTAATCAACGTTAGACGCCATTACAAGATTATATCTTTTCTCAACACCAAATAATACTTCGACGAATCCATAGAAGTATCGGTTGTCAATATCATGTCGTCTTCCCCAGGCCCGGCGGTAAGCCTTTACTTTCTCAAATTATGTCTTGAGGAAGAAAAAAAAACAAAAAAGAAAAAAAGAGAGAGAGAAAGAAACCCAGGGGGAAAAGAGAAAAATACAAACTAACGTTGCCTCATAGGGCCAACAACCGCCTTTCAAACCCCCATATCCCCCCTCGACGGCCACCCTCGGCGGCCAACCCACACGGCTACCCGACATCCCCGTCTCCGCAGTCCTCCTCGCCTTCTTCATCGGCAGCGCCGCGACTCACCTAACCATCTTCGTGCGCAACAAGCGCAAGGCCGCCAACGGCGTCCCTCACGCCGGCTTCTTCTTCTCATTCCTCTGCTTCATCTTCAGCATGACCCGCATCGCGGCTCTGTCGTTGCGGATCGCTTGGACCGAACACCCGACCAACGCCAACGTCGCGCTGGCGGCGACCGTGATGACCGCCGCTGGCGTGTTGATCTTGTTCATTGTTAACTTGGTGTTAACGAGAAGGGTCGTGAGGGGTCTGCACCCTGGGCTTGGGTGGCATCGGGCCGTGACGAATGGGTTTAAGGTGTTGTTGGCCACCGTGATAGGGATGTTGATCATGGTGGTGATTTGCTCGGTGCACTCGGTGTTCACGCTGGATGTTGGAGCGCGGACCAAGGAACGGCAGGTGACGCTGTTTGCGAGCGTGTATCTGACCGTCATGGCGGTAACGCCAGCGGTGGTTGCGCCGTTGGCATATCTGATCCCGAACCGTGGGGCGAGGCATCCGGCGGAAGGGTTTGGGAAGGGGAGTATGGGCGGGAAGGTGGCGTTGTTGACGTGTGCGTCGTTGCTATTGGCGCTGGGGGCTGGGTTCCGGGCTGGCACCAACTTTGCGGCGAAACCGATCGGCCAGGAGCAGTGGTACCACTCCAAGCCGGCGTTTTACTGCTTTAACTTTGTGGTGGAGATCCTGGTGGTGTACTCGTACGCCATCTTCCGCTTTGACCGGCGGTTCCGTGTACCGGACGGTAGCGCGGCGCCAGGGCACTACTCGAATGGTGGTCCAGAGGTGGAGGAAGGGGAGGAGGTGGCACATGAACTAAGGAATAAGGGGACTAGCTCGGGGGATGACAGCTCTAGGGTGGTTTGAGCGACGGGGTTCTCGGCGGATGGATGTAATGATCATTGGGCCGGCTGTCATTAGTTGTATCACATAATGGTGTTTGGTTAATAACGAGATTTATATGGGGATTGTACATGACATTATAGAACAGCGACGGGTAGCTCAAGATACCAATTTTCTTCTTTGTCTGTTTGTTGCCTTGGCGTGTAGTCTCGGCTCTAAGGTTGGTTGTTCGAGTGTAGTGCCCGAGGGATGATGGGTCAATGACCGTTGTATCTCCTGTCTTTGTCCCGAGTCCCGACAATGACACAGTCGAGGTGAGTGACAAGACTATTATGGAATTGGAACTAAAGGCGATTGTCAGAAGAGACTGGAGAGGCCGTATAATCTCATGCCAAACCCAGCTGTGTTGTTCTGACCATCGAAGGTCGTGCCGGCCGACTATATAAGCAGTCCGCGGTGTTGTCCTCCCCCGTAAACCCGTTCTAACCATCCCAACAACAACCCAGCATCAAGCCCAGCTTCAGGGTAACAAGACGCAAACCAAACCACAGCATCTTGATTACCGTCTGCACCCGCTAATACAAACCTCGGTCGATCCACGCAGAGCACACCAACAGATAATTCATAGGCACATAGGCAACCATGCCGGGCCCAGCTCCCACTCCGTACTACAACGGTCCCATTACCCCAACCGACTGTCTATTCATCACGTTCCTCTACGCCATCCGCCATGCCGCCACCACCGGCGTGAAATTGTGCGCCCGTTGCGAAGTCCTAGTGATCCGGCGGTTTCACTTCGAGTACCGCAAAATCCGACCGGATTTGCACATTACCCCGGAGCAAGCGGCTAAGGAGAGGTTCTCCGTCGGCGAGTACACCCGCGGGTACGGCACCATGCACCAGGAGCTTTTGCCCATGGCAAAGGCCAGAAATCTGACCGTCAACCAGTATCTTCTCTACCACTTCTGGCTGCCCGTTCTCCGACCCACCATCTACTATCTCGATTCGGCGGGCGTGCAGCGCGCAGAACGTGGACCCCCGAATGAGAACCGCAGGTCCGCTGTCGATGTGGGGCTCTCTGACTGCTGGGTCAAGGTCTGGATGGCTTGCCACGGCCGGTACACTATCCAGGACCTCCGCCGCGGCCGGCCCTATGCCGATCCTTTCCGGGGCGACCTCTACCCGGACAAAGAGTGGTTCGTACCGTCCTCGTTTGAGAAGCTCTACCATAACTGGATGTCACTCCTGAGATTGCCGAGTCTGGTCCAGAACTGCACCTGCCCAGACCGAGTGTTCGTGACGGGGGATCCGCCGCTGCCATGGACGCCGGGGGAGAGGAACCAGAATTTTAGCGACAACCGTACCTCCTTCCGGACATTCCTAGACAAATACACGGACAATCAGATCTTGGATGTTTACAAGAAATTTTGCGCTCCGTATCTGGAGCGAGGCGCGCACAGAATCGACCAAATCAAGCCAATGACCATGTTATGGAGGGAGCAACACCCCGGGTTCCTGTCAGGTCTTTATGACTTGGAGGCCGGGGTGGGGGCCATCCAGGCTGCATCTAACGTGCAGGGCCCGAGGCCCCAGGCAGTCCAGAACAACCCAGGAGGCCAGGTAAATCAAGGCGCTCTACAGCAACAGAACAACACTCCCCAGGCTGAGCCGAGCTATACTCTCGCCGAGATAGAGGCTGCTAATTCACTGATGTTGATGAGTCAACGGTGGAATAACGGCACTGGCGATGCTGAGGGCCAGGAGTAGGGTATAGCCAGGCAATGGAAAGTAGGTACCTACCTAGGAAGCATGGCATGGAGAGATGAGAAGGAGATACATTGGTCACGGTGCTAAGCATCAGAGACACGGAAGCTAAAGAGTGATCATCACAGGGTTAAGACAGCTAGGTAATTAGGTATTAGAGTTAACCGCATGCGAGGGTGATGAACGTAGGTATTGAGAAACTTTGTCAATATCAAGTAGTACATGTGCAGATGCTGCCTCTCGTCAAAAGCCAAGATACACTTCAACAGAGTGAAGATGAGTGTAATATTACAAGTGCGTGAAGACAGGACGACCCATCACATAGTCAATCCTGTGCGCAGTTGTACGGCAGAATACACGGTGGGGCGCCCCTTTCCCTATTTTCATCCCTGACGATAACTGCAGAAAAGAATTTTCCCTCATTTGCCTATCCGAAGGGAGATGAAAACATTTCAACGGCGGAAGAAGTTTGCTGGATTTCAAACCACGGCGACAACACCCCACATTTCTCAGTTCCCGTCGCCTCGACCAGTGATCGAGATTGGGTTACACAGCCCTTGACTATAAAGACTTAGCCAACATGTCGGTGAGTGGTACTCAGATTAGGTACTAATTACACAGTATAAGCCACCCTGCGCTGGGTCTTGTCATAGTACAGAATTGTAAGTAACTATTGGTTTCTGACTGTAGGTTCGCAATGGAGTGGTGACGCACAAAAGGAAAACAGTAGCATGACGCTAACCGGAACACTTGCGTTGCTGGTGAAAAGGCTGTATATTGCCCTATTTTTCTCAAGTTTTAATCAGACCATACCAACCGATACGCGGAAACATTTAGAGTTCCTACGCGCCCCTCAAACATCCATATGTTGATATACCACACTGTACACACCATCGCCGAGGATGACTTCTAACAACAACCTCACCGAATTCCGCTCTACCCTACCCCAACAAACGCGCCTCATCAAAAAGCTCGTCTGAGCATATCGGAAACGCGGTAGTCACGGCGCTAGCGAACAAGAAGTTGGCCTAGTGAGGGAGAGGAAGCGATCGCTGAGCAGGCGCGTGCAGAGAAGTAGGCTGGAGCAGGTGTCTGGACGTATTTATCCTAGAGTAAGTTCCGGCAACAGTAGTTTGTGGTCCGGTGTCCGTCGAAGGCCTTGCCTAAGTTCCTTACCTGTAGGCTTCCCATGGCCAGCGGGACGAGCTATCTTATTGAAAGTAACTTGTGCTGGGAAACCCAGAACGAAAAGTAAAGGGGGAAAAGTTTAAACATGTCCAATGAAAGTCATGTCGGAAACTTTGGAGATGTTGGTGCGAATCCATGCCCGTGCTGTTTGTTGGAAACACCCACATGAGAAAAGGGTGACATGGACTTAAAATACGGTAGCTAGAGAACATAGGATCACGGTAGTCACTCAGCTCACACCTGATTTGGTTCATGGGTTGCATTATCCATCTGCCACCTAGCCACGGATCATGTCCGCCACAAGGGCTGCCATGACAAGATGCAATTTTCCCAGCTCCCCGTCTTTCATTTCCTTGCTATGAAAGCGACCAAAAGCGAGACAAGCAGTCCGAAGTACGCCCCCACCATGGAATCCGTCGAAAGAGCCCCAGCGTGCGACACACGCGCTCGGCCTCTCGCGCAGCGGAGCGATGCAAACCCCCTCCCTGCGACCTATTGTTCTTTCCCGGCCCCGACGCCGAAACCCCGGCCGTCCCTTACGCCCTCGACATGACACCCCAGACACGGATGATGTTGTCAGTGTAACCGGCGAAGAGAGTCTGGCCGTCGGCGCTCCACGCAAGCGAAACACACTCGGGCTCGTTGCTCTTCTTGCCAACGTTCTGGAACTCAGGCTTGAGCTCGTCGACCTTGCTCTTCTTCTCAAGGTCGAAGATGATGATGCTGCTGGCGGTGGCAGCGCACAGCCAGTACCGGTTGGGGGAGAAGACGAGAGCGTGAATCTCGTCGTTGGCATTGAGCGAGTACAGGTGCTTGCTCTCGTTAAGATCCCAGAGCATCGTGGTACCGTCCTTGCCACCGGAAGCGCAGAGGGATCCATCGGGGGAGATAGTCACGGTGTTGATGTAGCCAGTGTGGCCGATGTGGTCGGTCTGCAGCTTGCAGCTCGAGAGCTCCCAAACCTGACGAAGATGGTCAGCCACAAAGTTGAAACAAGCAATCGGATGGACATGTTTGTCAGGGAGAACATGGCGTGCTTGTTTCGGGTTCGCTCAGTGCATGGTGAATGTTGGTCTCATGGCCCGTGGCGAAACGGGCTCTGAAGTAGCAAATACTTTAAAGGTTGCAAAACATCATGGCGAAATATGGGAGTAGGAAAATAGCGGAAACCGGGCCAACATACCTTGACCAGCTTGTCCCAGCCAGACGAGACAATCACCGGGTTCTGGGGGTTGGGCGAGAAGCGGACGCACGAAACCCATTCGGTGTGGCCCTTCTCGGTGATGGTGAACTTGCAGTCACCGAGGGTATTCCAGAGCTTGATGCTGCGGTCGCGCGCGCCCGAGACGATCTGGCGGTTGTCGGCCGAGAACGAGACCGAGAGAACGTCGTTGGTGTGGCCGACGAACCGGCGGGTGGTGGTGCCGGTCGAGAGTTCCCACAGGCGGAGGGTCTTGTCCCACGAAGCGGACAACGCGTACGCACCGTCCGACGAGATCACCTGCCACGCCAATCAGCACACCTCAATTCCTCCTTACACCCTCGCAAGAAGTCGATCGGTTGGATAGAACGTACGCAGTCGGAGACGATGTGGGAGTGACCGTGGAGCGACCGCTTGGGATAACCGTACTGGGTCTCATCGCGGGTGAGGTTCCAGATGATCAGGGTCTTGTCGCGGCTGGCGGAGAGGAGCATGTTGGGGCTGTAGTTTCAAGGTAAGTATAAGTGTTCTCGGCGTCGATGTTCGACCGGGTTATTCGTACTTCTCCATCGAGGTGGCCAAGCTGGTGACCCAGCCATTCTACAAGAACAAGATTGTTAGTTTTCGTCCGATTGATACACCAAAGGTTGACTCGCAATGGGCATCCCGCGAAGCGCGATCGCTCGACTTCGAGATTCACCACATGCCGAGTGTTCAAGTTGTTGGGCGATGAAGATAACTTACGTGGCCCTCCAGGGTGCCCTTGAGGATCAGTTGCTCAGCCATATTGACGTCCTTCCTGGGATTCGAAGATCGGTGGAAGAATGGTGAGCTTTTTCGCGGTGCCTCGTTTCGTCGGGGTCAACAGAAATCGGGGCGGGCTGCGGGAGCTTCTAGGATTTCCGAAATTTTTGTGCGGCCGAAATAGGGTCCGTCGTGGGGTCAACCAAAAGCGGTGGGATGGTTGGCAGGTGGCAGAAAACGGTCCCGGCCCGTCCGCTCTCTGGCTCAGCCCATGCCTCGATAAGTGGGGCGGGGTGCGGGATGACGTCCATGGGTCATTCTCCAACTAGTTACATACACTATACACGACATAGTAGTACTTCGTTCGGTGTGGTCTGTTTACACAACTGCTCCCCTTCGACGCTCAACATTCGCGGTGACAAGGGTGGCCATGATAATCGGAAAACGGCCGGGCGAGTAAATCAGCCCTTGGCTCGGACTTTTAGTCTTCAAACGCCTAGCCGTCGTTTCTTTCTGTAATTACACCATACAATGCTCGGTACAACCATAATTTCAAAGAGCAAGGTCACTAACCTGATGTTGGTCATCGCTGCCACTGCGGGGTATCTATCTTCTGCCTCCTGATGCTATCACAACTCCGGAACTCCATGCACGATGGGCGACGTTCTGAAAAGAAAATAAAAGAAAAAAGGAGGTAGTGAGGAAAAACTAGCCCAGACCCAATCCATGCTCCTTACCCGCTGCGCCCCCCGGTCAGCCCTTCCCTGTGATACCGTAGCCTGCAGCTTTCCTGACACCTGTCCGTGGTATGTCCTGCCGAAGACATGCCTTGTTTGTATTGACCAACATGCTGTGGTCCGCGATCTCGAATCGGCCTTTGTCCCCATACATCACCGTCGGCATGAGCTCCTTGCCCTTGGACTTGATATCATCTTCAATCAGTTCCTGCATGGCCGATTCCCACAACTTGTACCTGTCACGCCGTGCTGGTTGTCGTTGCGCAGCAGACCATACCTCTTTCTGTTTGGCAATCTTGGACGCCCGCATGAGCCTCCTAAGCGCACCTTCTCCCGCCTTTGCCTCCTTCGCCGCCGCCTCGCGCATCTTCTTCGGGTCGCCATAAGGAATCTCATCCGCCGCGAGAGGCCGTTGTGGCTGCTGTGGTTGTACTGGTTGTAAGCCATCTAGGCTCTGGGATGACGTATCCGGGTTGAACAATCCCCAATCATCTGACACTGTAACCGCATCGACACTTTCGGGCGTGCACTTGTATGTGTGTATGCTGGGAAATGCTGGAAAGAACGCTGGTATGTACTGCTTTGCTGCCTTGTCTGGGGCACCATCAAGCTCTTCGCCTAGAATAGGAAGATCCCCCCCTAGCGGTTCGGGGATCAGAAACTCCCAAGTGGGCTTTCGTTTAGATTTCGGAATGGGGGGTTTGCGATGCGGATCGAGAAGTGATGTTGTGAGGTTGAAGCGCTTGAACGCTACCTCGAAGTCGGTTGGAATGGGGTGCTGGCGTTTTCCAATGTTCCCGAAGGTCTTGACGGTTTCAGCAAGCGAGAGTAGATCTGCGATGAGAGTGAGAATGAATTAATGGAGATATCAGTTGGAATATGGACGACGTACACGCTTCCGTCATGGCAGTGAAACTCTCCATGGCTTCGGGCGCAGCACCATCAAATCCGACTTTCTCTAAAGTGAGAGCGATGGTGCGTCGCAGCCCCTTGACCGCGGAATCTTCTCTGGTCGGCGCAGATGAGGCCTGGGGCGAAAGTCCTGTTTTCCCAATCGAAAGGATGGTATGTGGGCTTTGTACCCGTTGCCGTTTGGTATCCGCGCTTCCATTCTCGCTATCAAGAGCCGTCTCCGCGCTTCGCTTTCGTGAATCGGTCGACATTGTTCCGGGCGCCCTGCTGGGGTTGACGGCGCTGCTTGCAAATGACGGCGCTGATTGCGAAATGTGATAAGTGGCTCGTTGATTCAGTCGGCCGATGCTGAGCGCGTTTCGCGGTGCGAGAGATGGATGCGAGGGATGAGGATGGTGATCGGCAAATCGCAGTCGCCGGAAAGCTTGGTGTTGCGATTCACGAACGCACGGGCCGTGTGTTGGAGACCCACTTTCCCAATGGAGCCACTCAGCCTCCAGAGCTTCTTATTGTGACAGTGTAAGTCTGTCAATTGCTATTGTTCCTCGCAACTGACTAGTTTAGGTCAAAAGATTTAGCGGCTGCGGCCTTGGACAATACGCCGCTTCAGTTAAACCTGAGCCCGGATCATGTTTCTCAGTCAGAAAGTTCCTAATGAACCGGAAGCGCAAGGAGATGAGACCTGTCTGCGGGAAGGCGCGACTGTGGGGACAATTTTGAAATGGCACAAGATTTAGTATTCCGTACTGTCGTCCGTCCTTGCCGTTCCCATCTCCCGTTTTTTTTTCCCTTTTTCGTTCATATGCGCCACAGGCAACTGCAATCTTGACTTCATTTTTCCCCAAGGGGTCTTCATTGTAAAGAAAATGCCCGATCTTGGGGTGCTCAGAAACGGGGGTTACAGGGATGCAGGGCTTGCCCAATTCACATTGTCATGTCCGCTGTCCTCGTTTCCCCTAGAAATCCTCGAGTTGGGCGATACCTTGGAGCACCTTGATCTTTCAGGCACAGGTCTCTCATCTCTGCCTTCAAATATCGGGACTGCTTTGCCCAACCTAAAGACTATTTCGCTTTCTCATTGTACTTTCAAGGTCTTCCCGAAACAGTTGGCGTCATGCCCAAACCTCCAAACAGCTGTTTTTCGCAACAATGGGATGGAATATATCCCAGAAGACGCTTTACCACCGCGTCTCCGATGCATTATTTTGACAGGAAACCAACTGACCGCTATACCCCCTAGTATTGGTCACTGTGGCGCTCTGGAACAATGCTTCCTTACGGACAACCAGCTCCAGGATTTGCCCACCGAGTTAGCCAGGTGCAAGCGACTCACCACGCTTCGTGTTAGCTCGAATCGCCTCTCAAAATTTCCTCTATGGTTGCAGGCTCTCCCGGAGCTCGCCTACGTCTCCTTTTCAAGCAACCCTTGTGCAGCTCTTCTCACAAATGGCGCTCACGCCCCACGAGGGCTAGCCACGATCCCGTGGAGCGATGTTGAAGTTCAACAACCTATCGACAACGATACATTCCTTGGGATTTGGAAACAATCACCACACTATAGCGAAGATGTTGCCATCAGGCTGTTCCGAGACTCGATTGCTTCGATTGGTCGTGACGACGGCTCGGCCGCGGACGAGCTGGCGGCTTACCTCGCAGCTGGTGCTCACGAAAGCCTGGTCACCATCCTCGGACGGATCCATGGCCACCCGGATGAAGACACGTTTACAGATGAACCCGGGAGCTATGAAGGCGGTCTGGTACTACAACGCATCCCCGATGGCTACGCACCCCTCAGCAGCGTCTTGTCTTTCGACAATGCTCTCGTTTCCTCGCCAGCAGTTGGTCCAGAAAATGGTCAATTCGATACCAAAACGGTCCTTCAAATGCTCGCTGGTCTCGCCCACGCCCTGTCTCACCTCCACGCTCGAGGCATTGCTCACGGATCGCTGCGCCTTGACACCATCTTTGCCAGCGCTGCAGATGCCCACGCCCTGTTGGCCGGGTTCAGGGGTGCAACGTTATATGCCGGATTGCGACGCGCCCGCGTGGTTGGCCAGGGAGCAGGGAGCCCGGGACGGGATGGGGGCCAAATTGGAGAAGCCGATGTAGTCGAGAAGGTCGAGGTACTTGCGTTTGGGCGGGTGGTACAGTTTTTGTTGCGAGCGGTGGGCGATCGCGGGAGGGAGGGATTCGAAGAGGCCGAAGGGGGGCTGGAGCATTTGGGCAGGAGGTGTGTAGTGGCTGACGTCGGGGAGAGACCTGGGTTCGAAGAGATTGTTGAGGTACTGGAGGGCTTGATGGGGTGGAGGGGGATGATGAGGATCCCGGATGTTCGCCCGACTTGAGGCGAGGAGTGTATTGATTGATCGCCTCGACGGGCTGGCTTCCAAGACCTTGCTGAGATATCGGAGTCTTTCGAGAGAGTCGGGGATTGCTCGATTAGGCACAAGCCCGCAGCCGGGCTTGGCGTTTTGCTAGAGCATGGGAGAGAGAAATCGTGATGTTCACCACGGCACGGAGCGCGGGATCGTCTACATACGTGGCGGTGGACTGGACGTGGAACCGCAGATTCGCTTGTGCAAGGCCGAGGGAGGAATTGAGGTTGGTTTGCGGGCTGCAGATGCGGTTGGCAAGAGACTGCAGACAGGTCACCGCAAGATTCTGCACCTGCTGTGTGTCCATGTTTTGTGACATCGGGGGATGATGAATCAAAACCACCCGCTTGTTTGCTCTCGCTCCCACCATGACAACTGTACATACTCTAACGGATTCGAGGCCCCGTTTTGCATGGCACATGGGACGGATTCCCTTTTCCCTGCAAGCCACTCGAAAGAGGCGGCTGCTGTGCCGCCCCCATACGCAGTCAGCACCATACAAGCAGGGTCGTGGTATCTTCGAGATTCTCTGTGCCCCATGGGCCTTCCTAACCGCGGCAGGACCCGATTGTGTTGCGATGTCTTGCTGCGACGCTGCGTCATGTGAGCGTTGCCGGCGAAGGGAACATCAACGGCTCCAAGTGCTTCCTCAACACGCTCGATGCCCAGGTTCCGTCACTCCCTTGACGATGAGTGCAGGAATATCATGAAGGTTGGTGGTTCCCTAGCCGGCGCCTTAGCGAAACATCGCTATCACAGGCCAACTTTGGCCAAGCCCGCATAGCTGATGCGCGGTTGGCATCGACGATGAACTCTCATGGCTGTTTTGTGACACCTCAAATTGATCCGCACAGCGGGTGCTAAACTCTCCGTTTTGACACAGGAAAGGGTGGGGCCATCCATGGGTTGATTGCTCCTTTTTTTCTGTTGCGGGCGGGGTGGGTGTCTCTACGGCCCTCCAGCCTCAACTGCAATATTTTCCAGTGTTCTTCTCGAAGCAGCAATTCTCCTATTATGCCCTTGAAACAGGGATCTGGCTTGGCTACCTAGCACGGCGACCACCATAACAGTATAACCAAAATCAACACCACGAGGAACATCTGGTCTCCTAAGCCAACGTGCTGGTCGACCCGCTTCAAGTCTCTTCTTCAAATCTTTGCGAGTTTCGTGTTTCCGAGTTTGGCGGACAAAAGAATGCATGGAGAGGATCACGCCCTAGCGGCTTGTGGTTGGCTAATTTTAAGGTGTGCAGTTCAATTTAAGAAGCGCTAGCCAGGGAAGGTGCAGCCACCACAGAGCCCTAAACCGCTCCTGCCACGCACTTTGCCAACCTCGAAACTGCCTAACGTGCCGATGCTGTGAACATTACTACCTTTGTACTATGCAGAGTGGGCAAACAAACCGAGCCAAGATATTGTAAAATTAGTAGCGGCGCCGGAAACCCCAAAACGGAGAACATTCGTCTCATCTTGCGCTCACTCGACACTCGACAGACAAGCACAGTGTGAGGCTGGTCCCTAAATGTACTTGGGGCCCTCGACTGACAACTCGCGCTAATTAGCCCCTTAACTAGATAAGTTTAGTGCTAGGTGGTCGGTCACAAGACGGCTGCTCCCCATTTCCTTTCCTACTACCTATGCAAAATCATGCCCGCCGCTTACATGATTCATCGCCCGGGTACATGGAATGTTCGTTGATGCGGCAGGCAAAGCCCTGAACTTATCAACAATGGTTTAATTCAAGTTTGACGCTACCTCGTCAGCGGCGCAATCTTCGGCCGACTGCATAACACGACGGCTTATCTCGGTGCGCTACTTCTCCACGACGAAATGCAGACTGGATGGATTGGGTCGGGGTGCCCAGCATCGGCGCACAGACAGCCCGCTCATGCTCCCTGTGGAAACCCAAACCACCCATCCTTCGGCCATCTTGTTGAGACATGCAGCGCCGTTTCCCACGAGCCCACACCGTTACAACCAGTCTCTGGTTCCTCGTCCAAGGCCCGAGAAGGTAAAACAACATGATGGAGTAGGCCTGTGGACGGTGGGAGGCTATTAGTACCCACAGCTACCGAAGTGCGACGAGTCAACACCGGTCATTTGTTTCGAACTTATTAACGGAACGAGTGGTTTCCTTTTCGGTTGCTCAAGGGCCATAGATCTCCGCGTTACAGCCTCGAACGGACAGTGCGAGAACGTGGGGAGGACCGAGCCGGAGCTCGTTCGGGGGCTTGGCGAATTAAAGTTAGCGGCCGCCACGGGGATCGATCCGTTTCCTTCCATTCCACGTTGTTGCCGTGGGGGGTTCTAGACGGGGCGGGCCCGATTTGGAAACAGGGTTTGGCCCCCCTTGGCCCCGAGGTGTGAAAGCCTGCGGGTGGGCTGCAGAGCTGGCGCTGACTCTCGCACACTCAGGTTACTCAGGGCTCGGAGAGAGCTGCATCGAATGTCTACCCCACCATCTCCCACCTCCCGTGTCGCCGACCCCTGCTCCAGACAGCCCTTGGCCATGCAACTGCAGGAATGGCTCTCCGCGCCGAGCGTCTCACGCAGGGCGTTCAGATTTTGCTCACTGTCCGGATGGCAGCGGTGTAGACGGAGCGTTCATTTTTCTTTCTGTTTTACTTAAGAGAGATAAAAGTCGAAAACTTCTCGCGGCGGTCATCGGGTACTCGATCCGAGCAAGAAGTCGACGTCAGACGGGGAATCACTTCACTCCTAGCGGACGCCAAACACCGAAACAGCCGCTCCACTCAGCGATCCTGTCTGTATGTGTGCGTGCGTGCGTGCGTGTATGCCCATACCGACAGCCACACTTATGTACATGCACGGACATACACACATCACATCACATGCGTTTCGCATAGGCTTTGTTCGAGACGCAGCCGGCCCATGCCGGACCAAACCCCGTCGACAGGACTAAGACATTCGTACCCAGGTACAACCATTTCTCGCAAAGACTCGTCTGCCGAGACGACTATCACCTTGGTTTGTAAGTGCGATCTCGGCGCCCCCCATGAGAACTCAGCAGGATGCCGGAGCCGACCTTGTGGGCTATTGTCCGGACAGGTCTCCTCGGCCAAGTGGATATTTCCCTAAACCCTAAAAGTCTTCATCCCGGTTTCACTAGCGGTGACCGTCAGCATTCTCTGTACCATACCACCGAATCAGACATATTGGGACCGAGGTAGCGTTAACTATTGCGAATGCAGAGTGGGAACAAGACTTCCGATTTTCTTTGGTGAAGCCGAACCGCACAAGCTCGAAATCTTTATCCGACGGTGGGTTCGCCTATTATTATTATTGAGATGAGCAGCAGTGCTAATGGTTTGTACAGCTAAAGGCGTACGATCCATATCCATATGCAACCGGCTTTACAACCTGTCCCAGCTCACCCACGATGTCGCTACCGTTTTCCATCAACCCCTCGGCCATCCCGATGGTCAGGACCCGGAAGGCCCTTATGATTCTGGACCTTCAGAACGATTTGGTGTCTCCCGATGGCCTTCTTCATGTGAATGAACCTGAGGGCTATGTCAACCGCATCGCGGACTTGGCCAAGGCTTTTCGCGACTCAGGTGCTGGTGATGTGATTTGGGTGCGCAGCGAATTCGAGCACCATCGTCCCCTGACCGAAGACGGTGACCAGATTATCACCACAGATACCGTCATGAGAGAGAAGAAGAGCGGACCGTCACGGGGACGGCAACCCAGATCCAGCGAGCACGACAGCGCGGTGATGGAAAATGACCCGGAAGCCTTCCTCAGCACTGGAACCGATAAACAACCCACGTCGTGTTGTCAGAAGGGCACGCAAGGTGCCGACTTTGCCCCCGAGATCAAGGCGGCCATTGTGACGGGACGGGACATGATCGTCACCAAGACGCACTACAGTGCCTTTGCTGCGGGCCAACAGCAGCTGGTGCAGATGCTACGGGGTCGATTCGTGACCCAGATTTATGCCTGTGGAGCGCTCACCAACATCAGCATTTATGCAACGGCGCTAGGCGCAGCACAACATGGATATGACGTGACGCTCGTCGAAGACTGCTGCGGCTTCCGGAACACCATGCGCCACCTGAACGCGGTGCGCCAGCTCGACAAATTGACGGGCTGTGGGGTGATCAGCTCGGAGAACTTGCTGGAGCAATTGCAGCCGCCCCCGGCGCCGCAGTTATCCACTGGTCTATCGCCGGCCATCTCCAAAATCTCGCTCGACCGGGGCGCTAGCGGCATTAGGGCCGGCCGCGGGGGTGGGTCCGGGCCCTCCGTCGGAGTCCCTGAGCTGGGAGCCCGGGCCCCTGAGGCCCCTAAAGTCCTTCGCGCCTCCGCTCCAGACCCCGCAGTAACGGCCCCACATCGCCCGGCCGATGAAGCAACTTCGCCGCAGCAGAGCCGGGCGAAGAGCAGACTAGTAGCACAGCCCCATCAACCTCCCCAAGTGCAAGAGTCACCGGCGCCAAGCCAACCCAAAGCTGGCTGTCAGAATCCGTTCGAACCGATCGGCCTGATCGAGGCCGACTCTGACCCCTCGTCGTCGGAGCGTGAGTCAGGAAGCGCATCGGGCATCAAGCGGAGCGAATGGGGGAGCTCAAAAGGTCCGGCCTCATCCTCCATCTCCTCACTCTCCCCTTCTTTGAACATCGGAATACCCAGCGCCCAAGCTGAACATCCCAGCAACGTGATACGGGTCCCAAAACGCGTTCATCGTCGGCCATCGGATCGCAAGCGGCCTGTATCACCGCCTATAGACGTCTCAGCAGAAAAGCTCGACACAACGCCCGAGGTGGCAGACTCAGTTCCAAAGTTGACGGTCTCGAGCCCCGCGCCCCCTTTGGTACCAGAGAAGCCGGATTCAGCGGACGGCATGGCGAACCCAGAGTTAACCACCGCTGTGGGCGAGCGCTTGTGTGAGGGCGACACACACGTCATTACAAATGTCTTGCCCCCATCCCTCGCCACCGATGCCTTTGAGCGTTTGCTGGAGGAAGTCAGCTGGGCCAGTATGTCCCACATGGGAGGTGAGGTACCGCGCCGCATCGCCGTGCAGGGCGATGTTTCCGATGACGGCAGCATGCCCGTCTACCGCCATCCCGCCGACGAGTCGCCTCCGCTGCTTCCTTTCTCACCCACCGTGTTGCAGATCAAGACCGAGATTGAGAAACACTTGGGACACTCCCTCAACCATGTCTTGATCCAGCACTACCGTACCGGGAACGATTATATCAGCGAGCATAGCGACAAGACGCTGGACATCACCCCTGGAAGCTTCATCGCCAACGTCAGTCTCGGCGCGGAGCGCACTATGATCCTGCGTACTAAGCGTCCGCCAAAGGAGAAGCATGCGGGCGCCGACCAAGAAGAGCCCTCCACGGCATCTACCACGGAACCAACAACGACAACAACAGCAGCGGCAGCATCAAAAGAATCTCCCACTGGTGCCGACACCTCTGCCAACACCGTCACCCGCCAGACTCACCGTGCGCCGCTCCCGCATAACTCCCTGCTCCGCATGGGCCTACGCACCAACACCCGCTGGCTGCACGCTATCCGCCAAGACAAGCGCGCCGACCGCGACAGGACGGCTCCCGAACTAGCCTACGGCGCCGCCCGCATCAGCCTGACCTTCCGACGCATCGGCACCTTCATTGACGCCTCACAAGCCCTAATCTGGGGCCAAGGGGCGACTTCCAAAACCCGTGATGGGGCAAAAGAGGTTCTGAACGGCCAGACCGAGGAGGCAGTGAGGCTGTTGAAGGCCTTTGGCGCGGAGAATAACAAAAGTGAGTTTGACTGGGATGAATGGTACGGCGCTGGGTTTGATGTGCTGCACATGGGCACTCCGAAACGGTTCTTCCCCAGCAGCAGCACCACCCGATCTGGCGCGGCCGTGGGGAACTTGCGCGTGGCGCTGGCGCTGGCCGAATTGGGCGTGAGTTGTGCTAAGGGGAGTGTGGAAGGCGAAGTGCGTTGGGAGGATAACGATCCTGGACGGGGGGCGGTGGTGGAGGGGGACGGTACGGTGTTGCGGTATCTAGATGCTGCGTATGGAGCGGGCAGGAGGTACGATCAGATGCTACCGGGAGAGGTGGCGAGGAGATTTGGGCGACTGCAGAAGGGGCTAGATTTGTTTGGGAAGTGGGAGGCTGCCGCAAAGGATGCTGGGTTGGATATCAAATCTGAGGGGGTAAAGGCTACGGAGGGCCAAGTCACGGACGTTGCAAAGGTGTTGAAAAGGGAGTTGGCGGATTGGGAAATATGGGCGACTGAAGCGGCCTCTACTACCTCTACCTCGGCCACTTCCACCACTGTCCCTACCACCGCTGCCACCTCAGAAGCCTCAACACCCAGCACATTCTACATCGCGAGCACCAACCACCCTTCACCTGCCGACTTTGCCGTGTGGCCAGTGTTGGACGAGATGGTGGGGGTATGTGGTCAGGACTTGCTCGGTGAGAATCTGAGGCGATATTATAACGCCTTCAAGGGGAGGAGCTCGGTTTCGAAGGCGCTGGGGCAGCTTAAGAAGGAGTAGGTCAGTCAGGCTTGGATTTTTTTTTTTGGGGGGGGGGGGGGGGTGGGGTGGAGATCTAGTCGGAACTTGGACAAAACATTCTCGTGGCTAGGCGAGATGACGATGATTATGATGAGGTACGGTATCTTGGATTTGAGCAAGTCAGCGTTTGGATTTCTACTTATACCAAAAAATAAAGCTTCATTTCTTCGCTACGTAGTTCACCCAGATCTCCCGTCATCAGCGAGAATGATGGCCCAAAATCATCACGTCCGTTTATGAGATCCGCTCACCCTTGGCCTCAGGCGTCGATGCTCCTGGAACGGAAATGTCAAGCTTTAGCGTGTACTTCCGGTGGTCAATTAAGGGACTTAGAGATTTGTTGTGGCGATCCACTTCTCTCCATTTCTACTTAGTTAAGGCACTAAATAAATGTTCTCACCATGGTCGTTAGTCTATGCCAGAACGCAGGCCCATCATGGCCTCAATTATTACTTAGAAAACTTAATAAAGCACCAAGACTTCAAAGTATGTACATGTAATGAACCGAGCTAAGTTGTGTGTAGATAATTGCAAGTTATAGTAGGTACAGTACCCTAATAGATAATTGTGACGTGCAGCGTATAATTAAGGAATAGCACCATTAATTATCTTGAGAAATAATGAGATTGAGAAAATGGAATTTTGCATCGAAAAATATTTCACATTCCTCCAAGTCTTGTGTTACGATTCTGGGGTGGGTTGCTATCATATATAGGGGTACTTGGAGCGCGAAAAATAATGAGTGACAAAATAGCTCCTACAATATTAGAGCAGAGCTATTACCTGGATCCGGGAATTAATACTCAATGTCACTGCAAATTCCAATGGTCCTACAGGCATTGATGATTGGAGATTTCTAGTAATTTAGAGAAAGCTGAATGTACAGTATATTTATTCCCCGTCCTGAGTTGAAAACAGAAAAAATAATAGGGGGCAAGTGGCTGTTAAACCCGCTCTCGCCCGGTCCAGCATGCAGCAACGCCTCCCAGTCCCTCGCACAAACCCCACCACCACCGAGAGACCAAACCGCCTGAATAGAACACATTTAGATAATATCATCCAACCCAGCTAAATTTTCACCCGAATTGCGTCATCTCGCTCCACCTTCCGCATTGCTCCCGACCTAACGCATTTTACGCTTTCGTATCCCACGGCAGCGGGTAGGTACCGACCCAGTCCGCAACTTCACTCCGCAGTTGCACAATCTCCGTGTCCGTCTCGCCATTTCCAAGATACTCTAAGAAAGTCTTGAGCCGACCCGCTGTCTTCGCCTCGCCCTTCTCTTCGGCCGCTTTCCGCGCCGCCTTATCAACACGTGCGGCAATCGTCACGGCCCGGTCGACGATATCCGCAACACGCTCAAAATCGTTCTCGCTGAAGCCGCGCGTCGTCATGGCTGGAGTGCCCATGCGTAGGCCACCGGGGGTTAGGGCGGAGCGGTCGCCGGGGACGGTGTTCTTGTTGGCGGCGACGCCGACAAGTTCGAGCACGCGTTCGACGCGTCCACCGTCGACACCCTGTGGCTTGAGGTCGACGAGGACAAGGTGGTTGTCGGTGCCGCCGCTGACGAGCCGGTAGCCGAGCCCACCCTTCTCCTTCGGTTCGCCTAGTCGGCGGGCCAGGGCCTGGGAGTTGGAGAGAACCTGGGATTGGTAGGTGCGGAATTCAGGCGTCTGCGCCTGCTTAAGGGCGACGGAGAGGGCAGCGATTGTGTGGTTGTGCGGCCCGCCTTGGTGTCCAGGGAAGACGGAGGCGTTGATGGGGTTCTCGAGGTTGTAGAGTTCTTCGGCGCCCGTCTTGGGATGGGTGCGGCGCACACCGCGGCGGAAGAAGATGAGGGCGCCGCGGGGGCCACGAAGTGACTTGTGGCTTGTGGTGGTAACGATATCAGCGTGGGCGAAGGGGCCCGGCATGACCTTGGCCGCGACGAGACCGGAAATATGCGCCATGTCGACAAGGAGGTAGGCGTTGACCTTGTTGCAGATCTCGCGCATGCGGGCGTAGTCGATCAGCCGGCTGTAAGCCGAGGCACCGGCGACGATGATCTTGGGACGGTAGAGGGTGGCCGATTCCTCGAGCTTGTCGTAGTCGATGTATCCAGTCGACTCATCGAGGCGGTACGGGAGGGTCTCAAAGTACTTGGAGATGAACGAGATCTTTTTCGTGGGCGTTTGGTATCCGTGGGACAGGTGGCCTCCGTGGGGAAGGTCGAGACCCATGAGACGGTCGTGTGTTTCAAGGAGGGCCGAGTAGACGTACAGGTTGGCGGGAGCACCGGAGAGGGCTACTGAAGTTAGCTTTTACCGCAACTTCTGGTAACACGGTTTAAGACCCAGGGGCCACACACCCTGAACATTCACACCCCACTCTTTCGCCTCCAAGCCGAAGGTCTCAAGCGCCCGCTGCTGGCATAGTCTCTCGGACGCATCGATGAACTCATTGCCACCATAGTATCTCGCTCCAGGATATCCTTCCGAGTATTTGTCTAGTCTTGTTAGTTATGGTTCTCGCGTGTCGGCGGTAGCGAGCCGGGGCAGACCGGGAGTAACGCACTCTGCATCGGACTCCCAAGCGCATCTAAAACGGCCTGCGAGGTGAAGTTCTCGGACGGAATAAGGTTGATGAACTGCTTTTGCCTGATTTTCTCCTGTGTTTGTGCATTAGCATTGGTCAGTGGGATGCATTGGTATCACCAATTCGAGGAATTCCGAGTACCGACCAACCTTTTCGATGATATCGTACATGATGGGATCGGCTTGTTGGAGATGGCTAGCGAGCAACTGTTGTTCGGCATTGTATTAGCATCTGAGTCTCTATCCGGTATCCTCCTGCGTATTTTCACAAAATGCGTCTTCCTACCTTCTGCTGCGTGTCATTGCCGAGAGCCATAGTCCCGACGGACCGGTTCGTGGCCACCCCGCGGGCCCATTGTTTCGGCGCTGTCGCCGAGCGGGGCAATCGGTTTGCTATCGTCGTCGTCCTGGGCAAGCAAGCGGCGGAGGTAGAGCAAGACGAAGCACACACGCGCCTGGCGGCGGTGCTTCGGAGCGATGGAACTGAGCCAAACGCCGACATCTCGGGCTATTTTCTTCGTCTCTGCCTATCTGTCGAGTGAGAAAGTGAAACTCGGAGTTAGTCTGTTGTACTTCCTCCAATTGTTCGTGGGGGGATAGAGGAGGGGCAAGAAATACCGACTGTGGACACAGATTTTACACCTCGGGACTGGAAACAAAGAAATTCTACGTTCCTGCCCTTTCCCGTCGGACAGCTTCCTCTTCGGCGGTGGTGGGAAAGATTCGGGAAACGGTCCAGTCTAGGACAGGGAGGTGATATGATTGGAGCTTTCTTCCCGACCATGACGAGACCAGCTCAATCCGCTCGGCTTAAACACAGGCCAGTGTGGGGTAAGATAGCTCCGAACGGAACGGGGAGAAAGGATGAAAGCACGGGCCATGGGATCCATAATTCTGCGAAGCACAACTTCAAGGCCAAAAATTTCTCCCGCTTCCAGTTTCTTCTTTCTTTTCTTCTGCAATCAACTATATTGGGGGTGATGAGCACGCTCACAAATGGCAAATGCACGGTCCTCCGCTGGTTAAACGGCTTGGGGGGACATGCTGAAATGTCCTGGCACAACCTCACCACTCTAGAGGGGCAATTTGAAGACTCTGACTCAAGTTGGTTGATGCGCGGCGACGTAGCCGTTTTGTGTTTTCTTTCGTCTGGTCTATTTCTCCATAACCCTTCGAATTGTTCGGATACATCGGATTACTTGTGGGTTGTTTCCCCCGATATTTCGCAGGCACAAATACCTCAGATAGCTGCAAATGCAAATCAGGAAACTAGTTGCCTTCCAAGCTGCGTTCGCTCTTGCTTCTATCCCCTCCTATGTTCAATTCGCAGTAAAGACATGAGAAACGGTTCGAAGCATCACAGGATCCGGACTCGGCATCCACTCGTGTTCATCAGACCGGCAAACCCATTGCTTCCGATTTTTTCAATGCCATACATGCAAGCCAGAATGTTTGGTGTCTTTTGACACCATGCCCCTTCACTAGAAAGAGGCTCGAGGGGGACGGCATGCAGGAGCCGCCGAGATGTGTAGAGAGAAAGCGTGCCCAGAAACAAGCCCAACCCATTACTCCGAATGCAAGGCCGCCGAGAAATCCATATAGTCCATTCACTTGACCCCTGCTGAAATCTACTTGGATTCCTCCTCGGCCTCGCCCAGCAGCGCGTTCCGCTTCGCCGTTTGCCTCTCCAGCTTGCGCTCGCGGGCAGCCTTGGTCCGCGCACGCTTGGCGTCCATCTCCTCCTTGATCTGCCTCTCGCGCGCCTTCTCCGCCTTGGCACGGTGGATCTGAAATCGGGAAAAAAATTTGGTTAGCTGGATGGTCCGGGACTCAAAGCTGAACGAGGAGAGAGGGAAGAAAACATACGTGCTCAACGAGCGCCCGCTTGTGCTTGAAGGTGTTACCCTTGGCGAGGTGGTAGAGCTCGTGGTAGAGGTGCTTGTCGATCTTGCCGCTGGCACGGTACTTGACAAGCAGACGGCGGAGGACCCGCTGGCGGCGCATCCACAGAACCTGCCTGTATCAGGAGTCAGTACACCGGCATTTCCTAAATAGCCCAACCTCCGACCTCTAAAACCCCCATTAACCCCCCCAACCAGCAATAGTATGCTTGTTTGGCGGTTCGGTATCCGGAGGCTTGAGGGCGGGGATGGCTTTATTGTTGTCGTCATGGTGGTGGTGGTACGTACTCGGGCATACGGGCATCGGCGGTACCCTTGCGCTTACCGAAACCGCGGTGGCGGCCGATACGGCGGGCGAGGTTTAGCTCACGCGCACGCGAGCGCGAGTGCATGGTGACGGGCTTCTTGATGATGAGGCCATCGGAGACGAGCTTGCGGATGGTCTGGCGGGAGTTGGCGTTCGAGATCTCGGACACCTCGTTGGGGTCGAGCCAGATCTTGCGCTGGCCGACGCCCAGCACAGACGACGCCAGCCGCTTCTGGGTCCTCAGGTTAACCCTACAGCGGGACAAATAGTCAGCATTCCTGCTCCTTTATTGAAATAATCGACGTTCGTGACGCTCGGGGAATGCGGGTTGATGGTGGTGTGGAGGGAGGTCGAGGTCGGGAACGGTGCTGACCGCAGCACAACGCTCGGTGCACGCGCAAATGCTGCTGCAAATCGACCGAGTAAAAATGGTGGTGTGTTATTGAATTGACATGGATGTAAATAGAGCTACTCACATCTTGACTGATTGATGCTGTAGATGGTTAGTAGTCGAGGTTGTCGATGGGTTAGGATTTCCGCTGAGGGGAAGTTCGTCGCCGGAATTTCTCGAGCAACAGTTTGTGGGTTTGGCAGGTGGGGCAAATAGTCGACTGCGATTGGCGAGGGCTAAATTGGTCATGCGCCCTCGCACGTGCACTGCATTCACCAGGCTCTCCAGACAGTGGACCTCCGGTTGCTCCTAACCTGTCTGTTTACATATCGGGGTGAATCCAAATCGCTGAAATGGAGTGACGCGAGGTGTTCCACGGTACAATATTTGAGAATAATATTCGTGTAAATTGCAAACTTGCCCAACGAGATCCCCAATTGATTCGATTGGACGATGTCCTTTCAACCGGTCGCTAGGATGGATCAACGGACCGCTTTCTGTCTGTCACACGGCATCTAGAAAGTCGCGACGTCCAACTGGACAATGCCGTCCAACTGGACAATGCACCTTATTTTTGGACCCCTACAAAGCTACGTAAGAACCATCACAGAGCCAGCCTCTTTTCTACTCCGTTGAAGCGAACACCCCCTCTCCAACATCCACCTTCCCAACTGCCATAATTTCCTTCTCATCCTCGGCTTCATCATTCGACAACCCCAACCCGCCGGCCCCCCCTTCTGCCTCCCTCCTCTCCCGCACCTGCGCCCCCAACCGCAATGTCACTCTCTTAAAATAATCCTGCATACTACGCTTCACCTGTGGTGGTAATGCCTCGGCGCCCCCGCCTGTACCCATCCACTTTTCGAACACTTTCCCTTCTTCGTCGGCCACAGAGAAGAGCTGGACAAACGCCGCTTCAGAGGCCAACTTGACGGGGATCACCGGGTCACGCACCGAGGCGAAGACGGGAGGCGCGAGTATGCTGAGGTGGGGGCGTACCATCTCTGGGTGGACGCGCGCGATCGTGCGGGTGACAACCAGAGCTAGGCGGCGAGAATCGAGGGGCGCACCGGGTGGGATGAGTTTGGAGAGCGTGATGAAGAGGGGTTTGGTGGCCTCGAAGGATTTGGGGGCCGAGCTGAGGAGATATTTACCAGTGGCCACGATGAAGTTGTCGATGATGAAAGTCTGAAGAAAGATGGTGTGTCAAATCAACCAATTCAGTGGAAACTAAGGGGAGAGTAAGATGGGGAATGAGGGAAGGATACTCACGTTTTTGCTCTCCATCCCGAGCGCAAGCAACTCCGGCAGGTCATCAACCAGTGACGAGTTCAACAAGGTGTCGGCGCTCTCCAGCAACACCGCGTTGAGTGCTAGCACACTCGCGTGGGTGAAGTCACGGGTCATGACCCGGTTCTTCAGAAGGGTAATCGCTGCATCGTCCGAGATGTTCTTAACAAGGGCCCCGAACAGTTTGGCGTAAGTGATCGTCATGGTATTATCACGCTCGTCAGTCTCCGTGTCGATCAGGCCCAGGACGGCAGTGCGGGAGCCCTCGCCCATGTTGCCGCCCGCCGTGCTGATGACCTCGTACAGAGCCTTGAGCATCGCGGTGCGGACGCCGGCGTCTGTAGTCTTAGAGCCCGTTACCAACTCAGCAATGAGGGGATCAACACGCGGCGTGAACTTGATGAGAGTACCCAGAGCCTTCGCAGCACGACTGCGCAGCAAATCGCTCGACGTGTCGGCGAGCGACTTGGCAAAGGTACGCTGCAGTTGTGGCAGGAAAGGTTTGAGCGCGGTGGGCATCTTTTCGAGCAAGTTATTGAGCGTAAGGAGAATGGCTGACTTGACGTCGGTCGAACGCTCCGAAACCACACGAATCAGGGGACCCGTAATCTGCGTGACAAAGGGCTTGAGTGAGGCTTCGCTGGTCCGGTCGATCACGTCCGAGATGGCCAGGGCGGCCGACACCCTCTGCTCTGCGGTGCCATTCATTAGGCCCTGCAAGAAGATGGGAAGGATGGCGTTAATGCCCTTGGGGAGTTCGAAGCCGGGCAGATTATGGCCGGCAACGCCCACTTGCAGCAGAGTCTGCCTCGTTGATTGCACGAGGGCTTCCATTTCCTCCTTTTTGAGGTGCTTCGTAAACTCGTGTAGCGCACTCCACGCGGACTTGACGACAGCAGTATCCCGGTCATCGAACGAAATCAGCAGGGCACGGATAATGTCCTGGTTGTATCTCGAATAGTCGACATCGGCTGACGCGAAGAATTTTGCCAGATGGCGGCCAGTCGCGGCTCTCTTGCGATGATCTTCATGCTTGATGAGCTGGAGCAAAACGTTCATGACCACATTCAAGCCGTCATACTCATCAATGGACAAGATGACAGTGTCGAACGAAGCATCAAGGTCTCCCTGCAAATCATCCTCCGTGCAGTTGACAATGTTGTCCATCAGGGAGTTGATGATGTTGGGCAGTCTGCGGTTCATAGCCGCACCTGCAACCTTAGACAACGATGCCAGCGCCTTGGCGTTGAAAGCTGAGATGGGAGGCGCAATGAGGGTAGGAATGAGGTTTGGAAGGATAATGTTCGAACGGGTCGTTTCTGTAAGGAGGGTGAGGAGAGCTTCCAGCGCGTTGTTGGCATTCTCGTCGGAGCGCAGGAGGTTGAGGAGGTAAGGTAGGACCTGGTCGACGGCGCGCTTCCCAAGGATCTGCTGGAGCGAGTCGAACGCCTCGGCCGCGGCCTCGCGGACGTCGGTATCCGAGTCGGTAAGCGCAGTACGAACAACGGAAATGAGCGTCTTCTCGTGGTCCTCGAGTGCCTCGGGCGAGGCCGAGGAGATAAGTTCCTTGAGCGCCAGACAAATACCCTGCTTGGCGTCGACATCGCTGGACGACCGCAGGCCGTCTTCGAGAGTGGGGAGAAGGGTAGCCAAGACGCCATCGCCGGCTTTGCGGATGAGTTCGCCAAGGGCGTTGCTGGCGATGACCTTGTGCTCCATGTTGGTGCTGCCAAGACGCCGGATGATGAGCTGGGTGAGAGTAGGGACCAACTCCTTGAGCGTCCGCGGGCTGTGGACCAGAGCCTTCCAGACGCTGATAGCCGCAGCGCGTACAGCACCAGCAGTATCGCAGCGGCAGACGTACAGAGCTGAGAGGATCTTGTTCCGCTTCTCCTCTCCAAGCACCTCGCGAAGGGATGCCCCGGCTTCTTTGGTAGCGTCCGGATCCTCCTCTTCATCCTCCTCCGTGTTGGCCTTGATACCAGCGAGGTTGAAGAGAAGGTCACCCACAAGCTCCACGGAGCTGAGACGAATGCGGTAACTATCGTCGGCCATGCCGCGCTCGAGTTCTGGGAGAAGGAGATCGACGGCTCGCACCGCAAAGTTCTTGACCAACAGCCGGCCAGCACGCAGAGCAGTGTCACGGATTGCCTCGACATCATCAGCGAGACCTGATAAGATGGGCGGAATAATTTTGCCGAGATAGTTGGCAAAGCTGTTTCCGAAGCAGACGGGCAGGAAAATGAAGAGCGACATGAAGCCCTCGCGGACGGCAGACTTGGGCGATTCCACATTCTGGAGGATGGTAGGGAGCGTCTCCTCCAATCTCGAAGTACCCAGACCGGCAAGAACCTCGCTGAGGGCTTGCGCAGAACCAAGCCTGTCGCCGGCACCTGTCTCGGACTTGAGAGTTTGCATGAGACCGGGGATAAGATCTGGCAGAGCATCCTCGCCTAACTTCTCCACAAGGGATCCGAGAGCCCGGGAAGCAGTCGCACGCGTGGTGGGAACCGGGTCGACGACGGCAGTCTTGAGACCAGTCACGAGGACGGGCAAATGTGCCACAAGATCCTTGCGCTCTGTAAGATGCGCCAGACTGCCGATAACCTGAGACGCCTTGCGCTTGGTGTTGGATCGGTCGCCCAGGCCTCGCTGGAGGATGCGGCTGACCAGAGCCAACGAAGGGGCGTCGAGATAGTGGACGAACTGAACCTTGATGAGCGAGTCTAAGGCTTCGTCGGTGTACTTGGTCGGGTCGCTGAGCGCCTTGAGGAGGATGTCGACTAGGCTCTTTATCTCGGGGTTCGTGATAACTTCGCCGAAGCGCTTCAAGCTCTTGTTGGCAGCTGACCGCACTTCCTTGTGACTGTCGTTCAACACGGCCGTGAGAGGGGGGATAATTTCGGGCAGGCTCTGAGCAAGCTGTTGGGGGTCAAGGTAGGCCATAGCACCGAGCGTGTCGCAAGCACCCTTCTTACTCCGCCATTGGTCCTCGTCAAGGCCGTCAAGAAGTGTGGGAAGGACTTTCTTGACGCCGTATGAGCTGAGTGACGCGAAACAGGCCTTGGCCGCTGCGAGCGCAGCATCACGGACATCGGCGTTGCCGTCGCCAAAACCAGCAAGAAGCTGCGGAACAACCTGGATCACGTACGGCTCGAACAGCCGGCCGAGAATGGTGGACAGGAGCTCATATGCCAACATGGCAGACTCTCGCTGGTTGATTTCTTTCTTGTTCTCGAGCGCACTGCTGAGGGTGATCATGATGCGGTACTCTCTCAGGACACTGATACCCCTACCCAGCACAAGACCGGCCAGCCCATAGGCCGCTCCACGTTGCTCGGGATACTGCTTGGAGGTCAACATGATCTCGAGGACCTGGTCAAAGTACTTGGAGGACTTATCGCCACAGGTGCGGACAAGAGGGGGTAGGCACTCAGCAATAGCGTACTGAACTGCCTCTGACGGAGTGCTAAGTGTTGCGAGCAACCTCTCAATCACAACCGGGATCTTTTTGTCCCCAGGCTTAAGATGCCGCGCCAGCGCACCGTACATGATGATGACTGCTTCATTGACACGGTCTGAGGTTTCAGAGTTCTTGTCTGGAGCCTCAAGTGTCTTCTCGAAGGTCTTCATCAGCCTATCGAGAATGCCCTTCCCGTGCACTTCGATGGCTGTGTTCGCGGCGTCTAACATCTCGCTTCGCACTGTTGCGTTTTGGTCGCCGAGCGGGCCCTGCTCAATGAGAAGGTTGAAGAACGGTTCGAGCTGCGCCTTTTCAAGATGGGGGGCAATCTGCTTGAAGGCCAAGGCAATTCCGTGCCGTGCTTCCCAAGGGTCGGAAAGATCCATCTTTTTGGGCATTCCAAACTCGTCCAATTGCTGGACTCGCGGTTTGGCGAATTCCACATAGGATAACCGAAGCTTTTCAAGAACGGGGGTAATAACCGAAGGATATTGGCTCGCAACTTCGGCGAGCGACTTTGCGGCAGAGCGGCGGAGCTGGGCGTCCTTACTTTCCAAGTATGGCAGCATCTTGTGGGCGAGTTCCTCGGAAACCTGGAACTCGCCTTCTTCCCAAATCTCGCTACCGAGATCGGCGTTCTCCTCGATATCGTCATGACAAGCCAGCCAGATCTCCTCGGAGACGCCAACCTCACTCATGTCGACTTCAGCACTGATGGCGAGCAGCGCAGCTGTGCGGACACTAGACTGGGCAACAATGGTACCGCGTGCGAGCACACCGACTTCCTCGGTTGTCATGTTCGGAGCGACACACCGGACCATATCGGAGAAGCAGTCTTTCAGGATTTTGTAGTGCTGGTTGTACTTTTGCATCGACGTGATAAGCGCGTGGAAAATCTCTGCACGAGGGATAGCCTCGTCCGCGGCAACATCGGTGTGGAAGGAAAGAATCTCGATGGCTAGCACCAATTGGGCGTCGCGGTCGTCCGCGTTGGCACCAAAGCCCCCCCTTTCGAGCACGAGCAAGGCGAGAGGCAGAATGTAGATGAGGGTGACAGTGTCAAACGGACGTTGTTCACCGGCGAAGCGGAGACGGTAGAGGACCCGGGTCACTAAATCCTCAAACGGTTCTTGAGTCAGGGTGTCTGGTAGTGCTGATACCTCGTGGGCACGGAGAATAGCAGCTGCAATGAACGGACGAATGGTCCCTAGACGCGAAGTCGCTTGCTCTCCACATGCTACTAATGCGAGGGGTCCTGTCTCCGCGGTGATCAGGCACGCGCCCGCGTCGATAGAGGCAAGAGTAGCTCCAACAGCCGCACCCATCCACAGACTAGCATCTGAAGGAGGGCCGGTTGCCAGGGCCTTGACAATGCCGAAACCACGGAGTAACTTGGCTGCTACCTGGCTGACGTTCTCGCGAATATCAGACTCCTTTTTAAGCTGAGCGTTGACCTTCGCCGTTTCGTCCGCGGTAAGCTTTTTCTGCGTGCCCTTCTTCGCGGCCAGCTGAGACCTAAGTTCCTCTTCCCATTTGAGCGTGTCGTAGTCCTTCACATTTTTGTTGGGGACAGCGTTTTGCTTCTTGGCGAGGACGTCTACAAAGGCAGTGCCTTCGGGAGTGCGGAAAATGGCGGCTTCTAGTGGGCCGATGGATTGTAGCTGAACAGCGTCGAGATCTTCTTGCAGAAGAGTGACAATGCGGTGTGTCATGGAATCGGGGGCAACGAAGACAAGCTCAGCGGCTGCGCTGTAAGCTGCATCCTTGACAGAGCCGGACTTTTGCCCAAAGCCAGTCCGTCCCACTATCTCTTGGACTAGAACCTCTTCGTGCTTTTTAGCCAATTCACCCGGATCGCGCCCTACTCTCAAGCAGAGCTCAATCCAGCTTGCACGCGGGATGAGTTGAGGTTTCGCAAGGGCCAGGAGCGAGCAAAGTTGGGCTTCGATCTGCGCATTGTCGGGCTCAACATTTCGTTCTGCGTACTCCTTCGGGCTGAGGCAGATTGCTCTCAGCACCAAATGAAGGTTAGAGTTCCCGGACCTCGCCAAAACAGCTGCGCTCTCCTTCTCTCCTGTTTCCGCTGCTCCAACCCACTGCCATATGGCCTTGATAATCTCTGCTGGCACCGAGATACCATGGCCACTATTCGCCTGAGCACACAGACCGGACAACGAGTCTACAGCTTGTCGACGCACTTTAGGGGGAGTGGTAGAGGAAGATATCAGGTAAATGTAGGCTTGTGCCCAGGCGGCTTTGACGGTGTCGTTGAACGATGTGAGGGAAGGCGCAATAGCCGAGAGAGCACGGCACAGCCATTTAAGGTCTTCTTCAGCGAATTTGCTGTATATCCGCTGATTCAGGAGGTAAGACGGCTTTGGTTCCACCGCCAAGCTGTTCTTTTGTATCCCTGCTTTCTTGGCTAATGACTGCACATTAGTGTTCTCGAGGCGGGTGATTAACCCTTCGAGGCTGGCGGTGACCAAGGCTGCAGTCACGAGGCTGCTTTGCGCGGCCGTGACGGGGTTCGCTACGACCTCGTTAAAGGCGGCCAAGAGAGGCGGGACAACAGCTTCCGCAAAGGTCACAAGACCCTTGGGGAGATTGGGTTGGGCATCCTGGAACGTCGAGAGCAAATCGCCAGTCCGTAGGACCCAAATCCGCCGAACTGGGGCTTTCTTATCCGCCAGGCCCTTCACATAGGCATCCACCAGAGGCTTTGGGGCTTCTGCGTTTTGGAGAAGGGTGCTTGCGCTGCCATTAAGAACCAGCGTTTCGGAATTCAAGGCGGCTTCGTTTGCCTCTTTGCTGACAAGAGCAGGGAGTCCAGACGCAACCTTGGTCGCAATTCCGACCGACGCTGGTAGCGCTACGAGCATCTCTGAGTGGAGCACTCGATGGTCTGCAGACGCGAGCTTGCCAGACTTGAGAGGTCCGAGGACTTCATCCGCAACCTTCTCGAGGAGTGCAGGGTCTTGAGAGTTTGAGGCAAGTGCTTTGAAAGCCGAGACGGCGCCACTGCGAATGGTGGCGTTGGAAGATTTGATGTTGGAGAGTAGTGGCTTGACGAAGCGGCCGCTTAGCGCTTGAGAGAGATCGAACCGGGATATCGAGTGGACCAGAGGGGTAATGAGATCGTTCAACACCACCTCGGGCGCCCGCAACAAGCCTTTCTCTAAAGCCGGGAAGACCTCTTTCTCGAGCTCCTCAAGCGAGACGAATGTCGAAAAGAAGTCAGCCAGGCCGTCGGCGAGATGGGCTGGGACCGGTGTCCGTGACCCAACAATTTCGCGGATGTAGAACGCAATGTACTCGCCCTTTAAGTTCTCAACTACCGCCTTGGCCTCGGTCTTCCGCGCGCAGACACCCGCGATGGCACCCAAGAGAACGGCATTCTTAGCGGCTGGCTGACCCCCTTTGGCGGCAAGCAGTTGTGCGGCCGCATCGATCGCTGTCGGGTCGGCGGAGGCGAGCTTCCGGAGGCTCCTCCTTGCGATAACCAGTGCGGAGTTCCCGACTGTCCCCCTTGACGTAGGCTGCAAACACTTTTCCAACCCGTCTGCCAATGCCAGAACGATATCCTTCCCGAATTTATGCCATAGCGGCGTGCCCGCAAAGTTTTGGGCCAACAAGCTGGACCATTCCACAAGCACGAACGCGCTGCCGGGGGCAATGCCTTGCTTTTGGGTTTCCTTGAGGACGGAGGCAACTAATGGGGTGAGGACGTCGGTATCGCTTTGTTGGCAGAGTGAGGTGAGGCATCGTTGTACTGCTTGTCGAGAAGGTCGGTCGGTGTAAAAGGCGTGTGTCCAGAAGAGGACCTTGAGGATGCCGAGCGTTGTTTGCTTGTCGAGAGCTGCATAGGACGAAGAAAACCCCGTGTTAGCTCATCCAGGTCCTCCCTCCTCAGCGCAATATGGAACCTCACCCTTGTGTGTAATCTTTTCATCAATGCCCCGCAGCTGGGCAATGCGGGTCGCAGTCGACGACGAGGTCAGCGCGATCCGGGCTTGGTCGAGGTCGAAGCCGCCCACGGCCCCATCGTTGGCGGGTTCAGTCATTGTGGCGTCGTTCTAGTAGGGGGCCGTCGTGGAATGACATGATCGGGCGGCAGAAACCAGGAGCCTCGTGGTGTTGCGGTACCCGTTTTGTCCAGGTGGTGGTTCTCTCTCGGGGAGCTGATTTTCGGCGGGGACTCACATTTCGAACCGAAGTGGGTGCCGTGGTTGGCAAGATAAGTTGTTATACAGACTGTGCTTCCTGCCCTTTCAGGGGCTTGTTTACTTTGGGAGGCCAGTCCTGTTACATAGGCATCCTTGCGGGAAAGTTAATTTCCTCGTCAGCATATGATATTATCTATTCGAACACAAATGTCGCCCCTTTTGTAGGAAAGTACCAATCTGTAAAACAGACATCGAGCATTCCATGTAGACCGTCCTCACGGAGCGCAGTGACTGCACAGCACAGTGCAAATAACAGACGCTGCAAGTCTATGGTGGGGTCAGTGCCCGAAAGGGTAGGCGGTCGTCTTTCGATGCCCACCTTCGTCCGCGGCAGTGGGCCACTGCAGGGGAGCTTGCCCCAGTCAACTCCCAATCCAGAAAAATTCTAGGCTTGCTTCAGGCTTGACGTCTTTGGTGGAAACTAGCCATGATCTATCGGCGTCCTCTTCCTTTCTGGCTCCCGTTTGCAGCGCCTTTCCTTAGACCATCATCGCGCAGCCATGGCTGGTAAGAAGAAGACTAAAAAGCCCGCGGCCAACCCCGCGCGCGGGTTTGCAACAACATCCGTTGCGTCCAAAGCTCGAGTCGACCCGGTTGAAGCTCCCAGCGATGAGACCCTGGTCAACAAAACCGAGAGCACCCCGCCAGCGAAGGATGCCCCGCAAACAACAAATAGCAGCAACACCAACAAAGGCGACGAGAAGGCGCCGGCCAAACAGCTAAGTCCCGAAGAATTTGAGAAGCAGCTGGAGGAGTCGGAACTACAGCTTCTTGTCGAAAAGTACGCCCAGAAAGTTAGGAAGGATGCCCAGCGACAGAGGACCCGCCTTGAGACCGACCGACGATTACTACGGGGCACGGCCGAGAGCATCAACATACGAAAATGGCTACCGCCAGAGCTTATGGACCATATTTTGGGTCTGATCCAAGCGGAGGGCAGGTTTGCAGCTTCCAGTGTCTCGTCCGAGGGCGCGACTAGTAGGCTCCCCCCAGAGGAGGACCTGATCATCCGGCTTTGGACTCTGCAGGAGACCTTGGAGAATTCGGGGTTTCCAATGGAGAGGATACAACCGGCGCTGCAGTTTGTTTTGGATATTGCACCTAATATTCCGTATAATTCAAGGAGCGAAGCTACATGGGGATTGGAAGAGGTGTTGGACTGGTTCGCGAGGGAATGCGCGACGGATGAGCTCCCGGATTATTCTGGGCGAAAGAAGGGGGGAAAAGCAGGTATGTATCAAAGAGCTGCGATTGAGTTTGTTGAGACGTAAGTCCTGAACAATGTTTCCAGATTCTACGCCGGAAACGCTCTCAAGATCTGGCACGCCACTCCAAATAGACCCTCGATCAGGAAAGAATAAAAATAAGGCACAGGACCGGCCGCGCCAGCACTCGCCAAAACGGCCGGCAGTAACATACAGCGAAGACATCGAGCCGGAGCAGTTACTTCCGTTTTATCTCGCTACAAAGACGGAATTATTTGCGATCCAACGGCCACGGCAAGGTGATGCAAAGGGCAAAGGAACCAAGAACAACGGCAACGTCCCAATAAGTGCCGAGGAAGCGCTTCTGCTGGCTAAGGTCGACCGTGTTGAGAGGGACGTGCTCTTTGACAAATATGTTGCCGACCAGCAGTGGAGGAATAAACGGGTAATTCTTGAGAAGGAATACGCTGCTGCGAGAGCGGAAGAGAAGAAGAAAGCGGCGGCAGCTGAAGGGCCCCCTGCTCCGCTGGAACCTGGGGACGTCAACGCAGAAGCGGAGCGTATGGCAGCCGAGGTGCTAGCTCAGGAGACAGATGATGACGACGCTCTCGCCGACCTGTTTGCGTCCTTGCCAGTCAGTGAGGTTGATCCAGTCACGGGCAAAACCAATACTGTGGTGAACGGCGCAGATGGAGCCAAGACCATCATTCGTGATTTTGGGAAGTGGACTGGTGTGACCCCGATGCGGGCTTTAGAAGAGGCTTGCAGATCAAGGTTAGAGCTGTTTACCAGCTGGTTATGAAGAAAAGCGCTGACTAGGCATAGGGACTCATCCGTACGCATCTCATATCATCTCCTTTCCGACGTCGCATTTGCAAACCGGCACGCTGTCAATATTGTGTGGTCGAAACCACAAGACATGCCCGCTTCTTCTCCTGACATCACGGGGCTCGAAACGTTCGCATCGCCCACTCAGCTTGTTTACAAGATGATTTCGGTTGCCACTCCCGATGCAAAGCAATCTGAAGCCTTTATCGCTACCACTGCACTTTTTTGCATATTCGGTTCCTCGGGCAAAGAGGAAAAGGTAGCTTTGAGGCTACCGGCTGCTTGGAAGGACTTGTGGAACGAGTACGCCGAGGCGAAGAAGAGCAAGGCCGATGGTGAGGACCGAGAAATCCTTCGGCACTTGCGCGATCTCGTGCGGCAGAGGGTAGAACAGGAGCTCGAAGATGGTGTTCTTATTCAAGGTTTCAAGGGCCGTGGGCAGTCGAGGAATCAGGCCGACTCGGACCAATCGGACCAAGAACGGGCCAAGCGGCAACCTTTTGGACCCGAGTATTATCAGAACATCTGGCTACACAAAGCTAGTTCGCCCAGGTTTCAACACATGCTCCAATCGCGTATGCAGCTACCGATGTGGCAATTTCGACAGCAGGTTGTCGACGTGGTCGAACGTGAACAGGTGGTGATCATCTGTGGCGAGACGGGTTGTGGAAAGAGCACACAGGTACCTTCATTCCTACTGGAACATCAGTTACTTCAGGGCAAATCGTGCAAGATCTACTGCACGGAACCGCGGCGTATCTCGGCCATCTCGCTAGCACGCCGTGTGAGCGAGGAGCTCGGCGAAGGCAAAGGTGATCTAGGGACGAACAGGTCGTTGGTTGGGTACTCCATTCGGCTAGAGTCGAACACGGCAAGAGAGACGCGCCTTGTATACGCCACTACTGGTATTGTTATGCGCATGCTGGAGGGTTCCAACGACTTGCAAGACATCACCCATTTGGTCCTGGATGAGGTACACGAACGGTCCATCGATAGCGACTTCCTCCTCATTGTGCTGAAGAAATTGCTGGTCAGGAGGAAGGATCTCAAGGTTGTGCTCATGTCAGCCACCGTGGATGCCGAGCGATTTTCCAAATATCTAGGCGGCGCTCCCGTCCTGACTGTTCCGGGGAGGACATTTCCCGTACGCGTCGCGTACCTTGAGGATGCGGTCGAACTAACGGGATACACGGTTGACCAGAGGAGTCAGGAGAAGGTTACAGAGTTGGACGACGACGTGGAACCGGAGGTTGACGCATCATCCAAACCCGAACTGCTGAAGCAACTGAAAGGGTACTCGAACCGCACTCGGAACACGCTCACGCAGATGGATGAGTACAGGATGGAGTACGACCTAATTGTACAGTTGATCTCGAGGATAGCCACCGATCCCAACTATGCCACCTTCAGCAAGGCTATCTTAGTTTTTCTTCCCGGTATTGCCGAAATTCGGACACTGAACGACCTACTTCTGGGCGATCGGGCGTTTGCGGAGAACTGGCTGGTGTACCCAATGCATTCGACCATTGCGAGCGAGGAGCAAGAAGCAGCTTTCTTAATTCCTCCGCCTGGGATACGCAAGATTGTGCTCGCGACCAACATTGCGGAAACTGGTATCACGATTCCGGATGTGACTTGTGTCATCGATACCGGAAAACACCGCGAGATGCGATTCGACGAGCGAAGACAGTTGTCCCGCCTCATCGACTCGTTCATATCCCGCGCCAACGCGAAACAGCGTCGTGGTCGTGCTGGTCGTGTGCAGGAGGGCCTTTGCTTCCACATGTTCACCAAGTACCGCCACGATACGTTGATGAGTGATCAGCAGACGCCTGAAATGCTGCGTTTGTCTCTGCAAGACCTGGCCATCCGCGTCAAGATTTGCAAAATTGGTGGAATCGAAGAGACGCTGGGGGAGGCTTTAGATCCTCCTTCAGCCAAGAATATCCGTCGGGCTATCGATGCCCTCGTGGATGTTCGCGCATTGACTGCATCCACGGAGGAACTCACACCTCTCGGCCTCCAACTGGCCCGATTGCCCCTCGATGTGTTCCTCGGCAAGCTCATTCTCATGGGCGCCGTCTTCAAATGCCTCGATATGGCCATTACCGTGGCCGCTATCCTTTCCTCTAAGTCTCCTTTTGTTGCCCCCTTTGGGCAGCGCAACCAGGCCGACACGATCCGCCGGGGGTTCCGAAAAGGCGATTCTGATCTTCTCACTGTCTACAACGCGTACACGGCGTGGAAGCGAGTCTGCCAATCATCGACTTCGGGCGCCGCTGAGTTCCAATTCTGCCGCAAAAACTTCCTTGCGCCGCAAACGCTTGCTAATATTGAAGACCTCAAAGGACAGCTGCTCGTGGCCGTCGCTGACTCGGGCTTCCTCCAGCTCACCGAGACGGAGCGACAGGCGCTCCGAAAGTTGCGCTTCAGCGGCCGCCGACGACATCAGACCTTCTTTGACGTGCCCAAGCGTGTGGACAGCAACAGCGATAACGAGGTGGTCGCGCAGTCGGTTATCGCGTGGAGTTTCTACCCGAAACTCCTAGTGCGCGATGTCGGCAGCAAGGGGCTGCGTAATATCGGGAACAACCAGTCCATCAGTCTGCACCCGAGCAGTGTGAACAAGGGGTACAATGAAATGCGGTGGTTAAGTTATTACCACATCATGCAGTCCAAGGCGTGAGTCCTCATCTTCAACCACAGTGCGTTACACCATATGTCACTTAACTAACAACTCCTTCCAGTTTTTACAACGCCCACGAAACCACTGCAACCGACCCCTTCGCCATCGCCCTCCTGTGCGGCGATGTGCGCGCCGACCTCTTCTCAGGCGTATTTGTCCTCGACGGCAACCGCGCGCGCTTCGCGGCGCCCGACTGGAAGGCCATGTTGGCCGTCAAAGTCCTGCGTGCCCGACTGCGCGAGATGCTAACGCGCAGTTTCCGCAGTCCCGGAAAACTCCCCACGGCGCAGCACGAGCGATGGTTGGAGGTGTGGCAGCGCGTGTTTGCTTTGGCGCAGGAGGGCCGGGAGAAGAGCGCTGCGGCGGCTGCGGCGGCGAACGCGGTGACGGCGTCTGCGAGTGCTGCTGGCGTGGGCGTGGTAATAAATAAGAGCGGGAGCAGTCCCGGGGAGCGTTAGGCGCGCTTTTCGGTGTTTGCTCATGGGGTTCATGAGACGGGTTGGGTTTGAGAAAGGGGCTCGGTCTGCGTGGCGCAGGAAATCTCTAGTGGATGATGATACCCACGACTCCGCGAGGAAGGATATAGAGTATAGTGTTGGCATGGTGTATTATGTACAATGCGAACCAGATTTTCCACCATCCCGGCCGCGTTCCCTAATCCGAAGCGCATTAATTCAGCCAAACCTTCAACAAGCAACCCCCCGCGCCGGCCGTCTATTCCTGGTGAGTTTCCTCTGGTTTCTCGAACACCGCTATCTAAACATGAACTCCTGACTAACCCAACCCTAACCCCTCCAAGAATGCGACGAATGCGACGGCAACTCCGCAGTCCTCTCCTCGGTATACAACTCATGCCTGTCCCCATTCCCATTCATCTCCCGCGGCAGCTTCGTCGCCCAGACCTGCCCAGGCCCAGGCGCCCCGTACCAGCCGCTTTGCCCGCCTTCCGCTTCATAATACACTTGTCCGCCTTGTGCTCCGTACTGTCCCTGCTGCTGCTGCTGCAGGTGCGACTGGTCCTTCTCTGCGAGGAGCTGACGCTTTTTCTTATTGTGGCGGTTGAGGAACACGAAGGCGAGGGCGATGAGGGCTAGGCCTATGAGGGCGGCGCCGACGCCGATGCCGGCTTTTGCGGCTGTCGAGAGGCCTGTGCTGGGTGGGGAGGAAGAGGAGGATTGAGGGAAGGTGGAGGAAGAGGGGGTTGTTTCGACGGGGCGTTTGGTGCCGGTGGTGCCGGTGGTGGGTGATGAAGTAGGGTGGGAAGAGTGAGGCTGGGATTGGGTGCTGGTCGCGGATGGGGTGGTGGTGGTGGAGGACAAGGAGGAAGAGGAAGAGGAAGAGGACGTGGTTTGTTGAACGGCAGTGAAGAGTCTAAACTCTGTGTCCCAGCGCGCGAGAACCTCGGGATGGGAAGGGAAGATGTCGAAACGGCCGTTGCCGGAGTCGCAGCAGGGACCTGGGTCGTGGTCGCAGCAGTAGGAGGTGTCGGTGTTGGTGACGTTGGAGCAAGAGATAAGATCGGGGCCGAGTTTGGGGTTGACTAATTAATGGGAGTTGGTTATCAACCTCATCGTCCGACCTTGCCAATCTTGAGGAGACAGAGATGGGGTAAGGGTAGAATACTTACGCACACAGAACCGAGGGCATTCCACCGAGTTCCAGTTCTGGTCCGTACAGGTTCCTCTCACGACATTGCCTCCTGGATTTAAACAAACGTTGTTTGACAGGCATTGGGCACCCGATGTCCCGCCGCAGCACGAACTTGCGTCGTCGTCTGGATTACATGGCGAATCGTCGGTCGCGATGTTCCCATTTGGGTAGTAACATTGCTTGGCGGCTTCTACACCAAAACGGGACGACGCCAAGATTGTGGCCAGCACGGCGACGACGAGGCTCTTTGGCCTATTCATGGTGGTTTGGTGACGGAGGGTTGGCTCGGATCGCCACCCTCGTGCCGAGAATAGTCGATGGGCAACGGCGAGAAGGATGTACTATAAAAACAGGTGAAACATTTCGAGGAACACGAAAAGAAGCTCGCAAGACACCCGGCGTCTTTCACAGCTTCTCCCGCTCTTGGCACGCCCGGCCCGGAGCGCGGACGAATCACACCACACAGATTCGCGATTTCTTTCGCCCCCAAATTTGCGCGCTTCTCAATATCACCCTGGTTCGGCGGTTCCCCAGCTAACCCCGTCGTTCAGGGGCATGGCCACAGGATTTTGCGGAAGCTGAACGAGAAAGGATTCGATCAGCATTCGGCAAGACTCCTGACAAGGCAGCATCTGAGCAGGATTTCTAATCCGAGCTAGCGCAGAAAAATACAACCACATAACGTTAGTGTACTTAACCAGCCTGAGCATCCAACCTTAAATTTGCCCGGCCCAACGGAGTCGGGTCAGGAATCAAGATTGTAACTCGTCAGGTAAAGAGAAGTTCCATTCCCGAAATTGTCCGTCTAATGGATGCTTGTGAGATGTGACGACCAGAATGTTACATGCAGAACCTCACATGTGACTATAAATACGTACAATGGAGTAATTACACGAATACATCAAACCCGCTACTCCGTACCTTGGTACGTATCATATCAAGTGTGTACAGGTATGTAATTACGCGCTAATTATCTCGGGGCTATCAAGACCCGATGCTTCTCCATTGCCAACCATGGCCTTCATTAACCCTCCGCTGTACGAACCCACCATCATCTCATTGTTTACCCTTCCAACCATTACCGATGCCACCTCGACGCAGTAATTAGACGACATCTCGATAAGACTCGACACCCCGCCCAGAATATCCATCCAACTCCTGTCTCTCCTTTGTCACCCACACACTTCTATCCTCCCCACCTCTACTGTTCCCGGCCGCAGCAACAGCAGCTTGGTAGCAAGCGGATGTGGAGGAAAGGGCACCGAAGCCGAAGCACCAGTATACCACGAATCACCACCGACCCTATAGTCTATACCTCCTATTCCCATTCCCATCACCCACCTGAGGCGAACCACGCGGAGGGGAATTCAGTCTGAGGAGGCGTGTTGTAGTGTAGATCGGTCGTTGGGGAGGAAGTTGGCGCAGTTTTGGCTAACGTTGATTCAGATTGCTCAACTGGTGTGAACCGCGTCGCGGCCTCGTCCCATCTTGCGGTCGCCTCATTGAGCTAGGTGAGGTACAGTTCGAATTGCCCGGGACCTTTTTTCGCATCACTCGACCATTGGAGGGTCGCAGCCGAATATGTCGTCTGCTCGAGTGACGTTGGAGTAGGATACGAGTCTACGACCATATTTGAGCTTGTTCGGGAACGGCCCCTTGCACCACAGACTAAGGAAAGTTCTGAAAACATCCAGAAAGGGTCGGTTCCCTCCGCGACAGTTTCCAAGCACTTGGGGCAGAGTTCGGAGACTGCGACAGAAACCAGGGAAGTTGTCCTGTCTTGCGGGATAGCTCGGGAAAGAGGTTGCGTCGGACTGTACTGCTGCGGGACCAGTAGAACAGCCGCGACCGGCGTGACGGGAGAGAGATCACAACGTGGCTTGTCGTGGAAGATATCAGAGAAGTAGAGGTTACAGTGGAGAACTTTGTCCATATACCTCTCGAGGATGTACAGCGGTGTAATTACTGACCTTGGAAAACCGCTTCTTTCCCTTGTGTATCCAGTCCTAGTGTCACCTTTGCTCCCTTTACAAGTCTGTGGATGCGCCTCACACTACTTGCAGTAACCATCAATCAATACTCACCTGCCGAGAGGGCGGAAACCATCGAAGCCGACCAACGCTCCCCGGTTCAAACTCCTGACGTGACCCTGAAGGAGCAGAACCACTACCTCCACCACCCCCTCCCCCAGAAGCAGCAGCGCTCTTCTTCACTCTGGCAAGGACCCTCTCGCGATGCACGCCAGCTTTCATATGCAACTTGAAATCTCGCACCGCCATGTGCGGCTCCGCAGCCTCCGCCCTGTACAATATCTCGGGGCAGTCGTGGCAGATGATGCGGGGAACCCAGCCAAACTGGATGTTCCCGGGGATGGGGCCGAGGGGCCGGGCAACGAAGGAGTTGGTCTCAGTGTTGATGACGCATTGGTGCATGATGACCTCGCAGGAGTCGACGGGGTAGGATTTGAGGAGGTCGGCGAGAGCCGCGATGAGCCAGTGCGGCGCGGGGGGCTGTGCGGCATGGAGATGCGTGGTTAGACTGGCTGACTGGAGAAGGGGGAGGGAGGGATAATGGGAAAGGGGAGTCGTGGGGGGCGGGGGCGGGGGGATTAGGACATACCGGTGGTTGATTTGCGTCGTAATGACCGCGCGGGGTCGTATGGACAACGTGTATGATATCTAGGAGGGAGAGCTCCTCGTATGGGTTCGGCTGGAGGAGCTGCTGCATCGTCCGTGGCTGACCCGCGGGTTGCATCGCGCTGTTGGCCTTCTCGTCCGCGTTCACGCAGGCGGCCTGGTTTACATCAGCTAACGTTGTTGCGGAGATGTCCCCATCCTCTGCTGCGGAAGATTGCTGCTGGCCCGGCGAGGAGACTTCGGAAATGGGCTTCACGGTCGGCTTTTTCTGCAGGTTCTTCGTCCCAAATCACCTGTTGCGCGTTCAGGTGTGGCGCGCCACCCTGCTGAGTAGTCGCGATTAGTCGTATCCCCCTAAATCGAACGCATTTCCTTTTGTCTTCCTGATGCTTCTCCAATAGATGCGTTTTTAGGGCTTTGGGTGAGTTGAACGGGGGATATTGGCATCCTGACTCGGGGCACAGGAAACTCAATCTGTGGCCAGATTCGTGGATTGTACGCTCCCCGTTGCTGTTGAAGCCCGATATGGCGTGAACGCAGTAGACAAAGCGGCACAGGTACGCGTGGCCGCCAAAATTGGAACAGAAGAGTTGGAATTCGGATGAGACCGCATCGGAGTGGTCTTGGGCTTCGACTATATGCCGTACCGTCGCTTCGTAATTCTCAAAGATGTGATTCATCCGTGTGGGATAAACTAGATTGACTAGGTACTAGTATTAGCCTGCGCATCTTCATGGATCAGTAGAAAGAAAAGAATGCTGAGGTCAAGGCTGGCCTGGGGGGCTAACCACTTGGGCCTGATGCGGCAACCCGGTGTCCGGAGCCACGAGCTTGCAGACTAAGTGCCATGTCGTACAATAGGCCAGGGAAGTATAACCGGATTAGCTCCTGTTCTTGGGCCTGCAGCCCCGACAACGTGGAATCAGGGCCTAGTTGCGCTGTTGCCAACACATCTGAGAGTTCCGAGGAAATGCTTAGAAGCCGCGGATGCCAGGTCTGGGTTGGAGAGGCAATCAATTCTTGCAACTCGACAGCCCAAAACTCGGTCGCAAAAGGGAGGAAACCCCAGACTCCTCGTATGACCTGTATTTGACGGTTGTTTTGGGGGAAGCCAGGGGTGAAGACATCGAATGCTGCGCGGACACAATGAAGCAACGCAACGACATGATCCCAGTGGATTGACTGCTTGTCCATCCGGATAGACGTATCACAGACGTCGCTTTGCAGATATCTGAGGTGATGTTAGGCCCACGCTCAGGTTGATGGGGGAAGGTGCGTGGTATACTCTTTGACCGAGCTGTGGATGAAAGCAAGGGAGGAGTCGCGACGCTCCTCGACCAGGGGTTTACAAGCCTCAAGTATGTGAGGTGGTACGGGTCGATCGCCTACCGACTCGTATAGTTGAAACATGAGAGCAGATTGCAGCTCTGCCTTTCGGAGGGGGCGTTTGGCGAAAGCAATCCAGCCGAAGATGGCCTTCAGGCGGAGGGCCGAGCGAGCGTCGAGGCTGGAGAGAGTACGAGAGAGCAATTTCTCGTAACTGGGGCCAAGTAGTTCCCCGCTAGTGTCAATCCATGGAATTAACGGTTGGTAATACGGGGAGGAATAGGACCTACAAAGCCGAGAGCTCCCGAGGGAGAGTAGCTATCGCCTTCTCGAATTCGGCACGGGTGAAGAATAAGTTGGTTGAGAGGTAGTTTAGGACTAAGGTTGCCCACAGAAACATTCCTATCACGCATTGTGTAATTATTAGCTCTGGAAACACTCGATACGCAGAAGGTGGGAAGAGGGATGCAAATATACCATCTGCCCTCTCTCCAATGTCAGACGAGATGCCGTCCATCTCATCTTCTGAGATGCCCAACTCCCCTAGTCTGACGCGTATCGTGGCGCCCGACAGGCGATTTCGAGCATATGTGGAAATCGCATTGCACAGACAGGCCTTTTCGTCAGCAAATGAGAAGACACACTGTCGGAGTTTCGGTGGAAGCGGGTACGCATCTCGGCGCGATACCAAGACCTTGCAGTTAATGTTCTTGTCCTCGGTGAGGCGTACCATCAATCGAAGGAGTCGCCGTTGCTTATCGATGGGGCATTCATCCAGACCATCCAGGAGGATGTGGATGCAGCGCTGGTCGTTACTGGACAACAGGCCGACAGCTATCTCGAGCAGCTCCTCGAGGGCGCGAACGGTGGCCTGTTTGCTGCCGACATATTCCTCATGGATGTGGGCCACGAGGTCGGCGCTGTGCTGAGCGAGTTGAAGAAGCAAAGACTTGATGACTTGATCGTAACGTGTCGAGGACTCATGAGTGTAGGAGCAGAAATGCCTAATGACGGGTGACCTCTTGGATGCGTTGAGAAAGGATACTAGCTGGGCGACGATGATGCTCTTTCCAGTGCCTGGCGCGCCTTGGAGGCACAAGAATGGGGTATCTGGAGTTGGTCCGAGCCAGGAAGCCACCTGGGGCTTCTTCAAGATCCAGTTGACAGTTCCGGGGTTCTTTTCTCCAACCTTGTCCAGCGAGTCGAAAAGGACTATCTGATCCGATTCGTCTAGCCGGAGCCAGGTCATGACGCCCTGCAACTGCTTGACCGTCAGTTGTTTCTGGTCCTTGACTAGATGGTCTAGACACTCAGCCCTCCAGGACTTCAGGGTCTCCCTCATCGCTCTGGCTTCAATAATGTTGTGTGCATTGACTTCCTTGTCGATGAGGTCTTGATGTCGTGTGAGATTGTCAAGGATAATATTGAATTCACGCTCAAATCGACCCCAAGTTGTCATGAAGAGGACTTTCCAACCTGGGCCGGTGAGTTAGTGCCAAGTAAATGTAGGTAGGTAGGTACGTACTCAGACAAAAAGGAGGCAGGGGAAAGAGGCCGGCTCTGACTCACGGTGACGAGTGAGGAACTTGTAGGCAGCTTTGTGGAATCGCAGGATATCGATATAGAATATGACGAATACAGGAAAGATCTGTGGCTTTCCTTTGAACGACTCTTCGAGAAGCTGAAACCTCCCCAAGGATTCGGCGATTTGCGAGTAAGCCTTGATAATGCGATCGAATGCTTGTGTATAGTCACTCGAGATCTTCAGGATGAACTTGATAGGGGCCCAGATCCAAGGTAGGTATGGCGTTCCATTGCACAGCACTTCGATGACCTTAGCGTAGTGGTGCAGGCCTTGGAAAAGGGGTTCGAGACGGCGCATGTTGCGCAGGGACTGTCGCGCAGCCAGCTGCCGTTCGAGATCGAAGGCGGCGCGCCTGACGTCTTCGAGAGTTGTCGACGCAAAGTCCCGGGACTCGGCTGGGGAAATCGTGCGTTCCAGATCTTTGAAGGCATTTTCAATGGCTCGCCTGCTTGCGGACAGCTCAGGGGGTGGGGCCTTGAGCGGCATCGCTGATGGCACACGCAGCTTGGAGGAATGTGTGAGGATCGCGGGGAGAGATCTGAAGGGGTTTTGCTGAGCAAAAAACCAAATAACCCCTCCTGTCGTGGACACAGCAGTACGCGTCTCATTGGGCGCGCGTGTGGCCAGGGGGCGGTGCAAAGTTGGGCACCCATGCGCAGTCAACGCGAGGCTCTGTCCCCAAGGAGTCAAGGACCCCAACGACTACAACTCTCGGTCGCGCCCCGATATTTTGTGCTGTCGTCCTGAATTCACCGACCTCCCATGGAACCGTCGCGGAAAAGACCACGTCGGGAAAGCGACGAAGGCGTGCCATCCAGGACGCTGCCGGTTCCGCACAACGCTGGTCAGGGGGCTGAGCTGCCTGGGCTGCAACAGTATGGACCCGACCAGGCGACTATCGTCACTAGCCTTTCCACAGAGCCGGTAGTGTGCTATGGCATGGTCAGATTGATACCTGCATCTACATCATCTCTAATTCCATCGCTAACACTCCAACGTAAATAGGTTGGGTTTTCCGGCACTTACACGGCGGACGGCAACAGCATGCACGAGGAGTCGGACTCCTTCGCCGTCATCATTCACTCACAGCGGGAATTTACCCCTGCAAATCCCCAACCTGTCTCTGGTCGCGGCGAGTTCTCCTCCGACTCCCTTGCCGTCGTTGAAGCCCTGCTGAACGAGTCGAGCTTGCGACTCCAGGCGAGTTGCGCGGTTGGCGGCCCCCTACCCCTGAAAGCTCCAGCGAGATCAAGGCGGTTTGGGCCCGTTTCCCTCGCATGCAAAGTGTCCATCATTCTCTACGGGCCACAGGATCTGATGGACAGCGTCGGCGAGTTCTTCCAGGACGTCGATATTTACCTGCAAGACCCCATAGGCTGCGACATGGACGTAAGATACTGCAACCCCCATCGCCTTTTATCGCTCGACATAAACGACTGTCCGATGACATCTGAGTTGAACCGGCTGGGTTCTGAGCTTGACTCGGCCCTGTTCCAGAACATCCCTGGCGAATCTGACGTCCTGGACGTTCTCGATGCTCATCAGGACTTGCCCGAAGCACCTCAACCAGCACTGATCCGTTCATTGCTCAGGAAGTGGGTCAAACTGTTGCCGGACTCCGCCCCTCTTCCAATCGTTCGTTAGGTAGTCAAACCACTAATAACGGGAACCGACTGTGCTGTAGGCACCAGAAGCAAGCATTGACCTTTTTTCTCCAACGTGAAGCTGGTTGGAATTTCGACCCTCGCTCTGCTGATTTTTGGGACTTTCAGCAAACCAGTCAGGCAGCGTTGTATGTGACATTTCCGACAAAGACCCCGTGACAGCCCGGAAGTGCCGGAAGATGGCGTCCATTCCAACGCTGACAAGCTATGTGATACGCCTCGATTGTAGTTTCGTCAACCGCATCTCGCAAATCCCCCAGACGGCTGAACCACCCGAGTTCTGCGGCGGCATCGTTGCTGATCCCATGGGTCTGGGTAAAACATTGACAATGATCGCCCTTATAGCCGCGGAAAAGCACTCTTCATCTTCGGCCGGCTGGCCGTCGCTCATCCTTGTGCCGCCACCCCGTCAGTGCAGTCAGACTTGAACGACGATTAGGCAAAAGCTAATAAAGGTTAATTGTTACTTCCAGTTCTGGACACTTGGGAAGAGCAGCTCAAAGAGTAGGTATGCTCACATTTCCGTCTCTCGTGGCTTTCGTCTAACACCTTCCCAGACATGTCACCCAAGGCGGATTGACCTGGCGCCGCCACTACGGAAAGGATAGACTTACCAAAGCAGACGAGGTCACTCTGTACGACATTGTAATATCGACATATGAGACGGCAAGAGCAGACTGGGGCGGGGGGCAAAAGACGGCGGGGAGCCTTCTATTCTCCATTCCTTGGAGACGAATAATCCTAGACGAAGCCCATATAATCCGGAACACCAAGTCACAGATTTCCCAAGCAGTCTGTGCCCTCGACGGCGCTGCAAGATGGGCCATCACGGGCACGCCCATCCAGAACAGAATCGGAGACCTCGCAGCCCTGCTCAAATTCATCCGAGCATATCCGTACCATGACACCAAGCGGTTCGAGACCGACATCGGCCAGATCTGGAAAATGGGGAACATTGAGGAGGCAGTCAACAGGCTCAGGAAACTCTCAGGGGGGTTGATCCTGCGGCGACCCAAGACGGCGATTGAGCTGCCCCCACGGACCGATTTGAAGTTCCCCATCGAGTTCCACGCGCCGGAGAGAGAACTTTACGAACACGTAAAGCACCAAACAATGGCCAAAATTGAGGAGGCATTTCAAGACGGGGACAAGGGCGGCTTCCGCTCAAGATCATACATTACCGTCCTACAGAGAATCAACGCTTTGCGCATGATCTGCGACCTGGGGCTGAATTTCGGCTCCAGACACGGCCTCTCGGCAATTGAAGACGCCCAGGATGACCGTCGCCGAGATTGGTACACCATTGCCCAAGAGGCATTCAACCTGGAGCGGGACACGTTCCCGGTCGTCTGCTCCAGTTGCTCCTATCCCTGCGACACTACGGCGGCGACCTTCGCCCACCGCTCGTCAGAGTCCTCCCCGACATCGTATTATGCGGAATGCATGAGATACATCTGCAGCGACTGCGCTCAGCCGTACCTCCGGCAGAAGGAGGCCGTCATGTGCGGACACACACCAAACCACAGAGTTGCGCCTGTCTCCTTGGGCTGGACGAATTTAGAGGAGCGTGCTGTGCCTAGTCAGATTCATCAGCTTCAGCTTTCCAGCAAAGTCACGGCCCTCATCTCGCAGCTCAGGTGGCTTCCAGTCGATACGAAGAGGTCAAACCCCCACTAGCTAAGTATCCACCACTAAGATTATAGGACGGCTGCTGACGTGTCAGGACAAGCGCAGTGTGGTGTTTTCAAGCTGGAGGATGACACTGAACCTCGTTGAGATGGGGCTAAAAGAAGCCGGTATTCACTATGTCCGGTTCGACGGAACGGTGCGGCAGCAAGATCGGCAGGCTATCATCCAGAAGTTCAGGAAGGACCCTACAGTCAGAGTCTTTCTCCTGACCCTCTCCTGCGGTGCTGTCGGGTGCGTTTGCCTCCTTCGATCCTTGATCTTACCAAGGGCATCCTAACAACCTGAACTCCAGCTTGACGTTAACCGAGGCTTCTCGAGCGTACCTCATTGAGCCCCATTGGTAACAACTTCTCCCTGGCCGCTCCCTTCCCTCCACTTGACTACTGGGTAGTAACCAACATATAACTCCCCAATCGCACAGGAACCCTACCATCGAGGAACAAGCCCTAGCTAGAATCCATCGAATCGGCCAGCAGAAGGAGGTGACGACAGTCAGACTTTATGTCAAGGACACCTTTGAGGAGGTTGGTTGACACCGCAATTTCCACACCCACAGCCAGGAGAAACAACAAGAAAATGCTGATAATTATCTAATTACCACTAGAGAATCATGGATCTCCAGCGGTCGAAGAAGAAACTTGAGGAGGTTCTGCTGGCTCCAAGGAAGGGAGTGGAACAGCAGAGTGAACGACTGGCTAGCCTCGAGGTAATATTTTTACAGTTTCGTGTCCTACGTAAATCATCCCGGCAGTGTGCCTAGATTAGGTGCTGACATATTTTAGGATTTGCGACGTCTTATTTAGCCAAGCAGCTTCCACAACCACCGCACGCCTCGTCACACTGAATTCCCCTCCACGTGATTCGCTTCAGGTGGAGGGGATGGAATAGGAATGGGAGTTGGGGGTATGGAGTCGGTGGTGTTTCGTGGTAATTATGCTGGGCTTCAACACCTTTTGCTCCACCTCTGTTAATTACCGCTTACTCGCCTCCTGTATCATCTGACTACCTTTTTCCTTCTCCCCCGACATCCTTTATTTTTTCGTATATTTGGGGTATTATTCCGGCACACCCCTTTCTTCCTTGATGGCAGGTGATGTAGCCTTTGGATCGATCGGCTTGACACCCCAATCATAAACCATTTTGTTGTCTCGAGAGGTGTTCTGATAGTTGAGTCGCAAGTTGAAGCCTGATTAGGAAGAGAAATAAGAGAGGCCCCGGAAAAAAATAGGGATTCCGGGGTTTAAGAACCTGGTTACTCTGCTCTTCTCCGGAGTCCGAACGTAGGCTTAGGTAGGCTTGTCCGTCCCGGCTGCTGGAATCGGAAGACGATAGCGGTTGAGCCTCCAGTCATATTCCCCGTCGGCCCGTCCCATCATTGACAAGCTGCAGATGAAACCCAAGATATCCGGGCTCCGTCGTTCCGCATCGTGTCTGGCCAAGTGGTGTCTACCTATCTTGACATGTTTTGGGGACAATACAGGCCAAACTGGAATAGACTTCGTTTTGCGCCCGCCAATGGGATGCCTGGTTTACGAGGCTTGGCATCTGTTTGGGGGTCCTTTTGGGGAGACAGGAATGGTGGGGTGTAGCGCAGCGGTTAATATGGCACTCAATCAATGCCCGTGTATTAGTCAAGTTCGAGTTTCTTGAAACAACATTCTTTGTTTCATCGCAGGCGTGAATAAGAAAGTTCGGCCTCGAAGTCGGCAACCAGGAGGATTTCGGAGACGAAAGACGGCATTTGAGGTGTGGCAATAGCATCTGAGAAGGATGGACAACTAGGCAATGGATGACGGACGGGCCAGGGGGTTTGCCGGGTGAAGTTGGTGTATAAATAAGGACGTCCAGTCCGTGAAGATAGATGGAAAATATCCACAGACTTGATCAACTCATCCCTTCAGTTCACTGCCATCATCATCCAGAAACTCTTCTCTTCCTGAGGCTCTTCCCAAGTTTCACCCCAACTCTCAAAAGTCAAAATGCCCGTTCTCACATTCTTCACCACCCTCGCGGCCTTCGCCAGCCTCACAACCCTCACCGCCGCCCTTCCGTCTCTAACTCTTACGCCCCGCCAAAACACCACCCAACACACCATGGGCTTCATCGGCTGCTCCATGGCCGAGAACGTCGCCCAAGGCTACGTCGCCTCCTCCGGCACCCATATGTGGGGGCCCTACGGCACCAGCGGCATGGTCGTCCAGTCCTGGACCGACCCCAACTCTGCCAGCTGGCAGCTCTTCGACAAACAAGTCGCCCAGTTCGGCAAACCCACCGAGGTTTGGGTGCAGATTTGCATTTTCCAGAACCCGGGCGCGACGTACGAGGAAGTGAAACAACTAATCACGAATGCGCGTGCACACGCCGCAGAGGGGGCGAAAATTTGGGTCACCGGCCAGCCGCTGTATCCGGACAACCCAGGGAGTTGTTTCCTGGCCGGGGCGGATGGCCCGCAGTTGACGGTGGATTTGGCGAAGCAGGCCGGGGCAGATGGGGAGTTGGGGGTGGTGTATCCGGGGGACTTTGTGTTGAAGACGGGGGAGGTGCAGGATGGGTGTCATGCGAATGCGCAGGGGCAGGCGTCTTTGGGGAAGCAGGCTATTGCTTTCTGGGGGTAGTGGTGTCACTGGTATACTTGGTATCGGTCTACTTGGTACCTAGGCAGGGAAGCATTCTCCGGTTAGGGTAGCGCTATGAGAATGCAATACAACAAGTCGTGTTTCTCCTTACCGAGTCCGTGTTTGTATGTGGTCATCTAACGTTAAGGACTATCCCCAGGTGCGGTCAGAGCGAGCGAGCGATCTAACCCAGCCGTTGCTGATCCGTTTCACCCCGACTCCCAGCTATCACCGGAGATAATGTAGGTCCCTTCACTCCCATGGTATATGTATTGGATCCTGCTGCCAAGGGGTTACCAGCCTCTCTCCACCTTTATCTGTTCTCTTCGGCGATAACCCTTGGAATGAAGGGTTCAGGCCAAAAAACAAAAACATACAACACAGGGGATTCCCCAGTCGTCACCGACCTGAGTACTGATCCTGCCGTCACCAGTTTGACTAGGGGAGAGCGGACGGGATCCCGTATTTTCTAGTGCGTATGGTCGTATGTGAAAGACGTCACCGCAACGCAGCTTCAAAAGCCACCCCGCCTGTTGTCAATGGCAATTCGTTCTCCTTTTAAGTTTGCGTGGACCTGAGGTCGAGGGGAGCCGCCCCAACCCAGTGCATGTAAACACGCGGGGGCGATGCAGCGGTCATGTTTCCTCATTAATACGAGACATGGATGCCATTGCTGCTCGTGATCCGAACAAAAGGTCTTGTCAACCTCCAATACGTACTACGTAGAAACATCATCAGCCCCGACGAGCGGCTTCACTGACCTTCCGACCGAAATCTTGCAATCTGAGGCCGCCATGCGGATCGACAGGCACTGCCCAGCTGAAGCCCCGTTTCAGCAAGGCTTCTTGCCTCCGCCAATCAGATGGTCCGCTGGGGTCACACTGTCAAGCAATCCCCAGGCCCCCAAGCCACTGTTTAGCGCTGGCAGTCTGGGCCAATGCGGGCGACACACGATCGCGGCTGGCACGATTGAACGAGTCCAGCCTCTCACCGCAATTTTATTTGAACTTCACCATGCTCCCGACGCTCACACTTCAATTCCCAAGTCTGTGATCCGCCTCCACAACCTTCTTTCCGTCTCATGTCAGTTTACCCCAGCGTCACTCACAACCAAAGTCCCCCTAACCCACTCATAAAACTGACCGAAAAAAAGAGAGCAAAAAGATTGCAAATATCGTCAAACATGCCGACCACCAATGAGCCCAAGCTGCAGCCGCCCATGGAGGCCGCCAGCGCCGACCCCGCATCGCGCCCAGCCGGCGAGAACGCCATCGTCGCGACACAACCGGTGAGACAAAGACGGGAACACAACGAAATCTTCACGAATTGGAATTGAAGTGAACTGACGCGAAGGTTGTTGCAAACTTGCAGAAAGCTGAGCCGCAGCCGATGATGGAGAACGACATGGAGATGACGCTTCGCGGCGGTGGTTGCACGCATTACTGCGGCTTTTCGTGCTGTGATGGGCGCTGCAACTTTAGGTTGTGTTAATGGAAGGTGGACGGGGAGGCGAAGCGAGAGGATTAATTAGGGGGGGTAGCAAGGAAGGGGGGTAATGAGATGCCGGTATGAGTGAACGAGTCACGATGGTGGTTTAATTAGGGCTGCGTTGCAGGATATCGGTTCACGGCGAAGTAACCAGCGACACGGAATCGAGATCCATTTCTAGGTTTTCGTCTATTTTTCCCCATGAATTGGGTTGCGTACGGTGGCTAGATGGAACCACAACGTGATATGCACGGGAAAGGCAATTCGACCTAATCTATCAACACTCTCTAGATAATCGGGACAAGGTAAGCCCGTCATACATCTAATTACCCTCGAACCCCAGCCAGTGACTAACCCATCAAGACAACAACCACCGAAATCCCTCGATCGTATCCTCCGCCCTCTTCTCCGACAGTCCCAAGTCCGGATAACTATCCCAAAAGCAATGCGGATACCCAGCATACAAGTCCAGCCTCGTCGGCACCTGACACTCCTCCCGCAGCACCCTCTCATAAATCAACCCATCATCCCTGTTAATATCCATCCCACACACCTGAAAATACGTCTTCGGCATCCCAACATGCTTGCTCGCCACACCCCCAAGCACATCCCACTCCGGTTCCGGCTCCGGCGCCAACCCCTGCCGCTCCCTGTCTCGCGCAGAACGTTGCATAAACGGCGCCCAGGAGCGGGACTTGGCGTCTGGCTGGATGGCGTCCCGGAACGCTTTCAAAAACTCGGCATTGACCACCGGCGCATCCCGATTCTGCTCGCGCGAGAGATACCGTTCCCGGTACGGCGCGGGGACGTCGTCTTGGTCGATGAATCCGCCGCAGACGAGAAATTGGCCGGTGATGGCGCACGGGAGCGGCTCGGTCAGCGCAAAGTGGGTGATGACGTCCGCAAAATTGGCGCCGGAGGACGCGCCGCCGAGGATAAAGCCGGCTTTGGGGTCGGCGTGAGCGGGGAGGAAGTTGCGCTGCGGGGAAGAGGAGGGGTTGGTAGTAGCGTCCTGGGCGATGGATTTGACGGCTGACCAGGCATCGTCGATCATGCTGGGGAAGGGGTGCTCGGGGGCTTTGCGGGTGGAGGGGATGACAACGACGGCGCGGTGGGTGAGGGCGAGTTGGCGGGCTAGGGGCAGGTCGAATTCAGGGAAGCCGAGGACGTGGATGCCACCGTGGAAGAGGGTGATGATAGGGGATGGTTTGGGGAGCTGGGTTCCTTCGGTTGCCTCGGGCGTCGCGTAGCAGATGAGGAAGCGGGAGGAGGTGCCGTTGTCTAGGGTTATGGTGTGCTCTATTTCGATGATATTGGCTGCGCGGCTGGCTGCGAGTTTGGTTTGCAGGTCGGGCAAGCTGCCGTCGACGATGCGCTTCAGGGTGGGCACATCGGCCGGCATGGCACCGGGCGGTGAACCACGGGCTTTCCAGGCGGCTTCGAAGTCGGGGTTAATCACGCCCGTGGCGAGGATTTCCTCGACTGTTTTGGGAGGGGAAATCATCTTCTGGCCGTTGGAGGGTGTGAGATATGTCGATGATGATGACGAACAATTGTGATGCCCAAGGCCTGCCGTGAATGGTGCGATTCCTCACGTCTTAAATGGCCAGTTCCAATGCCGCATGCTCCCTATTACAGATCAGTAAAGGGCATATAAACGAATCCAAACAAAACGGCCACGCATATACGACACAGCTACGAAGATCACACCACAGATCTCACACCACAGATCTCACACCGTTGGAGCTACGGGACTTTTTGAGCTGCAAGGGACAACACGGGTCACCGTATTTCGGATCGCTCGCTTATTGGCGGCCATTTCTTGGCCAGGCCAAATCGGCTCCCGATTTGACTCATCCCGGACTCAATCCTTCATCGCCAAGATCGCAAGTTGAACCTCATACACTCCACGTGTAGTGTAGAAAGGGGTCAAGAAAGGGAAAAAGACCCCGCCCCATTGATGCCAAGGAGAACCCCCTAAAAGTCGATCCGCCGTTGCAGTCCAGGCTAGTATGAGCTGGGGTGAGACCGGTGAAGACCACGCTAACATTGTCCATATCCGGCTCGCCGATAGCTTGATCGGCTGAGGCTTGTTCAAATCAAGTTACCTATCCCGACCTTTCCATATGAGAGAACCTCCCAGGCCAACCTCTTAACATTGGTATCATCAGTTCCAGCTGAACCAACACTGTATTGTACCCAGCTGGAGTCCAACCCATTCACTTATTCTCCTGCCCCTCCTCATTCTCCTCCTCCTGTTTCTCATGCTTCTCTTCGTTCTCCTTGATTCTCTGTCTCCTCTCGGCCCGCTCCTCCCTACCAAGCCGCATCTTATCCCTGTGCCTTGCCCGTATCTGCTCCTGCATTCTTACTACCTCGTTCTCTATTTCATCCCAGCCAGCAAAGTCGGGCTGGTGATAGGGTGAAATGCTGAGACCAAAGGGGTCTCGAGGGTAGACTTGCCGTAAAGGTGATAGTTCCTTTTGTGTGTTTTTTTTGGGTTGTTGTTTCGTTCCAGGGGTCGTCTTCGGCGGATTTTTATCGAGGGCCACCCTTGACCGATCTTGATCAAGGACCAGCCTTGAACGGGAGTACAAGTACATTATACCCTTGAATAGACTCTCCTAGAATAGATATATTAGTATCTCTAGAGATAGAATCGAAATGTAGTACTCCTTTACTTTACCTCAGTTACAGTATTTCTTGCTAGTTACGTGGAAGTTAGAGAGCCCTATCATGGTATTGTAATAACGAAGTATCTGCTAATTAGTTTCTACTTGACTTTAAATGTAGCTTATTTTCCTGAATAGTAGTGAGGGCAAGAGGTGGTTAAGAATTATTCCTTAATACCAGCAATATTGCTGCAGTTTGCCGAAGAATAACAAGATAGAGACCTTAGCAACGGGCCGTGGAACGATGCTTGCAAATAGGTGAGCCATAGCCCTGTTCCCAAGTGTGGGGTCTCGGAGTATGATAATTATCGGTCACCAGTGATAGTTTCTAAATGCGCCTTAATCACGCTCTTGTCAAAGAATAATTGATTCTTAGGCTAAATCACGTTCCCAACGTGAAGGGGAACTACCCCACTTTCCTGATTCTCTCTCTCAGGTCCACGAGACACTGGATCGGCTTGACTTTGACTTTGAGTCCCCTCTTCTCCGATATGAACGGGCAAACCCTGCTCGATATCCTCTCCTACTCCTAATTGACTGTGAGTGCCCGTTTCCCCTTCTCCCACTATTAGACCCTCTGTCACCCCTAACTCAGTTTCCTCAGCTAACTCTTGTGCTGTATAAGAGTGTAGTATTGCCGAATATATAGTATACCCCAATGTCAAAATTCCCGCTATGAGCGACGCAAGCTGATCCCTCTCGGTGATGGTGACGGCCAGGTCTGGTACTATGGCCACCCTATTTAGAATAGTCATCGTGATCATAAACGCCGGGAACAGGGCGCCGATGGACATACCACCCACCACCTTTGCCGCATCCACCATCATAGCCGGATCCCGACGGATTATCCCAACAACGCCCGTTACAAGACCAACCACAATCGCGCCTCCAAAGACGAGGGTCGTCCCGAACGTCACGGCGTTCAAAAATGGCTGGATGATCTCGTACAAGGCGATGAAGAAACTAATACCCACATCCCCTAGACTGAAATGAAACACCACCAACAACAATGAAACATACCCATACCCGGCAAAAAGGAACCTCCGAACCATTTTCGTCGGCCGCCATGGAATATATTCCCTCAGGATATCTTCCGAGATGAGCGAAATCGCCAACACCACACTCACATCCACAAAGATATAACACACCGCCAACGGCCCGGTAATATCCACCACCCGCTGCCCAAAATGTACCACCTCCTCCGGTATCCCCGCCATATCTAACGGCTCATGCTGCGTAAAAGCATCCGTCATCCCCTCCAACTCCACAATCGGGTTCCGCACACAAAAGATCGCCAGCGCGCGGTCCTCTGTCCCAATCATCTTGATCCCCTGCACGAGCAGATCGGTCGCCGCAAACACGGGGTATGCGACAACGGCAATCAGGTCGGCTGATATGCCTGGATGGGTGTGGCCATCGGCATCGCGGGGGCCCGTGAGCCAGTGGAGGAAGACGGAGGCGAAGAGGAAATACCAGGTGCAGATGTTGCCTGGGCCGTAGAGGCCGGACGCGAGGTCGTAGAAGTCGGGGTTGTAGGGGAAGAGGGTGCCGGTGGGTTGGCGGGCGAGGGCGGTGGTGTTTTGGAGATCGGGGTGTGTGTAGTTGCAGAGGGTTTCCATGATGGGCGTCGGGCGGGAGAGTTGGGGAACGGGGAACAGGGAGTGATGCAGCTGAACTGGGTCGTGGTTCGGTTTTGGGTTTTAGACTTGGAGGGTTTGTGGCTATGCCAGCAGCCTGTCGGCGCTACCTCAAGGCTGAATCCAAGGCCCAATCAACCCAAACCCCAAGGAGATAATTCCTCAAATTTTGCAACCCTAATTACACCAGTCGAAGTTCGTTGCTTGATTTGTTCATTCTCAGGCTAGTTTTAGTACAGAATTATCTCTAAATCTTAGCTATTCAATTGGGACGCCTCGCGCAACGCTTAGCGACTCGTTCGTAATTATGTCCTAGTAACTAGAGCATTATGTTCTTCTCGGAAATCTCATAATACCACTCGGCGCTCAACACTCATTTTTTTCCTTTCAGGACTTCGTAACCTGCGTCGTGACCTCCACACTTCATCCCCCAATGATGTGGTCTCCTACTCATAGACGTAGCAGTACTCCCCATCAATGGTCGAAGAAGTGTCCTTGATCGTCCTCGGCTCGCCCAGAACCTCAAAGTCCATCGGTGTGTCGAGTGTTGCCTCCTCACTCGGTGGATCTGTAATTACAAGTTAGTCTCAAACCACAAAATATATCATCACCAAACAGAACTCACCATTCGCCGCTGTCAACGTCCCCCACACCTGGTACGTCCTCTCCTCCAAGTTCTGCCCCTGCCACAACGCCCACACCCGATCCACATGCGCATGATGCAGCCAAAACACCGGATCACTCGGGCTAGCATACACATCCAGCGCATTCAACCCAACCTGCCAATGCCCCGAACCATGAATCCCACCCGGCACACCCCTCGGCGCGTCCATCCCAACACTAAAACACTCCACATCCTCGCACCCATCCACCAACTCCGTCACCGCGCTGGGCCTGGTCCCATACCCAAACTCAGGGCTCAAATCCCTCGTCAAACAACGCGGGTTATACCCCAGCCCGCCCTCCGGCCCTCGCGGCTCGTAACCCACCGGCCCCAACCGCACCTCAAACCTCCCCTCCGCAAAGGGACCCGACGTCACACACCCACCGCCCGTAGCAGGCGGGATATCCTTGCTCAGCCCACCGGGCAGCGAAATCCGCGTGGGGTTTCGGCCAGGCACATACACCCCGTTACCGCCGAGGGAGTATTCCGAGCCGTCAAACACGTCCGCGTTGCGCGGGTCGGCGTATGTCTTTGTCCAGTCCCAGTAGGGGAGCGGTGCGTGGTAGGCGCAGTGCGTGCGGAGGGTGTTTTGGAAGAGGTGGACGAGGTGCCGGTGGAAGGGGAGGAAGAGACCCGAGGCGTGGACGGCAGGGGTTTGGTGGATGTGGGTGACGATGAAGTCGTCATACAAAAAGCGGGCACCTGGGGCGGTGGTTAAGGGGGTGCGGGCAGGGAGGGTGTTGAGGCAGTGGATGGCTGTGATGAAGGCGTGTTTATCTTCTTTAGATAGGGTGCTCCTGGGAGAAGGGGGAAGAGTGTGTTAGTAAAAGTGAGTTTGTGATAGAAAAATGGAAGTACAAACAGAAAACAGGCATAAATACCATTCCTTGCGGCGCTGGATGTTCTTGCTGGTGCAGCCTGTGGTTCGGTTGCTGATAGTTTTGAAGATGTTGTGTTGATACTGCTTATGAAGTTCATCGATCCGCTTTGATGCCTCGATTTCAGGGTCAATATCAATGGGCACGGCGAGTATCTGACACGCCAGGAGCATAAGCCCGGCGGGAATGAACGGGAGCTTCATGGTGGGTGATTTGAGCTCAGACGATGGGATAAATAAGATCAAGGTGTTTACAACTTGAGAAATTGGTTCAGATAAGAATGGTGTGACTTGTGAGAGGGTTAAGGAGGGCATGAAAAGAATAGACGCGGGAGGGCGGTCTCTTTTATATGTCGCAAGGTTCACAGAACCTTACAATAGTTGCACTTAATAAGGTTGTCTCTGGGTCTGCGGGACTGACACCTTCTATGGACTTCCATCTCCACGCACCTCTCATGCATGTTTCTACGTACTGAACGTTACAAAGCCTGCAGGTTGATACAGGTTATAGCATCACGGACCAGCTGTCCAGTACTTTCACGCTCAGCATCGCAGGTAACATGAGAATGGAAACAAATGTAATTATTGTGTCAACCGGCAATTACCTCCATCTCATATTAATTAATACAATCCCATTGAACTCCAGCAAAACCAACCTCCCCATCATGCCAACATATAGCAACCCGAGCCTGTCAATCTAACACTTATGAAAATAGTCACTTCATCCCATAAAGCCCTAAATGATCGGTTGTAGCTCACCACTCACCCGCCTCCTTCTCCCTCGCCAACGCCTCTAATCCGATCCTCAGTTCCTCCCTCTGCTTCCACAAAACCCCAATCCTATCCGACGTAAGATCAATAATCTTCGCCTTATTCAACACTCGTTTTCGTCGCCCGTTCCAGACCGATTGACCCTTCCCCTTCTCGGCCTGCTCCTCTTCCTCGTCCGAACTGTCGCCTTCCCCGTCGCCCAACTCTTCCCCATTCCCATGTCCATTTGCACCCCCTCCCTCATCTTTCCCATCCTTCGACCCGTTACTTGTCCGTCCATTAAACCGCCCTTCCTCATCGACTCCCAATGTGGCTTGCAAGCTCTCAAAGACGGCGCTCAATTTGTCCCGGTACCGTTTCCCGACGCCGTTCTGTGGGCCACGGACGCGGAGGGATTCATCAGGCGCAGACGCGATGTTGTCCTTGCCCCGGCGGGCGGAACCAGCGCGGCCATTCCCGACTTTGTTGCTCTTTGCACGGAGTGGTTTTGTTGAGGGGTTCTTCGGTTTGTGGGTAGGTGGCGGTTTAGAGGCCACCATTTTCGATATTGTTGCCCGCGAGGCCGGAGCGACCAAAGCGTCGCCTAGGGTGATGCTTATTGAGAACTGAGGTGCCGCTAGTTCCCGTAAAGTAGCCGGGGTCAGAGCTCGCTGGTACTTGATTGACGATTGACGTCGACGAGCGGAAACCCGGAGGTTGAATCCGTGACCAGGCCCCTTGGCTTCGCCGAGTTCTCCGCTGTGTTGTTGGGCCTGAAAAAAGGGAGTGTACAGGGGTTTACGCGCTGGCGTTTAGCGGTTGGCTGCCACTCTTGGCCATCGCCCCTTCCCTCAACAACAATTTGTCGCCATTTGTGACAACCCAAAACGGCAACTGCAGGTGACGGGCTCGGCAACCCGCACCTGCCCGTGGCAGCACCTCGATATTTTCATGCCGGGAACCTTCGGCAGATGTCACCTCGCAGGGGCTGCAAAAGCACTGGACTTGTGGGAAGCCAATGAAGATCGCTGCAGGGGTTTGACAGAGGTCGAGATTTCATGATCCCTCCATTTCGGCTTCATCAAACCACCAGCGAATATTTAACTACAACCGCTGCGAGGTGCCTGCAGTGAGAACCGCCCGACGAAAACGAGCCGCGTTGAAGGCTGGGCCGAACATGGCCGTGGCAGGCGAATTCTTCTTCGCGCAGTCATCAACAATCTCTGAGTGGTCTTTCGACTCTTTCCATCTAAACATTTGTTGACGTCCGCTCCTAGCTATTTTCATTAATCAATGCAAAATGGCGACAGGGTTACCGCGGGCCGAGTTGATCACCCCGACTCTCATTAAGGAGTAGCACGATGCGAGATGTTAGATAGAGCATGTGTAGTTGGGATGGTCGGACAGGAATGGATATAACAAAGCTTTGTCCGGGCATAATGGGGCCCAATTAAGAATAATCGAGTGTTAACCAACGTTATCTCCGTAACGCAACCTGAAACTGCTCCTCTTGTAGACCGAATAAGTTATTCCCAAGACATCATCCACCTGCAGCTGGTAGTTAAACCCGAGCCCCGTGGCTATTTCCGTCGTGTTTGCAGTCAGTGGGTCACATTCAGAGGTTGTACGTGCCGGATTTACGGGACTCAACTTTCTCGGGGAATATGACGGAGACATCATTACGCAACCCCTCAGGCGGTATTGTCAATAGAGTAGGCGATACCATCTGGAATAGCATAATAAGACACGCCGATTACCATTAACATTAACCTCTCAGTTAGGTTCTCAACAAACAGTTCTCTAGTCAAACACCAAGAAAACCGAAACCCCCTAACATCAACCCGTCTTGCGCATGGTTTTGCCCCCAATGGCTTCTTACGCCCCAGGCCATGCGGCCTCGCAAACCAAACACCACGAATGGCGCACCGCTGAAAACAGCGCCGCCCACCTGCTCCCGCACCTGGACACTCTGGCACGCACCAAACCAAACCTCAAGCTCCTCGACGTCGGCGCAGGCTCCGGCACCATCTCCGCCGGCCTAGCCGCCCACATCCCGCACGGCACCGTCCTCGCAACCGACATCTCCGACGACATCCTAACCCGCGCGGCCGCCCACGCCACCAGCCTCGGCATCACCAACATTTCCTTCCAGCGCGCATCGCTGCCCAACCTACCTTTCCCCGACGGCACCTTCGACGTCGTCCATGCCCACCAGGTCCTCACCCACCTGTCTGACCCGGCAGGCGCGGTGCGCGAGCTGGTGAGGATGTGCGCGCCCGGTGGGGTGGTTGCGCTGCGCGAGGTGGACATGCACATGTGGTGTTTCTGGCCGGCGGTGGATGCGCTGCAGAAGTTCCAGGGGTTGATGGCGGACGTGTTGGTGGCGAATGGAGGGCAGGATGAGGCCGGACGGAGGTTGGTGTCGTATGCGTTGGCCGCGGGCGTGGAGAGGAAACAGGTGGAGGCTGGATTTGGGACGTGGTGTTATAGTGCGCCGGAGGATCGTAAGGCGTGGGGTTAGTTCTCCTAATTTGGTCCCTTTCTTTCGCTCTTGTTTCCTCGACTTGGGGCCGACTTATCAACTAACTATGGTATTATTAGGCGGATCCATGATTGAAAGACTCAAGACGAGCCAGATGAGGAGTAAAGGCATCGAGTTAGGTATTGTTACGGAAGAAGGCGTCGGGGAGATGATAAAGGCGTGGGAACAATGGATTGAGAATGATGAGGCAACCTTAGGGATTATGAACGGCGAGGTGATTATTAAGAAGTAGGCAACTGCTCAGTTTCATTTTCAGCCATATCTTCGCTTCAAATACGCGTCTAGATCAAGTATCCTGCGGGTCACGATTCATAGTAGTATACCGAGTGTTGTGGGCATATTAACTTCCCTCGTTACTCCCGGGATATCTAAGCCATGAGGGAGCACAAGTTGCTCGCAGACACAAGCTGCAGATTCATGTTACATGACGTACGGACCTATTGAAGTAGTTTCAGCAAATCCTTCATCCTCGACTATTTCGTATCTCGAAATGCTTTTTCACGCTATGTGGTTGATCTTAGAACCCTAATTAGTAGCTGTAACAAGACTTTGGTTGACGGTACATGTTGGGCATCACTTTCCTGTCGTCAACCTGGGCGATCTCCACGAAGGGTACTGTAATTATCAATTACTTATTATCGTTTCAAGTTATCTTGATATGGTAATCACATTTACCTCAACAACACTAGCACTGACGGAGCTTAGGTCACTGATTAGTTGCACTTCCACCCCGGTATCTTCAAGCAATGATCAACTGCCCTCAGCTTCATTCACGTGGTTGACTTCCGAGGCAAGATCCGGTGGATATTGCCCATGGTTGAGAACGTGTTTGTCGTGCTGAGGCACGTGCGAGTCGTGGACGACTTTCTTCCGAAGCCGGCTCTAAATAACTAGTGTCGTACAACGGGATCTCTGGATCTGGCAAATCAGGCGGTTGGCGCGGCAAGGCCAATATCAGCGTTGGCCCTGCGGATTTACCCCGACCCAAGAACGATGCAGATCTTGGGGTTTTGGCGTCCCCCCGACAAGAACAGGAGCGAGCTTGTCCTATTCTCTCTCCGCAACAAGTCGGGTTAGGTTTTGCCGAGGGAGCACAGTCTAGCCAGCGACTCACTGCACATCAAATTCATCAACCTTCAGTCAAATCGCGATGGATTCTAACCATTCTACACTCATTGTAATACCTACCTAGGGTTACGATAGCTTTAGGGCCCTATTTTGGTTGTTTGATATCTCATTTTGAACAGTTGATGTCTTTGTATGTACTCCGGAGTTCTGTTGTTTGTCGCTTCCGTAGGAGAGTGGGGCATCAACGCAGTTTGGGTGTGCCGTCGTTTTCTTGGCTAGGGCATGGGACGGAAGACTGGCGACAGGGTTCGGACAGGTTGGTTTGCCCGCGGCTGACCGCGAGCTGGACTCCACCCTGGACGTCAACCCTGAATGACGCGATGGTTGTTGAAATTCCCATCGGAAAGGTGGGGGCTGCCCGGGCCTAGACCCGCCCAACCACCGGATATGACGGCATGCCACACCTGCATAACGACGTCATGGGCCCCGTGGCTGTTGGGCCCGCTCTGAGACACGCTAGATTTTGCTCCGGCTTGTTGGTCTTGCGGAGTCTCTTGACAGAGGGTGTCTCGGGGCGAAAGGTGCCTTGCGGGACCTCGGAGGATAGCCGGGGGGTTGTGAAATCAACCGGCCGTTGTCTTCTCGCCAGGAAGAGTGCACAAACCCGGTCGGGGAGCGCCGAAACTGAAGAAGTGCGATGTGGTCAGGGTTCTGTGAGGAGGAGAGTCGCAAGCGGCGATTGGACGCCCGGGGCGAGATCAGCGGGATCGGCGGGAGGCCCAGGGCTTGGCGGAATTTGGATCCTGCCACTGTTCTCTGCAGCCAAATATGACCCCGAGGAGAGGATGAATGGATTCTGAAGAAAAATGAAAGCACAAGCTCGGAACACTTTGGTCAGACATCTGCGGGCGAGACTGGGATTTTCCCAGGCAGCCCTTTAAGCTCTTGTGCTGCCTAAATATGGTTGATTGCGGACCGCGTTGCTGGAGAGTTGCGGCTCGCGAGCCGCAAGCTGTGTCGGCGTCGGCGTCAGATCGGGTCGTGCCCAGGTCGCGTGGGGTTCCTGTTGTTCGGTTACAACAACAATCTTATTTACCGTGCCGAGTAACGTTCGCTGTTGACTGCCGTTGGACTCTGGGCTCAACCCGCGAAATCAGAGGGGGTTTATCCTGAGACATGTTCTCGCGGATATCGCTTCGGGTCTTTGCTTCCAGAAACAGGCGACGAGAGCGATGGGCGATGCGTGATTCGTGTGAATGAATTTGGTGGATGTGGCTGCCGCTGGGGCGGTCTGTCGCGCCAGAAAAGGCGCAAATGAGAAGGGCTTTGGGTAGGAAGGCAGGTGGTAAACTGCGGTGGACTTTGGGGTTTCTCTGGGCGGGGGCGCGCTGTGGTTGGTCGAAGCTCAGCCCGTTAGCGGGTTCGGTGGCTCAAGCGTGGTGAACACCAGAGGCGAACGAGGATGGAACAGCCCCAGAACCCGTGAGGGGTTGATGATTTGGGGGCCTCTGAGTTTGCCGCCAATGGATTCATCCATCCGGACTGGGGAGAGATTCCCAGGGCTCGGGACGCCCGCGATGCCCAGCAATCCCGGCCACGCCCGGCTGCCGCCTGAGAAATTGTATGTATTCTGCAGCATTGGGATGCACACACCCCGCCAAGTTTCCACACCTGTCCGGGCATCGAAACACTTCTTAGGTAAGGAAGGCAAGAGCAAGCGCTGGATGCAAAGCTAGGCAGGCAGAACCCGGGCACCCAGATGGTCCAGACTTTCCCACTCTCAGTCCTGCTCCAGAAATCCGATGCACAGCACATTCCCAAATTTTGGGGCTTTCTACACATCTTGCCGACTTGCTTTCCATCTCCGGCAACAAATCAACGCCTTGGAATCCACCGGGCCTGGAAGAAGCGAACTCGGACAGTTTGAACGACGCACCCGCTGAGCTTAAGTTGACGTTGCTGAACTGTGGCTGCTACCTTCTACAAAAAATCCCAATCGGCCGGCAACACGCGGCGCGGTTTGCGTGCGTGCTGTGCCCACAGCTGAAAGAGATCCCGTTCCAGACCGGGGGGACAAAGTTCGGCCCTCCCAGCCGACTGCCGATCCGTTTGCGCTGCGACAACACGGTTTTCCTCGAGCTGCGACAGACACTGCGCCTGGTTCCCGGCCGCTCACATTTCGCCCGACCTTGAGTTCGACCAACGCGGGTCCATCCATCGCCACCGAGATCGCGATCAATCTCTTGCATCACCACTGCCTTCCGCTTTTCCGGCGACAGACTTAACTTGAGCGACCGCGACCAACCGTATCCGACCGTGACCGCGACAGCGACAGCATTAACAGGCAAGACGGCGAACATAACTCCGACAGCTTATCGGCCATCAACCGGCCATCAACCCGCCCATCCTTCATCCGATGCCTCGGCGCTACTGACACCACGTTGGCACCATGGAGAACACACCAGTGGGGGAGGACAACTGGGTCGAGTATGCCGACCGTCAGCTACGCGAGGCCACCAGCCTCGAAGCTCGCAAGGCCGTCCAGAACACGTTCCGGAAGGCGACCCACGCTGAACCTGGCAGTATTAAGGTGTGGATGGCGTTTTGCGAATACTTTTGGAAGCTCTACAGCGACTCCCAATCTGGAAGTGAGGTTGGCTGGTCCCCCGCGGACCAGCGTATCGCGCACGGTACCTTCACTCTAGATGCCGCGCTTAGCTTATGGCAAGAGGGCTACGAGGCCGTCACGTACCGTCTTGCTGACAGCCATGTGCTCTGGGATCGCTGGGTGTCCCTGGAGATGAACCTCCTGCGCCGCACCGCGACCGACGCCGGCATCCGCAGAATCACCCACCTCTTTAAGAACCGCCTGGCCACGCCCCATGCGACCTGGGATGACACGGCGCAGAATTTCTCTAACTTCCTTTCCGACTACAACCGCCGGGCCTACGAGAGCGAGATGCAGGATGTGACCAGAGTAGCGCAGACCGCCAAGCGCCTCTACAACATGCGGGACCCCTGGGAGACCAAACTCACCCAGGCTGCCCGGGAGGGTGATCCTGCAGCGCTGCGAGGGGTCATGTCCGAGTACACCGAGTGGGAAATCCGCCTAATCAAGTCCAAAGATGGCGCGAGAGACCTCCATGACAATTTTCGGATCTGCCTTGCCTTGTTCTCGCGAGCCCTCACTGGGCCCCTCGCTTCGGACGAGAGCACCTGGCTCAACTATTGCGTGCTGATTTCGACGACTCATACCGATACCAAGGCCGGCCGCTACCACCTTCCTCCGAACCTCCTCCCAAGTATGCTCGACGTTCTCCGGTGCGCTGTGTGCCACATCCCTTGGTCTGGCCCCTTGTGGGCCCGCTACATCTTGACGGCGGAGGAGGTGGGCTTAACCTTCCATGAGGTCGAAGGGATCAAGCATGCTGCTACGGACAGTCCGCATCTGGACCGTGATGGGATGATGGGAGTGGTGGAGATGTATTCTGCCTGGTGCGGCTATCTTAAGCGGTCTGCTATGAATCCTTTGGCGAGTGAAGAGGCCGTCGATATTGCCGAGGTCGGTTTGCCCTCGGCCCTTGAAGACGTGACACATTGGGGGAAGCGGAAATATGGGGAGACATACCAGGGGGACCCGCAGTTCCGCCTCGAAAAGATCCTTATCCAGTTCTTGACCGACAGGAAAGATGACGTAGAGGGTGCTCGTAGGGTGTGGGAAGGATTGTCGCGGGTGGAGATGCACGCCAACAGCTACGATTTCTGGATCAGCTGGTATCAATGGGAGATGGTCGTGTTTGCGAGCGCCAGAAGTCGAATCCGCAGCCCCACACCGGCGAGCATCGCGCAGGGGCGGCGTGTACCGACTTTTGCCACCCGTGTCTTCCAGCTAGCGCTCAAATTGCGGACGATTGACTGGCCGGAACGGATCATGGAAGTTTACCTTCGGCATTGTAACGATTACGAGCTGCCCGAAGCACTACGAGAGGCGCAGGATACGCTGTACAAAACACAAAAGGGTGTTGCAAAACGCCGGGAGAAAGAACTGAGACAGGCTGCGCTGGCCGCGCAGGAACAGCAGCAGGCTGCCGCCCAAAACGACCAGCCCATGGCGGATGCCGCAGCTGTGGACGACGCCAATCTCTCGCCTGGGTCAAAGCGGAAGCGCGAGAACACACCTGGAGAGGACGACCACGACGGCATCAAGCGGGCCCGGAGCGAGACATACGGCGACGAGCCGAAGCGAGACCGAGAAAACACGTCGGTGTGGGTGGCAAACCTGCCCAAGGATGCGACTCAAACGAAGTTGAAGCAGTTCTTCCGCGGCTATGGCCACATCAACAACATCGATCTCCAGCAAGATGAGCAGACCGCCACCGCGCTGATCGAGCTTGGTTCTGCTGAGGATGCGAGGTCTGCCTTAGTTCGCGATGCCAAGTACTTTGGCGAGCATGTTGTGCAGGTTACACCCGCCACCGATTGCACATTGTTTGTCACAAACTACCCTCCTGAGGCGGACGAGCAGTACCTGCGCAGTCTCTTCAAAGACTGTGGTCAGATCTTCAGCGTTCGCTTCCCGAGCCTCAAGTATAACACGAAGCGCCGGTTTTGCTATGTCACATTTCGTGAGCGTGCAGCAGCGGCAGCAGCGACAAAATTGGACGGCAAACCACTCGAGTCGGGCAAATACAAGTTGCTCGCAAAGTACTCGGACCCTGCCGCGCGCCAAAACCGGCGTGGCGCGCAGGCAGAGGAACGTGAGCTCCACATCGTCAACCTCCCTCGGAGCACATCAGAAGACGACGTCCACGCCCTGTTTGCCAAAGCCGGCCGCGTCGTGAGTGTACGCGTGCCACGTAACATGGCCGGGCAGTCACACGGCACGGCGTTTGTGGTCATGGACACCAAAGCTGCGGCGCAGGACGCCATCAAGACGCTAGACAAGCTCATATTCGGGAGCCACCCAATCAAAGTCGAGCTGTCACGCCCCCCGATCAACAAAATCACCGCCACCAACCGGGCCACAGGTCCTGACAACAGCACACCCGAAGCTGGCTCTCCGGCCCCTGGAGATGGAGAGGGCTCTTCCTCCCAATCCGGATCTGGAAGCGTCGGATCCGCGCCCGCGGAGATTGCGGCGCGCACCATTGCGCTCCTGAATGTGCCCGACACCATGACAGACGCCCGTCTACGCGCTGTACTAGCAGCCGCACTGCCTTCGGGCGCCGAAGATCTCACCAGGCTAGTGCTCCACCCGCAGCATGGGGGTGCGGTACTCGAATTTGCAAGCGCCTCGGCGGCGGGCAAAGCCGCGCTTACCGTGGACGGGCTGGAGGTGGACGCACCGAGCGGTGGTACCAGGACGCTGCGCACTGGGACGGTGTCGCAGCTCCTTAAAGCCAAAGGGGAAAAAAGGGTAGATCGTGTTGACTCACCTGCTGCCGCTCAGTCGCACAGTGTGTCTGGGAGTGGTGCGGGCGCTTCTCAGGTGGACGGCCAGCCCCCTAAGCAGACGACTAAGAACACCGCCGGACTCATGCCACCTCCACCCGTTATTGTCCGGCGACCGGCTGTGGGAGGTGCGAAATCCGGTGGGCCGAGACGAGCGCTGGGTTTCTTGGGCGGAGTGTCGAAGAAGGCGGGCGAGGGGAAGACGGGCGATGATACAAGTAAGAACCCCGACAACGAAGCTACAATGACCAATGGAGATGGCCCAAAGAGCGACCACGCTCCTGTGACAACGACGAACACGGGTGGGAAGAGTAATGACGATTTCAAGAAGTTGTTCCTGGGCCCGAGCAAGGACACCAAAGTGGAGCAGGACGTGGGTGAGGGCGGGAAAGACGAGAAAGAGGCGGGAAATTCGGAGGTGAAAGTGGTAGTTAATGGTAACAAGGCGGAGTGAGGAGAGTTGACGAGTACATGTATGCACATGGTTGATGGGATAAATCACCCCCCACTTGCTTTACTGCTTACCTAATGCGATGGCCCGGGCCAGAACTGATGCTTGGGGAGCCGAGAAATCGAAGAAAAAATTAAAGGAAAATGGATGTACAATGTCACTTATGGAATGAGGGCGAGCGGTCGAAGAGGCTCATAGTTGGGGTCTCACAATGGCGCGGGGGGGAGGGGGGTATGCGGGGAATGTGTGTAAGGAAAGTACGTATGTATGGGTTTGTATTGGTCCATGTAGGGTAGTAACGAGGCGTTCCCATGAAATGCAAATACCACTCAGCATGAATTACCTACTCCCACATTTTGAAGCCACTGCTCAAAGCACAAATTAAGACTTGTCCAAGCCAGGCAAGGTTAGCAGGCCGGAGTATCGCAAAATTTGAGGTAGGTTTAAATGCTGACATAGTTAATACATCTTTGTGCCTCAGCCATCAGCTATTCATGTTGGAGCATCTCGGGCATCCCGAGGGCTCGGGTCTCATCCCTGTGGACCCTGTCTGATGGCACAGCATGTATATGTTCGATCGGATTAAATCCTCCGCCCACGCCTCCACCACCTCTTAATACCGTTCCTAGACTAGTGCCTCAGACCTGACTCCGACGGCACATTTTGCAAAAAACATTCACGGTAATTACACAGTTCAACACACACGTGTAATCTTCGTGCTCACTGGGCTTTCTTTGTAAAAGTAACTTGACATTCATCCACAACCAACCTGCCCAGCAGGGTTTATTGATTCCTAACTAAACGCCGAGCCGAGTACCAATGCAATCCCTCCATCCTATCTTCGTTTCTATCACAATCATCCCTTGTCCTTGCGCTGTTGCTTTGCTTAGCTTACCGTTTACGTAGCTTAGCGAATAGGGTTCCCCCGGGCATCCAACTGCTGCTCCCGTCTCCGCTCACGCGGCTCCTCCCTCCTCCGCTCACGGGGCTCTTCCCGGCGCGGGGCCGGAGCACCACCGCCGCCACCGTTACCACCACCACCACCGCCCTGGCTCCGGGCCGGGGCCGGGGCCGCCTGCGGTGGTGGACCGCCACGGACGGGCAGCTCAGTAGGCGCGGCAGCACTCGAACTACCACCACCCTCACCGCCCGCGGCCGACCTGCGCATGCGCGTGGGGTTAAACGCCGATCGCGCCTCGCCGTTGATGCTAACAGTTGCCTTCTTCCCGCGGAACCGGTCCTTGATTTCATCCAGCTCCTCACCGTCGACCATCAGGATCGGCAGGCCCTCCAGCTGCTGGCCCACCAGGCCATCGCCAAGGCGCGGGATCCGTGGCAGCGTGGTCAACTGTCGGGGCCCGCCGAGCACGCGGAAGAGCGGCTCGGCGAACTCGCTGCTGATCACCACGGGGTAGACGTGGTTCTCCTCGATACGCGACCAGTGCTCTTCCCAGTGCGCCGCTAGCTGGTTGTCCTGGTCGTCCTCCCAGAGATCGCGCTCATCGGGCTCCGGCTCGGGAGGGGCGGGGCCGTCAGGGTCGTATTGTTCCTGTTGGGCGGCTTGTTGGCGGGGAGGACCGCCTGAGGAAGACGGAGCGCCGGAAGAGCGAGGGGCACCGGAGGAGGGCTGGGGGGCAGCGCGTGAGTTGGCGCTGCTGGGGGCCGGTGCGGGCTGTTGACGACGGGCTGGGGGAGGTGCCTGCTCGTTGCGGCGGGCGGATTCGCCGCCTTGCTGGTTGCGACGGCGGTTGGGATCCATGGTTGTTGGAGGTGGGTGAGAGGAAAGTAAAGAAGAAAGTGTTGGTGTTCACCCCGTTTTCTGTCTGTCTGTGTTGTTGTGTTTTTTTTTTCTCTTTTTATTTCGGTTCAAGCTTGGGCTTCTTGAACGAAATATAAAACGTGCGAAAAGTCAAGTGCGAGGTCGTCGGTCAACGACGGAGTGATTGGCAGGTTGGACTTCGGTGGGTTGAGTTGGGAAGGGCACGGGTCGGAAGTCTTATATAGCGCCTGACCAAACTTGACTTGTCGCGGACCACATTTAAAGACCCTGATATGGAAAAATACCAAGCTAAGGACTTGTGCCACATTGGAAGGCTGAAGGGGCGTTAGACAGGCCCCTTCATCGGCTGAAAAGCCCCGGCCAATGAGACCACGCGACTGGGCAAAAAAACCCGCAAATTCCCACTTTTGGGAACCTAGCCCGCCAACTCAGCCAATCAAATTGCTGACTGAAGGTCGAACTCAAAGTCCTGCACTACCATCTACACCACGCCTTCGAAGGATCAAAACTCCCGGCATCAGCGTTTCAGCAATCCTGCGAGTGCTCACAATCCTGCGAGAACTCACACACCTATAGACCCTCATGTGAAACGATGACATAGATTAGTGTTGCTTCAGCTAGGAATCCTAAATGGCCGTTTCTCTCACGAAACGCTGCTGACTGCGCTGATATTTGTTGGATTAGATCGTTAGTTTTCTCTTGGCTTGATGAGGTCACTTTCAAACTTTGCAACAATGGACTAGTTTAGCGAAGTGGGATCCAAATACGCCCGCTTGGCTATTCCGGTCTTCCTCGCCCGCGTGGCTCGGACTATCGCTACGCCCATCCGCCACAGCGCCGATTCGTCCCAAGTCTTGTCAGATCTTCAACCCGTTGACAGTTGGGCCGGGATTAGACTGATGAATTCTATTTTCAACGTCTGCCTGGTTAGTAAGCCGGCGGTGGCATAGGCGAAAATAGGATTTAGTCTCTCACGCTCTGTCCCTATGTCCGGTTGACTAGGTACATGAAGCTCGTCGTCTGATATGTCTCTTGGCTGATACGCTCCTACTTGGTCAAGACCAAGTAGCGTTCCTTTGCTTGACCCTTACCGCCCGGTATGGTGGCTATGCCGCCACATGCGTACCGTATCGATTGCCGGTTACCGATGGCATTGAGAACGGACGATTATAGACGGAGTAGTTGGTGCCTTGGTGGAGCGGCCTCGTCGAGGCCCGCGGCCCCTACTCACAACCAACGATACAAGGGCCCGAGAAACATAGGGAGAAGGACGCTGGTGCTTCACCCTTTACACCCAACGGTAGTTTCTGATGCGTGGTCCGGTTGAAGGCCCCATTCTCAGCAATCCTTGGTCTGATGGTGCGTCGGGGCCCCTACTACCAACCAATGGCTAGCCCAACAACCCCCGAGGTTAAAGAAAGATGGAAAAAGGTTAGGGTGTTGTAGGTTCCCGGCCATGTTTGTATAAAGTAAGTCAGGCAGCCCTGCTCCGATCGGCCTTCTCGGTGAATGAACATTGACACAATCCCCGTCACTCCCTTACTACCAATACCGCCAAGCGTATTATCTGAAAGCCTCAACACTGGTGTTGCTGGCCTCACCCCAATTCGTTATCGTGTATCCCATCTTCCCCATCCATTGTATTTCTTTGATATAGTTTCATCCCTCGTCCCTCGACAAGATGAGTTCTTCCGGCCCCCCCAAACCTATCTTCGGTATCGAGATCGAGATCTTCGTCAAGGTCAAGCGTGACGTTGAGCGCGATGTGCAAGCACACCGATCGCGCGGCTCGTCGCTGCCGACACACTGGCAGGAATGGAGCTTTTCCTTGACCAACGACCGGCCGAACAGCAGCGATACATTCAACCGGCAAGCCCGGCAGCGCGCCTGCGTTAAGTTGGCCCTCACGTCGCTGATCAATGACGCTTTGGGCCGGAACCACGGGTGGAAATGTGTGGGCGACGCCAGTTTGTCCGAGTGGAAGTTGGAGGATGCCCCTGAATCAGACCTGTGGTGTAAGTTACTTCTTTACGATCAATCCCTGAAAGAAAAGGAAAAGAAAAGAAAAAAAGACAACGTAACGTACTGACACACACCACAGGGGGTATTGAAATCATCTCGCCGCCCATGTCCATCGCGAAGCGGTGGCAGAGCGAGATCCGCGAGGTGTTCGACGCCATCGGCGAGCAGTTTGAGCTGTGGACACACCCGGTCACGTCGTGCCACGTGCATGTGTCGCCTGGCCCGACGTCCAAGACCAAGTACAAGGCGAGCCAGATGGTGCGCATCGCCAAAGGCGCCTTCTACTGGGAGGACGCGCTTCGCAGTTTGCTGCCTCACGACCGGCGGAGGAACGACTACGCCAAGGCCAACCACAAGGCCTTCGCTACCAGTCTTTACAACAACGTCGAGCGAAACGGTTGGAAGCCGGTGTTCAACGCCATCGAGAACGAAATGGACCGTTTTGAGAACCATCGGCAGGGCCAACTCAAGTGCTTCGCCATCAAGATTGCCGGCGGCCATCTCTCGCACCCTAACGCCAAGTACCGCAAGGAGCGCTACCTGTCCATGAACTTCCTACCCTACACCCGTATCGGCACCATCGAGTTCCGCCGGCAGGGCGGTGTCGCCTCGGCCCAGTCCGCCATCCACCGCGTGCTGCTGGCCGTCTCGCTGCACATCTCGGCGCGCAAGTTCGACTTCAACGCCGTCGCGAACAAAAAGTCGTACCCGAAGACCGAAGATCTCATCCAAGAGCTCAAGGCCGTCATCGCGAGCATGCCCAAGACCTGCCACGGCACCAAGTTCGTCGGCTACCTGCGCGAGTGCGTCGAGATGTACGGCCACCGAGAGCCCATGTCTGAACGTGCCGTCAACGCCCGTGAGCGTCGTCTGCACGATACCTCGGGCTCGTCGGTCATGTCCGTGCCCAGCACCGGGCCAGGGCGGGTCTCCACGGGCATGGGCAGCGGAAATACGCCGCGGCGTACTGGGCCACCTCCGGCACGAGGCGGTGGCCGTGGTGGTCGCGGTGGTGGTGGTGGTGGTGGCCGTGGTGGTGGTGGTGGTGGTGGTGGTAGTGGTCCGCGCATCGTCGAGGCCTCGCCTGGCGCGCCGGCACGCCGGACGACGACGGTGGTGCGCGGGCGGGGTGGGAATACATATGAGATTGTGGACGCGCCATACCGGTAAGCGCCATGCATCGGCTGATCTTGTGCTGGTAAGAATGGGCGAAGAAAGAAAGGAGCGAGGAGTAGGGGGCCTAGGGGCTGGGGTTAGGTTATGTAGACAGTCAGGGTTAGGGATGGGGAATCAGGGGCTCGGGGTTGGGTACCCTTTATATCGTTTGTCGGGCTGGACCCGGGGCTGGCGTTTAGCGGCGGGTTGGTTCCTCCATGAAGATAAAGGTTCTTGCATTGTCTTGTACTTCGTTCCTGTTCTAAATGTGAACCTCACCAAGATGTTGTGTTGAGATCCAAAAACGTTGAGGTGAGAGTGAACTGAACGGACGTCGGACGATGCTCACCAATCCAAACGGGGCAAGGGCGCTCGTGGTAAGGATGCCAGCTGTTCTAATTAACTACCTATTCTGGAAGGGACAACCGTAAAAGCTACACACAAGACCCACGTTCCCAATGGTTTATTTCCCACATTTTCCCACGTATTAATGGTCACGCCACCAGAAGAAGAGGTAATTATATGCCCCACGTCCCCCACTCTCTCAAAATTTGCCCTTTTCTGTAATTAAATAAGAAACCCGTGATTACCATTCTCAGCACACTGTGACCCTGACCGCCCCGAATCGGCCAATTCTTGACTATTACTGGTTGCGTAATCACTGGGGCGGCGGGTTGATGGACCCCCCAATGTTTTCCAAGTACGCGATGTTGTTGAACTCGACGTCCAGAGACTGGATTTGCCAGGACCCCGCAGCGTGGGTCGCGCCAATGATGGTCAACCCGCGCACCTGCTGCTGCTTCTCTGGGTCCACGCCAAACGTCGCCTGCCAGATGAGTGCGATCTCGGTGCACGACGTCGGCGTCGAGTGCGTCACCACCAGCGGAAGGTGGTCCGGCTAGATTACCAGTTAGTTAGCCAGTTGGTGCCTTTTCAAGTGATTATTAGGTAGCCCGGCATGGGAGAAGATAACTTACCGTGGCGGTCTCGTAGTCAATAAACGACTTCTTCGTCGGGAACGTGGCCGTACCCAGGGGCTTCCCCGCCAGGCTGTTGATGCTGTCTGACCGATCGATAAAGTTATCGGCGAGGTACTTCCCATTGGCGTCGTCCCAGTGGTCCGCCGAGAGAATCCGCACGTACGCGTCTACCAGGGTCGTCACGTCCTCCGGGAGCAGGCAAGTCGGCGTTGGTGTCGTCGTATCAGCGCACCCATCGTCGCGTGCGACCTTGGGACCCTTGGAGCCCTTAGAGCCCTTTGTGGCGAGAACGTCGGGGGGGCCGCCGGGGGGGCTGTGGGGGGATTTACCCTTGCCTTGGGCTGGCCCATTGTCGGTGCCTTTGCCGTCTCCTTTGCCAGTTCCTTTGCCTTCTCCCTTACCCTTTCCTTTTCCTTTGCCCTTCCCCTTGCCATCTCCAACGAAGGCAAATCCGTCCCCGTCGGAAACGGCAATGGCGTCACGGACAACACGGGCGGGCGACGGCGTCTTACCGCTGTTGCTGCTACGCAGTCCGAGCCCGAGCCCCTTGGTTAAGTTGGAGACAGTATCAGTGGCACCGCCGAGCTGCGGGTTGCGCGCACGCACCGCGTCGCTGACGGTCTTCGCCGCGTCAGCAACGTCGACAGACGGGATGGTGTCTGTGACGTCGGATGCCACGGGGGCAGCGAGGCCGAGGCTCGCGAGAGAAAGAACGGCGAGGGAGTCGACGAGACGCATGTTGACGAGATGTGAAGGAGGTTGTGAGGGGGGGTGAGTTGCGTTAAGGGGTGGTTTTGATGAGGAGTGTTGAGTTGAGAAGGCAATGGTGGATGTTCGGGTTTTGCTGAACCACGACTTCTTTTATGGCAACCTCGCAGCAGTGATGGTTGGCCGTCGGTCGCTGGCACCGGGCTTCCCCCGGTGTGGCTTCCGGTTGGGCGCATGCCTGGGTCGCGGCGAGTACGTAAACATGGCTATTGTGTCGTGGTACAGATGGAACATCAAAATTTATTCGAGTCCGGGCTTTGACGGTCAGGCGTCAGACGCAGTAGCGTCTTCAACAAATAATCAAGATTCGAGTTCTCAGGGGAGGATACCTTGGAATCTGTAGGCAACCGGTTGAGGAAATTGCACACTCATAACCGCCAGAGGTGCTCGAGCGCTAGCATGAGTGCACAACAAAACGGCCCGAGGATCGGTCGTCCAAAGCACAGGAGTCTGGAGGGGCACGCTGAGCTCCCCTTGGGCTCATGGTCTCGAGTCGGGCAAACAAGCACCGCAGGCCGATAGTTTACGTAGTACCGTCATGATCATCCCTAATGTAACTTGCGTTTCTATCTCGTTACCCTGGCCGCCAGCCTGTAGCCAGCGGTAAGAGCTCGTTCTCCGGAACGCCAAGTATCACCCTCAGCTCGTCCACGCGTTCCTAGGCTGATGTTGTGGAACGTGATGTGCTGATCACCGGCTGGGACGATAAACAGCACCCTGGGATCAGGTCTTGTAATAGCTGCAGTGATGTATTTACTGGCAGCTGGTGGGATAATAACGTGGGACCTTGGGAGATTATCTCTTTCGAGACCGTCAATAAAATCTTAGGAAAACATGTGTTTCGGTTTGTCTCTGGAGTTCTGGACTTGGATGCTGCTCCCAGACCACCAGAGCCACATGTTGTTTGATTACGTAATTACGTTAATTAACCAAAGTTGAGCCCATGGCAGTTGCACAACAGCAAATCATCGACGGAGCTTTGCATTCAAGAGTAGAATAGGAGTCTGGTCCAGACAAGCCGTCAATTTTATTTGAGAACTCCAAAGAATCGCACAGAGTCCCCGACCAAACATAAGGTAGGTGTTGCTCCTTCACCGTTTCCCCATACATATCATTATTGAAGCCAGTGTTCCAATGATATGAATAAGTAGCGCCATGGCTTCCGGTCATTAATTGGCGACTGGCGATCGAATGATCTTGTCCCACACAACGCGCGTGAGTATACTCGTACCGCCGACTCTTTGCCGTGTCAGGAATGATCCTAGATGTTGACAGCCAGCAGGTCAACATCGGCTTGTCGAAGTTGGGTGACTCAAACGAGGGACAACTTGAGGCTGGGAATATGCGGGCTCACTATGATCCGTTCAGTCCTCTAAGCCTTGACGACGTGTCAGTGATTCGCGACGATTGACTTGACCAGCCACATCACCTGATCCCCGTCATTGAGCTACGAAAAGGATGTTTAAACGATTTCAGGACTAAACAACCAGTAGTTATAATGATAGGTACCCACTCATTCGCTCCCCTTCCATGGAAATGGCGTGATTGGTGACGCCGTCGTTTGCAGCTGAAAGTCAGACAAGCACTGAGCACCCTGCTTCGGACCTCCGAAGCAGTCGACGCCGGAAAGTCCAAATATTGGAATTGAAGGCATAGGTAACGCCGCCCAAACGGAAACAGGAGTGAAGGGATATTAACTGTCAAAAAGGCTTCTCGATTTGGCTTGAAATTAATACATATCTCATCCTCGATCATCCCATCTCGTTTTCCTTCCCATACTCCCCCTTCCCCTCTAAAATAACTTTCTTTCCCATGCTAGAACATGCCCAACCCTTTCCACGGCAGCGCTACTGGCGGCTTCTGATCCGATCCAATTCCTGAGGACGTGGCTGGTGAGCTCTTTCAACTTGAGCCTCCTGAAGATACATTAGTGATTACTGTGACCGACCGACGTATTTGGGTGCGTGTCAATAACGGTTGGACACGACTCAAAACGTACCATTCAAAACGTTAACCGGGGCATTGGCATCGACTGGAACTGGTACGATGACGTCGTTGTCTTGGGAGAGGGCGGGCATTGCGAAGCTAAGCACCAAGGCGATGAAGGAGGCGGTGAAACGCATATTGGGCGGTGGGTATTAATTAGAAGAACGGAGAAGAGGATGGTCCTCGAAAGTTTTGTTGCGCCTCAGCTGTTGTGTTTGAATGCGATAACTATCGAATTGCAAATTTACAGTGAGGCAACATCATGGGACTCGAGAACTTTAATCCATTATTTCAGATGCGGTGTGATGTGGCTTCGCTGTTTGAAATGAGCTCCTGTTCTTCCCATGTCATGTCTCGGGGGGTTTTCAGGTGCCGTTAGGCCTTACTGGCTGGGGACCTCCTCGGATCACCAAAAGTGATGTACCCGAACCGTGATCTCCAATACCTAATTAGCGAGACAGCATGGCATTGGCAACGGTCAAGGGGTATTTCTGACAATTGGTAATTAATTGCGTGCCCAAAACTGGGAACAAATTCCCAATGCTGCGTTCACGCAATCAGATCCTCTGCGATAAGTCGGCAACCGAAGAATTCTCCGTAGCCGGCTTTGTTTCACATTGGCACATTGGCCATGAGCGATATGCAATGCCCTGGGTGTCTCAGAAAGAAAGCAAAGGTTGTGTGACGGACACAACTGCACTGCCCCTGCGCCATAAGGATCGGACTGAAAAACAGGAATATCAAGCCGAATCATGGTTATCAATCATGATGACATTGAGTTCAACGAAATAGAAACACTGCGGACTATTGGGTTGAGGGTGCAGAACATGGTGAAGCAGGAGACCGCTTGAAACCGTGAGCGACTTTTGTTTTTGTTTGGCGCGAGGCTGCGAACCCAAGTGAGACAGTCACACTTTAGTTTATGGCCAAGATCGACAACGGCATTTGAAGCGAGACGAAGAAGCATACCAACACGATGCCACGAGCTCAGTCGTGAATGAGGATTGATGGACAATAATAATGTATTGGTGTATCCATCGTGAATGCTATAGTAGCGTTTCGTCTGACCATACTTGTAGGTGGTCATCAATGATCGTCCGTGTTCCATCCAACCCACAATCACTCCCCTTCAAAACAGACAGACATGGCGCAGCCCCGTATTCTTTGCCGCCATGTTAACTCCGCTCCCCGTTCGAAAAGAAGTCCCCGATCAGTGGTTGAAACCTCCCATTCCGGCCCAATTCAAGCATCGAGCCTTCGAGGGCAAACTCGATCTCACGCGCTCTTAAGCAGAATCCGAGTCAGACGACTAGTGCACAGCAGCGTTGGAGAGCCTTTCGGCAGTATTCGCCAGGTCGGTCAGGAAGGTGTCTCCCTGCCGGGGAGACAACACGGGGCCCGTGAGGCCGAGGCCGGCCAGGGCCAGGATGATGATGGAGCTGGTGGCACGCATCTTGGGCGTTTTTCTTTGGGGCGGCTGGGGTAATTATGGTGTTAGACAAGCCGGTTTCTGTGGAGGAAAGGGGACGGTGTTCAACTTACATTTAGTGGTGGTGGCGGTGGTTGCGTTGTCTAGGTAGAGTGCGTGGAGGATAATGAGAGGTAGGTAATGGCACAAACAAGAGCTAAACACAGGGGTGAATCGGGTGATCGCCCCGAACAGTCTTAACTCCGCTGTCAACATGGGATCGAGAGGGATGATACCCATCGTCTGCACAAGCGACGAGGGATACACTTACCTATTTGAATGCAAGTTGACAACCGAATGACCTCCTTCAAATAACTATACCGAGGTGCATGAAGCTGTTATGATGAGGAACTGGCCCTGGGCTCTGCAGCAGAACGAAGATCTGCGTTTTGACCATTTTATTATCCGAAAAAATCAAACTTGGAGAGCAGTAAATACATGAAGCAACTCATTTGTCACCCTCCTCGCAGTCTGGCGGCCAGGGTACGGTCAGCATTGGGCGATCGAGGTGACAGCTGCTTGAAAACCCTTGGGGATTGGCATCAGCTTGACTAACCCTAACCCTTTGACAAAACAAACTGTTCAGGGGCTGAGACCATGGCAACATTGCTATGACCCTAACCCTAACCCAGTCGAGCTATCAGAAAAGAACGTCCAGAACAATGCGAGGTGCAAGGAAACCATCGAACTACCAACTACCTCCCCTCGAATTACCCCTGGTTTGTTGAATAATCCATCAACCAACCCCGTCTCACACACGCCGATGCTCTTTCAATCGCCCCCTCAACTTAATTGATCACAACCGCGGCAGCGAGAACACCGAACAGTGATCGACCTCCACCTTCATTCGTCCCATCGCGGGTCAGAGTCTGAATCTCACTCCGACCGGTGACGGCGTCCCGCCGGGGCCGGTCGATGCCCTCACCTTTGCGCTTATTATTCCCCACCCCGGCCTCCTGTCCCGATCTCCTCGACTCCGAATCAAGGGTGCTCTCCGTTAGGGCGTTCGTCTCCGCTGGGACGGTCATTGCCGCTAGGACGGTCATCACCACTAGGACGCTCATCACCACTGGGACGGTCATCACCACTAGGACGCTCATCACCACTGGGACGGTCGTTCCCGCTAGGACGATCATCACCGCTGGGACGGTCATCGCCGCTGGGACGATCATCACCGCTGGGACGGTCATCGCCGCTGGGACGGTCATCACCACTAGGACGGTCATCACCGCTGGGACGGTCGTTGCCGCTGGGACGGTCGTTGCCGCTAGGGCGGTCATCACCACTGGGACGATCATCGCCGCTGGGACGTTCATCTCCGCTGGGACGCTCTCCGCCAGGTTGCAATTGCCGCGGGCGTTGGTCATTCCCGTTGTCGGAAGGCGGGGGGTTGCCAGTGGGGGGACCAGACGGGTGGTGCGGGTCGTTCACGGCAGAGTTATCTTCACCGGGCTGCTCTTGCGGCGGGCGTTCGTCAGCCCCGTTGCCCGGGGGCGGGCCAGGCGTGTATCGGTAGCCCGGGGGCCGTTGGTCGGCCCCGTCGGGGATATATATTTCGCCTGGGGGTCGTTGATCGGCTGCGTCAGAGCCAGCATCGCCCGGCTGCTCTCCCGGCCGTTCATCACCTGCATTGCCCGAGGGTGGAGGGGTGCCAGTTGGCGGGCCCGAGGGCGGGCGGAGAGGGTGGTGCGGGTCGGCCTGGTTAGAGCCATCATCGCCCGGCTGTCCTCCCGGGGGTCCGTCCGAGGGGGGGCCCGACGGGGGGGCTGACGGTGGTCCCGACGGTGGTCCCGACGGTGGTCCCGAAGGGGGGCCCGAGGGAGGACCTGAGGGAGGACCAAGAGGGTGGTGCGGGTCGGCTTGGCCAGAATCACCACCGCCCGGTTGTCCCCCCGGCGGGGCTTGGTCATTGCCCTGACCGGCACCCCCCTCCTCCTGTCTGCGGGTAACGGGAGCAGTATTGGGCGGGGAGACGGAGCCAGGGACACCGGGATGGGGGACGAAGGCGACGGCGCCCTGCGGAGAGTCTACAGGAGTGCCGCGGCGGGTGGGCAGAGCGTTGGCGCCCAAGACGGAGAGTACGGCGATGGAAGTGCTGAAGCGCATCGTGAGGGTTGTTGGCGTGGTTGGTGTGTGTGTGTGTGAGGGGTGATGTGAAATTGAGCTAGAAAAACGAGGTATTGGTGACTGAATCCTGAAAAGGGTCGTGGTGAGCTGTGACCTGAGTGATGCTGAGGAATGAAAGGGAGTTGTTTTCGAGTGGGATGCCGGAGCCTTTTATTCCCATCAACACTCTGCTATTTTCCACTACCGCTCTTCGGAATCTAAAAGTGAGTGACATTGAGAAAAACCTCTCACTCTCAATTGTTGTTGTCCGGTTCACCCCTCAGTAAGGGCCTCATCGCTCACAACTTCAGAGGATCATCGTCAACATGTCTTACTCATTACCAGGCCGGCATCACGGTCTCAAAATGGTTCGCCAGATGTCAAAACCCGAGCGATCTTAGCGTATTTTTAAGTCCCCGGGGCCCGACGTCACAGACATCTGCCGGACTTTGACGGATATACCAGAGTTTTCACAAAATCACAACTTATTGTGTACAGTATTACGTACATCCACAACACGAGAAACTCAGAGAAAGTAACAAAAAGACGCAGTTTCACGGGCACTATTGACGTGACGTTCGGATAATAAATGTAAATGCAGTTCTCAATGGTCGGAGCGGCAATCGCGCAGGCAGGGCCTGTCTCGGAAACAAGGCTTTTTGGGACGTGACAGCCCGCCGCAAAAACCCCGGGAATTGGCATCACTGTACCTAACCCTAACCCTTCCACATACAACAACAACACCTCAGGGGCTTGGTTCAGCAATGCCATATGAGCCTGTAAAGCGCTAGAGCCATGGCACGGTTTGATGACCGCGTTGCATGGTAGAGTGGTGAGGTGTGAATTGGGAGCATGCAACTAACCCGCCTGCCTCGGCCCTCACTGCTCAGGCACCCAACTGATGATTCACCCCGTGTAATCAAGAACTTTGCCTAGGTAGGTCTGCTATTACTTCTCCTCTACCTCTACTATGTACCTCAAGTTAACTTCACACACGCCGATGCTATTTCAATCCATCTGCCAGTCAAATCAGAACCGCAGCAGCCGGAACAGTGGTTGACCACCCCCTTCGTCCGGTTCCGATGAGCCCGGGGCACCCCGCGGGGCTTTGTCACGGCCCTCACACAGTGTTCATTATTCCCTGATTCGCCCTCGCTCCCTTCCTCGCCTGATCCTGGGCCCTCTCCACCGGACGGGACTTGCGACTGCCCATCACCATCGCCCGGTTGCTCTCTCCCTGGGGTTCTTCCGCCTCCACGATCCTGTTGCTGCCCAGCACCAGGCCCGGACACAACTGGCATGGCTCCTCCTCCCCCCCGCCATTTACCCCCTCCTGTCTCCGGGTAATTCGGGCGAGCTTTGCTTGGGTGAGGGGTTAACGGTGTCGGTTTGGGGGACAACAGCGACGGCGACGGCGTCCCGTCGGAGTCTGTCCCTCCGGTACACAGGCTCACATTCACCGTTGCATGGCTGTTCATCCCCCTAATAATCGTCAGCGCCGAGACCAGGATCCACATCGACCTGTCGCCGGGTAACGCGGACGAGATTGGCCGCAGTCAGGGGCGTAGGGGTGCCGGCGTTGCGGACGGCGACGGCGCCTCCTGGAGGTTCCACGGGGTTGTGCAGGCCGCCTCCGGGAGGGTCGCGGCGAGTGGGCAGAGCGCTGACGCCCAAGACGGAGAGTAGGGCGACAGAAATACTGAAGCGCATCTTGGGTGTTGCCGGCGTTGTTGATGCGGGTGTGTGTGTGTGTGTGTGTGTGTGTGTTGGGACGTAAAGTTGTCAGAAATGAGGTACTAATAACTGGATTTTGAAGATGGTTATGGTGGGCTGCAACTTGGAAGGGGAGTTTCTTTAGTGTAGGTGGGATACCCGAGCCTTTTATCCCCATCCACACTTGTCTATTTTCCCTACTGGGCTTAGAAATTCGAAAGTCGAGGGGCTCGAGAAACACCCTCTCAGACTCTCAGGTCGGTGTTAACCGCGTCCAGCCGAATACACGAGGCGTCTTCACAGCTCGGAGGATCATCGTCGGTATGTCTTGCTTGCTATTAATTTGGCTAACATCACGGAATGGTGTGTTGGGTCTTAAAATCTGAGCGACCTTAACGCGTTTTTGAGCGCGGCCATCAGACACCTGCCAGAGTTTGATGGATATATCACAGACATCACGGCTCGTCGTGCACACAAGAAAGCAACAATGCGGCGGGCTTCAAGAGCAGGTGGTGAAGCCTGAATCGGAAATGGAAAGGCGATCGACAATCGTCGGTCACGTAATGGCGCTGTGAAACAGAAGCTGAAGACAGGGGCAGTCCCGACACGCCCAGGCTGTCTTAATTCCACTGATAAAGATTCGCCGGTGCAAAAATCTCCCAGTGTACTCTCACCGTCTTCCCAAGCGGCGAGGGATTCGCCCATCAAATTGCCCGACAAGTCGATAACAACCAACTCACCTGCTTCAAATAACTAGTTAGTTAATAACTAGTTCACCATGCCGTTGCGGGGAACTGGCCCTTCGGCGGAACGCAAACAGGCGTTTTGTCATGTTATTGGGGAAAACTTGGAGAGAGACAGAAAACACAAGACGAGGCCCATTTCTTCGGCGGCCCTACTTATCTTCCCGTCTCTCCCTCTTTGATGCACACAATCAGGTAGCGCGCAGGGTGCAGCGACAGGGTCAGCATCGGGCCCCCATCCGAACCGGGGCCGTTCCGACCCACTTAATCGGAGCGGCGATCGGACCGGGGGCATGGCAAGCCTGTCTCGGAGGAGGGCCATTCCGGGACAGGCCATTCCCACTTTCAGCTGTTTCATATCACTCTAACCCTAACCCTGGCCCTTCAACAAAACAACGCCCCGAACCACACCACGTCTCGGGAGACCTGGGAGGGTGATGGGGGCACTGGAGTGTAAATTGGGAGCATGCAACTAACCGACCTCGAGCCGGCCTAGTTACCTAAGAACCGTGGCAGCGGGGCCAGTCCGGGCTGATCTCCCCCTCATTCCCTTCCTCATCTTCCTTCCCTAGGCTCCACGGACGAAATAATAATGAGATTCGCTGCCCTCGCTACGAATACCCCCATCATCATTGCCCCATTGCTCTTTCGGGGTTTCATCATCAAACGCTACCGTCGCCCCACCCCAGCAATGTCCCAGTGGCAAAGGGGAGGGGCTCAACCTGCCCTCCTCGTTATCCTCCTGTTCCCGGGTTTCGTCACTGCCCTCACCACCACCACCACTGCGCTTATTGTCCCCCGCCACGCCCTCGTCCCCGTCCTTGCCGGATTGTGCTTCCGGTGGTCCGGCATTCTCATTTTCCTCGTTCTCGTTATCGTTGCCTGCCTTAGGGTCTTGTCTCGCGGTGGCGGAGGTGCTGGGGCTCATTCCGGATATGACCGGCGTGGTGTGTAAATGTGTGGGTGAGTATACGTTATGAGTTGAGAAGTAAACCCGTCAAAATGCTGGTAACTTACTGATAATAACTCGACTCTCGGGAAGAATTGCCAGAAGCTGCGACTCGGACAATGCGTTCTAAACGGATGTAAGGGGAGTTTCTTTAGGTGGCATGCTTCGGTCTTTCATTCCCATCAACGCTCCCCTAACGTTACTTTATGTTGGTGACTGGCTGAGCTTGAACATTTGGGAATCAAGGACATCGAAAACGCCCTCGTACACCCAGATTGTTCAGCTAACCGGGTGGGTGTGACCTCCCCTGCTTTAGTTTTTGTTTCACAGTGACAGTGACTCCGTTAACTGACGCGAATAATACAAATGTCAGCGTCAGTTCCTGGCTGCTGTGGAAACTGCTTGGATGCCCCCTTGTTTTTCTTTGCTCCCATTGATTCCCCAGGGCGGCCGGCTACCCCTGCGATTATCTTGTTGTTTCCTTCCTGTGGTCTATTGACTCTACTAAACAGTGCCAGGGGGCCAGAATGGGCAACGAAGCAGTGTGTACCTACCCGGACCCAGAGATAATATTTTGCCGACTAGTGACGTGCTAAGATCGCTCGGATTCTTCAACTCCGGAAAGCCGTGCTGAACCGGTGATGCTCCCATAATAGTAAGACATATTTACGATGATCTTTCGAGTTTCGATATGCCCATTAGAGTGGAAACGGTCAACCCGCACGCTTGGGCTGGGACTTTGGGTCAGCTGAGGAGTCGGACCTGGATAACGACCACACTGTTTTAATTCCGCAACTGAACATTGGCTCGCGACTGACGATTCGAGGATTCACCGCATCGGTCGTCGTCTTCCCGAGTGAGGGGGAATGTGAACGAAAAGTGGGCAAGCAAACCTTAATGATCTCTAAAGGATTACGAGGTAATCAGCTACACGACGCCTGGGAAACTCGTGGGATTAACATGGTGGTAACCCTAACCCGAGCAACACAGCACCACAGCCCGTGGCAAACATCTTGAACATCATGCACGCAAACACGAGGAATGTCCCGAAAGGTAATCGGCTAGGTTGTGAGCAGAACATGGGATGTTGGAAGATGATAGTCCTATGTCAGGCAAAGTTCATGCCCTTTTGTACTCTGCTTAATGACCTTGTTTGCGTTTTGGAGGGTAATATATTTATTCTGGCTCTCCAGTCTGAAACTCTGAAAGTCTGCATTGACACTTAAAAGCTGCTTTAAGTATCTGACAGCAATCACAACGAAGAATCTTGACAGCGCAAGCGGTATGCAACACGCCAGGAAATGTGTCTTGAGATGACATATTCCTCGGCAGTACTCTCTCACTTCCATGTACCCCTTCCTTCATCCCTTCTACGTCTCTCCCAGACTCCGTCCATCATCCATAAAATCTGCACGAATTAATACCCCCCTGCGTCCTGTGACACGCCCATGGCGAGAACCTCAAGTAATATACCCGCAATCATCCGTCAACACCCCCCCAAGCCAATGCTCTCCCAAACCCCGAATGAACCTAGCTAGATGCCCTTCATCCAGCTCCATCCACCCCAAGCTCATATCGCACACGTGGTGCCATGGTCATCATCAACACTCAAAAGGGTTGCAAATCACCCGCCGACGAGCCGGCCCAGCATGCTCAACATGTTCAGCATGTTCAGCAGCCGGGGGCTCGGGTTCGATGATGCTGTCGTTTACGGTGCTGTGGGTGGTGGTGCTGTCGTCACTACCACCGGCCCCAGTAGCCGGGCCAGCCTGTTGGGTGCTTTTGTTGTACGTACAGTCGCGCCAGTCGAAGGGGTTGCACACCTGTCGACGGCCGACTGCAGCGGAGGCTCCAGCTGGGGTTTGGACCGGGAGAGCGAGGCCGGCTGTGGCCAGGGCGAGGAGGGCGAGGGACGTGGCGAAGCGCATGGTGGTTGGTTGTGGTGGGTGTTTGTTGTTGGAGGTTAAGTTGGGGTGTTGGTGTGCTGCCTTTAGTTTGGTGTGGAGAAGATATAAAGATGAGAGGTTGAGGTTTGATGAGCGCAGCAAACTGGGAAAACGTGTTTCTTATAAGTAGCTGGATGCCGTAGCTTCAGTTATTGGGAATTGGGACTGAGCTCAGCAAGCTGAGATGGCGCACGGCAGGGCGACAAACAACAGTACGTTTTTGGACGTTTGTGCGGCCAACATCCACCGGGTGTGTTTGCCTCCAACGTGCTTGACGCTTGCAACGGTGATAACTGTGTGCCCCACAAACCGCAGACCGTGAGACCCGCAAGAAAGGAAGTATGATTCGTGAGTTGCTGCCCTGCCGCTCAGCTTGTCTGTTGGTCTAATGTGGTTGGCTGCCGGACTATGATCGGCGTGTTGGTTTGGAGCCTGGTGAAAAAATAGCATGGTTCAGCAGAGGACTCATAATAGAGGACGCAAATTGATACTGTGCAAAGCTGAGGTATTGGTGTCGTCCCTCTCAGCAACATTCTGTGAGACACGCCGACAGATTACGGAGTGCCTTGAACCCAACGGATGAGTGGACCGGACGACACGGGGGTTCTGGCAATGGACACCCTAGGAGCGCCTGGATCCACCACCATGAAGACTCTACTGTGCAAGAAGGGTCTGACGCCCATCAGTTCGTGATGCTAGATCTGAGTCTTGCGAGCCCCTGCCGCGACCTGCTCTTGTTAACAAATCTGGCACGTTTTCAAGTTCCTCAGGTCCTGGAGGGTCGACGCGACTACGAGATGTGGCTAGGGATTAAGTAACTAGATTTGTTCCAAGGTAAGCTCACTTTGCAACACCGACGTTTGAGCTTGATGAGGACGAATAAATAATTAGCGGTCACTATCGAACATCTCCCATCTTATCGTCCAAAGGTGTGCAGTTTTCAGATCCTGATCACGAACCAAACCATTATAAAAGGTATACATGAACACTTTCTCCTTTCCCCTTTCCCCTGACAACACAACCGACACCATTCGTGGTTCCCTCACAACTATCGTGCTGGCATGTCGCATTCCATCTGTGAGCTCTAACGTCAATGTTGCAACGAAGGCCCTGGCGGGCGATACGTCCAGCCCTCCATACCCGGACCCGAGTCATCGCCGACCGACTGGCGCTAATGCAGCACATCACCCGCAACATTGCCGACCTTGCCAGCAGCACCGCCCGCAGCCGTCCCAGCAGCGGCCCCCTGGGCGATATCGCTACGCTTTCCCACCCGACCGAGAACATCGCCGACCTTGCCCGCAGCACTGCCAGCAGCCGATCCAGCAGCGGCGCCTTGGGCGATATCCCCTCGCTTATGAGGCACGGCACCTGTGACACCGCCGACACCACCCGCCGCATTACCCTCCGCCGCACCGGCAGCTGCCCCCGTGGCGCCATCAACAGCTTTGCCCGCGGCATCACCCGCCGCCGAGCCGGCAGCGTTGCCATCGGCGGTATCCCCACGCTTGCCCACCGCGTCACTCGCGGCGTTGCCGGGGACGTTGAACGGGTTGGTGGGATCGTCGAGGTCGACAGCGTGGACGGCCTTGGTGCCGGGGACAACTGGCTTACCGACGGAGTTGGGAATTTCATCTCGGTCGCCCTGGCCGGGAACTTGAATGGCACCGCCACGCTTGCCAAGCAAGGTATTCGCAGCATTCACAGCATCCCCAGCATTGTTTGCCACGTGCGTGGCATCATCCACGGTTGGGGCAACGCCGGCAAGGGGTTGACCCTCAGCCCGGCGTCCACGACCCGCTGCGTTGGCCGCGTTGTTGACAGCATTGATGGGGACGACCGGCTTGGCGATGGGGTTGGCGATTTCGTCGTTCAGGTTGTCGGGGACGGCGAGACGGTTGGCGTTGTGGAGGGGGTGGCCCGGGACAGCATTCTTCCCAGGGATGTTAGTAGGGAGGGCGAGGCTGAGCCCGGCGAGGGAAAGGAGGAGGGCCCCGCGCATGTTGGGCGGTATGCCGTTGAGAATTCGGCCGAGAAATGAGGGTAGATAGATGGAGAGGTCGGGTTTGTTGACCTGGCCCTTAGGATTTGTAAAGAGAGTGTGAAGAGACCTTGAGAAATGGGAGTCAACGAGACTGGGGAAAAGTTCGTGCTTTTAACACTCTCCCATCTTCACATCAATCACCTTTCATCGACGCCAGCTGTGACCGCCTCGCTAGCTCCATGATGGCCTTGTAAAGTGAATCGCCTGTGTCTCAGTCAACCTCAAGGTTTAGCTCCCGTGATGGGACTAGGTCCTGTTGATTGCAGTGAGACCCGTGAGGGTGACTCCACACCCCTTTGCGAACTGATTCGTTTCCCCTGGCGATTTGTCTGAGTGGTGGAAATCAACAATCTTGTCAAGCTAGGATCGTCAGGCCCGATCCCCGATTCAAAAGATTCTCCCCGGGTTTCGCCCCATGTCACGGTCAAAACCAGAAGCCCTTTCACTCTCATCACCGCCATTGATCGCTGTGGCATAATTAACCGCTGTTCGGCCCGTGCTGCTTTTCTAAGTGTGAGACACCACCGCGCTAAAGACATTTGGATCGACATTCGCCCCCAAATCTAGGGATGCGGAACCGGGCATCAACGCTCAGAGTCAAGCTGAAAGATGCATCGCAATTTGTTGACTTCACAGGTCGTCACTCGTCACAGTCGTCAACAGCAGCGAAGCGCAATGTCGGCGTGGTCGGCATCTTCCGCATGAGGCTCAAAAATCTGTGACGAACCACATGTCTCGTCACGTCAGACCAAAAAGCGAGACGGACTTTCATAATGACACCAAGAACTCCAAATGACAGCGACAAAAAATTATTGTACGTGAAAGAAGATAATTATTAACGTAAAAAATGATCCGCCCTTATTTTCAAAACCCCCCCAATCAAGGTCAAGGTCACCTATACTGCTGCTGATACTGTTGTTGCTGCTGCTGCTGCTGCTGCTGCTGCCACGACGATGGCGACGAAGGTAACTCAGACGAAAGCTCATACCCACCCAACTCCCCCGTCCGCGGCGGTTCGTGCGCTAACTCCGCCGGCGGCATACCCGGGCCCATCTCCACCCTCCCCGAGTAATACGGCGGGCCGTCCTTGTGGTCGCTGTACGGTTGTTGTTCCCAGGCGCCTTGCCCGTCTGGTCCGGCTGCGGCTGTGCTTGGGGATGTCGCAGTCGCGGCCGCCGCAGCTTGTTTGGCTTTGCGTAGCTTGAAGAGGAGGAACACGACGGCGATTAGGGCGATGACTAGGGCGGCGACGCCGACGCCGATGCCGGCTTGCGCGCCCGTGGAGAGCCCTGGGGAGGGGGAATCGGGTTCGCTAGTGGGTTGTGATGTTGACGATTCGGTGGGTGAGCTAGAGGTGGGGTTGCCGGTCGAGGTGGTGGGCTCGCCGGTGGATGTGCCGGTTGATGTTGCGGACGAGGTTGAACTCGAGCTGCTGGATGAGGTTGTCCGCTGCGCCACGCTGGTGAATCGGCCCAGTGCACTGTCGTATCGGGCGGCGATCTGCGGGTTTGAAGGGAGGACGTCGAACCGGTCAACGCCATCGTCGCAGCAGAAAGCCCGGTACCCATCGCAGCAGTATGAGGTGTCGGTGTGCGTGACATTGGAACACGAGACCAGATCTGTTCCGCCGGTTTGCGCGACTGTAAAGTAATTACGTCAGGTTAGCCACCATTCTTGGCTGGTCACTCTTCAAAACTACGCCTTGCCGCCCTTCGTCGCTGTCGCCAATTCGGAATCCCGGGAGTGAAACATACACATGCAATAATTCGGACACTCCCCCGCTGTCCAAGCTTTATCTGTACACGACCCGCGAATTGTTCCCCCGCCGGCACTCAAACACAGGCCATTCGTCAAACACACCGTGCCCGAGCCGGCCCCGCAACACGGGCTGTTCTCAGCGTCGGGGTTGCAAGGCGCATCTGGGGCCGCGATACGTCCGTTGGGGTAGTAGCACGTGCTGCCGGCCGCGGCACAGAGTTGTGGGAGGATGAGAGCGGCGGCCGCGCCTAGGAGCTTCATCGAGCTGAAGTAACCCATAATGGCGGGGCGTGGGATCCGAGAGCAAGGTGGTGAGTGTGAGCGGCGGGCGCGACTGACGGTCGTCGTGCGTGGTTCCGTCGTCGGAATCGTGAATTTGTGCCCGTGTTGGGTTTGGGAAAATCGGACCCGGCGCAGTGCGGCACGAGCAGGGAGAAAAAAAAAACTCAACGGTGACCCTCGTGGCGGGCGATCACATCGTTTTGGCTCATTTTGGGGCGTATCCGTGGCTGCTTGGCGGCTCACTTCTCGTGCTGCCCGACCCGAATCCCACGCCTTATCCATGCCCCTTCCCTGTCACGACATTGGTCCGGGCCGCGAAGTTAATTTTCGCTTGCCCTGCGGCCTCGGCTGACTGCAGCATGGCAGCGGACAAATCACAGGGGAATTGGCCGAACTCTCGCCCTGTTGGGCTCATGCAGGTCCACGGCACAGTCAGCATTGGCCAATCCTGCTTCCTAGCGTGGTTAGCCCAAATCTTGGAATGACGCGACTGCGGAACGGGATCTCGTCGAAACTCATCTCGTCGTTCGGTTGAGAAATGAAGATGATATAAAATCCAAAGCCAAGCTAGGTAGAACCTATCCTGAGTCAGAGCTGTACCGTTCTCCGTCTCTCCAGCGTCATGGCGCCCATGAAGCGCCTACTTCGGACATGGAGAATCCTGCATAATTACGCAGCAGCTTGCCTCCATATTATGCCCTGCGAGCAATCCCGCCGTCGCATGCGGGATGTGAGATAATTCCCAGGAAAACCAGCTACCCGGAACGTAGTGTCGGAGATAGCGCCATCCTTTCGTCGGTTTATGCATAGAATTGACATCGAAATCGGCCAAAGTCGACCTTCAAAACTGCGGGCCGCGGGTGGCTGCCGTGGCTGTCCTTTGTGGTGGGTGGGAAGGTGAGGCCGAGATTTGCCCCCGTGCTCCAGTTTCCCCGATGGTCACCCGCATATCCATCCATTTTGACTACACTCCATTGACATTGGGACGGTTGTGATCTTTGTCCGGTTGCAGCTCTTGAAGGAGGGGATTTCCGTTGTGCGAGTACCGAAACCCGCCACGATTCTGTTGGTTTTGTAACTTCTGCGTCTAAGAGTGGGGCATCATGTTCGTTTTCTGGCTGGGGCGTTCGTTCATGGTGCAACCAACAGCCCAACAACATGAACTGCCAAACCCAACAGCATGATTCCTGCCCAAAGAGGCAAAATACCTCGGGCGATACAATACGATCCAGCCCACAACCTGAATCCGGTGCAGACTGGTTTCTCGAGCAGTGGTTGCAAGACACCACTTCGCTCGACCCTAATTGTAGCACAACCACCAAGCGCCGGAGACGACGCAAGTACAGCGAGATATCCACATCTCCAGATTCTCCACCACCTCACGGCTAGGCGCTGTCCCCCGCCAAGCGGCATGGGGCTTCCGAGGATGGTGTCCGGGACGTAGAGAACACACCCACGGCCAAATTGGCCGTCTCTAATGCGCCCTCCTTGACAGGAAACACAACTCTCACGCTCACGAGGGCACGACCCGACCTCAGGTCAAGAGCATCGGGATCAGTGCGGTCTTCCTCCGTCGGCGGCCCAAACGCCGTCAGATCACACACCTCCAGGACATCCAGGGCGTCCGGCGTCTCTAACAGCACAGCGCAGCGGTCGGGGTCGCGTTCTACTAGCCCGGCTAAGACGACCACCGCGCTGAGCAATCTCGACAAACCCGTGCGCTTCCCGGCCATGGCAGAAAATGCATTAAGCCAGTTGTCGGTTGATGTGCGCGGCCTGTACAAGCGCGTCCGAAATATCACTGTACACCACGAAGCGTTTATGCCTCTCTCAATTCGAGAAGATATTGATAGTGCTGCCGGCTGCCGCCACCGAAAGACATGGTTTTACAGGGACGCGGGAATAGCTGAGGTGGGAAGCCGCCGGTTGGACCGTGACAATGACCATGTGGATGATCTCGGCGATAATCACGGCGAAAATCACGGGTATGGCCTCGGCGATGACCACCGGGATCACAATGCGGATGACCACGGGGTTGGCCACGTGGTTGACCTTGGGGACGACCATGGGGACGACTACGGAGATGACCACCAGGATGACCACATGGATGGTAACCACGACGACGACGACGGCGATGACGACGATGACGACGACGACGACGACGACAAGCCACCTGGACCGTCATACCCTGAGCGACGGCAACGGCGTCAGCCGAGCCCCCGCATGGCCGCCCTTACCGAATTGGACATGCTCGTCGACCTTATCGCTGCGGCAAACAGCTGCCGCGTACTCGGCCGACAAGAGGCCACATGGAACATGGAGGTCCACAACCCGCTCTTCCGCCCTGCCCTCGACCGGCCAGACTGCGCCCACGTACTGGTCGAGGCCGTCACTCACGCATCCATCGCACCACCCTTCCTCCCGCGTTGGAAGCAGCCCGCAGTCGCATTAGACGGGACGGAAGCCCGCAGCGAGACGGTCGACTCTAAGAGACTCGACTTTGTCCTGGCATTGTTTGTAGACCCGGGTTTCCCGAGGGAGCAGTATGGTTGGCCCGGGCGACAGCGGGAGACGGACTCGGAGCTGGCGGAGGGAATTCGCGAGGCTGTGGCGGGCATGCCGATATCCTTGGGGGTGAACCAACTGGCGTATGCGCCGCTGCGGTACTCACCCATTGCGATCGGGGTCGAGTCCAAGACGGGCATGAGCAATCTCGAGGAAGGACGGCGACAGCTTGGGGTTTGTACGGCGGCCTGGCACCGGCGGATGCACGCTCTCATGGAGCAAAGGACTCATATGCAAGGGAAAAATATTGTGACGTTGCCGTTGCTGCATATTGTAGAGCACGAGTGGAGGTTGAGTTTCGCCGTCGACGCTGGGGATGCGATTGTGCGTGTTTTCCCCCATTTTTTCTCGCTCGCCCTACCCTAATATTCTTGTTCATTGTATCGTGGACTGACAACGTAACCGTCATCAGGATATCATTACTGACATGTACATAGGCGACACTAGGACCATCGCCGGTATGTACATGATCACCGCGGTTCTTCGGCAGCTCGCTGGATGGATGGCTGGGAATTTCCGTAAATGGATGAGGATGCTATTTGCTCCAACTTCTCCGTCGGCAGGTACGCTTTGACAGTACGCCGCGAGCGTAACTCGCCTCCCCATATCGATACCCCATTGGCATGTAAGTCATAGAGAGGGACAGGGCAAGGTTCCCGCCTCAGGAAGAGCCAACACTGGAAAAGCGCACGGGCTGCAATTGTGACGGTAGTTAAGAGCATGGTAGATTCGCAGGGCCGCTATGGAACACTTCGATTTCTCTACCATGATGATAAACATTGTGAGAAGTGCCTCCAACTTATACTACCGTGGAGTGCCATCTCTATCCTTATGGTTGCACACAACGACCCGCACCAAGAACGGTCAGCAAGGTGAAAACCTTTATCCTCTCCTTATTCAGGCCACTCTGGCGATAGCCATTGGGGTATTATGTGTAAGATCTAGATTGTTTCGATATACAACCACGTATTGGTAAAAGTATTCAAATTAGGATAAAACCGCTTGAAACCACACTCCCTACTCAACTGGCGTGTTACCTGCACCTCTCCGCTTCTGCGCGGCCCAATACTCTTGGAACCCCGGAACCAGCCCTGGCTGGTTAATGCCCGGTGCTCGAAACACCGCTGACAGCGCAGCATTCGCGCTTGCTGCAGTGGACGGGGTGCTCGAAACCGCCCCAGCGGAAATAAAGCTGCCCTGTGGTGACTTGCTCATGGTACTGAGAACAGGACTGGCGAGAGAGGTGGTGGGGGAATCGATGGTGGTTGCGAGCGATAGGGCGGGAACAGCTGTGGTAGAAATAGGCGGGGATGCGGCTAACATCGGCGTGGAGGACGGGCTAGTAGCGGGTAAGGCATCGGTATCCTTGATCGCATCGGGGTTGCTGTTATTTCCTCCCCAGGGCCGCCATGATACCAGCTTTCCAAGTGCGGATGGTGCTCGAGGCGTATTACGGTCTCCTTCTTGTTCGTCTTCCCGGCCGCGCAAGGGGTTAGATGTAGCACGACTACTGCGGCGCGACTTGGGCGCGGAGAGGCTTTGGGCGATGCTATCTCGAAGGATCACACTGCCACGTTTGCCCCCAGCGCTGCCGCTAGTTAAAGTGGGTCGAGCCGTGACAGCACTGAGGTTAGTGCCCGCCGTGGTCATGCCGATGTGTTGCAGAGACAACTGGCTAGGCCGTGCTCTGAGAGTGTGAATATCAAGCCCGTTGGATAGGGACATGATGGATTCGTGTGAGATGACTCTTTGTAAACCCCGTGGTCGTTGTTCGACGCTCGAATCAAACTCGGAGGCGGTGGGCGAGCCCTGGTCTTCGCTAGGTACGTCTGTGTGATCGTCATAGTCGGTGTAGGTGGATAGCGGCGCGGGCGAAACGCTCGGAACATCGTCGGTAGTGTACGGGACAGGGCTGAGACTTGTTGTGGGTTGCCCAGCCATGAGAAGACGGGTGAAAGGGTGTTGGCGCTGGGCGTGAGAGGGAGATGAGTGCGATGATGTGTAGGGCAGGTCCGCGCCAAACATGGCGGTCTCCGATATGCTCCGAAGTGAGAACTCGGACACCTTCTTCTTGTGGGCGTATCGCCAGCTAGGTGAGGTCGGATCCACGCTCGTGTTGGGAGAAGCGGGAGATGGGAGATTGGGGACCCTATCGAAGACAGAGTCTCGGTTCGTCGACCTTGGCGAACTAGGAGCGGAGGATGGAGCAAATTCAGGTTCGTGGTCGGAATGCCCAGACCAATGGGCAAGGTGTCGTGCTGGAGAGTCCACCGAACCGGCGGCCGCAGCCCGTTGGAACCGGCCGGTGCTCATGATCGGAGACGAAGGGGCCGAGAGCTGAGGCGGCGTGAAGACGCCTGGTGTGAGGCCTACCCTTCGCTTTTTGGGCTTCCGCGTCTCTGCCTTGTGGCTCACGTGGTAGTGGTGATGGACATGCAACTCCTGCGACACTCGCGGGGCTTGTGGTGGCGTGGGCGGTTCTTTGTTGGCGAGCTCGGCCTGCAAGGTTGTAGGCTGGCTGCCTGGTTCGTGGCCGTCCGCTGGTTGGTGGTACATGAGCTGTTCCCTGAGCATTTGGATTTCGTCGTTGGAGCTGATGAGCATCTCACGCAGTTCTGCCATCCCCACTTGCAGATTCGCATTATCCTGGAGCAAATCGCGGACGAAATGCGACACCACGTTTCCGCCGCTCCTGCTATCCGTCATCGACTTCGCAGCAGCGGCACCTTTTAGCCTACCAGCAGCCGTGTTCAACTCCTTCTCCATGACACGCTGCCGTTCCATCCGGCTGACGGCCTCGACATGTCGCTCGCGTTCCTCTCTAGACTCCTTTTCCATGCGCTCCAGTTGCGTTTGTAGGTCGTTGAGCCCCTTCTCGGCTTGCCGCCAACGGTACATGGTTGTGCGGGCTTCTTCTTCGGTTCTCGTGATTGTTGTTCGTAATACGACCTGTTCCTCCTCGAGCACTGCAATCTGCCGCTCAAGAGTGAGCGCTCTCTCAGTGGCGTTTTCCAACCGGCGGACTTCCTGTTGCGACCCAAGCAATGACGCTTCCAGAAGGCCGATTTTCGCCTCGGCATCTTTGACGGTATCGTTGATTTGCTCCAACTCATCTCGTAGCGTGTGGTTTTCGTCGGTTACAAGTTTATTGCGGGTTTCGAGTTCTTTGTTCTCGCGCTCCAGTTCCTCGACTCGGGCGGTAAACTCGGACCTGTCTCGTTCAGCCGATGCCATGTAGGCTTCATGGCGGGCTAGGAGGGACTGCGAGGCGGGTGTTAGTGATGGGAAGTCATTGTTGAAACGCAAACTGTCGTGCGTAGGGCACTACCGAGAAAAGGGATATCAGGAATATCGGGAAGGAATGCGACGGGGATGCACTAACCTGCCCCATTCTCGCCGCTGTGTGGACATCGCGCTCAACGCTCGACAGAACAGAGCAATTATGCACAAGAAAGGCACAATCCTCCCTGCCGCAGCAGCAATGAAGCTGCTCGGGCTCGCCACCGTCACCACCAGCAACCCCCATTGTGCGTGGCGGTGATACTACATCCGTCGTTTGGGTATGTGCCATCCCTATCGAAAGGGGCGAATACCAAGTCGGGCGGCAGGTGGGCGAAGGGGCATGTTAGTTGTCAGGTGCAGATGATTGAAAGTGTCAACAAGTTTGGGTTGAGGGCGGTTATCAACGGCAGCCTCCGTGCAGTACCGCGCGCGAAGAGCCGTGCGATTGTTCGAGTGCGTGTGAGGGATAGAACAGATATCGTTCGGTCACAGGGGCGAGATCTCGAATCCCGGACTGCAATTGAGACAACGATTCGGAGGGTGGAGTTCGCCGCCTGGGGAAAGAGTGGAGCGGTTTGCTTGGATAACGTTAACGATAAGTTGTCGCAGGGCTGAACGTTCACCGCCAGGAAGCCGCTAACAATAATTTCGAACTGGGTTTGTCAGGCGTCGCGAGGGATCCCAATGGGGACCCTTTGAGTCCTTGGTGGGAGGCCGCAAATGGGGAAAATGAAGCATGGCGAAGAAAGCGAAGCGCCGCGTCGCACACCAAGCCGCCGGGTTGTTGGAGAAGGGAAAAAGCATTGGAATGCGGCTGGCAAAACTGCCCAACAGGAAACCCGGGAATGATGAGAGACCGGCCCGCTGCTGTGGCCGCTGTGGGGTTCCTTTGTTTCGCGGTCGCAAACGCGCACTAGACATGGACCCCGCTCCAGGGGCACGGGATTGGCGCACAGACCATGGCACTGCAGGTCCCAGGAATGACGGAATCGCAGCCCCAAATGCCCTGAAACGAAAACACTACCTCAGAAGGTGCACTGCTGCAGAAAAGAGTAACGGTGATTTTTGCCTGTGTTTTGTGTTGTTACGGCCTCCACAAAAGCACCCGGCTTCTCCAAGAACATTGAATTTAGTTGCGGGTACATTCCTGTCTAATTCCACGCAGTTCCAGACCGCTAATGTGTCCCCAGATTGTGCCTGTTTTGTGGGAGATGAGAGATGAGATGAACCCGCGAGACCACCTCCAAAGCGTGTGCACGAGATGGTTCATCGTGACCTCGGCCTTGGATCTGCCGACCCTCCGACCCGAGCTCCGATAACCTAGCGAACTCCAAGGAATCCAACGAGCGTAGGGTTTGTTTTGGCCCCCAGCCCAACGCGATTCCTGCCAACCGACGCTGCGTCTTCCTCAAATCATGACGGCCCGACCCGCATCGCCTGGCATGCGCCTCGGGCGCGGCGGAAGCAAGTTGCGACGGGCATTGGCTGTTGAGTTACCGGCAGCGGGAGTACCACCATTGGCACCTCCTCCGCCGTTGGCACCACCTCCACCTTGACCACCACCACCTCCACCCTGTCCACCACCACCCTGTCCACCACCACCCTGTCCACCACCACCCTGTCCACCGCCTCCTTGACCTCCTCCACCTTGACCACCACCTCCTTGACCACCACCGCCTCCTTGACCACCACCTCCTTGACCACCACCTCCTTGACCACCACCTCCTTGACCACCACCTCCTCGACCACCACCTCCTCCACCTTGGCCACCACCTCCACCTTGGCCTCCTCCTCCGCCATTACCACCACCCCCGGAACCACCCCCTTGCGACTGCGGGTCACGTTTGTCGACAAGAGCATCCGTACCATCGGCGGGATTGCTAGCCGCGGGCAGGGCTGCAGCCGAGGCAAGGCCGAGGAAGGCAACGAGGGCAACAGCAGGCCTCATATTGACGAACAGGTCCTTTATTTTGGCAATGGTAGTTTGTGTGGGAGACGGCGCTCGAAATCGCTATGTTGACCGGCCACGGTTTCCGTGAGAAACCAGGAACTTAAGTGTGAAGGAGTGAAAGAGCTTTACCAGAAAGCCCGTGTGATAAAGAGAGTGGTAAGAAAAGAAAGTGAGTCGATGCCGATGATAATTTCTGGGAAACGAATGCCATCGTCGACTGCTTCTTATATCCCTCGAGTGTTGCGGGGCAGTTGGATCGCACAAAACCCTATTTGCCCTGAGTGCGTCAAGCTTCTGACACGACCACATTCCATCATGCTGTTTGGTGGTTGTCGCTTCCGATAAAGTGAGACCTTCATGTGACGGAGTTGAATCGAGTTTCCATCTTGTGGTGATACGTATAAGGATTCTATCTAGAACGTTCGGTAACGATTTGAAACACACTTGCTGAGTAGGTAGCGTACGTTGTCCTCCACAATCACCACGGCGAACCAGGACTCGAAGTTAATTGTTGAAGGTTGGGTTGAAACTTTTTGATCCTTCGTCCCAGTCGATGGTTGCAACAAGGTTTCGCGCAAGTATCGCAAAGTGGACAACTTTGGGCCCACAGCTTGGCCTGGGCTCACTCAACCAGAGTTGGGAAAATGCTGGGACCGAGATCGAAGGAAATATTCCGGGTAACCTCCTTCAAATCCTCTAACTCTCGGAGAGCCGGCCCCGGAATCATCGTTGAGATGACCTCGGCCGGTGTGATTAGCATTTTAATTGGCATTTTAGCCAAGGTCCCTTGTTTTGTCATTAATTATGAGGGGCCTTGGCAAGGACATGGCCGGTGCCGGTCTCAGACATAGTTTTAGAGAGTGGAAGAAGGAGTTGAGGTGAACCAGTGATTGGTGAACTAGTTCTCGGTCCCGATGAGATCGGACGGAAGCCGAGCCGTGTTAGAGATGTCACCGGCCGTTGCCAGTTTTGCGGCGATGTCCAGGACCGTGTTCAACGTCATATCTGACAGTAAGCAATGAAGTCCCGAAAACATAATTACTCTACCATCACTCACCACAGATTCTACTGATTAAACCATTTTCCTGTATTGATCTGAATATTCAGGACCTCCCCCCCGAAAACGATTCGCCTCGACTTCGACCAGTCCATCGATTGATCAGTCACACTGCGAACATTATTATTATTATTCTTCTTCTTCTTCTTCTTCTTCTTCTTCTTCGTTTTCTTTTTCGATTTTTTATTTTTCTTCTTTTTCTTCTTCTTCTGCTGCCGCTGCTGCTTCTGTTGCTGTTGCTGCTGTCGTCGTTATCGTCGTCGCCGTCGGCGTTGTTGTTAGTTGTGATGTCGATGTCGTTGACGAGGCTCGAGGAAAGCAGAGACAACCTTTGCTCGGCGAAGTGGCTCCATTGGACGGAAAGAACATGTCACTACAATTGCCTACCTACCGCGGCATCAAAGGAAGGGAAATTACAAAGCTTTCACGGATAATGTGGTAACAACACCGTTCTCGCTCAGATTCAGGAAGTTTCATTCTAGTTATGGTACAGTTCTGCTCCGGCCCATAGATCCTTCCTTCCGTATCTGCCATAACGATACAGGATCAATCACTTCATGGGGCAAGCCCAACTGAGAAATAGCGTCGCCGTGGGAGCCGATGATACAGCGACACAGCGGTTCACTTTCAAACCGAAGTGAGTATGGAGTATACATAGAGGCGACCCTTTCCTAAGCCTGGATTACACCAGACCCCAGGTTCATGACCCATGTACTACGCCAGATAATCGAAGGCTTCTCAATATCACGGCGGTATATAAATGCGCATGCTTCTCCCTTCCCACCGTTCCATAAGACCATCGTCTGCAGCTTTGGCATGTAAAGTGCAGCTACCCCAGCATCTTTCAAGAGGTCGCAAACGTCCCTCCAGTCTACCGTTGGAGTGAGTGTTCGCGACGTGAGGACCAGGGATCGCAGGCGGTTCCAACGCCATAGTGGCTGACGCGCTTGGAAAAAATGCTGAGCATCGACCATGAATGAGACAGAAATTTGTTCGAGGTCGAGGCTTCTATATGCAAAAGCCGCACTGACCGTAGGATTCGCGATCCGGATAGGGTCGGCCTGAAGAATCGACGCTCCTTGGAAGAGCTTGATAAAGCCGTCGTTGTAATCTTCGAAGATTGACAGTCTCTTGAGCGCTTTTGGTAAATGCGCCTGGATCATACTCCGATATTTTACAGTTATAAACGTTAATAGCCGGAATCTTTCCATCTGGGAGGCGTATAGTGCGGTTATCGGGTTGGGAGTGAGGGGTTGGTGGTGGGGTTACTCGATATTGAGGTAATTAATTACTTGCCCTCGTCAAAACACTGTTGTTCCATTCTATCCCAACATTGCCATGGCTCGTAGACCATACATTCCAGTCGAGGAAGCTTATCCAATAGAAGCCTCAGAGCTCTGTTGAAAATCCGGCGGCGGCATTGTCGGCGTAATACAAGCTTCGTGACGACGTGAAGTATAGGGAGTTCTTCTTTGAAACTCAACCAAACCCACCCGTAAAGTCGTTGCACAGCTAATTGGGTAGGAGAGGCGACCTGTTGGCCGTCGACCCAGCCATGTCTTGGATCGTGTATACGCTCCTGCGCTTGGTTTTCCGATTCAAAAATGACATTTCCATCTTCATCCTCGGTTCCGAAATAACTGCCCTTGAACCAGTGTTCCGCATCGCTAGGGGAATGTGTGCTAAGCTCCAAAGTCAGACCATCGCCGGTTGCGTCCCAGGTGGCTAAATAGTAAACAGTTTCGAGATCGCGCGACTGATGATGGAGTTATTGCTTGAACTCCACGATGCCGACTCGGGCCATTGGCAACTGCGACAGGTGTATGATCGGAGCTCTATGTTCAGCCAGATGTGCCTCACAAGCCTCTTCCGTCGACTGACCATGTGTTTCAAGTCATCCAGGCAGGATGGCCGCAGTCTCAGTCGACTGAAGTTCGTCTTCTCGATGACGTCCATCCATTCTTTGCAGACTGAAGCATAAGAAGCCAGGCCACCTTTTCCTGTGCAAGTACTTCCAGGATCATGAGGCGTATCTCCGCTGGAAAGGAGGACCAGTGTAACATATTCGCCATAATCAAGGTAGCTCGGGAATTAATGACAATGGAGATGCAAAGATTCTGACAGTACGCTCCGTGTTGCACTGGTGCCTTTTATTAGCTGTGAGGCAGGTATGACCTTCATGTATGTGATCGTACAGGCACATAGCTGGGTCTGGCGACGACGGGAGAAGGGAACTAGGGGCTTTATATAGGAAATTGAGAATGTTTTCATCCGGTGGTCGGACATGGGTCTGATCTACTCGGACCCGGCGCATGAGGTCATCGGCCTGCGAGGTCCAACCTTATCGTGAGTCAGGGGCTGACGCAGCAATTCACTCAGCAATCAGATATTATCAGAATGCGGCAGTCTCGACCGTGGCACATCTATTCCACAACCGTATCGAGCAGGCGCGATGGAGGTATCCCGTTATACTCATCAAGTGACTCAGCGATACAAAAATCTGGAGAATGCTTTTACAAAAGCCTGTATGTAAGAAATTAAATCATTTAATTCTTGGTTATTTGCAAACTTTCCAATAGAAACAACATTGGCATCGTCGCGCTGCTCGTCCAAAATGCCTTTTAATCTCGGCACTTGTTGTGCTTTTCCTTCTCGGCGGCGAATCAAGGACGGCAGAAGTCCTTATGGACAACCGACCACCCCGACGAAAACGTCAACTCACTTATTACCAAGACCCTCTACGCCGTCGCCAGCACCAAACACACCAAACACCTTGCCAGCCATCGTATCTTCCCCGTTTGCAGTCCCACTTCTATCACCTTTCTCAGCATCCTCTTCCCGCAACCCGTCCCCTGACCGCCGAACGGTCAGCGCCCCAGCGTATCGCCGTCCATCATCCACCCTTGCGCCATCGCCTCGTTATCTTGGCCGTGATAGATCTCGGTATTCTTCCTTTGATACGTCGCCGTTAGCGGCGAGCAGCCCGGGCCTCGTCTACCACCAGGACATCATTCTAGTCGCTTGCGAGATCTGGGAGCATGCATACAACCAAGTCAAATGCGACGAGTCATTGCAACCTCTAGTTAGCAACTACGAAAAGCTCTTTGCCGCCGCAACAAAGGGCAAAACGACTACACATCGGCGGCCGTCCTTCGTGCAACTGGACCCTGCGAGCGACGACGACGAACGGAGTAGCATCGGCGAGCATGGCTTTACAAGACTGGCACAGGAGCACGTGGAGATGGTCAGGAAAGAGTCAGCACACCAGGGTATCGTGTCTTCGGCTATACAATTCATCCAGAAGACTCGGGATGTCGTCGGTTTGGCCCTGTCTGCATCGCCACCTGCGTCTCTTGCTTGGACCGGAATTTGCACCATTGTGCTGCCGGTAAGCCTAGTTAGTATATTGCTCCTGGTTGTATCACCCACTAAAGTGTGCAGGTGATTGTGAATCATGCTGAGCAAATCGCCGCCCGAGAATCCGGATTCGCCTATGTCATGTCACGATTTACGTGGTATGGTCAAGTTCTCGATCTCCTCAACCGCGAGTACTGGAAAAGCCCGCAGAGTTTCTCCGCTTTGCGGCATTCTATATACGACGAAATCGTGGCGTTGTACAAGCTTCTGATCGAGTATCACTTGCGAGCGTATTACACCTACTGCCGACCGCTCACCACATTATCGAGGGACATTCTCAAGCTTGATGATTGGGAATGCATGCTTTCGGAGATCAAAGAGAGCGAAAAACGTCTTGAAGAGTACATGACTCTCAACTACGAACAACATCTGCTAGACAAGCTCCACACGCTTTCCGAAGATGCGCTGCACAAACAACGCATAGAAACGCTCCTCAAGTTCAAATTTCCGGACGATCTCCCCTACGCTGTGTACCAGGCGTACCTCGACAGCATCGATTCTCCTCAAGACGGCACGGGGGCTGGGGTTCTCACACACCCTTCCTTCGTTGCCTGGGCCGCTAACTCTTCTGGTGCCTTTATTCTGGAAGGGATTCCTGGCTCGGGAAAATCGGTCTTGTCCAAGTGTTTACTAACCGAGCTCCGGAAATGGAGAAACACGACAGTATGTGGGTTCTTCTTCAAGGATAACGGTAAAGGACAAAATGCCTCTACCACGGCTCTTTGCAGAGTTTTGGACGAACTGTTCCGTGAGCAACCACATCTCGTGGACGGCGTAAGCTACAGGATCGACCACCTGCTCCCAGAAGAAGTGCGATGCAACTTTGACCTACTCTGGGATGTTTTGGAAGAGGCAACGCAGGATTGTGATCCCGGAAGCGTCACTGTTGTTCTGGACGCATTTGACGAGTGTGACCTGGACTCGGGAACAAAGCTGTGCCAGAAGATCACCCACTATCTCGCCAACCCAGAGGCCCGAATCAAGTTCTTCTTAACCCTGCGCCCACCCGTGTCGGCCTCTCCGTTAATGAGCTCCCCGCATGCTACCATTCTGAGGTTAGAAGAAGACCCCCACTGCCTCCGGCATATCAGCAAGGATATCGAACAAGTGGTTGTCGCCCGTTTCGACGGATTTGCCCTGCGATGTATCCAGGATCCGGCATTAAGACAGGAGCTCTTGGAGATGATTCGGCCCAAAGAAGACCGAACATACCTGTATGTCAAACTATTGTTTGACTATCTGGATCTGAAGCTGCGGGACGGCATACCCAGGGTACCACGTGGCTGGATCGAGGTATTCAAGAAACTACCCGCCACTGTCAAGGAAGCGTATGTTGGGATTCTCAGTCGGGTCCGCGAATCACAGCGAGACGACGTCAAACGATTATTCCAACTTGTGCTTGCTGCTACACGACCATTAACTCTTCAGGAGATCAACGTGGCGCTGAACATCCGCGACCTTCCCAACGGTAGCAAGCATGGCTTGGGCCTCCAGGACGAGGGCTGTTTTCGCAGCTGGATTCTCGACGCCTGCAAGTACTTCTTGGACGTGTACAATGGCAGAGTTTATTTTATCCATCAAACAGCCAAAGACTTTCTGCTCGCAGGCTCTGGTGACAACGGTCATCGGAAACCGGACTGGCTGGGGGAAGTCACCATGCAGGGCTGTCACAAGATCATGGCAGAGAGTTGCATCTTGTATCTTTCATTGCCTCTGAGTGTGCCGTCTAGGTTCAAGGGAGTCGACAACCCATCGGAGAGCACTGTTGAGTACCATCGATGGGACTACGCAGAGCTCACCTTCGCGAATTACGCACATTTCTTTTGGCACCACCACGTGCACCAGGTGGTCGCTGGCGATCAACCAGATGTTAACCAACTTAACTTGAGGATCACGGAAGACCTCCGGAAGTGGTACCAGGGCATGCTCCTGTATGTCCACCTTGGTTTACCTGTATTAACGGGAAATCGGGAGGTTTTAGAGACTGCACTTGCGCCAAGTTCCGCGAAGCAGCCCTGGGGGGCCGATTGTTTTGAGAATGCGCCATAGCAAAGCCATGATCTGACGGTCGTGGCCATTACAACACATCATCTTGCCCTCACGGACCGTTTTCGAACCCCGATTCCAAGGATGCCCCAAATCCAAGTCAACGTCCCCGACATCTTGCAAAGATTGGCGGCACTGGTTCGGGCAGTCGCAACATTCCACGCCGTTCGATCGTTGACGCGCTACCAACCACATTCCCCGTTGCCAGCAGAATGGTTCACTGTGCGGTTTTTCAATAAAACCAGTGGTCAACACCACAATGAGAAAGGTCGCCAGCTGCAGTCGCACGACGGGGACACCCTGAGCTACGTTATTACCAACCGAACGGAGATACACCCGGCGTATGTTCACATGTTGAGCCTCAACAGCTCGTGGAGGATCAACACACTCTTATGGAATGTCCGCGTCCCCCCACGACAGCAAAGAACCGGCGACCTGACGATGTTGTTACCGCCGAAGGTCAGGGAAGATGATCCGCAAGATGCGGAAGACATAATCATTGTGATATTTTGTGTGGGGGAGCAGTTTTCAGAGCAGATGGTTTCGTCGACGGAGTGGTTGAGGAGTCTTTACGTTCCGCCGGTACTCTTGGACCCAGGGGCAAAGGCCGGAGAGGTTCCAGTGTGGCCATTTTTTGTGCCGCCGCCCAACTGGGTGATTAAACACATTAGTGTTCGCACGGTCCCGCGGGTATGAGGGACACCGGGATGGATGGGAAAGGAAACGAAGTGATTGGGTGAACGGGCGAGCGGTCGGCCGATGGGCTGGGTTTTGGAACAGGACGGCCACGCACCAGCCTGCCCGTTGTCAAAACCGGTTGCTAGGCTACGGGTCAGCATAATAAGGGGTCATATGAATGTGCTTAAGGAGGGGTAAAAGATGAGGTCGCCGAAAGGGCATAATGTAGCATCTAAGCCTCGCTTAACAGCATCAGCATGTTTTCATTAATCAAGGTAAGAAGAATGAGGTAGATAGTTAATATTGAGTTGGACTGTGAGATAGTAAATAAAGACAGAGGGAACATCCCCCACTCAGTTATAGAAGTTTCTCTACTTACCTCCTCGCCTACAGTAATTATCGAAATGAGCCATGAGAAAGCACGCGGAGAAGGCAGAAGTCGTCAAGAATCTGCGGGGCGCCGCATTGCCCTGGATGATTTGATCTAGGGTCGCCAATAAACGGGGGATATCTCAACCTTGTTGTTTCTCCGACTTTGAGAAAGCAATAATTACAGTAGGATTTGGCCCATGACTGAGCGTGGAGAAGATCAGATTTTGTTTGCGGTTTGGCGGCCCCCTTAGGCCCCCTAACTGCTCAGAAGGCTTGTGTTGCAGGTTTGAGGGCGGGGAACCGCAGGATGTGAACAATAATGAAGGTTAAAACATGTTGTTGTGGTAGACCGTAGAATCGGGGCCGCTGTGTCAGCAACAACACTGATTCCACGTGTTGAGGTGGATCTCTCTCTGCCACATGGCGAGTTGTGGAAAAAAGACAGACAAGAACATGCAGCCCCCTGATTCAGATCACGCATCCCAAAAAGGCCGTCACTCTGCAGGCGCATGAATTCAAGCGCTTTCACTCCGATCCGAAATGTTAATCCATCTTCCCTTGTGACATCGCTAGACCCGTTGTTGCGACCAGCCCGACCAACCCGAAGACCTTCTTCCGGGGTTGCACAGCACAGGTGCATTGGGCACTCGCCTCGCCCTGCGTCGCTGCATCACAGTGCATCGGGTCGTGGTCGTCGTGTGGCGTTTTGTGTGCTCAGCACATTCGCTGCATTGGTGCTTCGGAACTCTCGTTGAGTCTTGCGCGCCAACCAGGGCTCACAGTTGCCTGTCACGGTTTTTTAGGTTGCCTCTGGCAGGTTCTTCCAGTGATGCCATCTCCTGGACCATCATCCTTCTGCCCAGCCGACATGGCCTGATCGACTTGCTGGGCATGCCGGCACGTGGTGTGATTGGCCTGTAATGCTAGCGAATAGGGTGCTGCGTTTGCCGCTGAAGAGCTGGAGAACCCCTGTGACGAGCACACTTTTGGCTGCTTCGGTTGGGCCCGGAGCTCCGAAGGATTACCGAATCTGGAAGGTGGGGATGCACATCATTCGTTGAGTGAACGATTGGAGCGCGGCCAAAGAAACAAAGAAAGGGGGACTGAGAGCTCCATCTTGTGATCATCTCAAGTGGGAGAAGGAGCTTGTTGACCACGTTCATGCGTTAATGGTTGTGGTTCCCGAGGAGGGGATCGTGGTGGCTTTTGTGGGTGGTTTGTGGGTGGTCTTGATGTGCGGTCCAGGTGGGGGCATGTCATGCGTTGATGGTTCGATGCTTTGTTCGGTTCGAGTCTTGGGACCTTCGGTTCATGAACAAGGCCGTTGATTTTTGCAGATCTCGGTCCGAATCTGGGCTTTTGCTGTTAGTCTGGGGTTCTTGCGTTGTTTGTTGCGCCTACCAGCATGCCCATTGATGTGATGAGATGAAATGTCTCGGGTGCGGTGACAGGGCTAAAAAAGCGTGATGGCCAACGTTCTTTCAATGGCCTTGTGATGGAGATGGAGGCAGTTGTGGGAAGGTATATAAATCTTGCCCTTTCCCCATACAAACCCTCGCCCACCACTCTTCCACAAACCACAGTTTCAACATCGATATCCCAAACACATCGATACCGGGCTTCGTCAAGCGATTCCAAGTCTCCAAACATAAAATAACATCACCTTCGCGCAACCAAACCTAATTACAAACAACAATCCATCATGTTGTTTCTCAACACCAAATTTCTGGCCCTTGCGGCCCTGGCTACCACAGCCCTCTCGGCCCCTACCACACCATTATCTGCGCGCGCCGACTATTCTCCCGTAACAGACGACGATTACTGCGGCGAGGCTGCGGTCCTCCATTACGCCTACGGCAACTCGGCCCCACTCGCCTCCGACTGCACGGCCCTTTACCAAAAGAACCCCGGTCCGGGCCGATGGGCGATCTCGTCCGCCGAAACACAATCCCGGAAGGCGTCGGCCGACGGATGGACACGCTTGGCGAGCAGCGGGACCTGCGCCTTTGAGGTGCGGCTCGCGCAGCCCGACGTGGTGGACTATCAGTTTGGAACGAATGATCTACGGTTCTACATTCGCGGGTATGCGGGTGCCGGGCAGGCGCAAGATGGGCGGGTGGCTGCCTCAAGCACGGTTTTGTGTGGTCGGGATCAGGGAGGGCAGGCTGCGGTGGAGTGGAGGGTAGCACATGCTTAAGTGATGAGGGATATCCATTGACGGGAGGAAGGAACGGGTTGGGGGGTCATCATTTTTTCCATTGCCTTGCTTTACATTTACATTTCCACATTTCCACATTTCCCTTTTTTTTCTCTTTTTAATCATCTTTCATTTTCAGCGGTGTTTTGCCTGGGGAATTCGGAGGTGGAAGTCGCACACAAACAATGGAGCGGGGAGTCCTGGGCGGAGTGTTTTGGGGGATTTTCCGGCCGAAGATCTTTGGGAGTTGAGGGGCTGGTGACCCTGCACGGTTCTTGGGGCGTTTCCTGGTAAACAATTTAAATCTCACGATTTCCCTCCCCTTCAACCGACCCCACTTGCATTCGATGACACGCAGAGAATATGCATCTCATCTTTTGGTGCTGACGCCAGACTTTCATGTGAGCCTCGCTGCCCCACCTAGGGAATGGACGAGACCACATCTTTTCTGTTCTTAAAGGCCCTTAAACTGGGTCAAGAAGTGGACGAGGTGAATGCACCTGACGGGCAGATAGCGCTAACGGTAATTAGGCGACAACATGCGATATCCCTGGGCAGTGTCAGCGTTGTACTCGAGTACGAGGGATTGGTGGCGGTTCGCTCCTCTGGGAATAATGGCAAAATTCCCAAAGCGAACATTCTCCGCTAGTCCTAGCACTTGTAAATAGTGACAACCTTGTCGCGAAGCATAGTCGGTGAGGAAATATCGCCGAGCCATTCTCCGGTCAGATACGGATACAACCTTTTTTCCCCATTATCAACAACTTATTTAGAGGACACGCTGCCCATTTCCAGTCTCTCACCTCTCAACCACAACTGAACGACAACTCGCTGTGGATATCAGTATCTTCCAAAAATTATAATTACCACTTCATCATGCAACTCACTACCATCACTCTGGCCACCCTTGGCCTAGTCTCCTCGGCAACAGCATTCGCTCTTCCTAACCCATTCCCGAAATACACGCTCATCGAGGACCGCAGCTGTATCAATGGCCGGTGGAACTGCAGCGGAGCAACCCTCAAAATCTGCAGCGGCGGAACCTGGGTCACGTCGGCTGTCTGCTCGTCTTGGCAGTGCTGTTCCGTAACGAATGGCGGCACCAATGCGCACTGCACGTGTTAAGGGATTTCGTTTTGGTTGATGGATTGTAAGTTTCTCATCGTATTATTCACAAGGAATGTTCGGGGTTCGTTGAACAAGGCTCTAACACACTTCAAAGCTATAGGCCTTAGGGGTGTCACAGTAACCTTTGGATACAGGACAGGATCGGCGAGTTCAGCCCTGGATAAGGAAGTTGGAGAAGCAAAATGTGGTGGTTACTTGGTTTCTGAGTCTCGGTTAGGAAGTATGTTTCGATGGATGCAGGATGCAGATTCCTTAGCAAGGCTCTGCGTTGCCTAGTTCGTATTGTCAACCGATAATAACTCTTTCAATTGGATGTTGCGATTCCGTGCTCCAATGACAACTCCCAACCCTTCCCTTCCAACTCTTGGTTACACTTACAGTGCGTCGCCTATTGTGTGATCCATCCCTGTTACATAAACCCACCGATATTCAGCCTCAAGGGATTCTTGGCCTGTTTCCCAAGGTTCAGCACTGTGGACTGTTCACCGCCAAAGACGGCAAGCAAGATGACTGCAGGCGTTTGGGAAGGCTTGAGGCCGTGCGCCGCGATTTGGATCGCGGGGTTTGCACATGTTGAGACCTTGAATGTGGGGTTGAGATGGGAGGGCCCACAACAAATAACACTTGGGGGCCGCGTCTTGAACTCTTCCAGACGCGAACTCGCAGCCGTTCCCGGTTGTCTTCCTCTTATGAACGCACACAGGGGTAATTAACCCTGGCGGTCCCGAGTTCATGCGATAGAATCCTGCGATGCATGTGAAATACGCGGTAAAACCGTAAAATCATCCACACGAGTGGTTGTTCGCTTATCATATCCACAGTTGGCCGTTCGTTGCTGTAACATTCCGAAAAACGGCGAGTAGAAAAGACCAACGGGAGTAAAGCCAAGAGAACTCTGGGTAAAAGGCTGACAAAGAGGCAAAAGACAGTTTGGTTAACAAAGATTAATTAGTATAAAGAGGTTGCCTTCCCCTTCTCTTGATCGCAACATTACTCTAGCACTCAACAACTCAACACTTCTCAGAGCCATCGACTTCCTCAAACCCACACCCTCATCATAATTACCTAGTCACCCCCTCCAAAACCGCCAAAATGCAACTCACCACCATCACCCTCACCCTCCTCGGCCTCGCCGCCACCGCCCTCGCCGTATCTGCCACCCAAACCAGCCGTGCCCTACCACCAGTCAGCACCAGCCTTCCCTGCACAAACGGCTACTGGTCTTGCAGCGGCAGCAACCTCCGGGTCTGCTCCAACGGCAACTGGGTCCTATCCGCGGTCTGCTCCTCGGCCGGCTGCTGCTCGGTTACGGACGGCGGGTTGAATGCGCACTGCACCTGCTAGAGGATGTGGTGATGGTATGAGGGTGAGTACTTCTGGAGTTGTTGCAGATTGGGGATTCAAAGTGCGGTTGTTGACTGTTTGATTTGTAGCTTTGATGTCTACTAAACATTTAGGGGACGGGGATATTAAATATGGGTTTCTATTCTTCTTTTATGTTATCCTCCCTTGCCTTTCTTGGTCGTATTGGGCAACTTGATCGTCGTAAGCAAAGCTCGACAATGGACAGTGGGAGATAACAAATTTGAAACAGAAGATCATAGGATACTAGGTGGGTCCTATAGGTGGTTTCAGCAATCCCGTTAGGATCCCATCTCTTAATGATCATGGTGTTCTTCAAGATCTCGATTCTCGATGCCCCACATATCTCGATGTTACATGTCGCCTTGATTGCTTGTGCCTACCTCCCAAGATGAATGAAATTTGTCAGGAGCTTGCTGGATATGGCAGTCCAAGCTGTAATCTACTTGTCAGTGAAGACCCATTTGTGTTCCGGTTTGTTTTGGACTGTGGAGGGAAACATCGTTAGCGGACTAACCACAAGCGCCTTTCAGGCCTGATAGCCATTTTCCTTGTTGGTTCGAATTTCCTCCAGCGCTTGATAAAACCCAACCAAGATGCCCGATTATGGTCCCGTGTCAGGTCAGTAACCGCAGGCGGCCGCAGTGGGTGCTGGTTTGGGCTTCCAAGACTTGCAAGCGCCAGAGCCCTATTGTTTGCCAACATTCCCACCTTAGCCACCAGGGGCGATACACATATTAACTGCGCTTCGGGGTTTCTTGGGAGTTTGAGTGTTTTTGAAAGCACCGAAATTCCGGGTAAAAGCGGCGTGAAAGGCTGGCGCCTTCAGTGACAACCTATCTGCGGCCATGACTCGCAAGGGGTAATTATTAATAGAAGCCGTTGGCTGTGTGATTTTGATTTTGTGGAACACATTGCTATTAGGATGGAATGAATGGCCCTTAGTTATGGGGCCCAATGCGAAGGTCTCGGGTGATCGAATCATTGGCTAGTTTCTTCATGTTTGCCCTCGGGGTCCTAAAGCGTGGGTCTACATTCCATTTTTCTCTTCCACCTTGGGATGCAGAGGGTGCTGGGGCGGGATTGTGTTTGTTCAGGCCTAAGCGCCCACAGGAGAAATTGTTGACTGCAACACTTCCGTAGTTGGCCAGGGCCCAGCTGTGGTTTGCTCGTGACTTCCCAAAGGAGACCCGGAAAGGCTTGGGGGAAGGGGCGACTGGAACAGCTTTGGCAAGTAACGGAAGCGGCAGAATACGGGAGGTACCTACTTAGGTAGGGAAGAAAGAACCGAAGTAATTAACTGCTGGGGTATAATAAGAACCTAGTAGGTATCTACTTATAAAGCGAGGTGGCCTCCTTCCTGTCAGACTGCTATCAGGGCGTCACTCTCAAAACCACATCCACAAACATTATAAGTCATTCACTGTTACAATTGGCTCTCAACCTCTTTCATCACAATATCCAAAAGATCCTAAAATGCAGCTCCTCACGACCACCATCGCCCTGCTCGGTCTTGCATCGTCGGCTCAGAGTCTAGCCGTCCCCTCGGCTAACCCTTCTCACGTCTCCCCGCGTAACGCTGCGGACACTCCCTTCCCGCCGCCTCCAACTCAGCCGTGTACGAATAGTCACTGGAACTGTGACGGCCTCGCGCTCTGGGTGTGCCGAAATGGCAACTGGGTGTTGTCTGCGCTGTGTTCCGAGTCGAAATGCTGCTCAGTCACTGATGGAGGGTTGAATGCGCACTGTAACTGTTAGGAGTTACCAGGCGGTGAGATAAGGGAGATTGAAGGTAAGTGTGTAGATCCTGATTTGATCTAACTGCATTTTCATTGTTACCCTGAGCCTACAGTCGCTTACAATGCGGGTTTTATCTGTTAGTGCGGGAGGATATGAGGACTGTGGCGGGTACTTGGAGGGCTTTCTGCTCTTTTTTTTCTTTCTTTTTCTTCTTTTTAGCAGGGCGCTAGATGATGGGAACTCCAGCATGAAACTGGATCGGAAGGAGTCACTAAGGGAAGAAGGATTTTCAAGTAGCTGACCTTTGCAATTAAGAATGTATCGAGAATGGAAGAAGAAGGGTGATCTAAGTCCGACAAATCTTGATAATAATTCATCAACAATATATGTCCGACATAGCCCCGTACATTAACATTCACATGCAGTTTAATTTATCATCCTTAACGCTAAAGGCCCGGCCATTACCCTCCCTTATTTACTACACTGACTGCGCCTAATAATCTGGCGCTGGTAACTGCACGAGATCTGGCAGGCAGCAGCTGGCTCGCTGTTCGTCCCCACCGTCGGAAAGGACAGCCAGTTTTTCAATCAATGGCTCATTATCGAGGTAGCTGCTCGAGCCAGGTGCCTGTGAATCTCTTGTTTCACAGTTGATATAAGTGAGGGCCTCCTTAGGGGCAAAAAGCGGAAACACCAGTTACAAATCGCAGAAATAATTGGCGGTAAACGGAATGCAGCAAGTTGCAGCTTTTGCCGGTCTGAGTCACTCGGCAACATGTGCATGTTATGACGCCAAGCGTCGTTTGCCGAGAGTTGCGAACCAAGAAACTGAAAAAAAACCAAAAAAAAAACCATTTGGATTCAAGGAGCCATATTGAATCCAAACGCTACCCCCATCTTCCTCTTCCCAGTTCCCAGACTCACCAAAACGATTTACCTCAACCCCTAACCAACGAGCCAGCCATGTCCACCCAACCCACCCCACAACCTCCCCTCGGCCCCGAGGCCATCGCCTCCTGGAATGCCAACGCAGCTTACTGGGACGCAGCCATCACCAAAGACGGCAACAAATACTGGCGCCGACTGCAAGAGCCCTGCCTCACCCGTTTCCTCGGTCCCTTCCTCTCCTCCGGCGGACGCGTACTTGACTTGGCCACGGGCAATGGCCTCTGCGCGCGCTGGTTAGCTGATAAGCTGCAGGAATCGGGGGGTGAACCCGGCGAGGTCGTGGCTGCGGATGCTAGTGAAGGTATGTTGGAGGTTGCGAAGGGGTATGGGGATCGGGAGGGACGGATTAAGTTTCGAAGGGTGGATGTGACGAGTGAGGAGGAACTGAGAGGGTTGCAGGAGGAAGAGGGGAGGTTTGGGGTGGTGTTGATGAATATGGCGATTATGGATGTGGCGGAGTTGGGACCGCTTGCGAAGGCGTTGAGGGAGTTGTTGGTGCCTGGTGGGGTGTAAGTCATCTCCTGTCCCTTTCACCTTTTTTCACGGGAGGTGATGATAGGGGTTGATGATAAGGGTTTGCTGTGCTGAAGTGTGTGTGATACCTTAGGTTTGTTGCCACGTTGTTGCACCCTGTCTTCTTCACATCGAACGCATCTCGCATTGTTGAGGTCTCGTATAACCCGATGACCGGTGACCAAGAGATCGTCCGCGGTAAACTCGTGAAGGAGTATATGTCTGTGCCACCGGCAAAGGGAATTGCGATTCCGGGGCAGCCGGCGAAACAGGTGAGTACTAACGAATATGGGATGAGTCCATGGCAGTGGGCAAGGTGCTAAACCTGATAGCTTTACATCCATCGCCCGATCCAAGACGTGTTCTCGCCCTTCTTCAAAGCTGGTCTGGTGATGGACGCCATGGAGGAGCTCGCTTTTACTACCGAGGCCGCTGAGCCGAACCGCATTGAGTCCACCGCAAACTACACGCAGCTACCGGCCATCCTAGCGTTCCGGATGAGGTTGCCTAAGAATTAGCTAGAGGAAGGGAATATCTGAGCGATAATTCAAGGGGAGGAGAGTAGCCAATAACGCAGAAAGGAGAAGCCATAGTTAAAATTGTATCCTAGGTCACCGCCCAAGAAAGCCCTACCGAGACCTTTGACCCTTAATTAATTACTGCAAGTTCACAAACAACCCCCCATCCACCAACAACTGCGCCCCCGTCACATACCCACTCAACTCCTCACTCGCCAAAAAAACCGCCGGCCCCGCCAAATCCCTTGGTTCACCCGTCCTCCCCAACGGTATCCTCCCCTCCATATACTCCCTCTTCCCCTCATCCTTCAAATCCTCCTCGTTCAACTGCGTCCGAATCGTCCCCGGCAACAGCGCATTACACCGTATCCCATACTTCCCCAGCGCCACAGCCGTACTTTGCATTAGACTCAACACCCCGGCTTTTGTAGGCGTGTAATGTGTCTGCTCGCCACCGCCGACAAGCGCGGAGATGGAAGAGATCCCGATGATGGAGCCACCGGGGGGTGAGTTGCCGCGGGCCATCTGGCGGGCAGCGGCCTGGACGAGGTAAAAAGCGCCGTCGAGGTTGGTGCGGACGGTGGTGGAGAAGAGGTCCGGGGAGAGGTCGAGGAAGGAGGCGAAGGTGCAGATGCCGGCGTTGGAGACGCAGATGTCGAGGCGGGAGGAGGAGAAGGTTTCAAGAGCGAATGCGACGAGGGCTGGGCCGGTCGCGGGGTCGCGGATATCGCCGGGGAGGTGGGCGAGGCGGCCGACGGAGTTGGGGGGGTTGGCGTTGGAGCGGAGGGCCGCGGCTTCGGTGAGGAGGGAGGTGAGGTGGGGCTTGTCGCGGTCGAGGTCGAGGTGGTTGACCGCGACGTCGCAGCCTTGAGCGAGGAAGGCGAGAGCGATGGCCCGGCCGATGCCGGTAGTGCCGCCCGAGATGATGGCGGTTTTGCCCAGGAGGAGATTAGTGGCGGGCATTTTGGAGTATTTTTTGGTGGGACAAAATTTCCCTGGGGTTCGTGATGAATTTTTGGTGTTGAGTGAGTGGTTTGAGGAATTGGCCCAACGTTCAATTAATTTGTCAAGAGACAGTTGGCCGACGGCCACTAGACTAAATGGAACGTATAAAAGGAAGACTAATTGAATATAAATGAACACATATATTCCTGCCTAATATCAAAAAACACGCATCTAATAATTCAGTCACACCTCATCGTATGCTCGTCCAATGTTGGGGGTTTGCAGGGGGCCAACTCCAAGACCCACATCGCATGAGGTTGAATGCCCCTGCTGCGCGGAGCAAACGCGGGGTCATTCGCCCCACACCTCGGGCTAAATTACAGCGAGGCCGGTCCCCACACTCCCCACACTTTAGTGGGCGCCGCTGTGACCGTTACAGAGGATCAAGTTAGCTCCAGAGGGACTCACGGTCGAGAAATTGCTCGGGCCGACCATCAGGGAACTCGCCATCGTCATCACTCTCCGTGTGCAGAACCGACAACGCAGCCCAAGCAGCCTCTACCTCCGGGCCGAAATCCATCCTCCTCCCCAACCCATCCATGTCCAATAACGCAAACTCCCTCTGCAAGTTCCGCAGCCCATCTGCCATAACTTTCCGCTCTGCCGTCCACACGTCGTGAATGCCGTACATCGGTCCCAACCAGGGCCGCTCATTGACGGGACATTGCGCCCACTCACCCCGGAGACGGCCGAATTTATGAGAAACGTTTTGCGGTGGCGGGGGTGTCCTGTCCGAGTTGAGGTAGTCGCGGACAATGTTGGCCGTGCAGGTTGATACCATGGAGATGGTGCAGTGGCCGAACCCTCGCTGCTCGACTATGCCGGCGCCCTCGAACTTGAGCGCCATTTTGACGGCGGCGTGCAGAGGCGTGACGGGGTCGTTCGAGTTGGAGAGGAAAAGCAGCGGGTGGGCGGTCTTGATGCGGTCAGAGGGTTTGGGCGCCCACGGGGTCTCGGGCGGTCCGACGGGCCACGGTTTGCGGGACGGGTGGTTTGGGACGGGGGTTAGTTTGTCGGAGCCGGACGTCGACGGGACCTGCCAGTTGTTGCACTGGATCATAATGCTCGCCCAGATGTCGGCGAACCGGGAGGTGTTTCTCATGGCAGTGAGGGAGTCGGCCCAGACTTCAGGGGCCCAGTCCTCCTGTGGAAGTAAGTGTGTGTTAGCCCAGGTTGGGGGTTGAGCGGTCTTGGGGGATTATCTCTGCTTGCTTACCCTGACTGTCTTGTCGCCGCACATGATGGCGCGTTGGGCATCCGTAAGCCAGTCCATTATTTCCGGCGACGTCTCGACCGCACACATAGCCTTGGGGTCCGGGAAAATAAGGCTCAACCCCTGGAAATTCTTTTCTAACACCATATTCAACAACACCGCGACGCTCGGAAAGGACTGCATCGGCGTGTACAGCCCCCGAAACACCAGCATCTTGAACAGGCTCGCCTGCAGTAGCACCGGATAATAGTGCTGCGGATGCGTGAACGTGATGAAGTCCTTTTCCAGCATCTCCATCACCTTATCATACCTCTTCTTCACATCTATCATCTTATCCCCTTCCCGATACAGCGCACACCTTTTCTTTGCCGAGGCGCAATACCCCCAGAAAGGTATCAGCACGGAGTCCGCATCCAACAAACTCTCCCGCCACAGCATCTCCTCGTACAACTCCGCATCAACCACCCCGTCCACTATCACCCTCCCCACTCGCTCAGGAAACATCCGCGCAAACGTCGCGCCCAAATACGTCCCATACGAAAACCCCCAATACACCAGCTTCCCCTTCAACTCCCTCTCCTCCCCACCTTCCTTCTCCACCCACTCATCCCACGCATCCACAATACTCACCATATCCCGCGCCACATGCTCTGTGCCCGTCCACGCCAACCCACTGTCCCCAGCCAGGTGCTCATCCCGCTCGCGACACATGGCGTTGACGGCTGTCTGGCTGGCCCGCACGCGCGCGACGGTGGACAGGTCGTCGGCGTGCATCAGGCCGAGCGCGGCGTTGGTGTTTTCCCATTCTAGACGGCGCAGTAGGCCGGGGAGGGTAGGTTGGGCGCACCGGTCGGAGTCGCTGGAACCGCCGGAGCTGTCGGTGGAAGAAGTCTTATTCAGGCAGGAATCGGGCGGGGGTTTGACCCAGCAGTCGGCCGTGGGGGTGGTGAATGGGACGCCGCGGGGGTCGAAGCCGAGGATGGGCTGGTCAGGACCGAGGACGGCTTGGAGGGCGGCGCCGGCGCGCAGGACGAGACCGGTGCCTGAGCCGCCGGGTCCGCCGGGGTTGACGAGCAAGGGGGATTTTGGTTTGGAGGAGGAGGGGTCGGTTTGGTTTTGGTTTTGCGCTGCCGGGAGGAGGAGCAGGGCGATGTGCACTTTCGGGACGTTCGGGGATGAGTTTAGTGGGCGGTCATAATCCATCGGCACGGTCAGGCGGGCGCAGAGAAAGGTAGCGTCTAGGTCTGTGTGGCAGGGATGCCATTCGAGGTTGGTAGAGGGCGTGATCTGGGAGAGTTAGCGTTGCGCCCCGACGATGATCAGCTGGTCAGAGAAACATTGAGATAAAAATGAGCGACAGACATGTTCCCATGGCTTATCTGAGAGCGCGATAGCATTCGTACTCTGTTCCTCTTTACCGGGCCTTGGTGATCGTTGGCTTTCGAACATAGGGCTTAGTGGTCTGATGTACAAGCAGACTTCGTAGTAGAGGAAAACGATGAGAACCAAGCCCCATCGCCATCTCGACGGCCGTCGGGGTATTTCCAGGGCTGACCCGCCTGCCAATGGCGAGAGTTCGGTTTGTTCTTCGTCCTTCATGCCGTGCAGGGCTTCGATTCGAGGTCCGGGTGGGTGTTTGGGAGACAGTGAGAGTTCTGGATGAAAGAGCGCAAAGCGAAAAGGGGAGCGAAGGGAGAAGAGTTGATGGCATCCTGTGGGATGCAAAGACCTTTTGCAATCCGTTCGTGCACTCAGCTGTTAGTTCGTATCGAGCGGGAAAACCGCCTTGCCAAGCCACTGCACCTCAAGCGCAGACGCAGCCGAAGGGCGGGGAACTGATCCTCCTTGTCAATGGATGGTGACGCGGACCTGTGCCGCGTACCTGGTTGCCTTCGGGATATTTGCCGATCATGACTATCCAGGCGACAGTCCGTTTACGTTGATCTTGATGTTGCACGTTGAGCTTCAAGAGAAATGTTAGCTTCGTCCATTTCTTCAAAGCGGGACCACAGAAACCCGCTGGGATTGTCGCTGCAGCTCGGATTGTCGCCGCGTGGGCTTCGCCCGCCTAAATATTTTGTTCCTTGCAAGTTGACCAAGAAACCAGCCGCCCAAAATATGAACAAGATATCGTCACCGTCATACCGCTATTTTCCCGACCACTAAAATATACACCCAGTGCCTGAACCTGATATCTTACCCTAGGAACTTAGTTTCGCCCTGCTGAAAAAGCCAGTCCCGATTGGCATCCACCATAAAATCCGTGATATTAAACTCCCCTTGCACGACGCCCGCGCCAGCATCCACCCCACTGCCTGTAGCTTCTGCTCCAGCCCCGGCCCCGGCCCCGGCCCCGGCTGCCGAAGTGCCCGGCCCAGCCGGTAGCCGTGGCACATTGAAAAAGTCAAACACATCAAGATACTCCAGCTCATTCGGTGCCGGCGTTCTCGACGCAGGTGTAGCGCTCGCTAAGCGGCTTTGCCATCCTCCACCACCACCACCTGCTCCCCCTCCTGGTCCCGTTCCATTCCCGCTCCCATTCATCACTGGCGTAGCGTGTCTCGGCTGGCGACTGATCAAAAAGTCCAAATCAAACGCCGTTCTCCGCATATCCGCGAGAATCCTGACGCTGCCCGGGACCTCGCTAGCCCCGCGTTGCTCACTATCCCGATGTTCATCCAGGACCCGGCTCAACAGACTACAATAACGGGCCGCAACGGGCCAGTACCGGCCCATTTCCCGCAGCGTGTCCACAAACGCGCCAATCTGCCCTCCCTGTAGCTTCCGCTCGACAGTGCTCCCGTGTACGAGCAGGACGCGCGCGGCAACCCAGAGGGTAAAAGCAAAAGGGGGGCCGAGTTTTGATAGGAGGTTTTGGGCGACGACGAATTCGCAGAGGGCAGCGATGTTTTCCACAGCCGCGTGGCAGCGCTGGGATGCCGAGTAGGACGGCGTGAAGATCGGGGACCGCGTGGTTGGGTAGGCGGCCGACGAGTGCAGGCGTATGACGGCAGTGTGGTAGGTCGCATGCAGCATCACCCAGCCGCAGTTAAGCGTCTTGGCCGAGGCTGGCTGGAAGAGCTTGGCCATGTTCCCGTATTCCCCGGGGAGGTTGAACTTCCACGCTGCGAGGGTGTTGTCCAGCTCCTTGTAGCGCATTTGCCAGGTCTCGACATCTGACAACGCGCTGATGTCGACGGGCTGCTTGAGGAACTTGTGAATCTTGGAAAGTGTGCCTAAAATCTCGATGTAATAGCTAAAGGCGCCGAGGTTTTCAGGTTTGTCGATTTCGGGTTCTGATCCCCCGCCGGCATTGCTATCGCCGGGCTTTATATCGTCGGCCCGAAACCAGCGGGTATCCACCTTTTGGTTCTTCATCCACAGGTCGTCCCGACACGGCAGTGATCGATCAATCTCGCAATCGTCGATCCCAAAGTCAAAGGCCGTGGCGATTGTGGCATATCGGTCCAGCAAATACACCATCCAAAAGAGTCGCCGCCGGGATTCCTCCTCAATGAAGTCTCTCGGCTCAGGCAATATCATGGCCCGCAACGTGTAAATAGATGTGTAGTTGGGCGCTACCGAGAACGAGTTGCTTTCCACCGCCAACCCGAGTGTGACCACGGCACGAGTGATAAGCGCCATGATGTTCCACCCGGGAGGGCCATTGCTGCTTCCGCACAGGTCCAAAGCCAGGATGACCAGCGCTTGGAGAGACTTAACTGACAAGTGCTCCATCCCATACAAAAGCACCCGCTGTTTTGAAGCGTCATGAAACCGTTGCCGACTGTCTTCTGTTAATCTAACATCCGTGGAGTAGCGTAGTGCCGTAGCAACGATGGCGTGTAACAAAATTTTGTCCTCCTCGTCGATCATAGACGGTCCGAATAACGAGTCGAGGGTGGTTTTGCGGTGGAGGATGGGACACCAGGTATTGACGTGCTTGAAATAAAGGTCCACCAGGGCATACAGCAGATCATATGGAGGTAGCTCCTGTTCTGCTGATAGCTGTCCCGAATGTTGAGTCGTGACTGATGGCGACTGCAGTTGTGCGGAATGGGGCGGTCCATAGTATTCCTGGGCCGCAGCGCTGGGCGGCATGGCCCCTGACAGGTGGCTTGGGGGTGATATGGCGCTGGCGGAGGGGAAGCTATCATGCACTTGTCCGACGGTCACTCCGAAATCGATTGACCGCGACGGCTTTTGCAAGAACAACGCGGTCTCGGCCTGTGGGGTTCGCATTGTGTCGTGGGTCGGCCGACCGAATATCGATGGTATCACTTCTCGTGGGGTGCCATGGTCGCTTGGCATGCTCGCGTTGCTATCCCTCACGCTCGCGGCACCCTGATGTGTCAGACCCGTCGGCCCCGTGCCATGCCCGCTTGTTGGGCTGTTGTTCGTGGTCAACGACTGCAAGATCTCAGAGTGTACGCGGAGCTTTTCCTCGAGCTTGTCAAGTCGTTGCTCGAGCTCGCGACCGTAACCGGCGCGGAGGCCCGGCTTTTTTCTCTCTTTGTACTCGCATAACGCGCCGTTGCGGCTACACCAGCCGCATGATGGTTGGCCCCGGTCGCATTTGACCTGTAGTGTACAGAGCCGCCAAGCAGTCAGCCAAAGATCCGGCGGGTAGTTTCGAGGACGACGACACGAGGGTGAAAATTGGAACCTACCTTGCGCTGCTTGCACAACTCGCACCTGGGCGGCGTCAGCATCCATACTGCGCAAGCCAAACCAGGTGGAACGCCCGAGGCGGGCCAGAATAGACATCTACTTACGACACCGAGATAGGCCGCTTGCGCTTCCCGAGACGAGCTACCTCCGGATCATCGTCGGGGTCAAGATCATCAACACTATTTTGGCCGTCATCGCTATCTTGTGGGTCAACCAGAGAATGGCGGTGTTGATGATGGTGATGCGCCGCATGTGGGGAGGCCGAGTGCGGTGACGACCGCAAGGCGCCGTTGAACGATGCGGAGCCTTGCGCTTGCATCGTGGGGTCGGGGTACCCAGCGAAGGGTCCAAGTGGGCGAGGAACGGGTTCGGGCTGATCGCCAGCGACCCGCGACGGCGGCCGCTGAACTCACTCGCTGGCAATGTCTCGACAATTGGTGTGGAGCGATGCGATACGCGAAGCAGGTTGCACGGCCGAAAATCGTAAATCGTGGCCGAACCGAGCCCGAGCTTGGCTCCCACCCGTCCTTGGCCGCTTTCCTCGGGTGTTCGAAGCGCCGGCCTGCACAGGCAGGCATGCACGTGCCAAATGCCGGCCGCACAACTGCGCAGAGGCAATTCAGCGTCGATCCAGGGTCCAAGCCGAGTTTCGTTACTGAGCGATGGTGAGATGCCGCGCGCAACGTGGAGGTGGGTTCGCGGGAAGGGGGGCGAGGAAAAGATGAAAGAGTGGTTCGGGGTAATGTTGCGTAGAGAGCGAAGGCAAGGTTCAGGAACCTGCCGTGGGGAGCCCCGAAGCTGTTTTAATCGCGGCACCTGAGCTCCCGACTCAAATGGTCCGAAGCCCGCCGAACGGCCCGTGCTGCCCCTGGTCCAGGGCCCGGAGTGTGGGGAAGCCTGCCAGATGAGGGACAAACAAGGCAGGCGCCAGGGGGCCAGTTCAATTTGGAAGTCGCCCGTAGCGAGCGCCAGGGAACGCCCTTTGTTCTCATCAACATCCATTGGGTGACAGTCCAAAAAATGTACTGAGGCCAATGCGCTACATATCCGTCGGAGAAATAACGCCCATTGCGTTATAATTATTCCTGATTACCTTTTCTCCTTTTTTCTCTTCTGTTACGCCGTGTAGAACACCTCTTCCACAGCCCTCCACCATGGGGGCTCGCCCGACTCGCTGTCCTTGGCCCCGGGCACCAGGGACTCTTGCATCCCATCTGTCATCCGCCACCACTCGCGGACCTTTGGATTTTGCCGCATATTCTCCATGTCCGCGTCAAAGTCGCTGCCGACGTATTTGAAGCTCGCAAATAGGATACCTGTCTCCGGGTCATGGAAAATGCTGTCTGCGCTCGCCAGTCAGATCGGGAACTTCCAGGTTGGTACGGAAGAGACTTATTGACCGCGTACAATCCTGGATGTTACAGTCCTTGATCTGCTGGAGCACCTCGGGCCATACCGCTGCGTGAACCTCCTTGTACTGGGCGACGAACTCAGGCTTGAGTTTTATGATCTGCGCAAACCGGCGGCCCGCGTATCGGACGGGCGTGCTGTCCGCGGAGCCTTTTGGGGAAGACCACAACTGAGACATGATAGGGCGAAAGAGGTTGAACAGGCAAACAAGTTCGCTACAGGTTGTGTCGCGGTGGAACATGGGAACCTTCTTGATATAAAGCTGGCTCCCCACATCACATTTGGTTTGTGGGGCTGGCTCATTCGGGCCAGCTAATCCCGAATACCAACTCAGCGTGGATCGAGAGCCACAAAGCGATAACATGGAGTCGAGTCAAACCATGGCTCGTGGATGGAGGTTTTCGGCATTTTATCCCCTTCTTGGGGGTAAAATAGCCTGAAGTGAGGCGGTTCCCCTCTTCAATGGCATGTCAGGCATGTGCTTGCTCCTTAGCGGGGAAAACGAGGAGAGGCACCCTGGGCCAAGTCGGGTTGCCATTCGCGACAACACGAAGAGCCGAGGCGCATCTTTGGCAACATTCCGTGGCACCCTGCGGGGTTAAACACATGGTGGGGTTTGGAATACGCGCCGGATGGTATGCGGGAGTTGAGGGGGCGACTTGAATGGACTCGTTCCCCTGAAGGCTTGCATCACGTCGTCAGTCTCCATCATCGGCATATCAAGGCCCGAGATTTCGTCGCTTCTTCCGAAAGCCCCACCAACAGCATCAACCCAAAGCTCCAAAACCACCCCTCGTTCACTTCTCTCTTGAACCACTGGTCCTCCTCCTCCGAGATCATGCCTGGTTCCTAAATACCGAATCCAATCAAATAATTACGCCCCCTACACACAAGCTCCGCCTCAACGATTCTATTCCCGGTACGTAGGACGTTGTAGAACCAAGAGAACATGGCGGCTAGAGGGTTTCCCACAATCAAGACCATCCGGTCCTTCGTTATTGGCGGGGTTGGGTCGGGTAAGTCATGCTGTCACATGCGAAATTCCAGTCAGCTAACAGAGACAAGGTGGTGACTACCACAATGTAAAAGGGGGGCATTGGTAACTCATCACGATCCCATGGTTCATGGTAACAATCCACTAATAGTGTAGGTTAATCGATTCGCCGATCTCAACGCCCTGCTCCCAATGGGAAAAGTACCGAGCTTCCCGCACAAGTTGGGGCATCAACGTTCTGGGTTCCTTCTTTGTTGAGATCGAGGCCAGCGATGGTACGATTGGGTTTGCCACTGGGTTCGGAGGTAGGTCACAGACAGACCTTGAACACAAATGGGAATGAATGCACGGCTAACTCAAATAGGACCCCCGGCATGCTGGCTTGTCCACCAGCACTTTGAGCGCTTCCTCATCGGCGCTGACCCCCGCAACACGAACCACCTCTTCGAACAAATGTACCGCGCCTCCATGTTTTACGGCCGCAAGGGCCTCCCGGTCGCCGTCATCTCAGTCATCGACTTGGCTCTCTGGGATTTGCTGGGCAAGATCCGTGGCGAGCCCGTCTACAAACTAATCGGCGGTAACACGAAGGACCGCATCAACTTCTACTGCACCGGCCCCGAGCCAACCGCAGCGAAAGCCATGGGGTTCTGGGGCGCCAAGGTGCCTCTCCCATACTGTCCCGAAGAAGGCCACGCCGGTCTCAAAAAGAATGTCGAGTTCCTCCGCAAACATCGGGAGTCTGTCGGTCCGGATTTCCCGCTCATGGTCGACTGCTACATGTCACTAAATGTGCCTTACACCATCGAGATCGCCAAGGCTTGTGAGGACCTCAACATCAACTGGTGGGAAGAGTGTCTCACTCCCGACGACACCGACGGCTTCGAGCAAATTAAGCGCGCCCACCCTACCATCAAGTTCACGACCGGCGAGCACGAATACTCTCGCTACGGTTTCCGCAAGCTTATCGAAGGCCGCAACCTCGACATCATCCAGCCTGACGTGATGTGGCTCGGCGGCCTGACCGAGCTTCTGAGGGTTTCGGCCATGGCGGCGGCGTATGATATCCCCGTCGTGCCACACGCGAGTGGGCCATACAGCTACCACTTTGTTATCAGCCAACCGAACACGCCGTTCCAGGAGTACTTGGCCAATTCGCCCGACGGCAAGAGTGTGTTACCGGTGTTCGGAGATTTATTCCTCGACGAGCCGATCCCGACAAAGGGGTTCCTGACCGCGTCCGAACTGGATAGACCTGGCTTTGGCTTGACGCTGAACCCGGCGGCTCGGGCGAAGCTGATTCCAGGGGCTGCGTTGCTAACGTTGCCGAAGAACACGCTACCCTCGCCGGAGGAGGGGAAACCGGCCGAGGAAAAGAAGTGAACCATGAGTAAAGCAGACAAGATAGAGGGTTCTAGGTTAATTAGGCGACCTTGGTAGCGCATAATACGAGTAGACTACGAACATGGTTGTGACGCAGTTGGTTACCAATAGTATGACTTCGGGTTGGCTCCAGTAGAATTCTTAGTTCTAGCTAACCTCCATTGCCTCATGTCTTTGTCAATAGTGCATTCTGGTATCTTCCGTTGACTTTATGTGGTCTCTAAGCTGCGAAATAGTGGTTCCGTGGATATCATACAAGTATCATTCCTATGCAAGTCTTTTTATAATCTTCGCATTGTTGGCCTGGCCACTCCTGATATCTTCAACGTTCAATCAGCCACAACCCTTAGCCTATGTACTGCTTATTATCAGCGAAGAATTGTAGCGAAGAATTGTAAAAATTACTTCCTCTTAGAAGGCATGCGTCTCATGTCCTCGTTGTCTCACCCCCCTTTTTGCTCCATGTCGTTGCGTTACTGCGCTTTTTTTTGGTTTCTTGCCTTTTTGAGAGAAAGAAAAAGAAAATAGCAACAAAAATTAAAACCATAGCGCCTTCCATTTCATGTTAGCCTAGCCGACTGATGGAAGGTGGAGTTGGAAAAACCAAAAACAAATCTTTGTTCTCCGGTACGGGGAATCGAACCCCGAGCTTCGCGGTGAAAACGCGATATGTTAACCGTTACACTATACCGGATGCCGGATAATCACCGGGGAATAGTTTTACTGAACTCGACTTTCATGCCATATTCGAGGGCAGGTGGGACATTGAGTTACAGGCGTTCAGACTTCAGAAGTTCACACAATATAGGTAATTACCTATGAACATTTCCATGTTTACATCCTCCTATTTACCCAGCTACATCTTAACCCGGTCTTGTTTCCATCCCCCACAACTCATTTACCAATCCCTTCCGCTTAACCCCCTTATGCCGCAAGCGACTGCTTGACATAATCCAAAAGCAAAGGGCCAACCTTCGACGCGATGATCTTGTCGCCCTCGAGGTTGGGGTGCACGCCGTCACGTAGGTCGGAGGTCGGGAAGCCGGTGTTGCAGTCGGCGATGACGATGGGCGACTCCTCCGAGTTGAGACCGGCGACCCAGTCCGGGATGCGGGCGTTGAGAGCCTGAATTCCTGCGTTGGAGCCTACACCGAGGGGGATGACGAGGTCGACCTGGGGGATTGTTAGTCATTGTCCTTCGTGTGCTTTTTTGGTTTTTGCTTTCGTTTGGTCTTATTGACATGAGGATAATGATATGTTAAGGGGGCACTGACAATGATCTTAGTCTTAGGGTTCGACGCGCGGATGATCTGCACCATTTTGGTGTAAGCCGCAATAATGTCGTCTGTCCCATGGCCCCGGAACACGTCGTTCGTGCCAAGCATGAACATAACGATATCCGCCGGGGTGCTCTGGAGCCAATTGGTCAGGTAGTTGTTGGCGATGTCAATGGCGAGCCAACCGGAGTGGCCCTCATGGTGCTGGTCCCAATTGGCGGTGGCTGGCTGGCAGTTCTGGGGGTTGCTGTTCTGTGATCCCACATACTGGACCTGATCGGCGTACCCGGCTTCGGCGAGCTGATCCCAGACCAGGGCACGCCAGCAAGTGATCTCGGTGATGCTGTCGCCAAGGGGCACTGGGTCCACGTCAGTACCTGACTTTACCCCTTGATACGAGCGATTTGGGTGGGTAAGGAGGCGTACTGATCTTCAGCTTCCCGGCTTGACGCGCCACCAGCCCCGCGATTGTGAAGCCTGCCAGGCCAAGGGCGGAGACCACGGTAGAGAAGTGCATGGCGGCGAGTTAGGTATGTGTACGTGGTGTAGCTTGTCGATGGTACGATGACATTAAGGTGAGCTGGGAGAATCCAGGCCGAACTTCACGGAGACAAACCTCCCTACTTATCCCTTCTGTGGAGTGATGGTAAACGTGGCACCGGATATATCGACCACTGCCCCCCTTTACCTCCGCACAGCCAAATTGCTTCCGCCAGCCCGGTACGTTGCGCTGCAGTCTGTTACTTGACCGGGTGAGTAAGTTCACAATATATGCTCCATTGCCTTTTGTCGAGTGTGGTCAAATTATTATCCAGCCAATGTTTAACGTCGTGGTCCCACACAGATTCTAGGATGCTGAGTGCAGCCTCCAGTTCACTTGACCTTCAACCCGGACGCTCAACTTTTCAACATGGTTAAAGAGAAACCAGTACCTATTGGGAATGTATCATGTTCCGTGTCGGTTTTCACATCGCTGGACACTGTTAAGAAACATGCTAATTGGAGCTGCTTTGTCGGCCGCAGCCGAGAATAAATGAATCAATAACCACAGGGGGTGGGGTATTAATTCCGCCGGTTGTATCGAACAGCGTGTGGAGGTGACGGAGCGGTATCACTGAGATCTTAGCGGCCGGGAATTATCTAGTCCTCTTATGTAGTACACGGACTGTGGCTCACCTCTATAGCAACCCATGACGCAAACACGTTGGAGTATGAATGATCTGAGACAGGAACGGAATAACTTCTGGGAACCTAACAATTAACCTTTTGCTCCTAACACCCGTCTCGCTACTCCTACCTGGGACACACGTGGTGCGATGGAGGACTTAGCGTTAGTTCGGGAATTTGACCAGCGTCTCCGCCATATGGGTAATTTCTTCTTGGTTGACAAAATGGCCCCGGCAATCGGCATCGGAGAGTTTAGACTTGCCGCGCGAGAATGTGACATCAAGTACCAATATTCCCCATTGTCTGCGTTTTCGACAGTAGAAACCCTCCATTTGACATTTAGACATCCTAACCTGGTAATAATCACAACCGGCATGGAATGCTACCGTACCACCCGTTCGAGCGGCGCGGGCTCAGACCGGGGTGGTTAAGAAACGAGAGGAGAAAACCCGGCGCGAAATCATACCGAAATAGGCAACGGATATGAATCGCCGTATAGTGTCCGATTACTTGGCATACTGGCCACAACTAACGACAAGCGAGCCGCCGGGATAATCAAGTATCTAAATCTCCTAAATCTCCGGATACACATCTCTGAAAACAATTGTCAGCACCCTGATCAGGCTACGGGTACCTACCACACCCAGGGGGTTCCTGGTCCAAACCCAGACTCTCATTCCGGATATCTTCGACCCTAAACTCGAATTTGAGGGATCAGAAACCAAAACTTACATGCGCCTCCGCAACGGCACCTCCGTCCTCACTTTGCGGAGCAGCTCATGGTCGATCTCCGCCGTGGCGATCTCTGGTTCGTCGGCGGTGTCTCCCAGCTCGGCGAGCACTACCCCCCACGGGTCCACTATCATACTGTGACCGTAGCTGACACGTTTCTCGTTGTGTTGGCCGACCTATCACATATTAAACATACCCGTTAGCCAGCAGTCGAGGGGTGCTTAAGACCAGGATTGTTGACAGCTTACCTGTGCAGCGGCAATGACATACGACTGCGTCTCAATAGCGCGCGCTCGGAGTAGCACTTCCCAATGAGCTTTACCGGTTGGAACGGTGAAGGCAGATGGGTATGTGATGATATCAGCACCCTGTCGTTTCAGGGCAATGCCGATTTCGGGGAACCGAAGCTGTTGAGCTGTAAGTAAGAAGGGGCAAGACGAGACTAGGTGAGAGAAAGAAGGGCTTACATCAAAACATATTGTCGCGCCGACCTTTCCAACTGGGGTATCGAACGGTGGGAGTATTTCGGCCCCCTCTTCGACGGAACTGAAAGGGCAGGTGAGCGATAATGACAAGGTCAACGTTTAATCACATGCCAGAAAGAAACCTACTTGCTTTCCTTCAACACGGGCCCATCCTTGATCTCCACATCAAAGAGGTGGATTTTCTGATACCGCTGTGTGATCTCGCCCAGCTCATTGATCCACAACAATGTATTCTTGACCTTGGCCGCGTTCAGCCCCGGTTCGTGAACACCGACGTGGATGGGCAACTTCTCTCGACGTGCTTCTTCGCGAAGGCCGAGAACAAACTCGCTCCTGTCGATAGGTCTCACGAGGCTGACGGTTTCGGGCCCAGAGCTGGCGATGTAGTCGCTTGCCTCGGGGAGGAAGAGAGCCTGGTGGGGAGCATGAGTGGAAGCGTGGATGAGGGCAAGAGGAAGAAAGGAGACGAGGAAGGGGGAAGCAAAGGACGGGAACTGAATGGCACAGGAAACCAGCAGTGAGAGCAAGGTAAACTGAACAAACCTTCGCCCCAGACTGCACTGCTTTTCTGACAAGTACCCGACACTGTGCTAGGTTGTGAGCCATGCTGGCCGTCGAGGTCAGTTGGCCAACCGCCTGTTCATTACATTTAAAAGTTAGACCACGATTCCATACGGAGGTGGCGGGTGATGAAGAAAAGGTGCAAGTTTAAATAATTCTGATAGGCTATTAACGCTGCATGAGGTGACTAGGTGAACTAGGCGTGGCATAAGGGAGACTTGTTGAGTCAAAAAAACGTACGACTCGGGCCATCATGTCTGGCAAGTCAGCGCGTTCTGCCTCAAATCTAAGATGTATGGGAATTTCTCCGCTATTCGAGCAACTTGGGCTATTGGGACTGGGAATGGAGTCCCAATCGTGAAATCCTTCTGTTATCTGATAGGCGCCTGCTGCGGAAAGAGCTGATGCGGAGGTTGGAGTTCAAGGCCCCCGCAGACGGCTCGGAGTCGGATCCATCCACGGCGGGGAGATGCAGCTGCTAGCACGAAATTTCCACTTGAATCGGTGGAGCGCTACTCGGGCGCCTGTTTCTTTTGGACTTTCTGACCATCACAAGAACAATACTAACTGCTGCGGGTATTATTGATTCGGCTTCCATCCTCCAATTTTCCCAATTTTGCGAGGGACGAACCTCCGAGTGAGGGTTGAGACGTACAACCCCCCGAACTTTCGCATTCGTCGCAATCTTGACGATACTTGCCTTTTCGTTTTCTTTCTATTTTTCTTTCTTTTTTTCGTTTTGATTCTCACGGTTACATCTCGGTTTTACGGGGGTAAACGTCATCAAGGTCGAACTGGTGTCGTGGTGCCTCTGAGCAACATTTCAGCTCAGCCCTCATGCGTCCGCCATACAGTTAACAGCTCAAGGCGACTGGATACATGTATTGTGATAGGAAACGTCGAATTAGGGCAGAGACTGAAGGCAACCCTCCTTCGCGTCGAGATCAGTTGGGACTTTCTAGCTCTAGCATGCTCCGGGCTCAAAGTCGTTAAAATTCGCCTGGAGATTCCGGGAATATCGCCCCTCTCACCCGTCATACCGAAAAGCCCTTGTCTAAACTTGCGACCAAAATTGATATGCAACCAATGTCTCGGAGTAGCATATCTTTTTAAAATGCCTCAATCACCGCCTCCGACAGCATAGCATGATCTTCTAGCTTGCGACCCTACAAGTCCATGACGCATGGTCGTTACAGAACTGGGCCTCGACGTCCGACTACGCCGCATGCTTCGATCTCCCAAGGCTGCACAGGCAAGCAAACCGATTGGGTACCCACCCCGCTCGCCTTATCATCGATTCCCGCATGCATGCCGTGCCCCCGAGCAGTCGGGACATCTGGACTCGGGTGTAACCCTCCGGCATTTGAGGCGGCTACCATCCGATGGGGTTGGTTAAAGGGCCATAGAGCCTTGCGTTGGGCCATTGGTAGTTGGGTTGGGTGAGGTGGACGTGGCCCCAGTGTTGTGGGCGGTTGGTTTCATGAAACATACCTAAGTGGTATGTACCCTGCGGGGTGTTAAGCGCACGGCAGCAACTGCGGGAAGGCAGTCCCGTGGCAACAGCGCTTAAGGGAGATGCGTCTCGGGGTTGGGTCATGCACATCGGAGAAGGCAAAACGCCGAGCTGTTGATGTTGCACAAGGCAGCCGGATCTCCGGCTGGTTACAAAACATGAGGTTGGAAGGTTGATGGGGTCCGGATGAGCAGGCATCATTACCATCTTGAGAGAATTTAGGGGGCATGACGATGCATACTACTGTGGCAGTGTTTATCGCAGGTAGCCTTGCGCCTGTTGTAATTAAGAGGGGGAAAGTTGCATGGGCGTCATCAGATGTAATTCTTAAACCATGGTCACTCTCCTGGTGCTTCGGCATCAGGAACAACTTGCGATACAGGTAGGGTTAGACGGGCAATGTCTCGGGGAAGCAGAGAAGTGCAGTTTCACGAATCCACGATAACCTGAAATCTCGCAACAAACCCCCCTGGGGATTCCATCCAGAATCCCTTTTTCTCCCTCCCTTCTCAATCATGGCTGGGCCAAAAAGACCGCTAGCCAGAATCTAGAAATCCGTTTGCTCCCCCGCCACGCCAATTGCCCTGCGCCGCAGATCGTAGGGCGAGGAACGGGAAACGGTGCGGATGTGGGTCGTTGTCTTGCAGACAATACTAAGAGCGCAGTAACGAACAATACCAACCGCGGGAAGGGGGCCACTTCCCACAGCCGACGAACGAATGCAGAAAGCCGCGCTTAGCAACTTGAATAACCTGCCACGAACCAACCACTCATTGTCACCCTGCGAGGCAAAAAAAAAAAAAAATAGCTAGGTTACAAATCATGTATCAGGTTGTTCTTTGAGGAGAGCGGAGGAACCTTTCGCAAAAGTGAGTCGGGCCCCAGGGGTGGTCTGGTCTTGGAGTTCTTCCTGGTTCTTGTCATTTTGGTTCTTTATTAGGTCTTCGGTCCATTGGAAGTTGAGATTGTTCTTTCTAGAAAATAGGGGGACACTTCCACAGCCCTCGGGCACTCCATCCTCGACACGGGGCACATCAATTTCGTAGTATTGTGGTTCTCATATTGTGGCATCATTACTGAATCTCATTTTTGGTGATTGTTTTGGTTCAACACACAGGTTTCAACTAACTTATATTCGTCCAAGTGTTTTTGTTTCTTTTGCCTCACGAACATCGTCACCACTTCAAGCTTCCCATTTACTACCACGGCAAAGACAACTACGGCTCAGACAACCCAATCACATAGTCACCGCCACACTTACACGGGGCTCTAAGATCAAAGTTTCAGGTCTCAGCCTATTTTTCTTATCCCTTCCCATTCTCCAAGTATCAGCCACCACAGCAAACACCATCGCCATGTCAACAATCACCATACCCCCAGGCCCAGGATCCCGGGCTAACACCTCCTTCGACCCTCAAACCCAAAGCCTCACCCTATTCCTCCACGACGGCATCACCCCTATCACATTCCCCGCCTCCGCCGTCACCCGAACCTACCAGCAAGCAACCTCCCTCAGCATCCTCTACGGCACCCAAATCGGCGCTTGCCTGGCCATGCTCGCCGTGGTCCTCGGCATGACGCCGCAGGCGCGGTTCCGCCGCGCCCCCACGCTGCTGGGCATCGCTGCGCTAGTGCTTAATGCGGCCAGGATGCTGCTTTTGGCGTTGTTTTTCACGACGACGTGGGTGGACTTTTACGTTATTATCTCGGGCGATGCGAGCGTGGTCCCGAGGGAGGATTTTATTCTCAGCGTGGCTGGCACGGCGCTATCGGTGCCTGTGACGGTCGTGGTATTGTCGGGTCTGTGTGTGCAGGCATGGTCTATGTTAAGGCTGTGGCCGATGTGGTGGAAGGTCCCTGCTGTGATGGGGTCATTGGCGCTGGGGCTGCTGACGGCGGCGTTTAATCTGGTTACGACGGTGTTGCAGATCAACGCAATTTTTCATGCGGATAGTAGCAAGATTGCGGTTTGGACACGGCAAGCTTACCTGGTGCTGGCAACGACGTCAATTTGCTGGTTTTGCTTCCTGTTCAATGTGCGGTTGGTGATGCACATGTGGACGAACAGGAGCGTGCTGCCGAGTTTGAACGGACTCAAGGCGATAGATGTCTTAGTCATGACCAACGGCATCTTGATGTTCGTTCCGGGTAAGCATTTTTGTTTTCTCGTTGCCCTGTTGGTAACAAGCAACTGACAGACAGCTCCAGTCATATTCTCCGCCCTCGAATTCTTCAACTGGCAGCAGTTTGAACTCGCCTCGGTCACTCAGACAACTGTCGTCATCATCCTCCCACTTGGAACCCTCATCGCCCAACGACTCGCCAACCCTGTCTGGTTTGGGACCAATGACGAAGTTAACCGCAACCCCAACGCCAGCCCTCTCGGCGATACCAACGGTACGGGCGCCACCTTGACCTCAACCTCCTCCAATAATGGAAAGATCAGCCTGTCGCGCAGTGCAGTATTGACTCACATTGAGGTGATGACCGAAGATTCGGGCATAACGGATAAAAACAAGGTATTCCGTGATGATGGCCGCGACGTGGCGTCAGCCCAAGAGATGGAGGTGCTAGATCTAGAGCGCGGCGTAAGGGTGGATTACGGAATTGAATTAAGGGAAGAACGGGTGCAGAGTACGGGCAGTTCGTAGGCAGAGCTGCTGTATGAGAGCGCCGTGGAGAGCAAGGAGGTGGTCTAAAATGCTTGGAGGATGATGAAACGAGAGGAGTTTTGCTCTGGGAGGGAAGGATCAGCCACACCTGACCATGGTAAGACGGTTCAACAGAGGAGCTTTTGCGTTTCGTTATCGGGCGCGACCGCAGGGTAGATGAAGCCCACATTCGCCTTGATTTCTTCTTTCATCTGTATTTACTTTCAGTCTTTGTTGGCACTTTGTAATTATTTTGCGGGAGGATACCCGGGGTCTCTACTCCATTCGTGTGATACAACACCCCTGACTGAAGTCCCATACGTATTCGCCTTCGCACCTTCCCCCGTCGCCCGTGTCCCTACCTGCCTCAAAATTTGTTCAGGAAAGAAGTACATAGGGTAGGAACGTGCGCCCCAGCATCGACACCATCTAGATATCTTACCCACGATTAGCATGGATGACGATGCGAAGGCTGGGCGCTGTATACGAATGACGTTCACACTGACAACACGCCCTCAGAAAAGCTACGAAAATCCAGCCATGGACCACAGCCCTGAAGGAGAAACAGCTAGGAATACTGGAATATCTCACGGGACGCCTCGAGATGTCAGCAATTCCGGGCCCCTCATTCCCGCACTGGTATCAAAGTTCGAGCAGCTCGATGCCCTCAGTGGCGTCGAAAGAAGGCTAAATCTACCACGACAGCGAGCAGCCACCCTGACCCTCCGAAACGATTACCACCGGAATATCAATGGGATAGCTGACGGCCAGATTGGGGCGACGTCAAACATTCTACGGCAATGCCTCGCTCTCACCGATGACTACAACCCCCGCGTTCAACCTGAGCAAAGTCTCACGGGCGGCTTCGAGGATTAGGTGCCTCTAAAGCCGCGGAGCAGGGCCATCTCCGATGGACCACAGGAATACTCGACAGCTTTGAAACTGAGTGTTTGTAATCCTAATCAGGACTCTGGTTTGGATCATGTTCGCATAGCCGAACGGAGGAGGCTTTTTGAGCGGCTCTCGGGTGAGTAATAAGTCATTTCATGGTACTTCCTACGGCGCATGGGTACCCGGACGGACGATAAAGCTAACAATGCGCGAGTTGAAGACGGCGATGCAGCATCATCCAACTCACAAGCCGACGATGCGAGGTCCATACGTGGAAAGGAGACCGTTCCCGACCCCGAACCCCCACGAACCCCTCAGCCATCACACGATTTCCTGCCGGGTGCATCGTATCTTTGGCCAACAACGACGGAAAGGAAACACCGTAGCGTAGCGGACCTTAGACGTGTGTTCGAGCGAGACGGCTCATCCGAAACAACCGGAATAGAAGAAGGCCGGACGTGTTCATATGCTGCGGTCCCGATCCCACGCACAGATCACAGCCGTGGCGTCTCGAGTTGGCAACCCCCGACTCGGATTCCGATCCCGAGTCCCCAAAGGGCACGGGGGTCCCCGGTACAAGGCGAAGGTAACGACTTCAACGCTAACTTCCTGGAAAAGCTGTCACGTACCATAGTTTCGACAAGAAAATACCGGCCGAACTCCGAACTTGAGAAGCCGGGAATTGCGGGAGGCTTCTCGGATTCTGATCCTTCGAACCTAGCTCTAGTTCCAGATACAACAACAGCCGAGGAGTACGAGGTTTCCCACCGGGAAAGAACCGTTACACCGCCGTCCATACAGCATATGGGAAAGGTGGACATTTCTTCCTTCCAAAATTCGACAGTTCGACGAAGCAAAAGATCACTGAAGTCGCGGCCGAGCTTACCATTATTGGTGCCAACCAACGTCCCGGGCAGCACGCCGAACTCTTGCTACAGATGTTCGTCCAAGATCAGCCTGGTCGAGGATCAAGAAAGACGGGAAGCGATTCCGCTCCATCGAGCGGATGTCTTTCTTAGACCGGGCCCAAACTTCGATTTGCGATCCGAGTTTGTGGGTGCCAACGGAAAAAGGTCACCGGTAAAAGAGAAGATTGTCTTTGACCGAATGCGGGAGTCGGGTGTTGGGCAAGTCGACCCTTGGTCTGGCAATGCGGATCTTCGTGACAGAACGCTGAGGTCGCTGGACTTTCAGAGCGAACACGGAACAGTCCGGCGGTCAAGGATCCCGGTGCCGAAGAGATACAGCACCCTTCCACGCAATACGAGTTCGTACTTCAAGGCAGCACTCCGAAAGATTTCTGGCTCGAGAAAGAATGTGGCCCGTGAAGCGTCACAACCAACAGTAGTGCCGCAAGTTCGAGCCATCCCACACCCTGATGTCCTCCAGAAAACCGCCAAACTAGCACCGCGTCCGCTAGATTTGACATCAAACGTGTTCAACCTCGCTACTATCCGTTCATCACGAAAGCAAGAGAACAGACAATCGCTTTTCCAAGGCGGCGGACCGCACGACACAACTGAATGCCTCGGCTCTGATCACCGCAGTGTCAAGATCTGTACGCGCCTCGCCGGATATGATCAAAACACAACCGTCACTAAACCTCTAATATCCGCCGAGCCTTACCATAACAAGAGCAATTTTTCTCACACTCGTCCAACGAACAACTCACAGGACAAGGCACAATACCCGAGCATGTCATGGAGCCGGAGGACAGCCGCTGCGGCGCTGGATCTCCTCGGTAGACGACACACTGATCGCAAGATCAGTGGTTCGTCATGGACGAGAATGTCGCACGCCGCAAATGCCGCAGCTACTCATGCTGGAGGACAAGAGAAGGAGGAGGTGGGCGGAGCCGGAGACATCCTCAATGTCGGACTAAGCCTGGGTAAACTAGCCAAGACAAGGCATATCACACAATGCGCCAGAGAGGGCACAGTACCAGCACTGCGCGTCGTGACGCCGAACTGTAATCCGTACTATGGTAAATTGGAGCATCCGCGTCCTGTGATGGGGTCAGAGGCGAAGGCATTACAAAGGTTGGGGGCTTCGGGCGATCTGGGTGTTGGACTAGATAATAATTAGGCCGGGAGATGTGTGTTCAAAAAGGGAGTGACGTTGGATTATGAAATGTGGTCGAAGGGGTGGCCATAAAGACGAGGGCTGGTATCATTGGTACTTTTGTTGGTTATTCATTCAACTTTTAGGTATAGGGTGATTAGGGTGGATAGCAAACATGATAAACATACGCCATGGGTTATAATATACCACTCCGTGCACTAGTACACTCGGGCACTCTCTGGAACCGGAATCCCGGGTCGTCTGGGGAAACATGGATGCTAGACCCCAGTCACGTTTTACTTCCGTTCCAGCCCCCTCCATGAATCTGTGGAATCTGTGCTTTTGGAACATGTGCCTATGACAAACAGTTGGGTTTCGAATTGTTTCTACTATGAAGTACACAACACAGTACCTAACAAGAACACCGACCCCGACCCCCGGTTCTCCTCTCTTGACCCCTGACCGACCCTCTACCTGGTCCTCTCCTCTCCTCTACCCCCTCCACCCTTCCTCCACCAATCCCATCCCCCGTCCAATCTTCCTCACCAAAGCCTTCTTCAAATACCACTCCCTCGCCAACCCTCTTGTCATGCGCGCAAAAGTCTGCGGCGCAATCCGGCCCCTCTCCACCGCGCGTCCCAGCACAAACACCGCGTCGGCCAGGGCACGTTCCTCGGCGACGAGCTCGTACAGTTGATTCCCGACTACTGTCGGTGCGACGAGGAGCTCGTCGATGTCGGGGGCTGGGTGGCCGGCGGAGTTCTCGATCACGCTGTCGGCTTGGCGGAGGGAGTCTTGGAGGATGGAGCTGTTGGAGGTGAGCAGGGCGGTGAGTTGGGTGAGTTGGGCGGATTCGGCCTGGAGGTTGGTCATGGCTTGGAGCATGGCGGCGCGCTGGGCGTGGAGGCCTTGGAGGGAGGCGTTGTTTTGAGCGTGGGCTTTTTGGCGGTGGGCGTGGAGGGTTTGGGCGAGTTGGTGGAGGAGGTGGTCTTTCTCTGGGTTTGGTGGGATGGGTGGTGGTGGGGCAGTGGATGGGGAGGGGATCGTGAGAGTGAGGTCGTCGTCCATTAGGTCTGGAGGGGGAGGCTTCGGTTGCGGTTGCGGCTGCGGCTGCGGCTGGAACTGGGCCTGCACAGGGGGTGGAGGGTGCCGGTGTTGGTGTTGCCATGTCGGCGGGGGTGGTGTGTTGGTGTCGAATGGCCGGTGATGTGCAGGTGTTGAGACGCGGGGATCAATGGGCTGGAACGCCGAGTGTCGGGGGTCTTGCGGTCCCGGAAGGTAAGCCGGCCCTGGTGGGGGTTGTTGATACTGTGGAGGCTGCGGGTGAGGATGATGCTGTGCCGGGGGTGGCACCACCTGCCCGGTACCCGGGACGGGTCCTGCTGCTGCTTGTGGTGGTAGCGGCGGCGCTGTCTCATACCGGGACGGACCTGCACTAGTGACATTCGGGTGTGGTGGTGTCATCCGATCGGGCTGTGGACGGCCCGGAGGCCCACCAAGTTTCGGCGGGGGAGGTGGAACTGAGGTTCCGCTTTGTTGAGCTCGCTGAACTGGAGCCGGAGAGCGTTGTTGTGCTGGCGCCGGCTGCGGCCCGGGTTTGGGCGGTGGCGGTGGGGGTCTGGCATCCTCTACGCTGGACGATGATGGCCGGGCCGCTGGCTGCGAGGCAAGATCGGGGGGCAGAGGGGGGACAGGAGGTGGTGTCTGTGTCTGCTGTGCGGGTGGGGGTGGTGGTGCTTGCTGCTGGGCGACCACAGGGGGTTCCTTCGCGAAGATGTCTTGAAGGATCGCAAGGAAATCGAGAATCGTCGACTTCTGCAAAGCGGGTGTCAATATCACATTCCTCCTAGCCACAATGTCAACCTGAGCTTACATCCCAAAAAGTCGACCATCCGACAAGATAAGGGTGGTAGACTTGGCCCTGCGGGTCAACGTGTTGACCCGGGCGGACCATCATCGTGTCGGTCGGTGTCACGTACACCAGCGGGGGCTCGCGAGGGTAGGCATGGGGCACCCATATTGAGACGGGGAAACGATACGTCGCGCCGCGGAAGAGCACTGGTATGGTACCGGAGAGATGCACAAGCAGTGCCGAACTTCCGTTGGGGAAAGCTGCACAGGAAAGGAAGGCAAACACATCTGTTAGCGCGCTGTTGGATTCGAGATGCACCATGGGGGCCAGGCACAGGTAAACAGGAACAAGTGGGGGCTGCATACTGTGGACGTCGGTCCGGGGGGACAGAGACGGGTATTGCGAAAGCCCCTGGGCCACATCGTTGTAGGTTCGGTTGACGTCGTGGTATTCCTAGAGCAAGGGGGGAAAGGCGCAGAGTGGTTAGCAAATGATGGAGGACTGCCCAGGGCCGGACTTGGAGTTGACCCAGGGTGTTTTGTCGGGCTGCGACGGTCTCGCAGCTCGGGTACCACAGAAAGATATTGCTTACACTTGTCAGGACACTGTAGAGCCAGTTGAGCACATGTTGTTGCACTACCATGGTCGAGTCGTTCTCGGGGAGCAACGTCGGAGTTGTCCCATAAGCAACGGAGCTCCAAAGTTCGGGTTGAATGCGGGGAGGTCCTGGCTCGTTATCGTTGGCGAGAAGATGCTCGTTTCCAGCGCCAAGCCTTCCATCGCGTGCCTTAGCGCGCTGGTGACGAGGCGCCTTGGAGGGGCAGTTGGCCCAAGCTCCCTGCTGCCGCACAGTGGCACAAGCGCTGTGAATCCAAATCGAGCCTTCAGGGGAAACCCGACTGTTTTCCAATCATCGTTGCAGGTGGCCATTCGAGTGTGCTTCGATTGCCTGCCGCCGGAAACCCAGCTCAAAGGCTCAGAGTCGGCTAATCGCGGATCCAATCGCACGGCACGCTCCAGAGGAACGGTGCGATTGTGAATGCACGCCACCTGCAATCCTTCCGCAGGGGAGTGAATCTTCTTTTTTTTCCCTGTCGCTGTTCTTGTTCACCTTCCCTGGCATGTTCTTCCTTTTTTCCGCTGTGAATCTTATCCTCACCTAGCCTGGGAACCACAGGACCTTGGGACCTTCCACGCCCTGTGGGAGGATACCTGCCGGCCCCTTAAAGGCTCGCTTAGTCCTTGGTGTTTGGTGTTTGGTGTTTCGCTCAATGTGTGTCCGGCCCGCTCACGGGCAACCTTGAAATCCCGGGTCGCCCCGAAAAGTTTGCCCAACAAACCTCGGAAGGCGGCGACCAGCCGGAAGACCCGGCCATGTCGCAAAAAGCCCAGAAGATGTCACGTCAGGCTCATGCACATCGGCCCTGGCCGCATTCGGGGCCCTACGAACCTTTTTGGGTTTCTCGGGTCCCTGACGGCCCAGGCAAGCCAGGGCACAACAAAAGGTCCTGCAAGTTGGCCAACAGCGATTTTCTCTCGATGCCCCACTCGGCTACAGAGGCAGCCGATCTCCAGCCGCTAGTGGATTTCCAGAATCCGATGCCGCAGCCGCTTTGGGCCGTGCGTTACATTGATGCTCTCAAAGGCGGTTTTTGATGAGTCCTTTTCACTGTGTCATGTGTGCTGGGCACACGCGAGCACAGGCACGGGGTGACAAGAACAGGCAAGACAGGGGCGAATGGATAATGTATTTTTTTTCTGACGGCATTCGGTCTTCCGTCTCTCACATTCCATGTTTGAGGGATGGTGATGACAAAGGGGGCCCACTCCTCCATCGGCCTTCGACTCATCTGAAGAATCCGCAAGGGTTCTCTTTCCTAAAATGTGCACTTCTCTGAACTTGTCTGTTCCTTTTTTTTCCTCTTTCACCCCCCTTCCAAAGCCTAATACTTCACCACCCTTACCTTACCTACATGCCCACGACATTCCTAGGATCCCGCACGGCTGAGGAGTATTACAGAGGATCATCTGTATACTCCTTGCGTCAGGACCTTTTCGTTTAAAACCCGGCGCATCACCACCTCTCACAAGCCTCCCCCCGCCACATTTCTTGAGTTTTACTGAGTCTTGTTTCTTCTCAACAATTCCCCATTGGTCAGCTGTTGGGGGGAACGAGACGGCATTGGCGCTATTCCTCCAGTACCGCCAACTACTATTTCGACTCCTACCTCTGTCTTTACAGCTACCGAAACAGCTATGCTGCCTCCCATCCCCGTCCTGGCCGACTATGGGATCTCGCCTACCCATGGCTTCCTCCCCGACGTCCTCCCCCTGACTCGGCTGCCGGACCCCTACTATAACAAGTGGGAGGCCGTCATTGCCAACCTGCAGGGCCTCATTCTCAGCAAGCGGCTACGTGGCGTCGTCGATCGCCTACCCGTGCTCTCCACCATCGGTCTGGAACATGACGCAGAATGGCGCAGAGCCTACGTCCTGCTGTGCTTCATGGCCCACGGCTACATCTGGAGCGGTGACAGCCCCAGTGACCGTCTGCCACCCTCCATCTCGGTGCCCCTGCTCGAGATCTCAGAGCACCTTGAGGTGCCCCCCGTTGCCACGTACGCTGCTGTGTGCTTGTGGAACTTCAAGCCGCTGTTCATGGACGAAGGCATCGACCATCTCGAGAACTTGGCCTCGCTCGTCACTTTCACTGGTGGGATCGACGAGGCTTGGTTTTACCTGGTCTCAGTCGCCATCGAAGCCCGCGGCGGACCCATCATCCCGCTCATGTTGACCGCCATCGCAGCGGCCCGGGAGAATGACTCGGCTGTTGTCACAAGCTGCCTGGCCACCTTCGCCGAGCGCATTGACGACCTCTCGACGCTACTATCCCGCATGCATGAAAGCTGCGACCCCCACATCTTTTACCATCGTATCCGCCCCTTCTTGGCCGGAAGTAAGAACATGGCCGATGCGGGCCTCCCCAACGGCGTCATCTATGAAGACGGCTCCGGCACGGAAACCTACCGTCAGTATGCCGGTGGCAGCAACGCTCAGAGCAGCATATTCCAATTCTTCGATGTGGTCCTCGGCATTGAACACCGGCCCACGGGTGAGAAGAAGCCAACGGCGGAATCACAAAACGAGCGCCATGCTCGTGGCCGCGCCCCGCCATCAAACCATAACTTCATCATGGAGATGCGCAAGTACATGCCAGGTGCGCACGCGCGTTTCCTCGGCGATGTCCAGGCTGTCGCCAACATCCGCGACTATGTCGAGCAGCACCGCGACAACCGCCCGCTCGTCGTCGCCTACGACGCGTGCTTGTCCATGCTGCGCAGCCTCCGCGATCGCCACATCGCGATCGTTTCGCGCTACATCGTCATCCCGTCCCGCGAGGTCCGCGCGCGCAGCCGTAGCCCTGAGGCCACTCGCAGCGGCATTGCCAAAGTGAACCTCGCCACAGCCTCGCGTCAGCCGGCCCAGCGGCCCCGACCGACGGGGATTGCTTACCATCCGGACGATAACACCCCGTCGCAGCAGGACGGATCCGCGCCCGCTAAAAAGAACCTCACCGGCACAGGTGGCACAGCACTCATTTCGTTCCTGAAACAAGCGCGCGACGAGACCGGCGAGCCGGCCATCCAGGATTGGACCAAGCGCTTCATGACCCGGCAGCCCCGCGTTGAAGGCCAAAATGATTTCTTTGCCGGCAAGCCGGAGGATGGGGCCGGCAGTGAGGTGTCTGTTACGGCGACCGAGGAGGTGACCGTGCAGGGTCTGGCGGGAAGCTGGACGATGGACGATGATGTCGGTGGGATTTGCAATTACTAGAAACGGTCGGTGATCCCTTGTTTTCGGATTGTGGTGGTGGCTCTTTGTCAATATTTCACGAATGTGCCGTCAGCGGACTTTTGCGATGGCGGGGTAGATTTTGGGAAACCCGCCGACGACACAGAGCGGGCGCCTTTGATGAAGTCCCATTTTGATGTCTTATCCAAGACATGTCGTTGGATTGTCTCGGGTGTTGGTTGACGATGCTGCATGCGAAAGATAGAGCAGCTCCTGCAGCGTTTATCGATTGGTTGTCTTGCCGCGTCTTTGTCGCACAGCGAGACAGCGCCAGGGTCGCACGGTGCATGGGGTTGGATGGAATGCAAGCGAGCCGGCCATGAGCGTAATGGTTAGCGAGTTTCAGTAAAATAGTTTTTTTTGTAAAGTTAGTGTTGGGTATCGTGTGTTGACGATGTTTAGACACAATTCCACTCACAGTTTCATGGCCCTTATTGTCGATTCATCTTTCATCGTGTTGCCATTCATGACACAATCGCACCGTATTATTTCCGATCTCCCTTGTCTTAAACACTTTCCGCCCAACTCGAAAAAGCACCAAAGTGTCTTGAGAATCCCCTCCCTGCAAGTCAGTCATCAAAATATGTACTCATCCCTTAACGTCTAAGCAAGAACACACCCCGTCATCACCTCATAACTTAAGGAAACTCATCCCTCACCCGGGCTGCCGTACAAATAACCCCCACCATACCCATCACCATCCCCATCACCATAATATCCATACCCATCCCCAACTTTACTCCCAAACAACCCACCCCCATACCCCCCAAACTCAACCCGTCCCCCACCCCCCTCCCAAAACCCCCGCCAATACCACTCCCTCTGCGTCCGCAGCGCCCGTTCTTCCTCCTCTTTCCTCGCCTTCTTCTTCTCCCTCCGCTTCTGCTTCAGATACCTCTCCATCTTCTTTGGTGTCGTACCGCTGAGGTAGAAGCCGAGTTTTGCCCAGATGGAGAGAGAGTCGGGTTTGACGCGGTAGTCTTGTTTTGTTCTTTTGGGGGGTTTGGGCGGGGTTGGTGTGGCGGGCTGGGAGGAGGGGTCTGGGGGGAGGAGGTCGGTAGGGAGGTTGGTGGGTGTGTGAGGTGTGTGAGGTGTGTGAGGTGTGTGAGGTGTGTGAGGTGTGTGAGGTGAGTGAGGTGAGTGAGGTGAGTGGTGGAGGTGGAAAGGGGGGTAGATGGGAATTTGACCGCCGTCGCTGCATTGGTAGGCGTGGTGTGATGGGGGGTTGGCACGGGTGGAAAGGCCCGCGAGGCTGGGAGGGTTGGTGTGGGCG